ATTTATTATATAGCTTTTAATAGCTAAAAATGTTTTTGTGGAAGGGGAAAATAATTTTTTGTTGGGGGAGATTAGCAGTTCTTATATTAAATTATTACTCTCTCCTCTCCCCTTTTTTAGCGCCTTATTTTTCAATTTTATTTATCCAAAATAACACAGTAATATTTTTTTGTTTTATTGTTTTTCCTCTTTCCTTTTCATATTCCTCCCAGCTGGCGTCATTTGCAAATATATATTGAGTTGAGGTAAATGAATAAAAAGTTTTTTGAGTGATGGAAATGAGTTAATGAATGAATGTGGAGATCACGCAAAGAAATAAATATATTAGGGAAAAATAAGTTATAATAAGAGGGTACTTTTCTGTTATGCCCCCCCCTAAATTACGGAAAAGTACCGATAAGATTAACTAGAGTTATTTAGAAATTTCGATTTTAGATCGGGGTTTCGATTTCCGAACAATTCTTTTATTGTTTTGAAACAACCCTTCTGTTAACTTAAAATCAAAATAATAATTAAGAAGCATTAACATTATTGAAAATAAAGCCCCTTTATTTACTTGTTAATTTATATTTAATAAATCTGAGGAAAAGGTTGTTTAATTAATCATTTAAATTCTTTTATAAATAAATTAATTATATATTTATTTATTTCTTTATTTTATAATTAAATTTTTGTTTATTGTCAATTTAAATTTTACTTGATTTATTTTTATCTTTTTTCATTCGTTACTCATTCTCCCCTTATTTTTCTTCTTTTTCCTTTTTTGGAGAATTACGGTAAACGAAAAATGTGGCAAATTATTTGAGAGAAAATTATTGTTATTTAATTGTGAAAATATTTTTTTGTTTTCTTAGATTATTTTCTAAAATATTTATCCAGTAATCCTCTAAATTATATAATATTTATTTAAACGAGATTAGATAATATTTGCCTTAAGCAATTTACTCATAAAAATATCACTCAAACATTTATTCGCTAAATACTGCGAACAGTTCATATTTTTTTGGAGGATATATATACCTCCATTCATTTAAATATAATTGTCCTTACCTAACTGCTAGTGCCGCCAATTATGTAATTGGGCCATTTAAGAAAAATTTTTGGGAGGAGAAAAGCAGAAAATTGTGAGAGGGAGAGATGATTATTATTACCTATTTAATTTCTTTACTTTTTTCTATTCATTCATCATTTTTATAAAAAAAAGAATGTCAGTTTCAACAGATTATAATCGCATTAATAACTAGGGAACGGGGGAAGGGAGGAAAGAGGGGGAAGGGGAAGGATAGGATATACTATGTATGGCTATTTCAAAAAGGCGGCGATATAATTAAATTATAATTAAAAAGATATAATTAAATATTTGGGGAGATATTTTTGACAGTCATATATTTGAAAGTTATCGTTTATTAGGGGAATAATAATCATCTTAATATTGTTGTTTTCTGACTTATTTTGTCTTTAATTCTAAATAATTTACAAACAAACAAAATAAAAGTTTAATTTATTTTTAATATTTTTACAGAATAGACGTGCAAAATCTAAACGGCAACAAGAAGCCGAAGAAGAAAAACGTAACTTTGCCCAAGCAAATGCTGCCCTTACAGCCATAGCTGCGGCAGCAGCTGCAGCACAAAATGCTTCTGTTACAAATGTTTTTAATGGATGCAATAATGGATATGTAAATAATCGAGAAGAAGAAAAAGAAGGAAGAAATGATTCTAATAATATAAGAACAACCAATACTGGATGGTGATTAAATTAAAAAGAATTTTGTTTTAACGGGTATTTGAGATGAATTTGAATTTTTTGAAAAATACTTTATTTTATGAACAGATCTCCTCCTTTTATATTTGTTAAAAAAATATATTTCTGACTATGTTTGGATATCCGGAATCTTCGGATATCCGGAACCGGTCTGAAAAATCCTTGGTTCATTAGCTCGGTTCCAAACTGACAACTTATCTTTGACTATTAAAATTGTTTGACTATTCTCACAAGGAAAAAATATGCGAGAGAAGCTCTCCGATATTAAATTTCCCAAGAATTTTTTCCAAAATTTTTAGGCCAAATATTTACTTAAAAAATTACCTCATTCATTCCTACCTTCATTTACCTACATATTTTTTATTTGAATAAATTTATATAAAAAATAAGCAATAAATAACACAAAATCAGTCTAACAATAAAAACTAATATTTTTTATTTAATTCTCGAAAATTTATTTAAAATCCTATCTAGATAAACATTTAAAAATATATATTTTTAGTAGAAAAGTTGTTCTTTTTTATTTTTTTAATGGTCAATCGGTTACTTTAATTTCTTTTGGCCATCAATCTGTTCTTCGTCTCCAATACAAAATTTATTGCTTTTAAAATGTTTTTACTTAAATAAACATTTTTAGTATAGTAATTGAGACGGAGGGGGGTAGAATAAAGATAAATTTATTTTTTATTAGCCACCTCTACAAGTTAGACGAATTAAATATTTTTTGATATAAAAATAAATTTTAAAATTAAAAAATGAATTGAACAGAAAGAAAGTTCTGATTTGTTTTCTGAGAATTTTCTAAAAAAAGATTTTCCCATTTTAGGACAAAAGACAAATATAAAATTATAATTTAGCAGATAAAATTTAGAGAAAAAAAAAGATTTTTCCTGGAAATTACTGGATATCCGAAACTGAACCGAAAAACCGAACCAAAAAATCTTTAGTTTTTCGGTTGGGTCCACAACCGACAACCCTACTGATGAGAGAATTTTTTAAAATAATTTTAATATATTCCAATTAATTTTATTTTTATTACTAAATATTTTCCAAACTTTTAAACAACAAAATGTATATAAATTGTTTGTTCTCATATATCTAATAATTATTTTCTGATTATGATTGATCGACGATAAATTACTTATTATTTTCTACTATTTTTAAAAACTTTTTTTATTTAAAATTCCTTTTCCCACAATTTATTTAAGAGTAATCAATCTTAACTACTAATTAGTTCTTTACTTTTTCTCTTTCAATCGTTTAATCTTCTTCCCCCTCTATTATTTTTTTGCAAAACTAATTATTGTTTAAGAATCCAAAAAAAAGCTTTAAATATTATTGGGGAAAAGCAAATGTTTTCTTAAGGATAGCGGCATTCTTTTGTATTTTAATATATCCAATTTAATCAAATAAATAAAGAAAAGAGGAGTTTAATTCAGGACAAAAAAACTTTGGAAAAGAAGAGAATAATATTTAAATGTGACATAATAAGGGGGAATTAAACGGGGGGGGAGGGGGGTTAATTTATTTTTAATTTTAAAAAGAAGAAAATTTAATAGAAAATTGAACGTTAAATTAATTCCAAAAAATTTATGAGAAAAATTAATTTTATTTAATTATTAAATAAAAGTGTTAATATATTTAAAATCACAAAAATTCCTTTTTAATTTAATTCTCCTTTAAAATATTTAATTTTAATTACATTTATTTCCCTTTGGGAAAAAGGATATAATAATTACGGAAAAAATAAAGGAAAATTAAAAATATTTTTGGGTATTTTTATGCATAATTGGCTAAAATAAATTACATTTTATTTTAACTATTTTTAAAAAATAATTGTTAAAATAAGGGGAAACCATTGGGAATTTTTAAAAATTATTTTTTAAATAATTAAAATTAAAATATGATTAAAGAAATTTAATATAAATTTAGATAAATGTCCTGTTGATGTAGTAAATGTCCGCAAAAGCATCTTTTTTTCCTTTTCTTGAATTTTTGCACAATGAGTGGCGCTCACATTTATTATCTCAAAGATATTCTAGAAATTTATTTGAGAATCTTGTCCAAAGTTTTTCACACTTGATTACTTGTAAAATAAATATATTTTCGCTTAAATATTTTTAATTGTTTTCTTCCTTTACTTCCAAGTTCAAAAAGGATACTAATAACAGATAAGGTAATGAGTGGATAAGAAAAACTTTTGCGGACATGTAGGACATCAACTGAACATTTACCTAAATTTGTATTAATAATATCATAATCCAATCAAACTTTTTTAATTTAATTTATATTTTTTTCTTTTATAAAATTTTTAAATTTCCATTTACTACAAAAAAATCTAAATAAAATAATTGTTAAATAATTAAAAATATTTATTTTTATTTATTTACTTCTGGCAAAACATAAAGAAAAAGGTCATCTCAAGACAATAAATTTTTGTAAAAAATATTTTGTTTTTTCTCTCAAATGGCAACAAAAAAAACTTTTTTTATTTAAATGAACTCTCTACACTCTCTATATTTTTCTTAAAATTGATTTACAATCTCTTCTTCCTTAAATTTTCTTTAAAAGAAAAATGCCGATTAAATATTTTTTGGTGGCCACAAAAAAGGTTAATAAATAAAAATAACAAAAAATATTATTTTTTAAACATTTGGCGCACGCAATCAATTCGCACTTTTAATAAAAAGAAAGGGCGGCAACAACAAAAGTTGAAATAATGAGAACAATTGCTTTATTTTTCTTTTTTAATAAAAAACTTTAAATATTTTTTGATAAAAAATTTAAATGTTCAAACAAATATATTTGCTGCTATTAAATAATTAAAAGAAAATTCCTTTAATGCGCAAAAATCAAGAATTTGGTTAATTGGATTTTTTGTTAGAAAAGTAAATAAATATATTGGGAATTTATATGTATTTTTACGATAATTAAAAATATATCTTAATTTTTAATTTTATTTTAACAAAAATAATAATTACATAGTTAAAAATATGAAAATAATAAAATATTTGATAACATGTCTGTATATATTTCAGAGATTAAAATTAATTTTTGGAATGATTAAAAGAAATTTATTTTTAAGTTATTTTGTCGACATTTAAATTTCCAAAAATCAAAAAAAGGTAAATTATTTATCCAAACTATTATAGCACAAAATTCGAATCTCTTTATATAAAAATATTAAACAATAAATAAGGCTCTTAATAAATTAAAGGCTAACAATTTTGGTGTAATTAATTAATTATACAAAAAATCCATAAATAAAAAGAAATAAACAAAAAAATCAAAATTTCCACTTTTTTCCGTTTAATATTTTCAGATCCACTAAGGAAACCACGAAAATCTGTCCAAAGAAGTTTTCTATTTAATGGGAGTCCATAAGCTTCTAAATTTGCACATTGAATTCCACAAGTTCGTTCAAATTGATATCTTTCACATAAACATCTAGTTACTGTTGTCTAAAAAAAGAAAATTAAAATTTATTTTGAATAATTAAGTGTGAAATATTTAAATGTAGGGAAACATTTTCGTGTATAAATTAGAGACCTGACTGGGAGTGCCGTACGAGAATCGTACAATATGTCTAGAAAAATCTCGATCTCGATAATCGAGATTTTCGTTCGAGATTCGTCTCGATACGGTCTCTAATATAAATCTTTTTTAATAATCTTTTATTTGTTCCACACAATTAAAAAAGAAAAAAACAAACATGAAAGCAAAACCTTTGATGAATAAGAAAAATATCAGAAAATACTGAACGAACCTATTAATATTAAAATATTTTTTTAAAATATTTTAAAATAATTACCATCATACATTCATCTTCTGGTCTAGTCTCTGGGAATTGTAATAATTTGCTGGAGATGTCTAGTTTAAGTCTAAATTTGAAAAATTATTTACATTATCTAAGAGATTTTTGAAATTAAAGTAAAATTTTTAATCTCGTTAAAAAAGTTGGATAAATATATAAAAATATTTTTTTGTAAATATTCACAAACTTATACCATAAATGCTTTAATAATTAGCCTCGCTCTATTAATTATCACCTCCAAGGAGAGGTTGAAACAATGACTGCTAAGGGTAATTATTAGAGGATCTATGGCAAGTTAATGAATTTTTAGATCAAGGAAATTAAAAATTTAAAAACAATTAACGACAATCATGTGGAATGTAGTAATAATCGTGGAAGCAACTTTCAGAAAAAAATTTTTAAGTAAAACCAGTAGATTTAAAAACATTAATGAGAGTAATACTTTTAATATAAGAAACACCTTAAAAGTTTATGCCTTTCCAATTCCATATATGGAGATGGCTGTCTTTTCTTCATTTCAGTTTCACAATCCCCAATAATTTCGTCTATATAAGAATCAGAACAATTAGCAATAATATAATGATTATTTAATTGTTCTGAACGGAAATGTGATCTTCTATTTCCACTTCTCTCATTCCCTCCTTCATTTTGAATTCTTCTTCTAGGTCGGCATTGAGTTTGTAAATAACCAAATAAGGAAATAAATTGTAATTCTGAAGGGGATGCTAATAGACCTGCTGCTTGCCTTCCTGGACCCTTAAAGAATATTTTTAAATTAAAATATTTTAATAAGAATTATTTAGGAGTCCTTCAGTTTTTTTAAATGTCATGGACTGGCTACGATAATTTTTCCAATTTGATCGGTAAGAAATCAAATATACTTTGCGTGGCATTTATTTGTATGTATATCTTTAAGACTTTATTTAAGAATTTTTATTTTATTTAGGCTTAAATCTTAGTTAATTTGAGTTAATAAACTAAACTGTTTTTTGTTCTTCTATTGGTTTCCCTTCGTCAATTTTAGCAGCAAGTAAACATCCATCTACCTGTGACAATTATTCATGTTTTCAATTAAAATAAATTTAAAAATACCCTTTTTTGATAGGCAATTCGTGCAGCTGTACCAATAGCTGCTGGTAAACAACGAATCTTTAAAAAAACGTTTTCTTTTTAATTAAATAAAAATTTACTTGATTATCACCAAAGCAAATGTCCAAAACCTAAAAAATTAATTTTATTGATAAACAAATTGCTCTTTTTCATCCATATTATTATAAATAGACAAGGGGGAAAGAAGGGAGTTTGAAAAGACAAATTTGGCGGGAGCCTCTCCGATGTCTGCAGATCTAGATAGACCCTTTACCTAGAGGACTTTTTTAACATCATTGTTTATTTAAACCTAAGAAACGAAAATTTTCAATCGTTTATTTATTTCCAAAATTTTCATAGATTTAAAACAAAATTTTATTAGAAGCTAAATAATTTAATTAATTAATTATATGTACATTAAAATGGTGACATCTAAAAGCAATCTCTCCATTATGTTTTTTGTCTAAACAAATCGGTAATTGTTCAAAAAGTTGAGTAAAACAAGCTTCAGCTTTTTCCAAATCACAATTCATTTTAGGTTGATTATTATTAACAGAAAAAACAAAAGAAATATTGAAAGAATAAAATAAAAAATATTTAGAGAAGGAAAGAAATCTTAAAATAATTTTAAGAAGCCGTAAAATAAAATATTTTGGAAAAATTATTTTCTTTTTAATTTTAAAATAATTAATATTTTGTTGTTGTGAAGAAAGTAATAATAATGAGGAGGAGGATGTTGCCATTAAAAATGTCTTTGTTATATTAAATAAATTTTCTATATAAAATTATTTAATTTTATTAATTAAAAAGTCTTGAAGAATGGAATATGAAAAATTTAAAATTTAACGTAGTATATTGATAATACACTATATCTATTAACAGATGAATAGGAGGTTTCCTAACTTTTTCTATACAAAGTTAGATCACCCCTCTCTCCTACACCTTTTTTTGAGCTTCAAAATTTATCTTCTTTTCTTACTTTTCTTTAATTTGAATTGAGATTTAAATAATGATGGGGTTAAAGGAGAAGGGTGATAAAGGGGGTTGATAAACTAAAAATAAATAATTTTCCAGATAAAAACCATTCTACTATTTTTAGATATACTACCTATTTATTAATAATATTGAAAATTCAGTACATATATCCCGGAGCCCAACTTTCTAATATGTATAACTTAAAATTTGGAACTTCTTAGTTGGTATTCATAGAGTTGTGGGTGGCAAACGGAGTAGAAGTTTAATACTAAACTGGAGAGAAGTGATGTTGAATATCAGAATTAATTAATGTAAGAAAAAGTAAAACTATATATATATATATACTTTTACCTACTAAATAAATTTTATTCAAATGGAACTATATTGTGTAGTAAAAGACCTTAATAATGATTTCCTAGTGAGGGTTGAGGTAAATGAAAATTAATGTGTAAGGGATTCATTTTAGTATTTTATTTAACATTTTAATAATAATTTTAATAATTTCTTTGTTTTTCTCTCCTTCTCTTTATTAGCAATTTCTTTCCCTTCCATATTGCGCGGACTTTCATCAATTCTTTCCCCTTTGCGTGGCGGATTTAAATGTTGAGGGATTATCCTAGCTAAAGGCAATATTGAGCGAAAATAAAAATGAAGGGAGTAAAGGATTGCGTGATTTAGTTAACTCCAAAAAAAACTTTAAAATTAAAAAAAGAGAGAAGGAAATATGAGACAAACTGAGAATTAAGTGAAGTAAGTAGTATGAGAGAGAGAGAGGAAGGGAGGGAGGAGGAGAGGAGGAATGCCTCTTTACATATGCCTGTAAAAAGAACTTTTATCTCCTCCACTTTTTCAGTCTCGATTAATTAGCTCCAAAATTAGAGATATTAAATTTTGAATTTAAATTGATATAAAGATAATTGTTACTAATGAAAGGATGTTCGAGATAAAAGAGGAAAAAGGGAGAGGATTAAAAGAAAGAGAAAATAGAAAAATTTTAAATTAATTTAAAATTTATAAAATTAAAGAAAAATTAACAAAAAAGTGAGAAAATTAAACAAACTGAGAATTAAGAAATCAGAAAAAGGAGAAAGAAGGAAATTTTCTTCTATTTAACAAATTCTAACATTTTATTTAAATAATTATCAGTTAGGTAGTGCCAATATAAATTTTTTTAATAAAATTAGTTGCTAGGAGTTTTTTGAAAGAAAAGAAGCCTTTTAGCTTTAAATAAATTGCTTTGAAATGGATGAAATAATTTAAAATATTTTTCTGTTCTGATTTAAAATATTAAGCAATTTTCTGGTTAGAGGGGTGCACGTCTAAATATTAGAATAAAATACATAAATAAAAATATTTTTTTATTTTAATTAACAAAATTTATTCTATTTTCGGACATTATAAACAGGTTGTTGTGTCCATTTTGGCCACAAAAAAGCTAAATGAAATTGAGGGTTAGTAAGTAATAGAAATGGGGTTTTTTAGACATCCACCAAAAAGCATCGAGGCAATTTCCGTTTGCCGCAAAAGGCAAACGGAGAGAAATAAAGTCTTTAAAATATAATAAAAAGAAAAAAATATTTTTTAAAAGAAGAAAATACGTGAAAATAAATAAAAATATTTTTATTTATTTTTTTATTAAAGAAAAAGAAAATTGGCTTATTATACAAACTTCTGTTGTATTAAAGTGAATTTCCGTTCTTTTAAGTTGACCAATTAAAAAAATATTTTTAACAGAAAAATAAAAAAAATTTTTTTAATAAATTTAATTTAAAAAATTGATTTTTTAGTTATTTATTAAAATTTTTTAATTTTTTAATAAATATTCAGAGTGAAGTAGTATAGTACATATAACACGAAAATTGTTATTATATCTCTAATTAATACAATCAAATTGTCAAAATATTCTTTTAATTGTAACATTCTTCTCAAACTTTATTTTAAATAATTAAAAATTATTTAACTATTTTAAAGAAACAAAATATATTTTATTTAATTTATAAAATTATTTTATAATTTTTAAATAAATGAATGTTAAATTATTAAATATAATTTATATCATTAACTAAACTATCAGATTTTCAGGAATGACAAGACATTGTGTGAGACTTCAGATTACGAATTAATCTTTATTATTATAATTAATAATTAGTAAGAAAGTAAAAATATTTATATTTTATTTTGCTAATAAATAAATTAAAAAATGAGAAAATAAAAATGCCAATGAAAGGAAAAAAAATCCGTGAATAAAAAAATATTTTTTAATAAATATAAATATACCATTGGGATTCACACATTTTTTCATGGCAAAATCCAAAACAAAGGCCATAGTAAATTTCACACACTCAAAAAATTGCGCGCTCATTAATATATAATTTAGCACAAGCAAAAAATAAAATGTTGAATAAAAAATATTGGGAATTTTGAAAAATAATAATTTATTTATTTTTATTAAAAATAAATATATATTTGCTTTAAATATAACGAAAAAATAATTTAAATTTGGTGATGTTGTTAACTATTTACTTAATATTTTTTTCTTATTAATTTTTAAAAATTTTTTTGATTTATATTTTAATCAAAAATTAGAAATTATGAATTAATATTCTTTAAAAAATTCAAAATTTCAAAAATATTTTATTTTCGATTTAGAGTTACTGCAGGAGAAAGTAACAATATATTTTTAATTATCGGTAAATTAAAAAATATTTTCAGCAATCTCCGCGTAGAGAATTCGATCTTTAGTTATTCGTTTTTGTTGATTATATTTTTCTCGAGCTTCTTTGATCCAACGAGTAATGTGGTTTCTAATTAAAAATATTAATTAATTACTTTAAAGAAAATCTTTTTTATTAAAAAATTACTTTTCAAGACGGCGTACTTCTTTGACAGATTGTGTGTCGTCTGGATGTTCCCCTCGAAGGTCATAATGATGTGCCCCATCCTCTACAATTAAAGAGTAGAGAGAACCCTCAAATGTTGGTGTCAATCTCCATCCTCCCCCAGACCAAGGGTCTAACCATCCATTAGAAAAAACAATATTTGTAGCTGTCGGAAACTCAACTCCATAATTAGTAATTGCCCAATTTGGACGGAAAAGGTCTTTATTGTAACCAATTTTAGAAAAATGGCCAAGACAATATTTTATATATTGTTGATCACGGAATGGACAGCTTTTATTAAATGGGTCAAAAGGAGGGCCCTTAAACGAAAAGCTAGATTATTTAAATTATAATTTGTTAATTACTCTACTACACATAGGCATAATCATTTCTGTACAGGCCTGTCATAATTTTCAAAATTAAATAATTTTTAAACGAATCTGTGAACCTGCCAGGGCCAGCCTAAAAAGTAATTTATAATAATATTTTTATTTCCTAATTTTATTAAATTTTCCTACCATCAGGATCACCAAGAGCACTAAAAGGATCTCCGCAGGCACCGCCCAAAAGGCAGAGAGTTTTCTCCGAGCCAGTATAATTGTAAAATAAATTGACAGCTTTATATGAGGCTAATGCACTCTGCTCCGGATTCTGAGCAGAAATAAATGCTTTACAAGCAACTTTTACTGGCCAAGCTGGCAAAGGAGCTAAAAAATTGGAAGGGTAAGGATAATCAACCATTGCCATTGTCTGAAATAAAAATTTGTTTAAAAAATAGGAAAAAATATTTTTTTACCTCGAGGACAGATTGGATAGCATAAATTAATTCTTCCCCATCATTAGCGTTCTTAACTTGGGAATCAGATGAGAGATGGAATTGTTCATTTAAAAACTTTCTTCCATTTGCTTAAAAATAATTTTAAAATTTTTAAATTTATTTCCAAACAGCTATCGGCCATTTTTCGGATAGTTTCAAAACTAGACGAAAGTGATTGCAAAGTACATCCACTATTAATAAATGTTCGAGTAACAATATCATCGAATGAATGTTCTGGAGGCGCAGGAACATTTCCAAACCAAAAAACTGGGGCACTAGCTGCAATTCCTCTGAAAATAGGGAAAAATATTTTAGGGAGTTTAAAGTTTATTTTATTTTTAACAAACCCGTCAATTATATGAGGATACTGGAATAATAAAATAAAATTAAAAAGGTCGGATTAATTAACCTTAATACGCATCCAAGCAGTTAACATTCCCCCATAAGAACCTCCAAAAGCAATTACTGGTGATTTTTTGGCATGAGGAAGTCGAACTTCTTTAAGATAGGTAATAATAACAGCAAAATCTGCAAGAGCTTGTTCTGAGCTCAAATAGCCCAAATTGGAGACACTTGAATAAGAATCATTTCCAAATGGGTAACTCTTGCCATAATAGCGGTGCTCGGCAAAAACTATTGCAGCTCCAAATTCTGGTGCAATATCCCACATAAAACCCTTAAAATTTCGAAAAATTATTGCAATGAAAGAGCTTTAATAAAATAATTTTTAATGTTAAGTAATTAACATTCATACTTCGAATGAAAAATATCTAGATCTCATCAGACAACCCCTACACTCTCTCTATTTTCCTATCTAAATACTTAAAACAAAGCTCAGAGATTAAGATAAATTTCTACATTTAACATACAGTATTCTCAGCAAACCCTTCAATAGATCCTTCATTTCCTGTGTAAAAGAAAATTGGAGCATTCTTCTCTTTAAAATTGTCTGTATTTATCAAATATCTTTTAAAAATAAATTCTCTTTTTTTTTATTTTCACAAATTTTAATTACCTCAATTTAAATTTTCTCGGATCATTAAACGAAAAATGATCAACAGGCATTTCTTCATAAAATTCTTCATTCCATTTATATTTTGTTAGGCCATATTCCATTTGTTTTTTACCATATACTGAAAGTCTTTTAGATAAACTAACAGGATCTCGTCGATGCCATCTTATCGGAATAAGGCAAAATGTTTGATAGATGTAAACGAAGAGAATAAAAATTAGGAAATTTAAATGTTTTAACTTCATTGCAATTATTTTTTAGCTTAAAAATATTTTTTAAAAAATATTTTCTAATTTAAAAGAAAAATTTCTTTTCCTTAAAGACCTCTTATTGAGCTATAAAAACATTCAGACAATACATAAAAGCTAAAATAAAATAATAGTAATAATAATAATTTTTATATCTTGTTATATTATAATAATAAAAAAACATAAAAATTAAATAAATAAAATGTGTATTCTAGGGCAATAAAAACCTTTATTTAATGTTTTGGTAAATAAATTAGCACTAAATAATGTCTAAAAAATATCTTTTTTAATTTTTGTTCTTTTAAGTTTAAAATAAAAATAAATTACAACTATTTAAAAGCTAAAGGACAAAAAACTTTTTTCCATTAATTTTAAACAAAAACAAAAAATCTTCATCGATTTTACCCTTTAATCAGACCATTAATTTATTTAGATGCAGCAAACAAATGGCAATTAATACTATATACATAGTCTTTGATAAGAAATGCTTTGAAGAAAGTAAAGAAAAAATAAAAAAATATTTTTTTATTTTAAATACTCAAATAAAATATTATTTTTTATTTAAAATATTTAAATAAAGTTTATTAAAAGTTTTAAAAAAAATTAATAAATCTTGTGGACGAAGAATAATTTTTAAATATTATTTTATTCTTATTTTCGATTGATCATTAGAGCTCGAGTGAAAAAGGATTTAAAGAAATTCGGCTTGAAAAGTAAAAAATAAATTTTCTGAATCTTTCATTGTACATTAGTGGTCAAAAAGATAGGGACAGGAGTATGTATGTAAGATAAAAACATCCTATTTCTCAGTCAAAAATTAATTTTAGGAACGTTTTTTATTTGATTAAATTTAACTTTACCCTTATTTAATAAATAAAATACACAAAAATATTTTTGAAAATAAAACATTTATTTAATTATATAATTGAAATAAAATGTTAAAATATAAATTTAATGCTCTCGAAATTAAAAGAAAAATACATGAGGAAAAATAAAATTAATTAATTATTGAACTTTCCAAATAAATTTTTAAAAATATTAATATTCTAAAATGTGGGAAATAAAAAAGAGATCCGAAAGAAAAATAAAAAGACAAAAAAGAATTAAAAGAAAATATTTTGTATTGCCGAAATTTTTTAAAAAATATTTTTTTAATATTTTAGATAAAGCAATACAATTAATTAAATAAAGAATGGCTATAAATTTTGAATTAAAATGGAAGAAATGTTTATGAAATACATATATTTTTTAATAAAAGATTTTTAGATACAGAATGGTTAATAATGAGATTGTGAAAATTTCGTTTTTTGAATTTCTCTCTCTCAATAAAAGAAAACATTAAAAAATGTCTTTAATATTTCTCTTTAAATAACTAAATTTAAAAAATATTAAATAAAAAAATCAGGCATCTCCATATTCTTGAAAACGTCCATAAACTGCTCCTCCTCCACTTGCCCCATTCATCTGTTGATAATTAGCAGAATGAACACGCAAACCTCCATTCCTTTATTAAAAAAAGATTTTTTAAAATTAATTTTAAAATAATTATTAAAAATATAAATTAAAGGACGTTTGTTTTTAAAAAAATTCTAGCCCAAGAGTAAATTTTAAATTTAAGAAAAAAAAAGTTTAAAAAGAAAAGCACAGCAAGACCCAAAAAGATAATAAAAACACAAAAAACAATTTTTAAGTTATAATTCTTTCAATTTATTTTCACCTAGTTAAAGTCCCTCTAAGTGTGCCCCCAGATGTGCCAATTGTTGCTGGTGGTGCTGAAGCTATAGCTGCATTGTGTGTCATCATTTGTTGTTGCCAACTTTGTCTTTCTCCTAATAATAATGGTTGTTGTTGACCTCCATTTTGAGTACTAAAAGAAAAGCAGAAAATGGAAAAAAACAAAAACAAGAAATTAAAAAAACCGACAATTTAATGAAAAGAAAATATTAAAGGAAATGTAAAAATAAAAGTATTTGCGTTTTTCGGTTATTCTAATTATAGTTGGATCGTCTCAAAGCTAATCAGTTTCTTCTTTATATAATGTTAAAGGAGTCAGACTTAGTTAAGATTATGAGGATGGTTAATGGCATAGGAAACAGTTGGTACTACGGCACTAGTCCAAGCAATTCATAAATGATCACTTAGATTTGTCGGAGTATAAAATATTTTACATAAAAGATTTATAAAATATAAGAGAATTATATATTAAAATAGCCAAAAACCACAAAACTATTCGAACAAAAATCAAAACCAATTAAAAATAAAAAAGGAAGGTGGGTTTGGTAGAAGCTTACACAAATTCTTACGGCATTCTGTCGGAATTATTTCCCCCATCCACTCCACCACTTAAATGTTGACGAGCTCGAGGATTGAATAAATTAGTATCATAAATATTATCAGGCATTGTATCGTGAATTCTTGGAGAAAATTGATCTTCTTCACCGACTTCTAAATAATCGTTTGGAAGTCTAAAAATTAAAGATTAATTAATTAAAATATTTATTTATTTACCTAGAGAACATATACCAAGATTTAGCAACCAACAATAATAAAACAAAAAGTGTTAGACCGAGAAGAAAAAGTCCAGCTGAGATTAGAACAGAACCAAGGCTAAAATAATTTTAAAAATATTTTTTGTTTGGATAATTATAGAAGTTGTCTCATAAATTAACAATAATAGGAAAAGTTCAAGGATTAACCTAAATTAAATATTTGATTGTATTCATTGATCTCTCCTATTAAGTTCCCTTTAATTTTACATTTTATCAAGAAAAAACTAACAAAGCATATCTACACATTCCAACACGTAAAGTAAAAACATCTTTGTGTAACTGTCCACATTGTAACGCAAAATGTAAAGCCCCCAAATGTTTTGAGGAAGAAATTATTTCGGATTGTGTTAATTGTAAAATAGAATCAAAAGCTTTATCATTTTCTTTTTTCTCAATTTCTTTTTCTTTTTCAAACATTCTTGCCAACAAAGTCCCCAAACGTTGTTCAGCCCCAGCTTGATCTTTAGCTAATTGACTTAAAAGAGTTAAGGGTATTGATGGAGGTAATCCTTCATCTGGAGCACATTCAGAATAAAAATTGGTTAAATCAAGAAGTTCATCATTTAAACGACTTCGAAGAAATGTTCGGCCATCTGAACAAAAATCTGCATGAGACTAAAATTAATTTTTTAGAACTTTCAGAGTCTCCTAAAACAAACCACGGTTAAAGGAAAAACAGCAGAAAAGAGTAACCAAGAAACCAAAAATATAACTAAACCAAGACCAGAAAATATTATGGCCCCTTTTCGAGATTGACGGCAAAATGCAATAACACCCGCAAAAAGTACTGCACACATGATTAATTGAAGTATAAGACAAAGAAGCCATCTAAATTTAAATTGATTTTAATGATAAGTTATATCCATCCAGTTTTAGAGTTTAAAATAGAATCAAGGGATAAAGTTAAAGTTGACAATATAAAATGATATAATAATGATAATTTATTAAATAGATTCTAATAAATTATTAAATAGATTCTACAAAATCATTAATGTATAAAGAGGTGCTTACAAAACCCTTACTGTGTCAATAATACAATAGTTTCCGTATTGTTAAAAAATATCAAGAAGGAATCAGATTAGTCCAGATTTTAACCCTACTAGGTTCAAGTAATGGTTAATCCAAAGATTTGTAATTAAAAAAAGAATATTCATTTTCTCTTTAAATTTAAAACAAAAGAAACCTTTCAAATTCAATCCGTTCAGCATTTCTTTTAGTATTATCCAAAAAGTGTGTATCAAATAAAATAATCGAAGTTCTCGTTAATTGTTGTTTCAATTCATCTATTTTGTCTGATAATTCTGTTAAAAGAGCATCGGCCTCTCGAATTTGCTTTAAATATTTTTAAATTATTTTTAAAAATTATTCATTTATTCTCACTGTTTGGTTAATATTTTTATGTGCTCTACTTTTTCTTTCAATTAAAATAGTTAATTCATCAACATGTTCACTTAACTGCCATTGAGAGTGATTAAGTTTTTGTGTCTTAAATTTAAAAAATAAATTGAGGAATAATATTTATTTACACAATTATTACTAAAGTTTTTAAACCCTCTATTTCCTAATATATCGTGGGAAGGATATGAGAAATATGGAGAGTTTATGAAAAATTAACCAGAAAGTTAACCAGATTTTTCTGCAGGAAAGGGGATTGAAAGCCTAATTTTAAGTTAATGATATTTAAAAATTTTTTTAGTTTTTCAAAAATATTTTTAGGAAAGAGATAATCTCATCAAATACTGACAGTAATTTCTCCAAGAAATCTTTTTTCAAAAAAAAAACCTGAATAGCAGCCCTTCTCAATCCATCATTTAAATGTCCAAGTCCATCAAGAGAACTTTGAACACTTTTATTAAAAATTTCATTTCCAAACAAACAAGCCCCCATAAGTGAAAAACAAAGAATGCTGACAATAAACAAAGCTAAGGAAAGTCTGTCAATACGTTTACGAGAATTTCGTTGTGGGCCATTAGAACGATGTGCAAAGCAACATTGAGCTACCCAAACAATTACTGTTGCCAATAGAAAAAGTAATGCTAATGCAAGTCCAAAAGCGCAAAACACAACGAGGGACTTGAAAATTTGTTTGTAAATTAATTTTACAAATTTTAACAAAAAATTAAGGAAGAAAGAAAAATAATTAATAATTTTTGTGGACATTTGTATTTTTATTGGACTGGGCTAAAATCATTTCTGGCAATTCTTGTTTGGAATATTTTGAAGATTAATTTGAAAGATTAATTTGAAAATATATTAGGAATTTGAAAGAGAAGGGTTTCATGAATACTGAGATTAAGGATATAGCGTTTCTCATCTAGGTATTTTTGAGATTCAAGCTGTAGTTACGGGAATTTTCCAAAATTAATTTCCAACTCTTACCGGAAATGGAGTTGAGTATATATAGATATCGAAATCATATTGAGAAATAATTATCTCTCTCTTTTTAATACAATCCAAAATTTATAATTTTATTCCAAAATTCAATTAAAATTACCTGCATATATTCTCCATTTGGATCAATATCGAAAGGGGTATCATGCCGAAGTCGATTAAAACGAAAATCAAAGTGGGGTAAATTATGTATTAAATTTAGTAGTTTATCAGCGAAATTTCTTCCGCTCATAGCGGAAAAGAAAAAAATAAGCTTTATTATTGAATATTATTAAAAATTAATGTAATCTGTAATAATTTAATATTATATAAGTAAAGATTATTAAACAATCTTTTAATTTTTTGGAATAATTTGAATAAATATTAATTTGATGATATTAAACTAGAAAATTCGAAAGTGAAGGGTTAACCCCCAAAACACGCAAAAAACTATAGAGGATATCATTTTCTGACAATTCTCGTCCTTAAAAACTACGGGGTATTTAAATTGTGTAAATATTCTTAAAAAGTACTTTTTAAAAAATATTTTTTAAAAGTAAAAGAGATTGAAATAATATACAAAAAGAATCGCTTTTTTGCGCAATTTTTTAAGCCATTTAACACAAAATTCAAAACAATTCTTCCCGACCTAGTAAGTCATATGTACACACAAATGACTAATTGCAAATATATATTTCCAGACAAACACACAAACAACCCTCTCAATCGATCGGTTCCACCCAATAATGTTCCCCTCAAACCCCCCATACTCCCCCCCCCAATCTATCGTTATTCTTCTATAAAAACGTTCCTCCTTTACCTTCCCCACTACTTTTTACACCAAAAATAGCCCCAAAAATACACCAAACCTTTACTAAACAGATTTATTTTTTTAGGTTTTCCTTTCTTTTATCCGCAAATCAAAATAAATTTATGCAGAAATTTTGGAAAAAGCCAAAATTTTTAAAAAATTAAAATTTTTCAATGCTTTTTTCCTTTTAACCCCTCTCAATTAAAGTAGAAAATAAGAATAATATTTTCAAGTTTTTATTTACAATTAAGATAATCTTATTTTGCGGAATAAAAAAATTAAAGAAAAACTTAAAAAGATAATAAGCAGCACTAAACGGATTGAATGGGGGAAAGAGACGGGAGATTTTGTACTTTATTTAAATGTTTATTTTTTTAAGTTTATGTCTGAAATATTATTTTTTATAAATTAAAAATTAGAAATAATTTTGGTTAAAATATGTAAAATTTGGAATAATTTAGAGAAAATAAATATTTAAATAATTTGAATAAAAAACATTAATTTATGTTAAAGCTTAAAAATAATTTTTAATGTTTTGTAGATAATTTTTTTGTTAATTTTAAATACATAATTAAATAAATATTTATTTATTTTATTCTTTACCATCAATCAGTTTTATTTTTTTCTTTCAATAATTCTCAACAAACAATGTACTCTTATTTTTGCAAAAAAACACAACAAAAAAATAAAACTTTTTTAGTGATCTTCAAAATATTTTTTTTCTTGAGAAAAAATGATTGACATAAAAAATACACATTTCTTTTATTTTTTTATTACTTTTATTTATTTAATATTTTAGAGTAAACATTTTAAAGAAATAATAGTATTTTAATGTGAAAATGAGGTTATTAAATATATTTGAATATAAGTTCCTTTTATTTACTGAAAATATATGCGCGGGATTTGCACAATTCAATGCATTTCTAATTTATTATTTTGTATTTATATTTTGAAGAAAAGAAAAATATTTTAATTGAAAATGAATAAAATTAAAGTAAAAGAACTGATCAAGCAGAAAAAAAGAAAAAATAAAATAAAGAAAGAGATAAAATCTTTTTTTACAAAAATTAATTAATAATTTAATTGTTTAGTAAATAAATTTTTCTTCCCTAAAGTTAAAAAAGGAGGAAGAGGGGAGAATAATTACAGGAGAGTCGGCCATTTATGGAATAATGAGAACAAACTTAATAAAAAGGGTAAAATAATTGAGAAAAGAAATAATAATTAAAATTAGATTTAATCAACAAATGTTCATCTTTGTATACTTTAATCGGGAAATATAACTAGTGAGTGGTCAATTAAGGTCAAAAAATATTAAATGACCTTCAATCATAATTTTTAGTTAGTTTACAATTTATCTTTTAAATGAGAAAATAAATATTTTTAACAATTTCTTTTAAAAAATAAAACAATTTTAATAAAAATTATGTCCAAAGATTAATTTAAAAATTCTCATCATTTTTTAATTTTAATTTTTTTAAAAATTTAAATAAAGCCAAGCTGCGCAATATATTTGCGGGCAGCTGCTTTTGTTTTAGATCCTTTAAATTAATTGTTTGGAAGAAAATATTAGTAAATAAAAATCTAAAATTTAAGAGAAAAAAATTAATTAATTAATTAAAAAATTACAATAATTAAGGGAATCAATTAAATAACTAAAATTTAAATTTTTATATTAGGAAAGATAAAAAAAATATTTAATTATCTAATTTAAATGGAAATTATAAAAATATTTTCAAAAATGTTTTTTGATGTTTAAATTTCTAAAGAATATATTTATTTATAGAATTTATTTTAGAAAAAAAGGAAACACATGAATGAATTTGCCAAAACCAATAAATTTTGAAAAAAATTTAGAAAGAGAAAATTCTAAAATTTATATGACGATTTAAAATAAAAGTTCTTTAAATTAAATAAGTATTTACGCAAAATTATTGGACGTAAAATGGATGTTGATATCCAATAAAAACATAAATAAATATTTACGTCTTTTTCTGTTAAATGATTATAACTAACTTTTAAAAAAATATTAAATTAGTTTAAAGGGAAAAACTAAAAAAAATACATATGTACAAAAATTAAAGCTTTGAGCCATAAAAATAAAAAATAATAAAAAGGAAAAACCTGTCAGCCAAACAAATGAAAAGAAAAAATATTTTCTCGCCTTATTCTTTGCTCGTTTTTTATTTACTCTTTCCCCCATAATTACAGGCTTGCTTCCATGCTTTTTCAAGCATTGCTTTACTTCTAGTATTTATTTTATTGGCCAAGAGTTTATAAGATGAAGGTAAAAAGGAAAAAATCGATAAAAAATGAATTGGAATAAAAAAAGAATAATTTTTGAGTTTAAAAATTTTTTAGAAGCAATTTCGAACTATTTTGAGGCATTTTTTGATTAATTTAATTTATAAGTAATTCATTTATTCAGACATAATTGATTAAACTAGGGTATCACCCCGTCACCCGACTTCGACGGATTTTTTTGGCAAAAACCCCGACCCGAACCCCGAAGGCTTTACTCTTGGCCAATTTTTAAGAAAAAAATTAAAGTACTCGAACTATATTCAATTTTATTACTTTGACCATACCAATAAAAAAACTCAACAATTAAACATGTCCTAGGGGCCCTACTAGTTTGTCGACAAAAAGTACCCCTTTTCTCCTTTTTCTACCCTATCATTTAACAAAAATTTAATTTTCCACTTATTTTACTTTATTTCCTTAAACTGGCTTTAATTTAATTTTCTGCTAAAAAAGTTTTAGCTAAGGGAAAATAAATTAAAAAAGTGAGAAAAGTAGTAAAATATAGAAATTGTAAAAACAAGGAATGGATGGACATGTAGTTGTTGTAGAATAACTTTTATGTATGTCAGTTACATCCACAAAAGTCCAAAGTTTTTTTTTCTTGTTTTTTTTCATCTCACATTACTACAATTCCTTCTCAGAGTGAGAAGCTTTTCATTGTTTAAATGAATTTATTATGCGGAGAAAATCTTTGATGTGTTAAAAATTTGTGTAAAACACGAGAAAAAATAGAGCAAAAAATTAAATGAAAAATGTAATCCATAAATAATAATTATTGGATTAAATAAAGAGATGAAACAAAGAATTATTAAAAATATTTTTTAAAATTAAAAATAAAGAGGGGCAACCAGAAAATCTTTATTTCAACATAACTGTTTTCTTCGATTAAATATTTTTTATAACTTTTTGTTTATTTTGTAGTCAAATTAATGCCCATCAGATTTTAAAATTAAAGATTTCTTGATTGGGAATGAGAATTCAACATAGGAAATTAATTTTCTCATTTTGTGAGGGTAACACGCAACAGCTGAAGAGAATCACAAAATATTAGGAAAAAATGATTAGAAAGTGGATGTATCGATACTTAATAAAGATAAATTATAAAATTTATTTAAAATATTTTAAAAGGCAAGAAAATAAAATAAAGCCGTGTTGCCTATCACTAAACTTGTATTTATTATTACTTTTTAAATACTTGTTAGCCACAAAACTAAAAATGTACATAAATTATTTAAAAACGCGTAGGTGAAAAAAGTTAATTTAATATGAAAGTAAATAAATATCATAAAAAATCCCATAAAAAATAATTGAATAAAAATGTAAATAAAATAGTAGATTATGTACATACATATTAACATAAAGCATTAGTTGAGTATATTATTTTTATATTTTGGTGAATTAACAATTCGAAGGCGGATCGGAACTACGTCTTACGACTTCTGACGTTTTTACTCTTTCGAGTTGCGTAACTCCCGGCTGTTCTGATCCACCTTTTATGGCTGTTCTAATCCACCGTGTATATGTATATCTATGATGAGATAGTATACATATAAACGAAATATGTTTTATAAACTGGGGATCTTGTTTACTTTACGTTTTCAAGTAAATGGATAAAATTTAACATTTTTTTAAAAATTAGTTGAAAATAGTAAAATCCACACAACCTATGGCATCGTATGGTTGGATAAAAGAATAGTATATTCGGTGGAAAATAAATATGAGATCGATGGCCGTTATAATGATTGAGTGTGCATTTGGGGGACATTTATGAGTGAGAAAGGATTGTGTTTGGCTGCTGTGCAAATAACCCAAAGCAAAGAATGGACAAAAAAGAGCGGCAGAAAGATGACCGCTGTGAAGAGAATGACCGGCATATATCTGCCATTTTGTGGTGAAGCATCGAGAATTTTGAAAGAAGACTGAGAATATAATATATAGAATGTAGTAAGTACGTGTCAGGGCAATTCATTCCCTGTCCAAAATATCCTCTAAGAAACTAGAGGAATAGTCAAGGATAGTTCATTTTGGGTGAACATCTCTCAAAAAATGCTTATTTAATAGTAGGGTTGTTGGTTTCGAACTGACATAAGCCGATCTAGCTTTTTCGGTTCGGGTCGGTTACCGAAGACGAACCTCCTAATAGTCCAGTAAATAAACTGACATTTGTCAGACTGTATTTTTTAGACTATTTTTTGGAGGGATGCCAAAGCATCAATTGCTAAGGAATTGTTTCCAATATGTACATATGTATATGCTTTTAATTCTTTAGTTAGGAAAAATTAAAAGCGTGAAATAAAAGACTAGGCCGTTACTATTATTTTTCGGCACAGAATGGCCTCTGGCCATGAAGAAATAGAAAATTGTGCCACGGCACTAACCGCCAATACTTGGATTATATTAAATATTTTAGGTACATATGAGATTAAAAAAACAAGGAGAAAACATCGTAAAAGTTGGGAGTGAAAATTTAAAAAAATTCCTTATTTCCTTATTTTTTTGAGAGGATCTTGACTAGGCAATATCTATAATAAAATAATTAAAAATATTTTTTCGATTTTCTTTCACAATAATTTACTCTTTTACCCCACATATGTCTATTCCCTCCCCTCCCTTCTCCATTAAAATTGATTTTATTTTTTATTTGCGCATCACACATTTGCCTATTACCAGTCAATGTCAAGATTGACAGTAAGTGCCTGTTTGCCTTTAAAAACCTGTTTTTAATTTAAAATTTTATAGGATTTAGACTCGCAATTCCTTTTTTTGTTATTCTCGTTTTTAAAATTTTAAAAGTGCTGCGCAACATAAAAATATATAATTGAGAATAAAGGTCGAGTTGAAAGGATTGAAAGGAAATTTTGGATTGAAAGTGTTTTAATGAAAAAGGATTGGTAAATGCTTTTATTTAAAATTATTGGAAAAAATATTTAAAATTTCTTGGGGAAATTATTTTACGAGAAAAATAAGTTTGAACAATTTTAAATTGCAAAAAACAGAATTGCATATTTTTGAAAATAAACTACCAGTCTCTAAGGAAAATAAAAAGAAATAATAACTAAATAAAATATACATACATATATTTTCTTTTTGTTATTTAAAAACGTGTTTTTCTTTTAAAATTTAAATGAAAATTTTCATTTTCTCACATAATTAGTGAAGTTTTGATAAAATTAAAATAAATGAAAGAATCAAAAGTGAACACTGTAGAATTTCTTTTTTTTATTTTAAAGTTGGAAAGGGAAATGAAAAAGTTTGGCTTTAATTTTCTTAAGAAAGAAAAGAAAGTTTTTAAAAATTTAAAAGAATTTTTTAAAAGAACACTGTTTAAAAAAATATATTTAGATAACTAAACTTTTATTCTATCAAAATAAAATATAAAATTTAAAATATTTACCAATTCAAATGTTAAAATGCCGTCCAAAAAAAGAAAACAAAACTTTTCAAAAGTGAGCAAAGAAGGAATATATAAATTAATGGAAAATTAAAATTTATTTTCTTTGGGAAGGTCTCGAGAGAAATTCATTTAAAATCCTAAAAATTATTTTCTCTTTTCATTGCTTCTTCCCTGTCCAAGTATTCATTGTTCGATTAAATCCAAAATATTCCATGAAAGCAGTTGCCGCTTTTGTTGGAAATATTCTTTAAAAAAAGAATTATTAAAGATAATTTTTGTATTCAACAATTACCCTTTTAATGCAATCAAAAAATAAGTTGCTCTAGGTAAGTAAAGCTCATCTGCATCTGTCAATACTGCACCAATTATTTTTTTGACAACATAATTTGGGTCGAGAATTGGAAAGAAGTAGGGGGTGCTTAAATTGAAATATATAATTTTTAAATTTAAAAAAAATTAGAGAAAGTTTTAGAGGAAAGGTTACCCTAAAAGGAATCTCTGTTGTAAATGTGAGGTTATGGGAAATTGGATTAAAAAAAGACAAGGTTAAGTACATAAACAGTGCTTGGAAATTTCAGATTTGCTCGTACTCGTAAATTGTATCTGTTTATTTTTGGCCTCGTAACTCGTACTTCATACAAGCCTATTTTTTACTCGTACTCGTATTTCGTACTTAATTACGACTACGAATTTTGGTACGAGCTTATAAGCACTGTATATAACTTGTAATTTTCTATTTTTAATTTTGTTTGGAGAGTTTAGGATTTAAATTTAAGAAATTCATTAAAAAAATAAATTTCTAACAAAGTTTTAACGCCGTCAAACATTCCAGTGTTTACATAATAAGGGCAAACAGTAGTCACAGTTATAGGCAATCCTTGACTTAATAATTCTGAACGAAGTGCTTCACTAAGTCCAACAGCTCCATGCTTGCTAGCACAATAGTCAACTAAACCATTAATTCCTGCCAATCCAGCCAAAGAAGCAACATTCACAATATGTCCTAAAAAATTCTTTTTTGGAAATTTTTATAAAATGAAAATTTGCCTCGACGTCTTTCAATCATTGCAGGAAGAAATGATTTAATTGTCTTTAAAAAATATTTTTTAAATTTAATATTTTTAATTTTACAAAGAAAAGAGCATTGCAATTAACAGCCATAGTTTTTTCCATTAATTCATCTTGACAATCAAAAATCTTCTTTCCACTAACAATACCAGCATTATTAATTAAAATGTCTATATCCCCAACTTCTTTTTTGACTTGTTCAGCTAAAACATAAATTTGTTTTCTGTCAGACAAATCAATCTGATATGCTGCCGACTTTAAAAAATAATTATTTTCTTTATTAATTTAAAAAAACTATTTAATCCCCAAAAATTCCCAAAACCTATTAGCCCCTCTCTATTCTAATTAGCCTGTTCAGAAAGTCAAACAATCAAATTATTGACTGAAATAGGCCCCATTCATCTTTTAATGTGCCCACTTTTATAAGCTTATTGCAAGCCTTTTATCAAAAAAAGTGTTTATCAATTAAACACCCACTTGAATGCCCAAATCGTCAAGAATCCCCTTTGTTTCCAAATTCATCTTTTCGTCAATGTCCCAAAGCACAATACGTCCACCAAGTTTCCCAAACTTAATTAAAAATATATTTTTTTTATTTCTCAATTAATTCACCTCAATAGCCATTAATCTCCCCATTCCACTTCCCGATCCAGTAATTAAAATAGTCTGTCCTTTAATTGACTTTTTTGGTAAAAATTTAGTAGGCAAAATAGATTTAATCATGGCCAAAACTGATGAAGTTATAACAGTCCAAAGCATTTGAAAAAATAGAGGAAAACTTTGCTGCATAAACATTGCACCGGGGAATAATACAAAAGCTTAAAATTGAAAAATAATTAAAGAAAAAATTAAAAAAAAAAGAAAAAATTCAAATGCTCAAGATAAGAAGGACATTAGCGGTTTTTTAGTGTTTTACCCCAAAAATTTTAAATAATTTTTTAAATTTTTTAAGAATTGAAAAATCTAATGAAAAAAGAGAAATTTAGCATAAAAAGGAAATTTCTTGGGTAAAATATGCAGAAAAACAATAGGGAAATCAATAAAATATCCAGCCAAACAGGCACAATTACTTTTATTTTTTTATTATTTGTCAGCACATTTTAACCAATTGGCCGTATTTTTATCGGAAAAATTATTTTATAGTTGTTATCCTGACTAATGTTTGCTCCGGTTGGAAATAAAAAATTAAAAATAAATGATAGTAATTAGTAATTTTGGAAAAGAAATGAAAAAATAATTAAAAAGTATAGGGTTTTAAAGAAATGATAAAAAAAGGGGGAGGGGGGGGGGTTTGTTGTGAATACTAGAGAACGAGATTTTTGAAAAGCCTGGGCCTGTTCCTGTGTTCCGGGTTTGATTTATTGACCTGGGCTGGATCCTGGGCCTGTAGTCCAGGAAAAACCCAGGAAGGTCAAAAATCCCTGGGTACAGGGAAAACTCAGGCCTTGGTCCAGGCCCAGCTCGATCTCCAGTGAATACTCTGGAATTTCAGGAGAGATTTTGTTTACTCTTGAATTAATCAAAAATTTGTTTGTCCACAGCTGGGAGCAAATGGATATTTCGGAGAATTGATTAAAAATTTATTTTTACTATTTTAAGAAACCTGTTGATTTTTTAATTACCTTTAAACAACAAAAAACACAAACTATAGAAAATTTCTTTTTTAAAATAATAAAAAAGTTTAATTTAAACGCGAGACAGACAATTACTTTTTAAATTAGTTTAATGTTTATTAATCTACTAAAAATAAATAATAAAACTACCCACAAAATAAAATAATTCCAAAAATTGTAGTCTCATTCCATTGATTAATATTTTTGTCTAAAACATTATTTGACAAGGTTGTTAAGTTTGTTTTGTTAATAGATTCGAGGATTTCCATTTTTTGGATATTAAATTGAAAGCTAAAATATTAAAAAAATTTCTCTATAATTTTTTAAAATTAAAAAATAAATTAAGCAAGTTTTAGAAAATAAGACAAAAAAAGATTATATTTTTATTGGGAGTTTTATTTAAGAAAACAATTTGTATATTTGAAAAGACATTGACACTTAAAGGTTATTTTTGAATTGAGCGCGCTTAAATTAATATTAGTAATTATTTTTATGATTTTAATTTTACCTCCTAAAATTTATTTGAATAAAAAAGTCTAAATATTTTCTAATAAAATTTTTTTTAAATATTATATTTAATTTATTATAGCTTTTTCTAGAATGAAAAAATAATTTTTGCACATCAAAAATATTGTTTGAAAACAAAATGGAATGGACTTTGCTAAATTGGTAGGTAAGAAACTATATTTATTTTTTGTTTATTTTTTTTATTACCCAGTTGATTGAAAGAATTCTTTTAAATATTTGAAAATATTTAAAAGGGAAGAGAGGAGTGGTTGCGCGAGAATAGAAGAGACCTTTTAAATTAAATAAATACATATAATCCTTCCGAAATCATCGATCAAATACCTAGAAATAACTTTCTCGAGCACGAGACTAAATAAGTCTAGAATAAAAAATTAAAAGGGTAATTGTTAAATTATTTTAATTTTATACATAGGCGTATTTAAAATTGAAGAATGTTTTAAAAATGTTGTTTTAAAAACGAGAAACTCAAAATAATCGAATAACCGATAAAAACTATTTAACCGAAAAAGTGTCGTAGACTACGTTATCGTTATAAACCGTCCAAGTATTGGTGGACCACGTCAAGATGACTGTCGTCGACCACGACCACTCGTCGACGTCAAGATTACTGTCGTCGACAACTACCACGTCAAGATGACTGTCGTCGACCACGACCACTCGTCGACTACGACTACTCGTCGCCACGACCACGTCAAGATGACTGTCGTCGACCACGACCACGTCAAGATTACTGTCGTCGACTACGACCACGTCAAGATGACTGTCGTCGACCACGACAAGATTACTGTCGTCGACCACGACCACGTCAAGATTACTGTCGTCGACCACGACCACGTCAAGATGACTGTCGTCGACTACGACCACGTCAAGATTACTGTCGTCGACCACGACCGCGTCAAGATGCTGTCGTCGACCACGACCACTCGTCGAACACGACCACTCGTCGACCACGACTACTCGTCGCCACGACAACGTCAAGACGATTGTCGTCGACCACGACCACTCGTCGAACACGACCACTCGTCGACCACGACCACTCGTCGACCACGACTACTCGTCGCCACGACAACGACAAGATGACTGTCGTCGACCACGACCACGTCAAGATTATTGTCGTCGACCAAGACCACGTCAAGATGACTGTCGTCGACTTCGACCACGTCAAGATGACGTCGTCGACCACGACCACGACAAGATGACTGTCGTCGACCACGTCAGGATGACCACGTCAAGTTGACGAAACTCTCATTGACAACATCAGGTAGATAATGTCAAGAATATGAAGCTTTTTCTAGAGTGTTCAAGAGTCATTGTTCTTAATCACATTTTTAAAGTTTTCAAGTTAAGAAATGCTCAAAAATATCGAGATCAAGATTGACATGCCACAAGATTAAACACGAAAGTGTCTCGATCTTTTACCTAATACCTATGTATGTTTCTGCAGCATCTTCTAAATGCATAATTAAATATTTATTAAAAAAATTGAACACTTAGAATACAATATTTTCTCGTATTTCTTTTATAATTTATTCATTTTTTATATTTTGTATTTCCTCATTTGTCCATTTTAGGTTATTTCTTAATTTAATAAACATAAACATTGGAATTAGTAGACAAATTGCTCCAAATGAATAACTTAGAGTTGGCCCAAACATCCAAAATACTTTTAAAAAGTTTAGGGAAATTGTTTAAATTTTTAAGTTAAATATTTATAAATTAGAATTTTTGATGTTAACTTACAAGTAGAACCAAGTAAAGGACCAAAAGCGCGAGAGAGAGCACCTACAGAGCGAAATATTCCGAGAAAAGCACCTTAATTAAAGGAAACGTTTAACAAGTTGAATGTCTTTGGAGAATATTTTTGAAATCCCAAAAATATGTACCTCTTTGGGTTTGTTCACAATATCTCGAAAACAATGCTGTCAATGAAGGAACAACCGTTGCCGATGCTTTTAAAAATTAATTTTATTTTGAATTAATTTTAAAAATTTAAATACAAATTGAATAAAATAAAAGTCCAGTGTATAACAAAAATTCAGAATTAGCTATAGCCATAAATAAATAAGCTGGTACAATTGCTATTAAACCAAAAAGTGCACATTTTGATTGAGCTTTGGAGGTAGAAGGTGATCGACGAACAAAAACTCCTTTCAAATTTTTCTTTAAAAAAATTTTTTTCTAAATTAAAGAAAACCCTGTATTAAAAGCATACAAATTCCAGAAATTAAATAAAGTTTTCCTTGTTGTCTACTATCGTAATAAAAACGAATATGAGTTAAAAACCCTAAAGTAAATTCTAATGCTGAAAAGAAGAGAAGAAATGAAAAATAAATAAGAGAAATTGAATTTAATAAAAATTTGTTGGAAGGAATGTCTTCTGATTTTTTAGAACTTTTTGGTGTTGAAAGTGGATTAATAAATGTCCAGAGAGAATAATCTTGATTTGATGTTTTCTAAATTTAAATTTAGTATAAGGAAGTTTGAAATGTTTAATTTTTATAAAAAGTAAACTGTTAGGGTACACCCCAAGGTACCGCAGAGCTATAACGTCGTTGAAAGTCCCTGTTATTGTCAGATGCACCTCGGCGAGCTGAATCGAACTCTACCAGGCCGTCCCGGATTCAACAATTCTGAACGACGTTATAGCTGTGCGGTACCTTGGTCTCGTTACCTTGGCCTGCTCCCGTCTAGTTATCCTTTACTCTCTGATTTTTTTAAATTTATTTTTTAATTTTGTTTGTTTTTAAATTTTATTTTTTAATAAAATTAATTTACTCACATTTTTTCTTTTCTCCTCATTATTTTTCAAAGTTTCAGGTAGAAATATTAAAAGAATTAAAGCTTCAAGTATAGTTAGGACAATAGCTAAATATGCTGGTCTAGAATTGAATTGGTCATTATCACGTCCATGTAAAGACAAACAAGCACCTATTGATGGGCCAGCAATAAAAGCAAGAGAAAAACAGGCACCGACTAAAGCCTTTAAAAATAATTATTTAATATAGTAATTATTTCCTTATAACAACCATTCCTTTCCCTCTACGTTCATCTGGCAGTAAATCAGTCACAATTGCAATGGCAAGAGATATCGAAGCTTTGCTTAACCCTCCAATTAAACGAGAGAAGAAAAACAACGAAAAACTTAATCCAGAAATAGACCAAAACTTTAAAGATAAATCAAAATAATGGCCGGTAATTTTTAATTAATAACCGAATAAGAAATTAAAGATCCAAAAACGGCAAACAATAAAAGAGGTTTTCTTCCATATTTATCAGAAAAAGCTCCAAAAATCGGAGAGGATAAAAATTGAAGAAAAGAGAAAAGTGAGCCTAATATTCCGCCAAAGAAAACATTATTGTAACGATCGAGGGAAGGAACGTTTAAAATTGATTGAATATAGCCACTTAATTGTGAAAATGTTGAGAATAAAGGATCCTGAAAAATTAAGAGAAAATTTTGTATTTAATTTTTAAAATATAAATTGTGTGATTATTTGACTCAGAAAAGATCTGTTAAGTTTACTTGCAAGCAGAGCTGCGTCGAAATTTCGATTTTCAACCCTCGATTTTCGAATTTAGACGTTTTTTCTACCGATTTTCGATTTCCGAATTTCGAAGATTTTTTTATTCCGACGCAGCTCTGCTTGCAAGGTAATCGGTTAGTCTATTATGTAATTTAAAATTTTTCGAGGTTTATAAAATTTTTCTAAATTATTTTCTCAAACTTTAATAAAGATTATTTTCAAATAAATAAATATTTATTTTTATTTAACAAACATTATTTTTTTGTTGTAATTTAGAAAAATGTTCAAGAATCGAAGGAAATAAAGGAAGAATTAATGTAAAAGCCAACAAATCCAAAAATAGAGCAAAAATTAATATACCAAGAATTAAATTTTCACTCATACTTTTTTATATTTTGAATACAAATATTAAAATTGATTGAATAAATAAATAAATTTTGAATTACATAAGTTTTATTTCCTTTGTGGGAAGGAAAATTGAAGAAAATCAATTTTTAAAATTAAATTCAAACTTTAATTTCTTTAAAAATTATTTTTAGAATTGATCGCCGGTGGCAAATAAATAAATAAATATTCTTTGCGAGTGAAAGAATATTCGATTGAATGAAAAGAACACTGAAAAAGGTTTTGCTGCAGAAATTACATGGAAAAGCCGGTTTTGAGAGAAAAAACTGGTTCTGAAATGGTGACTAATTTAATTTTTAGTTTTTTAAGAAAATAATTTTAAAAATTAAATTTAAATTAAAAATTAATATATATATTTAACAATAATTAACACTTAAATTTCAAATAAAAATCCTTTACTTTTTTTTAATTCTAAAATTTCCCACTTAATACATAAAAGTTAATCAAATATTCTTTGACAAACAAAAAATTAAACCTTTTATTTTATAATTGTTAAAATTTTATTCAATAAATTTATTTCTAAAAGTACATTTGTATAAAATAAAGCTTTTTATAAAAAGTGTCAGTCTTTGAATTCTTTTAATTAAACTTAAATTTAAATTAGCAAATTATAGTTTCCCGTCTAAAATGAGTAACAAGCTTTAACACGCAGCAATTCCTTTAAATAAAATAAAAAAAATTAATTGAAATTCGAACAGTAAATGCTCAAAAAATGATTGTAATATGTATCAGAATAAAGAGGCTGTCTCGACATCGTTACTAGAATTTACCAATACTGAATAAGAACGTAACCAAATAACTGGGTACAAAATATCTTTAAATTTCAACAAAAGCTCTTTACCTAAATTTTTAACATTTAAATAATTAAAAAAATAAAAATTAAAAACTTTTTTAAAAATTTCTTTACTAAACATTACTTTAATAAAAAAAATTAATCATTTTTTCTTTATATTTTATTTCTTCTTTTCTAATGAGTAAACATCAAATATATAATTATATTAAGGCAGGTTTATCAGCTAATAAATAACACAAATACTTCACTATTACAATTTTTCTTTGTAAATGTTATTGTTGTTGTTGTTGACTAGTGTTTGGCTAAATCATTCTCTCCCTTTCTTATGTTTTTACCGATCGATGGGACTGAGATTTGTTTTCATTAAAATTTAATTTTTATTTTTAAAATTATTTCTTATGACGTAATGAGGGCTCTACATATTTATCTCCTTGTTCAAAACCATCTAAGTTTCGAGGAGGAGATATTATAATAAATATTTCCTTTTCTGTTTCTTTTCTTTCACTAGAGACTATTTTAGGAATTATAGAGAAAGTTTTTCATATACTATAATTTTTAGATTTTTAAATTTTCTTAACTTTTTATTTTTTCCACCTTCCGAAATGCATTCCAATCATTCATTGTGTTTTTCCTTAATATTATATTAAAATACCAAAATCATTCAAAAAGACATGCTCATACATTATTGTTGACAGCTCTAAATGATTGGAAGAAAACGAGAGCAAAAACCAATTTTCATTTTATTATTTATTATCTTTTAACATTCTATAAATATTTTTTTTTAATTTCATTATTTTTTTGTGGTATTAAATACTAGATTTGTTCTACATACAAAATTATTCCTCTATCACAATCCTGAAAATTTATCTTTCCAACATTCATGATTACCGAAAGTGTTATTTTTATAAAAATTGTCGAACGAGATATCTTCTTTACATTTATCCTTTACAAAATTTTATAAACATTTTTTTGATTCTCGTTTATTTAAGTAAATTGTATAATAAATTATCTAAATTTTATGGATTAAAAAAGGAAAACAAAAAAATAATTTGTAATTTATTTATTTATTTTACGAGAATGTATATTAACTCTCATGGGAGGAATATATACACGTAAAATATTATTTTTGCAGGGTGGCGATGAATTTAAGAGAAAAAAAAATAAAAAGCAAAAATAGAACTGTTATTTACATTTATTTTTTTTTCATTTTTTATTATTGATAAGCAAAATGTCGAGAATGGGGAAGAAAAAATTTTTTCATTTATTCCATTTCTATTTTAGTAAATATTTAAAAAATGAAAATAAAAACAAAAATTGAAAAGAGTATTTTTTTTAATTTCTCTTTATATCTGCAGATTCGGGTGTAATAAAAATCGGAATTTGCAGAATTTTCGGTAAATTCTCTTTTAATAAGATGTAAATACCGAGTTCTCACATCCTCCCATTTTATGAAGTATCATTTATCTTAGTACGATAACGGCAAATTATAACTCATTCGACGTGGCTCGGTAAACTGAGTCAAATGTATTTTTAAAATAATTAATGAGCAGCTTCGAAAAGGCTATAATTTGGTTATTTTAACCCATACTTTTATTAAATTGACTTTGATATTTTGTAAACTTTTAGGAGAAAAAGACCTAACCTAATTTGGGCGTTTTTTTGTTAGTATTTATTTTAAATTACTTCTTTTTAGTATAATTGATTACACTTAGGTTTGTTCATCTTTTTTTTTACAAATTCGATATTATATGTATATCCCTCTTTTATTCTCTTAAATGATGATATAAACGCGCAAACAAGTAAAAAAGAAACGTTAAAATTAATACTTTTTTTACAAAATTTTTAAATTATTTTAAATTATTAAATATATTTCAGAATCTAAAATTGTTAAAAATCTCGTTTATTATAAGTAAATTTGCTTAATTTAATGTTAATTATCCCCAAAAATCACTATCACAATTCAATTCCATAACAGAATTAATTTATTGTTTCTTACTTCAAAAATGTTTAACAAATATTTTTATGTTTTATAATTGTTGATCTTAATAAGAACAGAAAAAATATGAATCATTTTCTATGAACATTATATTTATTTTCATTAAAATTCTTTTATTTATTTCTTTATAATGTAAATTAAATAGTGAAATAAAATGTCTCAATTTAGGCGTAAATAGTGAGAGAATTTAAAAGGAAAATTAAAAGCAATCATTATTTAGTTTTTTTATTATTACCTAACAGCTGCGCGGCTTTTAATAGGTAAATGAAAATAAATAAAAGGAGGGGTGAATGGAGTAAATCGGAAGTGAATAATGTAAATAAAATATTGAATGAATAAAAGAGAGAGAATATATTTTTGTTTGGTTATTGACAACCTTTTTTATGAAGAAAATTAAAAATATTTTTTTTTAAATTTTAGTTAATATATTTATTAATTTACCTAATTTATTTTCTTCTTCAAAAAAATAATGAAAGAATTATTCGAGAATTGTTGTTTAGGATATACCCAAAATGTTCAATTATTATTATTTAAAATGAGCAAAAAACAAAGTAGTAGAAGATCTCCTTTAAAGTTTGTTTTTAATTTTTAATTAAAAAGATTCATTTACATATTTTAATTTTTATTTGATCATGAGGGATATTTTAATAATAAAGTTAGTCCAAGTTGCCCTTCAAATGGTCTCTCCCCTACTGAAATAATTTAAAAAATATTTTTAAATTAATTTTTTAAAGATTTTTTCGTTTCTCTCCTTCAAATGATGACAGTCATTTCTCCAACCCCCCAACTGGCTGGTTATGTAATCTTCGTCAACCAAATACTTTACATACACTTTTACATTTGGCAGCCCTCCATGGGCATAAAGAAATTGTTCAAATTTTAATAGAAAAAGATAAACAATTAATTAAAATAAAAGATCGTCGTGGATGTCTTCCTTTGCATTTAGCTGCTTGGAATGGGCATTTAAATATTTTGGAGGTTGACAAAAATAAATTTAAATAAACAAAAATTATTTTAGATATTATTAGATTTTGAACCAAAAAGTGTGGTTAGTATAGCTATTTTTATTTAAATATTTAATTTTTAATTGTAAAGAATGAAGTAAATAATTCTCTACAGACTGCCCTTCATTTAGCTGTTCAAAATGGACATGGTCCTTCAATACTTTTTATTTTAAAGGTTTTATTGACTCAATAATTTTTGAAATAAATAAAAATTTCTTTAATTATTAAAATAAATTTTTAGAAAAATGGAAACCCAAAAATGCGCAATGCACACCATGAGAATTCTTTGGACATTGCTGTTCGAACGGGACGAGCAAATTTGTGTAGACTATTGTTGATGCATTGCCCTGAACTTCCAGTTTTGGTAAATCTTTTAAATATCGCTAAGTTGAATGAAATGTTATTTTCAATAGAAACTTGGAAATGAATTGTAAATAAATATGTACTAGGATAGTAAATTGGAGCTGAAAACTCTTTTTTCTAATACATATAATAACTGTAATTAAGTGTTGTTAAACATTTCAAACTATAAATTTTAAATTTAGAAAATAATTTTCATTTAAAAACATTTAATAATCATTAATTATTTATCTCTTTATTTCTCCAAATTATTTTAGAGTACTTCAGAGTGTTGCTCGACAACACCAGCTCATCTATCAAAATCTTCTTATTCAACCCCAATTTATCCATTACATATAGCCGCTCGAATTGGAAATGAAGATTGTTTGAAAGTTTTATTAGAAAATGGCTTTGACACAAAATATTTGGGAACAGAAGGGACTGCAGTACATATAGCTGCAATTAATGGAAATAAAAATGTTTTGAAAATATTACTTGATAATGAGGGTTAGTTAATGGAAAATAATGATTATATTAATTACAATTCTCTTTTTAGATCCCCTTTCTTTATCTTCTATTAACGTAAAAAATATTGAAGGCCTAACAGTTTTTGAATTATTAAATAAACAATTGTCTATTTTCGGTTCATCTAATGAAAAACGAATTCATGAACGTGTTCGTAGTTGGGAAGAATGCAGAAATATTATTTTAAAATATTCATCAAAAGAAAAAAGAGAGCAAATTGTAGAAAAACAAAATAATAAGGAAAATAAAAAGAATTTAATACCCAATGGTTGGACAATTCAGGCATATATTTTTAATAATGTGATTAATAATAATGAGATAATCGTCTAAAGAGTAAATTTAATTCATGTACTTATAAAGGTTGGAAACAACTTCAAAACTGACTAACATTTCTTCGATCTTTCTTATTTTCGTTTTTGCACTAAAGTTCTCAATATTTCCAGTTAAAGTACTGAATCTTAATTTAAATTTTTTGTTTTAGAAAAGTCATCCACCTTGCACAACTTCTTCTAATTCTCATTCTCCTAAACAAAGACAACCCATTAGGACTGACAACAAAACCATAACAAATACTAATATTCACAGCAATTCTCATGCTAAAAGTGATTGTCCAAATTCCACTTCCGAGGACTGCCCTTATCAGCCATTGCCAGAAGAAATTGGAAATAAATTAGAAAATAACCAACGAAAGAACATTAATGGATTTAACTATCAAAATTTGCCTAAAAGATGTTTATTGTATGATAATGCGCCTTTATCAGCTGCTGGTAGACGGTAATACTTGAAGAAACGATAAATTTTATATGCATATTATTTAGGAAATGGCAACATAATTGTTGTCATCCTCCGAATAATTCCTCTTCAAATTCTCCTCTTCCTAGAGCTGATTACCATAGTTCTAATTCAAATTTACCTCATTCAACAAAACAAAAAAATAGTAAAGAATCAAATAATTCCATAAATAAAGAAATAGAAGATGAAGAAGGTATTCGTTCACTGCCTGTTTTGTCATATAATTCCATCACAAAGTTAGCCAATTCAAACAAGTCTTCGCCGGAATCTTCTGAAGAGTAAATTTAATTTTGAAATTAAAAATTTTTCAGTTTTATTAATATTTTTTTCATTTAAACCTAAAATATTTGAGATTTTTTTCCTTCGATTTTAACTTAAAATCTAGCTTTTCCTTTAATTTTTGTTTGTCTACATAAACTAATTTTCACTTCACAGAAAATTCCCTAATCAAAAGCAGCACTCTTCTCATTTCCATTCTTCTTCTACTACTTCCTCTCCATCTTCTCCACCTCCACCACAATTATCAGAAGGATTTTCTTTAAATAATAATTTTAAAGTACTTCAACCACAACAACAAGAATATTTTACTTTACCTCCACCTCCTCCCCCTCCCCCATTCTCGTCTTTTCCTTCGCCTTCTCCTTCTTGTTCATCTGGTTCAACTCCTCATTCTCGCTTTCATTCAATGGAAGGGAAAGGAAATAATATTATTAATAATGATAAAATAAATAATAATAATTCCATCAGTCAACAACAATTAAATGACAAACAAAATGAAATTAATAACAATTTAAATAAATCTAATAATAATGATGAGGATGATGGTGGTGATAAATTTAGATGGAAAGAGGCGAATATTTTTTTAAATTAATGTTTATAATGTAGGAACGGATGGGTAGTGATCATACAAAATGATTATACAAATTAAGTTCTCACCTCAATCGGTTCATAATAAATAACACTAAAGTATGGCTTGGGTCTGAAATCAAAAATTAAGTTTGTAATAAATATGGAATTAAAAAGTTTATAGCTGTATCTTTAACTTTTTAAAAATAAATTTTCAAAAATTATTCTCTTTTATTTTAGATAGATGAAATGTTGACAGCTTTTCAACGAAATTCATTTTTTCAATCAAATATTGAAAATAATACCTCCTCCCCTCCTCCGCCTGCTACAATTAAAAATGATTTAATTACAAATTCTAAAAATCCTTCTAAAGAATTAATTGATTCTAATCAACATAAAATAATTAATTGGCTTAAAATAGAAGTGGAATTGGAGGAGGAATTAGCTGTTAGAATTGGATATTTGTTAATTAATAATGGATTCGATTGTTTTGAATTTTTGGTAAAAAATAAATATTTTAATTATTAATTGTTTTTTAAATTAACAGAAAGGCTCTTTAAATACAAAATTTATGACAGAACTTGGAATTGAAAGAAAATCTCAATTACGTATATGTCGGTGTTTGGATGAACCTTCCACACAAATAATTTGTATTCCCAATGCATGTTAGTAGATATAAATAATTATTTTTTAAATTTAAATAAATATTTAGTAATGTTCGATTCAATTTCCGATTGGCTAAAGGCTCTTAATTTGTCTGAATTATTTTCTAAATTCTCAAAAGAAAATATTACCTCAATTAAAGATTTAATTAATTTTAAATTAAATAGAAATAATTTGGAGGTAAAATACATAATTATTTGTATTTTTTATTTATAATATTTTTTTAGAAATTAGGAATAACAAAATTGGGGCATATTGCAAGAATAATTAGATCAATTGACATGGCTGTTACCTCGAATGTTAATGTTTCCAAGTATTAAGCTCGTTTTTAAATTTTAAATTTCAATATTATAGGGAAGGAGCTAGCAACACTACTAATTCAATTTCAACATCATTATTACCTTCTGATAATAAATTAAATAATAATTTATCAGAATTAAATGCCACCACTTCATTAAGTACAATATCTTCGAGTACTACTAACAATTCAATAACTTCCTCTCGAGGGATTTCTCTTTCCCCTTCAAAAGGATTGGATTTAACAACCCTTAGAATTAAATTAAGAAAAGGTTGTGTCAGGTTTTCTGCTCATTATCTTGGATCTATTGAAATTTCGAATATTTCTGATGGAAGTGAAGAATGTAGACAAACAATGCATTCAATTAAGGTATTTTTTGTTGATAGAATAAAATTACTAGGATTATTTTACAATAAAGACTTTAAGGTCCATCAATAAATCTTTAAATAATTGTTTTTATTATTTATTTTTTCTAGTCTAAAGCCAACCAAGTTTCTGGAGTACCTCAAGTTCTGTTAGATATTTCAATCTCTGGTATTAACATTCTTGATTGCCAAACAGTTTGTAATTTTATTTTAATTACAGTCTGGATTTCGGTTTTGAATACCCCCTCGTTTCTTTTCACCAAGAGGGTGTTTGAAACAGAGATCTCTAACTTTACAGAAAACACTACTTTTTAAACTTAAGCAAACAGCAATTCATCGCCATTCAATTAATCAAATACAAATTGTTTGCCAAGACAATTTGGATTTAAATTTCTTTTCGTATATTTTTAAAGATGGGGAAGAACAAAATAATTATTATTGTCATTGTTTTTGTGTTTTAACATCTGTTTAGTCTTTTAAATTTTTAAAATTTAAATTTTTTATTTTAAAGTTACTAGCAAAAGAAATAATTACAACACTTGGAGAAGCCTTTAATTTAGCTTATAAAATGGCTTTGCAACAAAATATACCTACAAATATTTAATTAAATTAATTTAATTGCTCAATTATTTTTTTTGTATTTATTAGTTTATTTATAAAAAGATAAAAATTATTTCGATTAATGAATAAAAGTGAAGTAGAAAATTATGTAATTCCAAGGTTAAAACTATAAAACAAATAGATTCTTTCCGGGATAGAAAACGAGGCTTTTTCTTAGTTTCTTTTATGATGCTAGATCTTTGTCAAAACGCAAAGGAAAAGTAAGGATTTTTTCCCAAAATTTGGAACGGATAAGAAAATAATTTTTTTGTAAAATAATTTATTCGAATAAAAAATTTTTTAAAATTTATTTCCTAATAAAATAAAAATTCCCTATTTTATTTAATTAACTTTAAAATTTATTCGATTAAATTTTTTAAGTAAGGATTTTTTCCCAAAATTTGGAACGGATAAGAAAATAATTTTTTTGTAAAATAATTTATTCGAATAAAAAATTTTTTAAAATTTATTTCCTAATAAAATAAAAATTCCCTATTTTATTTAATTAACTTTAAAATTTATTCGATTAAATTTTTTAAGTAAGGATTTTTTCCCAAAATTTGGAACGGATAAGAAAATAATTTTTTTGTAAAATAATTTATTCGAATAAAAAATTTTTTAAAATTTATTTCCTAATAAAATAAAAATTCCCTATTTTATTTAATTAACTTTAAAATTTATTCGATTAAATTTTTTAAGTAAGGATTTTTTCCCAAAATTTGGAACGGATAAGAAAATAATTTTTTTGTAAAATAATTTATTCGAATAAAAAATTTTTTAAAATTTATTTCCTAATAAAATAAAAATTCCCTATTTTATTTAATTAACTTTAAAATTTATTCGATTAAATTTTTTAAGTAAGGATTTTTTCCCAAAATTTGGAACGGATAAGAAAATAATTTTTTTGTAAAATAATTTATTCGAATAAAAAATTTTTTAAAATTTATTTCCTAATAAAATAAAAATTCCCTATTTTATTTAATTAACTTTAAAATTTATTCGATTAAATTTTTTAAGTAAGGATTTTTTCCCAAAATTTGGAACGGATAAGAAAATAATTTTTTTGTAAAATAATTTATTCGAATAAAAAATTTTTTAAAATTTATTTCCTAATAAAATAAAAATTCCCTATTTTATTTAATTAACTTTAAAATTTATTCGATTAAATTTTTTAAGTAAGGATTTTTTCCCAAAATTTGGAACGGATAAGAAAATAATTTTTTTGTAAAATAATTTATTCGAATAAAAAATTTTTTAAAATTTATTTCCTAATAAAATAAAAATTCCCTATTTTATTTAATTAACTTTAAAATTTATTCGATTAAATTTTTTAAGTAAGGATTTTTTCCCAAAATTTGGAACGGATAAGAAAATAATTTTTTTGTAAAATAATTTATTCGAATAAAAAATTTTTTAAAATTTATTTCCTAATAAAATAAAAATTCCCTATTTTATTTAATTAACTTTAAAATTTATTCGATTAAATTTTTTAAGTAAGGATTTTTTCCCAAAATTTGGAACGGATAAGAAAATAATTTTTTTGTAAAATAATTTATTCGAATAAAAAATTTTTTAAAATTTATTTCCTAATAAAATAAAAATTCCCTATTTTATTTAATTAACTTTAAAATTTATTCGATTAAATTTTTTAAGTAAGGATTTTTTCCCAAAATTTGGAACGGATAAGAAAATAATTTTTTTGTAAAATAATTTATTCGAATAAAAAATTTTTTAAAATTTATTTCCTAATAAAATAAAAATTCCCTATTTTATTTAATTAACTTTAAAATTTATTCGATTAAATTTTTTAAGTAAGGATTTTTTCCCAAAATTTGGAACGGATAAGAAAATAATTTTTTTGTAAAATAATTTATTCGAATAAAAAATTTTTTAAAATTTATTTCCTAATAAAATAAAAATTCCCTATTTTATTTAATTAACTTTAAAATTTATTCGATTAAATTTTTTAAGTAAGGATTTTTTCCCAAAATTTGGAACGGATAAGAAAATAATTTTTTTGTAAAATAATTTATTCGAATAAAAAATTTTTTAAAATTTATTTCTAATAAAATAAAAATTCCCTATTTTATTTAATTAACTTTAAAATTTATTCGATTAAATTTTTTAAGTAAGGATTTTTTCCCAAAATTTGGAACGGATAAGAAAATAATTTTTTTGTAAAATAATTTATTCGAATAAAAAATTTTTTAAAATTTATTTCCTAATAAAATAAAAATTCCCTATTTTATTTAATTAACTTTAAAATTTATTCGATTAAATTTTTTAAGTAAGGATTTTTTCCCAAAATTTGGAACGGATAAGAAAATAATTTTTTTGTAAAATAATTTATTCGAATAAAAAATTTTTTAAAATTTATTTCCTAATAAAATAAAAATTCCCTATTTTATTTAATTAACTTTAAAATTTATTCGATTAAATTTTTTAAGTAAGGATTTTTTCCCAAAATTTGGAACGGATAAGAAAATAATTTTTTTGTAAAATAATTTATTCGAATAAAAAATTTTTTAAAATTTATTTCTAATAAAATAAAAATTCCCTATTTTATTTAATTAACTTTAAAATTTATTCGATTAAATTTTTTAAGTAAGGATTTTTTCCCAAAATTTGGAACGGATAAGAAAATAATTTTTTTGTAAAATAATTTATTCGAATAAAAAATTTTTTAAAATTTATTTCCTAATAAAATAAAAATTCCCTATTTTATTTAATTAACTTTAAAATTTATTCGATTAAATTTTTTAAGTAAGGATTTTTTCCCAAAATTTGGAACGGATAAGAAAATAATTTTTTTGTAAAATAATTTATTCGAATAAAAAATTTTTTAAAATTTATTTCCTAATAAAATAAAAATTCCCTATTTTATTTAATTAACTTTAAAATTTATTCGATTAAATTTTTTAAGTAAGGATTTTTTCCCAAAATTTGGAACGGATAAGAAAATAATTTTTTTGTAAAATAATTTATTCGAATAAAAAATTTTTTAAAATTTATTTCTAATAAAATAAAAATTCCCTATTTTATTTAATTAACTTTAAAATTTATTCGATTAAATTTTTTAAGTAAGGATTTTTTCCCAAAATTTGGAACGGATAAGAAAATAATTTTTTTGTAAAATAATTTATTCGAATAAAAAATTTTTTAAAATTTATTTCCTAATAAAATAAAAATTCCCTATTTTATTTAATTAACTTTAAAATTTATTCGATTAAATTTTTTAAGTAAGGATTTTTTCCCAAAATTTGGAACGGATAAGAAAATAATTTTTTTGTAAAATAATTTATTCGAATAAAAAATTTTTTAAAATTTATTTCCTAATAAAATAAAAATTCCCTATTTTATTTAATTAACTTTAAAATTTATTCGATTAAATTTTTTAAGTAAGGATTTTTTCCCAAAATTTGGAACGGATAAGAAAATAATTTTTTTGTAAAATAATTTATTCGAATAAAAAATTTTTTAAAATTTATTTCTAATAAAATAAAAATTCCCTATTTTATTTAATTAACTTTAAAATTTATTCGATTAAATTTTTTAAGTAAGGATTTTTTCCCAAAATTTGGAACGGATAAGAAAATAATTTTTTTGTAAAATAATTTATTCGAATAAAAAATTTTTTAAAATTTATTTCCTAATAAAATAAAAATTCCCTATTTTATTTAATTAACTTTAAAATTTATTCGATTAAATTTTTTAAGTAAGGATTTTTTCCCAAAATTTGGAACGGATAAGAAAATAATTTTTTTGTAAAATAATTTATTCGAATAAAAAATTTTTTAAAATTTATTTCCTAATAAAATAAAAATTCCCTATTTTATTTAATTAACTTTAAAATTTATTCGATTAAATTTTTTAAGTAAGGATTTTTTCCCAAAATTTGGAACGGATAAGAAAATAATTTTTTTGTAAAATAATTTATTCGAATAAAAAATTTTTTAAAATTTATTTCTAATAAAATAAAAATTCCCTATTTTATTTAATTAACTTTAAAATTTATTCGATTAAATTTTTTAAGTAAGGATTTTTTCCCAAAATTTGGAACGGATAAGAAAATAATTTTTTTGTAAAATAATTTATTCGAATAAAAAATTTTTTAAAATTTATTTCCTAATAAAATAAAAATTCCCTATTTTATTTAATTAACTTTAAAATTTATTCGATTAAATTTTTTAAGTAAGGATTTTTTCCCAAAATTTGGAACGGATAAGAAAATAATTTTTTTGTAAAATAATTTATTCGAATAAAAAATTTTTTAAAATTTATTTCCTAATAAAATAAAAATTCCCTATTTTATTTAATTAACTTTAAAATTTATTCGATTAAATTTTTTAAGTAAGGATTTTTTCCCAAAATTTGGAACGGATAAGAAAATAATTTTTTTGTAAAATAATTTATTCGAATAAAAAATTTTTTAAAATTTATTTCTAATAAAATAAAAATTCCCTATTTTATTTAATTAACTTTAAAATTTATTCGATTAAATTTTTTAAGTAAGGATTTTTTCCCAAAATTTGGAACGGATAAGAAAATAATTTTTTTGTAAAATAATTTATTCGAATAAAAAATTTTTTAAAATTTATTTCCTAATAAAATAAAAATTCCCTATTTTATTTAATTAACTTTAAAATTTATTCGATTAAATTTTTTAAGTAAGGATTTTTTCCCAAAATTTGGAACGGATAAGAAAATAATTTTTTTGTAAAATAATTTATTCGAATAAAAAATTTTTTAAAATTTATTTCCTAATAAAATAAAAATTCCCTATTTTATTTAATTAACTTTAAAATTTATTCGATTAAATTTTTTAAGTAAGGATTTTTTCCCAAAATTTGGAACGGATAAGAAAATAATTTTTTTGTAAAATAATTTATTCGAATAAAAAATTTTTTAAAATTTATTTCTAATAAAATAAAAATTCCCTATTTTATTTAATTAACTTTAAAATTTATTCGATTAAATTTTTTAAGTAAGGATTTTTTCCCAAAATTTGGAACGGATAAGAAAATAATTTTTTTGTAAAATAATTTATTCGAATAAAAAATTTTTTAAAATTTATTTCCTAATAAAATAAAAATTCCCTATTTTATTTAATTAACTTTAAAATTTATTCGATTAAATTTTTTAAGTAAGGATTTTTTCCCAAAATTTGGAACGGATAAGAAAATAATTTTTTTGTAAAATAATTTATTCGAATAAAAAATTTTTTAAAATTTATTTCCTAATAAAATAAAAATTCCCTATTTTATTTAATTAACTTTAAAATTTATTCGATTAAATTTTTTAAGTAAGGATTTTTTCCCAAAATTTGGAACGGATAAGAAAATAATTTTTTTGTAAAATAATTTATTCGAATAAAAAATTTTTTAAAATTTATTTCTAATAAAATAAAAATTCCCTATTTTATTTAATTAACTTTAAAATTTATTCGATTAAATTTTTTAAGTAAGGATTTTTTCCCAAAATTTGGAACGGATAAGAAAATAATTTTTTTGTAAAATAATTTATTCGAAATCTTCTTCGAGTCATTTAATAATTTTAATTCTCTTATTTTTTTAGTAATTTTTCCTTCATTTTTATTTAATTTTCTATCGATTTTTAATATATTCTTGACAAAAATTTGATAGTGAAATTAGTTATTTCTATTAGTCAGCAGTTTCTTTTAGATAATTTTAATTTTTAGCAAAAATAATTAGTATTCTAAAATTCAACTCCAAATTCAATTTATTTTTAAAAATAATTTTTAATATTTACTTTTCATTTAAAATTCTCTCATAAATGCCATTTTTTCAATTCAGAAAAATTGAGTGGCTGACAGTTATGTGGAGTTAAGACTATAAATCAAATGGATTCTTTTCGATAGAAAACAAGTCTTTTTCTTAGTTGCGTTTATGATTCCAATTTCTTTGTCAAAACTCAAAGGAAAAAATTCCAAAAAGAGATTTTTTTTTTATTTTCAAAGCCAAATATAGAGAAAATTAATATATTATATATGTACAACATATAATGTATAATCAACAAAAAAATTCAATCCTTTTGTTCTTCTCCATCATCTATTATTTTTTCTTATATTTTTGCTTCAATTTGTTGATCTCCCTAAAATGAGAGAATTATTTTTTATAAAAAAGAACGATCATACTTATAAAGACGCTTTCCCTCAAGTTCAATTTCCTTGCATAAAGTTGAGGCAAACTGAAATTTTCCAAATTATAAAAATATTTAATTTTAAATATTACTTCTCCTATTTCCTCTTCATGTTCTTTTATCAGTTTCTTAGCCCTTTCTGTACATTCATCAACATCTTTATAAATTATATCTTCGCGCTCTTTTTTTAAAGCTTCAGAAGAATTCTTATTAACAATCCATCTGGCAGGCTTCCCATCAAACGCAAATTTGGCTCCCTATAATTAAAAAAATAAAAAAAAGTACTGTAAGAATATTAAAACTTTAGACAAGGCAACATCTCGAACTTTTGCCAAATCTGAAGAACTGAGAATTGATGGTTCTTTTAAAAACAACATTTCTGCGCAATAACCACCAAGTAAAATACTCATATAATTGTCTTTATCTGAGGGAGTGTATAATTTCTTTCCAAAAGTAAATGTGGTATGTCCAAGTAGAACTTCGTTAGCTTTTAATGTGACCTAAATTATGAATAAAAAAAAGAATTTTTAAAATAGGTATGTTACTTTTTTTAACTTAACGCCTAAAGCCAAAGCGATGTAGACGTGGCCCGTTTCATGCAGGGCTAGTCTTCTCATTTCTTCTTCCGAAAGTGATGTGTCGTTAGAGGTTTTTTTATCACCAAAGCATTCAAGAGTCATTTCATCCTCCAGTACCTCTTCACCTGTTGCAGCTAATATTTCATCTTCGTTAAATTTTAGTTCAAATTTGAAGTCATCATAATTAAAGTTTGCCTTAAAAATAAAAGATTATACGGGGGTTTAATACTGGGGTCAAAACTCGTATTATATTCCATTCGATTCCGACTAGAAACCAGGGGAGAAATAGCGAAAATCCTTTCCAGAAAGGAAAACCAGAATAATTACAAAACCCAAAAAAATGAAAACCCACTGAGGAATAAACTCAGTAAAAATTTGTTCATCTAATATATTTAACTATTCTAATCACAATTTGATTAAAAACAATCAAATTAAACAGCAATTTCGAAAAAGCAGTGGAATTGCTTTCTTTTCAATCCAAAATAAATGAATGGAATCGCGTATTATTTAAATACATACATATTATAATACGAGTTTGAACAAGTCTTGTTAACAAACCTTTTTTTTAGGTTGTTCATTTACATCATTCTCTTCATTATTTACAATAACTTCGACTTCCTTAGTTTTATCTTCTTCATAACAAATTTGTGCTTGTTCTTCCTCTTCTTCTTCTGATTTTTCATCTTCACTACCAATTTTACTGTCTTCATTGTTCACCAAAAGTTGAGAGTTGACGAAAAATATATAAATTAGCCAGACAGACCTAAGTAAATTAATAAAATAATTTCATTTATTAATAAAGACGTAAACTTACATAAGAATTAACAAGACAATAACGCCTACTAACCAAAAAATTGCGGACATAATAAATTCGTCACGAAACAATGGAAAAATTGATTAAGGGTTGTCTAATATGAAGATTTATATTTTAAATAAAAATAGACGCGTTTTTATACCCTAAAAATTCTATTTAATATTTAAATATTATATGAATGTTATCTAGTTAGAGATATGTTTGAGGACAATCATAACCAAAACAATAAATAATTTTAAAAGTAATTCTTATGGTAAGAAATAAAAAATGATTATTTTAAGTTTTTAGACAAAAATTTTTGTTATCGTAATTAACCTACGCCAGATTTAGAGGTATAATAGAACAAAAACTATTATATATTCATGAATTTCCTTATCTTATCTTTATCGTTCAACGTTAGAAAAGTTTGGGAAGAAGACTTATTGTTACATAACTTAAGCATAATAATAATAAAAATATGAAAAACAGTACTTAAAATTAAAAATTCTGTTAATAACTTTTAAACAGGGTGGGGGATTTATACTTACATACTACTGAAGTATACATAAATTAAGAAGTTTTTCGACAAAAATTTTCGTTACCGTGATTAATTTACGTAAGATTTTATATTAAAAACTTCTTTGTTAAATAATTAAATTTAAATAAAAATTTAATTGCTATCTTGGCGAAGTGTTTTAAAACTAATTCTTACGGTATATCGTATTTCCTTATCTATCTTTATCGTTCAACATTATAACCTAGAAAATCGAAAAACGAAAAAAATACAAAAATTTTAAATTTGAAAATAATTTGTGGTTGTTCGTTATGTTATGTCTCCGTTGTAGGGTTGTCGGTTTTTCTAAATTCTTCGGTTAAGTGAAACCGAACGGTTAAAGATAAAGGTGTTTTTAAGTTGATTAAGGGGGATTGAAAGGATATCCTTGGATTAAGGAGAAATAATTTAATTTTCGGAAATATGAAGGATTGAGAGATATAGGGGATTTCTCCAAATCCATTGGTATCCCCGATGTACCCCACGATAAAAAATTACTTTTTGGTTTGGGAGAGAACTTTGTTTAGAAGTAATGAGAGATGTGAGCGATAATAAAATTTTTAAAATTGTGTTTTAATACTTAAATCTTGAAATTCCATCATGTACATACTTCTAAATTAAATTTTTTAACTTGAAAGTTAGCATTTTTCAATAGAGGCTTGCTTTTAGACAGTTTAATTTAAAAAACTAGAATGCATGTAGATTTTTTGTAAAATAAAATAATAAACAAATCAGTAGACAATTTAATCCAAAAAAAACTTCCAATAGTTACTTTTATTTATACATATCCTATTATTTTAATTAGATACTAAATATTTTTAAATTTATTTCAAAACAAATGCGGATATTTGTTTACTTCAATTTATAAACAACATTTTAAAAAGTATTTGATGATGGAAAAAATTCTTTTGTTTCCACTTATTTACATAAAAATGGATGGGTAGATAAAAAGTGAGAGTTTATATTTTGAAGATTTTTGTTATAATACATACATTAATGTTTTTAGTAAAATATTTTTGCAATAAACTTTTTTTACTTATTGAAAACTTTTTTTGCGAAATTCCGTTCCGCCCGTGTCGGGACAGAACATGGAACGGATACGACACGGAACGACAAAACACGGTCGGACAGAACATGGAAAAGACAAAACAAGGAACGACCAAAATACGGACCATACCAAAACACGGACAAGACAAAACACGGTTTTAAAAAACACGGAACGACCAAATCACGGAATGACCAAAACACGGAATACTTTTAAAATCATATTTTTTAAAAATCAGAATTTTTTAAATCAGAAATATTGTTAAAAATAGAAATCAAATTTATTTGAATCAGAATATTATAAAAACAGAATTTAAAAATACATAGTTCTGAAAAATTTTAAAAATATTCTCTGGACCGTGTTTTGTCGTTCCGTGATTTGGCCATTCCGTGTTTTGGTAAGACCTTGTTTTGTCATGTCCGTGTTTTCTTATGGTCCGTATTTTGGTCGTTCCGTGTTTTGCCTTTTCCATGTTTTGTCGTTCCATGTTCTGTCCGTTCCGTGTTTTGGCATTCCTTGTTCTGCCCCTCACCCTTCTGCCACCTCCTCTACATTAATGGTCAGAATGTCATATATAGGGTAATAAAAGGTGCTGAAAAATAAAAAGTGGGTAATAAAAGGTGCTCATTTTTTCGGAGATGCCTGTGAACCGAAGTATAGGTCCTCGAAGCTTGAAAAACCATAGAGGGGAGTAAGCTCAATTTTGAGGTGAAGAATTCGAATATGCAAAAAATCGCCTTCAGGGTTTTAGTAAACTTAGATATACACGTACAATTATTTTCATCACGTTATTTTCCTCTATTAATCGGACAGCAGTAATCTAGTCGAAAGTATGGTTTTTCTGGATTTGATCTAGATAATTAGGGGTAATAGTATTCTTTCCCAAAACCCATTCTTTCCTAAAAGTCGGACAAATATTTTAATCAAAATATTTCAAAAAGCTTCCTTGACATTAGTCTAAATTTTGTGCATTATTGTTCCTAATTTTAAACTACAAGTCAGTTTCTATTTAATTAACTTTAGAATTTCTTCGATTAAATTTTTTAAGTAAGGATTTTTTCCCAAAATTTGGAACGGATAAGAAAATAATTTTTTTGTAAAATAATTTATTCGAATAAAAAATTTTTTAAAATTTATTTCCTAATAAAATAAAAATTCCCTATTTTATTTAATTAACTTTAAAATTTATTCGATTAAATTTTTTAAGTAAGGATTTTTTCCCAAAATTTGGAACGGATAAGAAAATAATTTTTTTGTAAAATAATTTATTCGAATAAAAAATTTTTTAAAATTTATTTCCTAATAAAATAAAAATTCCCTATTTTATTTAATTAACTTTAAAATTTATTCGATTAAATTTTTTAAGTAAGGATTTTTTCCCAAAATTTGGAACGGATAAGAAAATAATTTTTTTGTAAAATAATTTATTCGAATAAAAAATTTTTTAAAATTTATTTCCTAATAAAATAAAAATTCCCTATTTTATTTAATTAACTTTAAAATTTATTCGATTAAATTTTTTAAGTAAGGATTTTTTCCCAAAATTTGGAACGGATAAGAAAATAATTTTTTTGTAAAATAATTTATTCGAATAAAAAATAATTTATTCGGAATCGGCTTCGAGTCATTTAATTTTTTAGTAATTTTTCTTTCATTTTTATTTAATTTTCTATCGATTTTTAATACATTCTTGACAAAAATGTGATAGTGAAATTAGTTATTTTATTTTCTAATAGTCAGCAGTTTCTTTTGAATTATTTTAATTTTTATCAAAAATAATTAATATTTTAAAATTAAAAAAAATCGGTTTATTAAAAAAAAATTTTTAATGTTTACTTTTCATTTGAAATTCCCCCATAAATGCCATTTTTTCAAAAATATTCCTAAACGTTTATATTGGCAAGGAAGGGATATTTTTGGATGTTCAGCAACTGGAAAGCCCGCCACTACTGTACTAGAAAATGAGGGAATTTCTTCTCTTAATGAAGGTTAAATAATGATATTTTCAAAAAATATTTAAATTAATTTCCCCCAAGATAATGAAAAGGGTATTAATTCATTAATTAATGCTTATCGGAGATATGGTCATTTACAAGCAGCAATTGATCCATTGAATTTAAGTTGTAGAGAAAGGTAAAAAATTTTTGGATGGATATTGTTATGATAAATGTATTTGGGACTTTACTACGTTGTCATCCTGGAACTTAATTGGTACTATATTATTGTATCCGAAGGACTCCTCAAAAATAGGACTCCTCAAAAAAATTAAAAATTTTTTTTCAAAGAATACCCGAATTAAATCCAAATTTGTATGGTTTAGATAACAATGAAAATGAAGTATTATCTACAATTGAACGTTTAAATAAAATTTATTCAGGCAATATTGGAATTCAATTTATGCATCTAAAAGTTTAAAAATTAATTTTTTTTATTAAAAAATTTTTTAAATTTAAGTCAGTTGAGGAAAGAAATTTTTTTATAAAAATGTTTGAAAATCCTTTAAATGAATTCAAAATTAATTCTGAAGAAAAAATTGAAAGATTAAAATTATTGCTTAAAATGAAGGTGTTAATTTCGTTAAATTTATTTATTTAATAATTTATAGACCTTTGAACAATTTTTGGCACTTAAATTTCCAACATTAAAAAGATATTCTGGAGAGGTATTTATTTAGGTATATTAATTGGCAAGTAGAATATTTACAAATATGTATATGAATCTTAAAAGTATATGGGAATTTTTGAGATAAATTGGAAATTATTGGAAAGAAATGATATAAGATTAAGCTTTATTTATTCTCCAAATATTAAAAATAGATTCTATTAAATAAACCTTTCTAAAGTTTTGGCACTTACCTATTTAGCTATATATTTTTTGTAGGGAGCTGAGACTATGGCTATATTCTTTCACCAATTACTTGAAGATTGTTCTCAATATGGAATTCAAGAAGTTAAGAATTATGTAGAATATTTTAATTATTTTTTTTAAGTTCTTTTGGGGTGGTGCTCATAGAGGCCGTTTAGCCTTACAAAATGTTCTCTTTCAATATCCTACTGGTCAATTATTTCGTAAAGTTATTTTTTCTTTAAATTGAAATTTAATAAAATTAAATACTTAATTAAAGTTATGTGGAATGAGAGAAGCTCCAGAAAATATTTTTGGAATTGGGGATGTTTCTTCTCATCTAGTAATTAATTATATTTAAATTGAAAATAAACTTTTCTTTAAAAATTAGCATTTTGATTTTAATTACAAAACAATTAATGACAACAATGTCCATGTAAGCACATTACCAAATCCTTCACATTTAGAGGCAACAATTGCTACACTTTATGGGAAAGCTAGAGCTAGGGCACAAACTTTAAGGTTCCTTTAAGTCAAAAATTTTATTTTTTTACTTCTTTCAGAATAGGCGATTATGGTGGTCAAGTTGTTGGAGAAGTAGGGAAATAGGAGAAATTGAAATAATTTTTCTAAATATTTTCTTAGGGTATTCTTGCCGTTCATCACCACGGAGATGGTGCTTTTACTGGACAAGTAAACTTTAATTATACATTCGAACTTTATTATAAAATACTCCCATAATTAGTAGATACTCCTCAAATTAGGATACTTTTTTTTAAATTTGTGTTGTTACAATATGGGGTGTCTAAGCGATATCGCCTATTTAGGATACATATGTATGTATTTCATTATAATATGCAAGTACAAATTTTCAGCCCCAAAAATAAAAATCTTAAATTGAAAAATCAGAACAGAATCTTTAATTTCATATAAAATTTAAATTAAGGGAATTGTTTGGGAAGCTCTATCGATGTCTCAAGTACCGAATTTTCACATTGGCGGCTCTATTCATTTAATTGTTAATGTAAGAAAATATAAAAAATATTTATTTTCAATTAAAAAATATTTAGAATCAATTAGCTTTTACTGCAGACAAAACTATTGGACGATCATCAATTTATTGTGGAAATGTTGCTTTAGCTATTGACTGCCCTTTAATTTGTGTTAATGCCGAAAATATTTTGGTCACTTTAAAAAAATAATTTAAAAAGAAAAATAATTTTTAGGAAGTAATTAAAGCAGCAAAAATAGCTTTAAAATATCGACAAATTTTTAGAAAAGAAATTTTTGTTGAATTAATATGTTATCGAAGGTATGGACATAATGAATTGGATGAACCTAGATTTACACAGCCTGTAAGGGAGAAAAATTATTTTTTAATTTAAAAATTTGGTGAAACCTTATAGTAGGGTTGGGCTTAAACGCTTGGGGGCGGTTGTGTCGGGGTACGGGGTTTCGAATTGTTTCGGGGCGGTGTGGGGTAAATTTTATACTCGGTATTATTGTTGTTATCTGCCCGCATTATTTGGGGGAATTACCCAAAATAATTGATTGCCCATTACCCCTTATATGCCCCCCGTCAGATTATTTTTTAACAAATACATATCATCTTTCTTCTACTTTTCAATCAAATTTAAAAATAAAAATTATTTTTTTATTTAAAATTTACACAAAAATTAATTTTAAAATTTCAGAAAATGTATAAAGCTATAGATAAACAAAAATGTTTAGTTGATTGTTTTAAAGAAGAATTAATTAATGATGGAATATTTACTGAAGAAAAGGCGAATTTTGTTGTAAAAGAATATTTAGAGGAATTAAATGAAATACTTTTAAATGTTAATGAAGGGAAAATACCTCCAATGTTTTTCTTTCTTTTTTTTTTGTAAAAAATCAGATTTTATTAGAATTGATCATTTACGTGGAAATTGGAAAGGATTTAAACAAGCGCCTAAATGTGTTACTAAATGGAATACTGGATTTAATAAAGAATTACTTGAATTAATTGGGGGTACTTCTGTTAATGTTCCCAATGATTTTGTAGGGAGTTATGGATTTTCTTTTTATTTTTAAATGTTTTTTAGTCAATTCATCCAACTCTTGAAAAATCACTTGTTAATTCTCGACTGGAAAAAATCCAAAATGGAAATGTAAAAAAAGATTTTAAAAGATTAATAAAATAAATTCTTAGATTGATTGGAGCACAGCAGAATCTTTAGCAATCGGTTCTGTACTTTTGCAAGGTTTTGATGTTCGTTTAAGTGGTCAAGATGTAGGTAGAGGAACTTTTAGTCAAAGACATGCAATGCTTGTTTGTCAACAAACTGATAAAGTTTATATTCCTTTGAATAAAATACAAGAAGGACAGAAATGTTTTCTTGAGGTAAAAAATAAAGAAATAAATTAGAAAATTTTGGGAATTTAAGGGAAAGGAAAGGGGTGTTGAAGGAGAAATTAATATGTAGCAGGGATTTGTGAGAGAATGTTTTATCTTAATAAGAGCAAGGAGATTGTGGGACCTAAAAGAGTTTTTTGGAGTTAAAAAATAAATACTATAAATATATTAATAATATTTTTTAATTAAAAAAAGATAGCTAATAGCCCTCTTTCGGAAGCAGCCGTTGTTGGTTTTGAATATGGTTTTGCTATTGAAAACCCTAAAAGACTTGTTATTTGGGAGGTTAATAAATTAATATTTTTTAAGATTAATTTTTATTGTTAGGCTCAATTTGGTGATTTTTATAATGGTGCTCAAGTACAGATAGATACTTTGATAGCTAGTGGAGAAAGTTTAATTAATTAATTAATTAATTAGTTAATTGTTTTTTATTTAATTTAAAGGTAAATGGTTTTTACAAAATGGATTGGTTTTGCTTTTGCCTCATGGTTTTGACGGGGCTGGGTGAGGGAATTATTTTATTTTTTAACAATTTTCTAAACAAATTTTTCAGTCCAGACCATAGTAGTGCTCACATTGAACGTTTCCTTTCTCTAACCGATAGTAGCGAATCTCAATTAGTACCTGATGGGGATAATGTAAATATGAGGGTAACAAATCCAACTACAAGTGCTCAATATTTTCATTTGTTGAGGAGACAGGCATTTAAATTTGAAAATAAAATAATTTTTAAAAAATATTTTTAGATAATAACTCCATATAGAAAACCTCTTGTGGTCTGTATTTTTAATTTAAAAATATTCTTAAACATTTCTAATTTTTAAAGATAATAACACCAAAATTACTTCTTCGGCATTCATTTTCTTCTTCGCCAATTGAAGATTTTATTGAAGGAACAAGTTTTCAGCCTGTTTTATTTGACAAAACAATAAAAGAAAATAAAAATATTAAAAAGGTTATAATCTGTTCTGGAAAGCATTCCCTCACACTTTTTAACGAAAGAAGTAAAAGAGAAATTTGTGACATTGCAATTGTTCGTTTGGAAGAAATTTGTCCTTTCCCAGTTGTTGATTTGACTAAAATTTTTGATATTTATTCTAATGCTAAATGTATAGAATAATTTTTAGAAAAAAATTTTTTTTTAATTTTAAAGCTTTTATTTGGTCGCAAGAAGAACCAAGAAATGCTGGATGCTGGCCTTTTATTCAAAATAGATTTAAAAATGCTTTTGGGATTGAAGTAAATACATAATATTAAATGTTTTTATTTTTATGATGACCTTCCAATTAATTTAACCTTCCATAAAATACTTTGGACACCTCGAATTTGTTTGGGTGGTTAGGAGATGTAATTTTTAGATATTTCTCCAGTTATGGGAATATAGGGGCGATAATTTCCACCAATTCTAGATATGTAAATATAATTCTTTTGTTTAGATTTAAACCTGTTTTTTCTACTTTATTTCAAAAAATATTTTCAAGCTTAAATATGCTGGTCGTGCAGAACAAGCGTGGATAGCCACTTCAATTGCTGAAGTACATGAAAAGGAAGTTTTGGATATTTTGGAAGAAACATTTTCTTAAATTTATTTTTTAAAATTTTTTGGCATTTTTTAAATACTAAATAATTATTATTTGATAATTTATTTACAATATATATAGAGATTTTGATATCTTTTTTTGTTGTTAAAATTTATTTTTGTAATTATTAATAAAGAAAAGAATTTTTAAATAAAAGTATTGTCATTATTAATTTAGTTAATTTTTTTGATATTTTGTAAAATCTTTTTAAAAAATTTTTATTTTTATTTTATTTATTTTTTTTGACTAAATTTGAGTTAAAAATATTGAAAAAAATAAATATAATCGCAACCCCCCCCCCCTCCCCACATATTTTCCTTTTTTTTTAATTTTCTTTTTTACACTCCAAATTCTAAAATAATAATAACAATCACACACACACACACACACAAGAGCATTCAACAATAACAACAACAACAATTCCATTCATTCCCCCTTATTTATTTTGTTTTCCTTTTGAGTTTCTACACCCTCAAAAAGCCCCCTCTTCAACAGCTTGTTATTCCTCCTCCCGTCCTTTATTTATAAATTTATGGGTCAGTCATCCCTTTATTTAGCTTCAATTTAAATTTTTTGTGAACATATTGAAATTAATTAAACATTTTTTATTTATTAAAGGAGAGTAACAGAAGTGCTTTCTCGGTTTCATGAATTACTAAATGCCTTAGATTTTTCGGAATCGGGAAAGCACGACAAGGAGATAAGAGAGAATTTCACTAAACTCATTAAAAAGTCACATCATTATTTATTATTCCTTTTTAAGACAAATTCTGTTCATTTTCTTTATTAATATTTCTACATAATATTTTCTTAGAAATATTTATATAACCAAATCTTGTTTGTAAAACAATTAATTATATAAATATATTAATTTATTTTAAACTGGTATTTCAGTATATTAATAATTTTTTGTTGATTATTTAGTGTATATATTTTTTTATTTGGTCTTTTATCATTCTTTTTTATTAATACGAATTTACTAAATAATTCACTAAATTATTTTACAAATTAAAAAAATTCTTTTAAAAACATAGTTAATCTGCTATAATTTTTGTATTTTTATTTAAATCCCTCTTTAATTTAATTTTTTTTGCTTTTTCTTTTTTTATTTAAAATTGGGTCGAGGAAAGCTTTTATATATTTTAGCTAAAAAGGGATATTCAGACTTTTTATTTTTGCGCGAAATCGGCAATTTATATTTAAGAGGAAGTGGGTGGATGGACAGAGATTGCATGCTTTCCTCAACATTTATTTACTTGTGTACTCTGATAATTGCTCTTTTAAAAGGGCTAATTGTTCAGTAAAATGAGCATTTAGAGAAGCATTATTAAAATAATAAATACATATAAATAATTTTTGGTTTAATGAATAATTTAGAATAAACAATTAATATTTGCTTCTAATATGTAAATATTTAACATTGTAACTAAAATATATTAGGATTTAAGGAGTGTTTTTATCCGCCAAATAATCTATAAAGTTTATTAAATCGCTCCGTAATTTAACGGCAACTCTCTAATTTATATACCTATTTATACATATGTATAAAGTATTTTAAGAAAAACTCCAAAAATAAAATAATATTTACATATATTTAATTTTACTTTAATTTAAAAATTAAATAACGTGAAAATAAAATAATGGAATTTAGAAAAAAAGAAATTGGATATACCTATTATATTTTCTTTTCTCCATTTGTTTAACCAACGGTCAGTTGTTGACCATTTTACTCGAAATACTTGACAAAAAATAAATTGGAAAAAGCTTTTCTGAATTCTTTTTTCTCATTATTTGGCCGCTTTTCCTCCTTTCTTCCAATCCCCCCACACAATTTCCTCAATTCCATTTCGTGTCCTTTCTATTCTTGACTTATTTATGAGATATATATATTTAGTTAGCCTTTTCTCTTTTTTCTCTTTTTTTAAGGTCATCTCTCTTTTAGAGCTTTAAAAAGCTATATATATATATTTTCTTTTTTCCCAATATTTGAAACCTTCTTGCTAATGACTCCAGGGACATTTATATTTTCAATAGAACTAAAAATCCGGACTTTGCTCTTTTTTGTTTAGCCATTTTATTTTTGTTTTTGTTGCAGAATAATTTTTATTAAATTTTCTAATTATTTTTTAATTAAATTTTTGTCTAAGAATATATTTTTCTTTTTACTAATAAAAATAAATTTTGTTTTTATTTTATTCTTGGATTAAAAATAAATTAAAAATAATTTTAAAAAATTATTAATTATGCAAAATAAAAATCTCCATTTATTACTGATTATGCTCTCGTTTGTAATATTTATTTATTTGACAAAAACAGAACAAACTTCGCTCTTATAAATTCTGTTTTACAATCATCTCCACTTTTAATCATTTCTGAATATAAAAAATTCAATCCTGCAATTCTCCAATGTAAAAATAAACAAAAAAAGTCAAAGCACAAATTTTAACCAAAAAATATTTATTTTCATATAATTGCAATTTTATCTCATCAATCTTTGTTTAAATATTTTATGTTGTTTATCAATCTTTTTTACATTAAAATGTTTGTATATAAATAAATACCAACTGCCATTTTTGCTAATAAAAAAACAGAAAGTGCTGCAAATTAAATATTTAATATTTATTTTTATTTCACCAATCTTTTTTGTCTAATAAATATTTGGGGGGAAGAAATATTTATATTTAATGACTAAAGAAATTCTTTATTTCTTAATAGTATTTTGCTTGAATTTACTTTAAAATTTCTGTAGAATTGCCGTTTTCGTGTCAGGCCAACATCTTTACCTTATTTTCCAACCCAAATTTTTGAACCATCCTCAAATTTTAAAATCGTTTCACCTTTCTATTCTTTCAATCCCTTATTTTCCTCAAAAAACTCTCAATTTTAAATTGAACACTTGCATTCCTTTTCTGGATTTTGGAAAAAACCAGCCGCTTAAAAAACAAATATTCTTGTCATCACAAAAAGGCTCGAACTTCCATTGGAATTTGAGATGCTTATTTATCTCTTTAATAAATTGTAGGGTTATTAAAATATTTTTTAATAAATGAAGGACATTTACTATTATGAGAAGATTTAGAAGAGAATATTTTTTCTCCAAATTAGAAAATTGCTCAAATCCAATCATTTTCTTTTAAAATGTTTTAGGTTAAAAATATAAACGTTTGTATATCTGCGCGAATTGATTTATGACATTTTTTGTTTTGTTGGTTGGTCTTTTTTTTGATTATCGACTCAGTAAATACATATACCTATTTTTATCTTTTAGTTTTCTTTCATAGAAGGTGTGATCACAAAAATATATCCAAGTTAATTTCAGAATATTTTGTTAAACTTTTAATATAAGGAAGCATTAACTGTAATTATAATTTATTTTTTGTATTCTCTCTTTTCAATTTGGCCAAATCACCCATTTTATATTCATCCAATTTTTTTGTTTTCACCAAGGCTCTAATTTTCTGCTGCTTTTGTTTCTTATTTACTGCTTGTTTCTTGTTTTAAATAATTTAATGTGCGCATTTTTTTCTGTTAATTCGATTTACTCCTTTCTTTTTACTTCCTTTCCCTCACTTTTATTTTCCTCTTTTTTGTTAAAATTTTATGGGTATATTATTTAAATAAAATTAGTGACAAATCTAATTTTGTAAAGAAAAAGGTTGAAAAAAGATTAAAGAAAATAAAAGCTTTATTTAATTATTTAATTTATTTAAATTAAATTTTAAAAGAAAAAAAGAGATGTTAATAACATTTTTAATATTTTTTATTTATTATTAATTGAACTAAAATTTAAAACAATTATGTGGTTTGAAGACAGAAGCTTGTCAAATATGAAAGTTAGAAATTATTATTTTTTAATATAAATATTAGTTAAATATTATTTTAATACGAACTAATGTCCAAAAAATTACAAAAGCCTTTATTATTATTCCTCTAATTTACCCTGACTAATGAATAACCCTACTTCTTAGTTTCACTGACTGATAACTATTCTTAAGATTTTCTAATTGAACATTAATATGTTGTTCTTTCCCTTCAAAAATATTTTAAGAATTTTAAAATTCCTTAGAAAAAGTTCTAGAAAATGATTTTCCACAATCTTGGAGACACATTATTGTTACTTTCTCTGAAAAAAAGAATCAAATCTCTAAATTCTTTTTGTTACCTATATGTACGAGAATCATTTAAAAATGATTTTCTTTCAATAATTTAATTATTCTTTTTAAAGTTATCTTCTCTAATTGTTGAAGAATGGAGGGATATTTGGTCATCCAAAGGAGAATTTATTGTTGCAGCCTTAGCCTACCTTTTTGGATTTACAAATCTTTTAAATATTCCCCGGCTAATTTTAGATAATGGAGGACGTAAGGAAAAAAAATTTTTTAAAAATTAATTTTTAAATTATTATTTTTAAAGCAGCCTTTTTATTTGCTTATTTAATTAGTTTATTACTAATTATTTTACCTATTCTTTTACTTGAATTGTCTATTGGACAGTTAACTGGGAGAGGGCCTGTACAAACTTTTTATAATATTTGTCCTGTTTTTAAAGGTAAATAAAATTGTTTGAAAATTTTTTTTAAATAATTATTCTGATAGGTGTTGGAATCTCACAAATTTTATTTTCAATTATTTTAATGGTAAGTAAATAATAATTAACTTTCAATTGTTAAATATTGTAAGCATGATTCACCTAGAGCATTTAAAACGCTTAGGCGGGGGTTAAACGATCTAAAAGGATTAAGGAGAAAGTCGTTGCCCCGGTAGCTGTGCTCCTGTATGTGTTAACTACGAGGAGGTTCAGTGTGAGAGGTTTAGTGTGTGATACATATTACTTTTGGGGTGTTTTAACTTGAATTTAGAATAACGATGAAGTTAAAATAGTACAGAGTTTTAAAATAATTTTAACATTTTACAGGCAATGATGACTCGTTTTCTAGGATCTGTATTTCTTTATATTTTTCATTTATTTTGGACAATTACTGATGACCATCCTGGTTTTTGTTAATTATTTAATTTTACTAACTGTTTAATTTAAAGGACTTCCTTGGCTTAATTGCAAAAACTTTCCCGAATATCAATTTGGAACTTGTATTGAATCTTCCTCTATTTTACCAATAAACAATAATTCAACTAATTTTTATCAAAATAGATTAGCTACTTTTGATGAAAATTCTGCTTTTGAACAATTTATTGGGTAAATTAAAAGAACATCAAAAGATTATTAATTCTTAATAATTTTAAAGAATTATTGATGTAACAAGTGAAAGTATTGACCAAATAGGCAAAATCCAAATTAATTGGTTAATTGTTCAATGTATAATTTGGGCTTTTGTTTTTTCTGGAATTTGTTTTGGTGTTAGATGGCTGGGGAAAATTATGATTGTAAATGCTCTGTTTAGAATTTAAATTTTATTTTTTCCCTTAAAGTTTTCATTATCAATGTCACTAATTTTGCTTTTATCTCTTTGTGGAAGAACTTTATTCCTTAAAGGAGCATTTCAATTATTTTTTGATTTATTTAACGAAATTGAATGGTGGGAAAGATTAAAAGAATGGCAATTATGGAAAAAAGCTGTTGAACAGGCATTTATTGCTACAGGGCTTGGATTTGGGGCTTTTTGTACTTTGGGGTCTTACAATAAAAAATCAAATAATTTAGTAAAGTAAGTTTTTTTTTCAAGGGATTTTTTGGATAAATTGTGGGAATGATGTAGGCGAGTGAAATCGGCAGCACTGCCGAGCTATAACTTCCTCAAAATGCTACAGGGATCGATGTGTGCTAATGGTGCTTTGATTTTGCTCTTGATCATGCTCTATGCACGATCGATGCGCCTCGACGAGCATAATCGGACCATACCAGGGCATCCCTAATCTGATAATTTTGAAAAAAGTTATAGTTCGGCGTACATAGAGTTCGCTACATCGGGGGCGTACCCAGTGGGATCATCTCTTGGGTTAGATCTCTACTTTTATTAGATGCTCTTTTGTCTTAGATTATCCAAAACTGATGACAGTTTTTTAATTTTTTTATTTTAATAGAGACAGTATTTTCCTCTTATTTGGACATATTCTACTTGTATCACTTCAATTAATTTTTGTTTTATCGTTAGTTGGACATATCAGTGAAAAGAGTGGTCTTTTACCTAGTGAAATTATTGTTCAGGGTATCTCCTAATTTTAATTAAAAAATTAATTTTTTAATTAAAGGAGAGAACCAATTTAGACAAATCCTTGTTTATTTCTCTTTTATTCCACACACAAAAATATTTACGGGAATTCTTTTATTTTTGGCCTCTTTTTCTCTTTTAAATATTCTTGTAAGTTTATTTTTATATAAAGTAATTAAAATTTTATATTTTTTAAAGTTTATTTTATCCTTTGGTGTTCTAGCAACAATAGAGGATGCTTTGGGGGAAAAATGGTCAAAAGTAGGGACTTTTAACAGTTATAATTTTATTTTTACTTTTTAGTGTTGCCCTCGTTTTACTATTGCTTTTTTAATTTGTTGCTTTGGAGCTGCTTCAAGTATTATTTTTGCTACAGAAGTATGTAATTATTAGTAATTATTAATAATTATTGCTAGATTATGGGGGATTTTTTTGGAATAAATAATTTATTAAATTTATTCAAAATTTATTAAAAATGGGATATTAGTTGATGTATTTGCCAATTTTTTATGATAAATAAAATATAGAAATCATTTTTAAAAAATATATTTAGGCAGGAAAGCATATTTATGAATTAGCTAGTGGATATTTAAAATATTCAACTCTTTTGGTTATTCTCTTTTTTGAATTGCTTTCTGTTGCTTGGATTTATTGGATACACTCATTGGGTTTAGATCTTCGAACAATGATTGCCTCAACAGCAAGTTGGATTATTGGACATTCTCTTCTATTCTTAAATTGTTTTTTAACACCAATACCAATTGTTTGTTTTCTTAACAAAAAAAATTTCAAAAAATTTTTTTCAGGCAATCGCCATCATAAATCTAATTGGATATTCATTTTCTAAATATTCTCCCCAAATCAGAGCTTGGTATTGGAGTGAATGGTTAGGTGTTTGTATTGCAATAATCCCTTTACTTCCAATATTGTTTTGGGCATTACTTGTTATTTTTAAAAGTTGTAATTACACACCAAGAATTTCTCTTTTTAGGGTAAAATTTAATTAAAAAAAACCAAAAATGATTTTAATTTTAAGCGTCTTTCAATGGCTTTTCGCTCTCCTTTAAAACACGAATTAATTAAAAGTAATGAACGTTCATCTACTGCTGTTCAGCATAGATTAATGAGTTCGGGTGGAAATACAAACCAAAATAACCAATCATCTTATCGTGGTGCTTCTACTGGATATATATTATTGCCACAGGCACCATTGGTAGTTAAAAATTAATTTTTGTGCCGAACGCCAGATCAAAATAATATTTCTTTTAGATACCTTTTAAATTCTAGATCTGAAAATTTAGGATTTTGCCGTAAGACCCATTCTACAACCGATACTAGAATATTGCTAAAACATATTTTAATATGAGTTGATCTAGTAGATTGCCGTTTTTAGGAAAATTTTTGAAAGACTCTACAAATAGCCTAGTATAAGCATTGATATCCTCTTAGAATCGCTCTCATCTTTTCAAGAGACATAAGTGAAATACTAATCTACTTTAGAAAATTTATTAAATTTTCTCTCCAATTTCAATTTAGGCACAACCAGAAAATGATGAAGTTGCAGGCCAAAGTAGCGCTCGCAATCATGGAATCAATCAACAACAAACAAACAATTCAACAGCTTCTACATTACGCGCGGCCGACAATACAAATTCTCGAAACGGAAGTGGTTATCTTATTGACGATTATATGCACCAACAACAATCGCCTAGTGTTTAATAACAAAAATTTTATATTTTTTATATTGTATAAAATTTAATATCAAATCAATGAAAAGTTTATTAACACAATACTCATCCCAGTTTTATATTAAAATTCCTTGTCAAAATTAAATTATGTATCTTATTTCGTTTGTTTTTAAGTTTTTTCTCATTAAATTTCGCATAATTATTTTTCAATAAATTATCTGAAGTTCAATTTGTTAAATTTGTGGTCTTTAATATAGGTGCTTTTATTATTTCACCGGGACAGGCTCTTTCGTTTAGTTTTTAGGCTAACAAAAGAGAAAGATTCGAACCAATCCATTTGTGAAAAGTGGATTACATTCGCTAAGAATTACAGTATTCTCTAAAATACATATGCTGAATGGAGCTCTTCAAGGTTGCCCCGTTAGAACTACCTCCCCCGTTACCGGAACAACTTCCCCCGTCATTGGAACAACATCCCTCACTTTTGGAACAACTTCTGTTGTTGAACAAAATTCCCTGTAGTACGCTCAACTGTCCGTGCTCAACTGGCAACACACTCAAATTTCCACGCTCGTCTGGCACGCTCAACCGGCCACGCTCAACAGGTCCGTTCCGTTCTCAATCGTGCGCGCCCCTTTTGAGGTGTACGGTCTCGACATCTGAAACTTTCAAATTTCTAGAAAACAGGATTAAAAATGACAGACTTATTGTTAGCTTACGAACACTGTAAACAAAAGAAGTTAACAATTATTATTTTCCCTTTATTTAAGAAAGTGGAAATTCTCTATTGTATTGTTTCCTAAAGACTCAAATAGTTGACAATGGATTTTTCTGTCAGCTGGTTATAATTTCTCGCTTTCTCTCACTCCTTTGTTTCTCTAACATTTACAAATTTTCAATGAGGTTGAATATGCATGTTTTCACTAAATAATGATTATTTGGTCTTTGGTTTCTTAGTTTTCCGTTTTTCGCATAGTATTTCAGCACTTTCCAGATCAAATATTTTTGTATTTATAATTTGTCAATTTAGTTTTACAAGTTCTCATTCATACATTGAATTAGCAATTTTACTTTTTTTTTATTTTGCAACATTCCATAAATTTTTAGAGATTTATAAATTGTTTAAACTTTTTGACATTATTTTCTTCACTTAAACAATTATGTCATTCGATCTTGATGCAGCAGAAAGGGCAGCATATGCACCATTCTTTGGATATATTGGAGCGGCATCTGCCCAAATCTTTACCGTTTTTGGTGCGGCTTATGGAACTGCGAAGTCTGCAGTTGGCATTTGTTCGATGGGTGTAATGCGACCCGAGCTTATAATGAAATCTGTAATTCCTGTAATTATGGCAGGTTTGAATATATTTTGTGAACATTAGATTAAATTAAATTTTGAGGTATTATTGGTATTTATGGTCTTGTCGTTGCAATGGTCCTGAAAGGAAAAGTTGGACCAGCTAGTGCAGGATATACACTTGAGAAGGGATTCTCACATTTAGCTGCTGGACTTACTTGCGGACTTTGTGGACTCGGTGCTGGTTATGCCATCGGAATTGTTGGCGATGCTGGTGTCCGTGGAACTGCACAACAGCCTCGTCTTTTCGTCGGAATGATTCTTATCTTGATTTTCTCTGAGGTTTTTGTAAATAGTTTTTATATTTAATTTTAATCTCTTTTCTAGGTGCTTGGACTTTATGGCATGATTGTAGCCTTGATTTTGGGTACAGGATCTTAGATGTTTACTTCTGCAGATTTTCTTTCATCGACATTCTGATGCCCTCTCCACTTCCCATTTTAGTAGTGTTGTGCTCGTGCGATTATTTTTAGAAGTGATAAAAATTAAATTTTAGATTCTCTTTTTTTTTCTTGAATTCTATAACAATTTTGAATTTCAGTTTACACATCTCCCTTCTTTAAATTTTCGCACGTTTTCCTTTCCTCACATTCTTATAAAGAAGCGTATCATAAACACTTAAAATAAAATCTTGAACAAAAACGCTCTCTATATTTCTTATAAAAATGACACCATTATATAAATTGTTCGATAAATTCTAAATGCTTTGTTTTTCTGTTTCACTGATAAAATGCTAATTCCCACAATTTTTTGGTAATTTGATTGGCATATTTAATCCAATAGTTATTAATTGAAATTGAAAGAATTAATTTAAAGCCAAATACAATTATAAATCTAGCAGATAATGATACCTACAAAATCTTGTAGTCTTACAAAGAATTTGATACCGTTGACGGATAAAGCACCAAGGGCGGTTTTGACATGGAACATGCATGAGAAAGTAAGGCGAAACAAGGAGATTTGGGACGACCCAGATTCAATTGTCCACAGATTGCCAAAACACTATCAAAGAGTTTTTATGTTGTTTTGGTTGTTTTAAACCTTTTTTTCAGAGATATTGGAAGAATTTTGTGCTTTCTAAACCTGCTCCAGTTCATTATACACCGCCTGAGTTTAGATATTACTGGGATACTAAGAGGAATGTTCAACTTGAGACTGAGGTTAGCTTTTATATGTATAGTTAGACTTCGATGGGAAACATGCCTCAGTCATCTAACGTTCAGAATCTGTTGTAGTTGACACCCCATTTGACTCATGCTTTTTTGGGCTCTATGGAATGAGTGACGGGATCATATTTTTCCTCGGACGGTCATTTTTCCGTAGTTTGTAACGTCTTGATTTGTACATTTTATTTATGGCTATTTTTACTATTTCAAACTTTTTAGGAATATCCAATTCTTCCATTACGTTGTCCTGAACAAGATCAAGGGCTTTGGGGTGGTGAAGGAGTTATTAAAGGTTATAGAGAGTCAAATCCTAAACTTAAAAAGAAGATACTCCCAAGACTCTGGATACCTAAATTGTGGACTCCAACTATCAAAAGTGCATTACTCTATTCAGAAATTCTGGACATTTATATGAATATTAATGTTACTGATAGAGTTCAACGACTTATTGATCAACATTTTGGCTTGGATTTATATTTACTTGAAACACCAGATGTTGATATAGACTCGAGACTTGGCATTGATTTGAAAAGACAACTTTTGTTAGCATTGGCAAGTAAGGTTAGAAATTTATTATTCAAAAACTTTTCGTTGTTTACTTGAAATTTTCAGAACTATTATCATAATGATTCCGTCCGTCAAGAATATATCGCGAACAAGTATTCTCGGTTTGTTATACCTTTGGAAGAAGCTGAATGGTATGGACTTGATTTGAATACCGCTTGTCGAAAGCTACAAGATATTGAAGATAATAAAGAACCAGTCCCACTAAGGAAACTATTTTCGGAAGAACTCATCTCTGAAATTAAAAAGGGTGTAAAAAGTGAAGTTGTTCCTTTGGAAGAAGCGGAGGAAGAAGAGGAAGGTTTAACTTATGAGAAGGATAAATGGATTGGATGGAGGATATAATTTTGTTTATTTTATTTCATCTTGTTTTAATTATAGAAATTTCTGTTTAGGGTTTGTTTTTGATAATAAACTGTCGAAATTTTTTTTAATTTTATTTTGTTTTTATTTTATTAAATATTTAATAATTTTGACTATTTTTCTTTCATTGGATTTCCAAAATTTTATCTTAAAATTTTAGTTTTTATAATAAAAATTTTAGATTATAAATAAACAGAATGTCTCCTTCAATCTCTTCAACAAATGAAAAGCAACAGGCACAAAAGTATAAATCGCAAACTTCTGTCATGTACAAACGTGAGCCTGAGAAGAGGTATATTTTATTATCTAACATTAAACTGTCATATAGGGGATAACTTCTATCTAGTTGTGTTTCGGTAAAGTGTTTATGTTAGTATTTTTAGTTCCCGATGGCCTCTTATTCTATTTTTAATTTGCAGTGATATAAAATTTATTTAAGAATTTTTGTCAACCGTTCAATGAAGTTGGATAAGATCCAGTTTTTTGGTTTTGATATGGATTATACATTAGCAGTTTACAAATCGCCTAGGATGGAATCGGAAGCATTCAGTCTTGTTCTCGAAAGGCTGATCTATATTGGGTATTTATTGTTATAAATTTTGTGATTAATGTTCTAAATTACCCATTCTAAAAATAATATTTTTGTAGATATCCAAAGGAGATTCGTAATTTCAAATATGATCCAGCATTTGTCGTTCGCGGGCTCTGGTTTGATACAATGTATGGCAATTTGCTTAAAGTGGATGGTTTTGGAAATATTTTGGTTGCTGCTCATGGACTTGTTTTTCTTACTGGGTAGGTGATGTGCAAGAAGAAAAAATAATTTTTCTTTTAAGGGCGGAGATTGAGAATTTTTATCCAAACAAGTTTATTCAACTTTCGGATAGAAGGATTTATGTATTGAATACGCTTTTCAATCTTCCTGAAACCAATTTGATTGCTCTTCTAGTTGACTTTTTTGATAAATCAGAGGAATACCAGCTGTGAGTTTTATTCATTTTGCTTAAAATTTAGTAGTTGTGGAATAATTTTATTCAATTTTTAGAACTCAAGACAAAACAGGCCTTCGACATGGCGATGCAATTATGTCTTATAAATCAATCTTCCAGGTTTTGTTACTATGCAATAGATCTTACTCTCGCTTTTAGGATATTCGTGGAGCAGTTGATTTTGTTCATGGCGTTAGTTTTTATTATTTTTGACATCATAGATTTTTAAATTTTGTCTTCAGGCTGATGCAGATTTAAAGAAAAAAGTGATTTTAAATATCGCTGATTTCGTTGAAAAAGATCCTCGTATTGGCAAACTGCTTGTTCAGTTAAGAGTTTCTGGACGAAAAACGTTTTTGCTTACAAATAGTGAATATGAATATACAAAAGTTTATTTTAATTTTTAAAATTATTATTTAAATAAAGTTTAGGCTGTTATGACTTTTCTTCTTGGAGATAAATGGAGAGATTTTTTTGATATAATTATTGTAGATGCTAGGAAGCCTTTGTGGTTTGGAGAAGGAACTGTTTTTCGCGAAGTAAATATAGAAACTGGAGCGTTGAAAATCGGAATTCCAATTGGTCCCTTGCGTAGCGGTGCTGTCTATTCTGGAGGTTTTTTTTGGATGAATTATTTAATTGAACTTTTTAGGTTCGTGTGAAGCATTTCGTCGACTTGTTAAGGCAAAAGGAAGGGATGTCTTGTATATTGGAGATCATATCTTTGGTGATGTGCTTAGATCAAAGGTATGACTATTTTATTACAAGTATAAACAAAATTTTTCAAACATTGAATTTTGAATTTGTTTAGATCCTTATGTCTTTGCTTGTGTGCAATTTCTTCTGTCTCTTCAATATTTTTTATTTTTGAAATTTTTTCATTTCAGAAAACTCGTGGTTGGAAAACTTTTTTGATTGTGCCAGAATTAAATCGTGAATTGGCAGTTTGGACAGGAAAAAGAGATTTGTTCGATCAACTGCGGGAACTTGAAGCAAAAATGGCAGATTTGTACAAAAATTTGGATGCGGATACTCGTGGCAATTCAGAAATGAAAAATATCTTGGAGCCGACATTGAAATCAATTCGGGTATTTTTTAAAGGAGTTTTTTATAAAATATTTTTTAATTTAAGGAAGTTACAATAAAGATGGATAATGAATATAGCGTTTTTGGCTCTCTGTTTCGAAGTGGTTCTCGAACAACATTCTTTGCTTCGCAAGTTGAGAGATATGCTGATCTTTATGCTTCATCATGTTTTAATTTGGTGTATTATCCAACTTTTTATTTTTTCCGCGCGGCAATGTCATTAATGCCACACGAGTCGACTGTTCAACAGACTGCGGCTCTTCCTCCAGATCAAGTGGAACAAATTGCTAAGCATGGAAATGAAGGTATAAATTTTGGGAGAAAATATCAAATATAATCTTTCCGGAAATGAGATAATATCTGTCCATGAATAATTTTTAAAGAATTTAAGTTTAGGGATATGCATAATGGGAGCTAAATTTTTTAGTTATGAATTTTTGATTAAAATCTACTATACATAAAAATATTAAATATTCAATTTAAGTGCGTGATTTGAGTCAACGCATGGCTAAGGAGCCAACATTTTGTTTTGAAGAAGATGATGAAGGTGGTGAAGGTTCGGGTCAAGGATCTACTCCAAACAATACTGCTCGTCCTGGAACGGGAGCAGAATCAGAAAGTGATAACGAAGAAATTAAAGAAGATGGGCATCAACGATTGAATAATAGGGATGTTATTGTACCGAAGACGTCTTATGTTGAGAGCGGAAATTGAGCATGATTCTCAGATACTGAATTGTGGGATATTCGGGTTCTTGCTTTTTTTTCTTGTGCTTTTTATTTAAATTTGAGGCAATTAGTATATATTAGCGGCATTTTGGCCCCTTGCCATATTCTTTTAACTATATTATTTTATGTATTGATAATTAATTAAGGAAATATATGTGTATCTATTATTATTTAATCTAAGATTTATGTGCAAATTAAAAACCAAAATATTTTTGACTTGTTTGTTATTTTAATAATCTAATTAGAATAAATGTAGAAAATTATTACTGTTTTTTTAATGAATGTTTTCTTAACACAAATAATTTTTGTTAATTTTTAAATTTTACCCAAAAATTTAAAGATAAATTATCTAATAATAAATATATTATATGGAATAATATGAACATTCAACGCCAATTAAAAGAAGACTGGGACAATAGAGAATTGGAATATTCTGTTAGTATATTTAGGTACATTGTTCTAAAAAATTTAATTTTTTATAGCTTGTGGATAATGTTAGACAAATCGCTGAATTCATTTCACATTTTGAATTGAGCTGTAAAAGTAAGTTGGCGGCTTTGAATGATTCTATTACATCTTTGGAACGAAAGGTGGAATTCTTGGAAGCGGCTATTACGAGGGGAGAAACCTTACATTAAATAACGTGTCTTTTGTGAAAATAACGTGTCTTTTGTGTAATTATAAAATGATTTTTAATTAAATAAATTGACACAATTCTTGTTTTAAACAGAAATTACAAAATAGAAATGTCGTGCGTAGAGCTAATTGACTTATTTTTCGAGAATTTTTTCATACCTTTTGGAAGAAAGGTAAATAGTAAAATCTCGTTTAGTAGCCATAAGAGTTAATTGAATGGACTACAGGAGTATGTATTTGAGAATGTAAAGCACAATTTTATACTCGGGATAAGTTTAACCATACAATAAAGGAATATACATTCTAATTTATGTACATGCATAATTACCTAATCACATTTAAAAATAGGGATAAAAATAGGGACTTATATACTTAAAATAGTTTGTCATACTTACAACCATCTATTTTCCATTTAATTTTCCATTACATACATCAATTCCTACACATCAGGCTAGTGCATCAACAGAATCAAGCATCATAGAACTCTTCTAAATTTGCGAAATTTTTAAAAATATTCCAGTTATTAATAATTACCCTCTAGGCCAACATCGCCATTATCAGTGCCGCCTTCGTTCTCCGCTTGCTGACGCCTTATTCTAGCTTTGATTACGTACTCCTCCTCAGTTTCGGGTACCTTCACTCCGTCCTTAGCAGCCTCCGCCTTCGACTTTTCAACCATTTTCCTGAAACAAAAATATACATCATACAAATTGTTTTCACACTATTTTCATACTTGATTATATCTGGGAACTCTTTGTTGCCATTCTCTGAAAAAATTATTTATTGTTGGAGGCAATTTTTAATGTTTTATTACCCTTATACTTGCGGTAGCTCACAGAAGCATCCACATTTGCCGGTGAAGAAATGTTAGGCTCATTCAGCATCGATATCACGGAAAGTAGGATACTGCGGACGCCATGAGCAGGGTTCCAACGTTCGGCGGCCGACTAAAAAACAAACGAGATTTTTTAGTAAAATTCATGTTATATTACTTCTCCACTCAGCTTATCCTGGCCAGGCGGATGCAAGATGCTTATGCATACTCTTCCGTCCTTATACACATTAGGATGAAAGAGTGGATTATCGAAGCGCATGGAAGGAGGCTCGAATGGATATCTGGGCGGGAAATTGAGCGTCTGCAAAAATAAATGTTATTGAATTATGTAGAAGCGACAAAGGTAACCAACCGCCTTGAAGTAGCCTCCCTGTAAAATTAAAAATTTCAATATACTTTCAAAAACGAGTAATGTAAAAGGACCTGATAGATCGTTCCAGGCGCACCAAATATGGCAACCTTCCATATGAAGATATTTTCGGCAGCAGAATGAACTTTGATACCCTCGATTGGATTATCAGTCACATCAACAAGCTCCTGTTGCAGACGACGGAGAGCATTTGGAGGAGAATTGCTTAGTTGTTTCGCAGCGGCACGCTTAAAATCGTTTATATAATTTAAAAATTAAATACATACCATAACTCCCTAGCCCTTCGTTATGGAGTTGAGCGTAAGTAGGTACGAGTAGTTGCTGGAGAAGATAGATATTCATTTAAAGATTCTGCCTTTTATATGCGCTTTTTCATATAAGAGAAAAAGATGAATGAAGAAATCTAAACTTCAATTTGTCATTAGCGCCTAAAACGACATCATTGGCACAGCAATCTCACATGGCCGGCGAGCTGCATTCTCACATGGCTGGAGTATCCTTGTTGGATAAGCAATATACCTGCGAACGTCAACTGGTTCCTTCGCCCCTAAAGATGATAAGCGGTAGTCCTGCCCAGGCTTCAGATACTCGTCAGTGCGAAGTTGAATTGTTCGTCATTCGGGTTCAACATGAGTTCACCAAAGTAAGTTTATTTTACTTTTTTAAACTAAATAATTCAATTGAAAAAAATTTTTATACAGAAAGCTGTTTTGCCTCCATTGGATGTGTGGAAACGTGTCTTGGATCGTGGCTCATTCCGGTTTGCCTCGTTGGATGTGACCATCAAGCGTCGCGGACTGTTCGGAATTGAACGTGCGGTGTCCTATGGCATACATACATGTGTTCTGAGCAAGCAAGGTCATCTGGTCATCTATACGGACAATTGGAAGCACGAGGGCTTCACCGTTAATCTGAGCAAGGCTGCAAGAGCGGAATTCAAATGCAAAACTCAGAAGGTAAAAATAAGAAAAGTAAATACAATTAAAAGTTGTAATATGTATTTCCTTTTAATTATCAGATGTTTCTATCAACAACAACGCAAAGAATCTGCAATGTTCGTGTGAAATGGAACTTTGGCTCGGTAAAAATCCGTCTTCCAGAGGCTCTAGTTCTAGATTGGGGGCGCGCGATACTTGAAGCGGTACGTGGTAAAGCTGAGGCTTCTTACGAATCTCATCATTATTCACCGACTGTTCATTATCGACCCACTACTCCAATTCTCTTCGAAAATGGCACTCAGACAGATTCTGTGTTTGAGGAGCAGGCAAGCATTCCCTTTTGAGCATGTTTAATGAATTATATTTCAGACTGTCACCTTCGATGGAAATGTTGGCGATATTGCTCCACTTCCTTCTGTGCGTGCGCCTAAGTTAGACGATGGAATATTCCAACTTCTTGATCTTGATGATTCCTTTGGTGAGTTGGCATGTATTGTTAAATAATGTTTAATGATTTTATTTTTTAAGCATATCGTTCGGATGTTGAATCTCTCCATCTGGGCCAAATGTTCGGGAGCAATGATCAGAGCATAAACACCGCCAAAGAACAAGAGATGCAACCACATTCTGCTGAAAAGAAGGAAGATGTCGATCATGATGAGAATGAGGAGAAAATCGCGTTTCCTCTTGAAAAGGCGCTGTTGTTGAACTTCCCTTCAGAGAACAAAGAGCAACAGCAAGAAGACTACATTCCTGAAAGTGCCGTCATAAGCTCAGGTTCATTGCGACGACGTGTCACCTTCTCAGACCTGAACACTATCTTCGAGGCACCAGAGATTGAAGATCCAGTGGAAGAAGATGAAACTTCTGAATTGAAGCAAGACGATGTCATTCCTAAAATTGGTTGCAATAACCGGAATGATGTGAAGGACGCTGAGGGAATTGAGGAGCGCAGAAAGGTGATAATTAAGTAGAAAAAATTATCTATATGTAATTTTTCTATAGGAACACATTGTCCAATTGGCGCTTGATCAAATGCGCATTGTTGGTCAACACGGAGTGAAGGAAACAACAACAGCTGAGGAGGTTTCCATCAAGGATGAGAACGGCAAAAACGCTAATGAGGATATACAGCATGAATCTGTGGCACTGCAACCTTGTGAGCAGATGACTAAGACCAACGATGGTGACAATTTCGTCTCGACGCAGCAACTGGCTCTCAAAATGCAATTTCCTTCACAATCTGAGCGCTTCGATCGAACTCGTTGTCTCTTCGAGCACGGTACTGGAGGTATCAACACCGATGAGGAAGATGATAAAGAAACGAACAAACAATAGGAAGAGAAATAAAAATTCTCATAATCTTCTATAAGGAATAAATTGTATTCCCACAATGTTCTTTCACCTGACTTAATTTATCCGCATATGTAATAATCTAATTCTTCTACGCATTTTTGTCTTGAAAATTCATTTGTTAAATCGTGTCCTAATATTCACAAATAGTTTCCCGTTGATTATATTCAATTGTGTAGCATGTAAATAAAATATTTGAAAGCTTTTTTTTTAATTTGAAAGCTGATATTTAAACGGAATATCGAGGGATTTGGAGGGGTTCTTTGCGGAAGGTATGACGTGGGAGGTGGATTTACCTAATGTAACTTACAACTTTTGAAAGGGAATTCGAGGGATTTATAGGGCTTAATAAGTACTCAAAAAATATTTGTTTGCAAATAATATTGATGTTAAATATAAAAAACAATTTTTGAGAAGTCAATCAAAAAATAATTATCTCGGTAGGTCTGAATCGTTTTTGAATCGTTTTTAAAAAATTCTAGGGTATCTTTTCGAATATTTCATTAAAAGTAACCATTAGAAAGTACTTGATTGGATGAATTATCTGTCATTCTTAGGTTGTTAGACATTGATTGTTGTTTAGGTGAACATTCCCCCTCTGTAGTTACTGTCAATAGAGTAGAACAGGCTGCAATAAGTTGTAAAGGTTGTTGTGTAAATTCTTGGGAACAAACTGATTTTCTTTTGAAAAATAATTTTCTTTAATTTTAATTAAACAATAATTACCTTCTAAGTGTATTTACTCTAGCATGTTTATAATAAAGTTCATTTTCTTTTAAAATTTGATCATAAGGCAAAGAACAATTTGATATTGAAGACTTATTTATTTCGTTTGTTTTATGCAAATTCCTTAACATTGAACGTATTTTATAAGCATTATAGGCCCTTTCATCTCTTTTAGCCATAAAAACAACTACACAGAAAAGAGCTGTTAATTCTGTGCATAAAAAGCTTATCTTTAATTATTTTTAAATTAAAAAAAGAATTTTCTTTTCCAAACTTTAAGCATTATAAAAGAAAATCCATAAGAATAATGAAAAAGAGAGTCATCAATTCTGGAAGCTTTATAAATTTTGTTGCCAACTTCTTTTGAGACTGAAGTTATATAAACAATTATACAAGTAAAATTAACTAGTCCTTGATATAATTTTAAAAAAATTTAAGACAATTTTACACTAAACCTGTAAATATATTTGTCACTGTAGCAAAAAGTAATGTTTTGTAGGGACGTTTACGAGAGAGGCAAATACAAACCTTTAAATAAATTTTACTTTAATTATTTATTTTTATGTATGTAGGTAAGAATTTTTAAAAATACAGTCAACTCTCAATATATACAAACACCTTCTCCTTGGCCCCTTCCAAATTTGTTATATCTAGAATTATCTGTATTTAACTAACACTTAACATCCCCAAAGAATCCATGCAGCAACCGGCGACGATAAAAGGAGCACATCTACGAACAGATACTATAAAATTAAATAATTTTATATTCTGTGAGTGACCCTCTCCAATAGAGCGACATTTTGGGAGTGGAAAAGGATTGAGGGTTTCAATTAAAAAAAGTAAATACAAACATTCAACAGCAGTTGTAACATCTGAAGGATCATCAAGGGCAAAAACGTCAATTTTTGTGCAATGAAATGGTGTTAAAGCTAAGAAAATAATTTAAAGAAATTGTTTAAAGTTAAAGCTCACGATCTGACCAACAAAAGAGCCAAGGCCCTAATGTCGCATTCTTAAAAGAATTTCAAAATTTATTAAACAAAATGAAATAATTTTAGCCTTAAAATATGCTGGAGGGTTTTGTTCTTCACTTTCAGCAACTGTTCGGTTTGGCAAAACAAAATATTTAAGTAATTCACTTGTATTTAACCAATTATTTGTACCAGCACCTTTTTTTAAATTAAATTTGGAATGCAATTATTTTTAGAAAAGAAAAGTTTTCTCACAAAAATTTCTTTTTTTTGAATAAGAATTTAAATAAAATTTACTAATTATATTGGAGAACACAGCACAAACAGAAAACAAAAAAGCAAAACGAACTAAAAGAACACGATTTTCAGAACGAATTTTGGTTAATTGATGGGGAACTACGGGTAATGGGGGCATTTTAAAAATACTATAATTTTAAAAGTAAAGAGAATGAAGAAAAAAATTTATTTTATAAAAATATTTTAACAAAATTTTGGACAATCTTTTACTTTTTTATTTTATTTCCTCTTTTAAATTATGCAAAATTATTAAATTTAGCTATGTACGTAAATAGACAAAAATATTTTTTTATAAAAAGGAATTAAAGAAATAAAAAAATGTTGAAAATAAATAATTATGTATTTTAATAGGTTAAGTGGTTAAATTTATTTTTTAAAAATATTTTAAAGAAAATATTCTTTTTTTTTATTTTTAAATCCCCTTTTAAAAATCCTTCTTTTTTATTACGCCACGCGTATTTTTACAAACATGTTATAATTATTAAAATATAATCGTCATTTTCTTCAAAAGAGGCGTGAGCAGATTTTTGAGAAGTAAATATACATATATTTATTTATCGGAGAGAGGGTCCAGACCAACGACCAGACATCCGCGCAGACAGAAAAGCAGAGTAGATTTACATGCGCAACAACTAAAATCCCCATTTTTATTAATAAAATGGCAAAAATATAAATGATAAACTTTTTTTGTTATTTTTTAATGAAAAACTTTTTATCATTTCAAATTACCTAATCCATTACAATTTTGCACCCAAAATTAAAATCTACGCGGAGAAATTTCATTGACATTCTATTAGCCTAATTTACATTATTTAATAGAAGACAGTCTAAAACTCAAATTTATGTCTCCTTTTTCTCTCTATTCAAGATCGATACAATCTAATTAAAATTCAAAATCCTCATTTTTATTCCTTTCCAAAAATCCATTTTTGTTAATAAAATTAACTACCTTTAAGTAAGGATTTGTTGTCTTTTGATCGGTTGGTGGCTGTGTTTATGCATGCTTACACCAATGATGATGTTGAACTGGTTGCGCGAAAAGTAGTAAGTAAAAAATGGAGGAAAGGAGGGAGAGGCGTCGCCAGCCGATCCGGTCTGTTCTACACCAGCCAGTCTTTTTATTTATTTTCTAAAACCTATTCTTCTTTTATTTTATTCCTTGAATAGAAAAAGTGTCTCCCGCCTGTCTGACGCTTTTTCTTTTTATTTCTGGTCTATATACTCCTTTAAGGAGTTGTGCAATCAAAAAAAGATTTAAACAAAAACAATGGATATGCTAAAAACCCCTGAAAAATAATTAGTAGAATGTCTACAAAAAAATTTTTTTTGAAAAAATTCTCGAATTTAAAGTAAGGCTTCCTTCCGTGTAAAAATTCGAAATAGTGAATGAGATTGGCTGATTTAATTACTCTTCGAGGGTTAAAATATGTATGAGACTGAGAAAAAGATATTGGGAATTAATGACAATATACATATTTAAAAACAATTAGTAATTTAATAGAAATGTAAAAAGTACTTAAATTGCCCATCTGCGCGCTTAAATAAACATAAAATTTTTGTTTCAAATTTGGAAACAATTAAATAATTATTTCCAAATTTGTCACTTTATTCAGATTCACGCAAAAAATTTTTTTATTGTTGTGTCTGGTAGAAAATAAAAATAAAGAGCGAGTAATTTGTGTTCTGCTCCTCATTTTTGTATTGTTGCTAATAAATAGTAAATATTTTTTTTAATAAAAAATTTTTCTTTTTATTTTTTCATTACAAAATAAACTACTATTTTTAACCAGAAAAAATTATTTTCTGCTTTCCTTTATTAAAAATTGCTAATATACATACTTTTAAATATTTTTTTTTTGTTTTTTCAAAAGTTATTAGTACCTAATTTAAATTAGAAACAAAATTTTTCCAAAATATTTTTATTCCTAATTTTTTGTAATTTATTTATTTATTGTTCACTTCTTTTAATTTTCTTATGCCTCTCCCATATAACCACTCCTTTATATTTTTCCAAAAATATTAGTCAGTCGGATTATGCCCCAAAATGGCACAAAATATTAACCAATAAATACTCATTGTCTTTAAATCTCCCCAATTCGTTGAAAAATTTTGAGTCTGTAGCGGTATTAATTTTTTCTGATTATTTTAATTTTTTAAAATTAGTTGCTTTAGGCAATACTTCATATAACACTTTTCTGTTTAATGTTGCCCCAAGCAATTGTAAAATTATTTAATTATTTCTCATAACCTTGAATATAATAATAATGAGGATTACTAATTAAAAAAACCCATAAAAACAATCATTTTAAAATAATTTTATAACTAAAAATTAGTTTTTTTGTCAATATATTTTATCGGCCATAATTTCTTTAAATTTTACATTCTCTCCATTAAATTTTTCAAAAAATAAATTTTCGATAATATTTTTAAGAAAAAGCAGAAAGGATTTAAAAGATAAAATCATTTAATTATTTTTATGATAAATTAGAGTAGGTCGCCGTGTTCTCTTAGGTCCTGAACTGTGGAGCCGCTTAAAATCAGAACAGATAGAAAACTGTAGAACACAATGTTATGGGATTTTTATTTCACTTTTTCTTTTGTTTGAACGACAAAAAATGGACATATTCACAAGATCTTTAATATTTTATTTAAAAATACTACATATGTACATAATTATAAAGATTTAGTTAAAAATGACCTTATTCCTCAAAAATTCCAAAAAATTCAACCAAGATTTTTTAATTAGAGGTTTACTTTATGGGAAAAAATTTTCTTTCTCAGATTACTGTTAATTTTCGTTCCTCATTAACTTGACTATGCATCAAATAAATAAATATTAGGTGTCCCAATTTTGGGGTTGGCCCTCAAAGTATTGACTGACCACAACTCATAAAAATATATTCGATGTGTGGGTGGGTGCTTAAGGAGGTCTAGTAGTACTACAGTCATTTTACTAATTCCTTTACCAATATATATATTTTATTTATTCATTCCCAACACTGCCTTTCAAGAATTGTTCTCTTCGTATAGCAAAGTAATGTGAAAGGAAACTCTATTTTTATTTTTCTTCTCCCTCTACTAAATTTTTTACTTTTATAGTGGTAGTATTTTCTCGATACTGGAAGGGGAGGAAGAGAAGTGGTTGTTGGTTAGCTCTCCGGGGGGCGAGAAGTTAGTGAAGGCAACTGCCGGTCGGGCATGTCGCAATCGTCGGCCGGTGGCACACCGATAGCGAGCGGGCAGTCCTGTCTGGTCGCGATGTTGGTGATGGTCGCGGACACGCAGTCGGATGGGGGAGGAAATGTTTTTGGGGGAAGATATTACTTTTCCCTGTGGTTGAAGAAGAGAAGATATATTGAAGAATGAGAAGAGGAGAGGAGTAGCAATTGCTTTCCCTAAAACAGCAAAACCCCCTTTTTTCTATTCAAACGTCCAATAGATTTGCCTTCCAATGAGTCAACTATTTCGAGAAAAATGTTGGGAAAAGTTGGGGATTTTTTTGACATTGAAATGAATGGGTTAGGTCAAATAAAAGTAAATAAATATATTTATTTTCATTAATTTATCCTCATCATTGTCGAGATACATTTATTTATTTTCGTTGTCCTCATTTATCCCCCAAACTAAATTTAGCGATTGAAAGAGGGAGAAAGGATCAAATTCGCAACATTTTGGGTACACAATAAATTACTGTTGAAAAAATTTTTTAAATAATTTTTTGCTTATTTGTAAATAAAAATACACGAATTTAAATTTTTGAATTAATTATTTAAAAAATGATTTTTGAGTTTTAATTTTTTATTACCTTATTTCTTCATTTTTTAAAAACAAATATTTTTTCAACAAACACAAAAAAACTAAATTTTAAGACATTAAAGATAAACAAAATTTAAAAAAATAATTTAGACTCTAAAAAATATTTTTATTTAGATTTTCCTCTTTGGAGAGAGACAAAAAAATAAATTTGCTTTTTAATTCCTCCTTTACTTTTAAATATTTTTCATTTTATCGCATTACTAAAATTAAATAAATGTACATATTAATCCCTCAGTATTATAAAAATATCGTTCATTTTTCATTAATTAATCCCCCTTACCCTCCTCCCCTTCCCCCAAAATATTTAAATTAATTAAATTAAAATTTTTTTTGGCATTCTGTTTTAATTTTTAATTTTTTTAGACTCAAGTTAAATTTATTTATTTTTTAATTGATTTATTTTAACAACTTTTTATTTCTACAAATTTCTTTTTTTATTTAAGACGGACTGGTTTATATTTAATCTTTTTTGCAGACAATCTCTGTCTCGCCATTAAATGGAATTAAGGGTTGGGGGCCGCTTCCGTCTTGGTATTTTTTTATTTTTTTTAAATTTTTTAAAAATTATTTTTTGAAGGTAGAAAAATTGGGAGCGGCTCCTTTGGCGACATTTATTTGGGTGAAAATATCCACACGCATGAAGAGGTTGCAATAAAATTAGAATGTGTTAAAACAAAACATCCACAACTTCACATTGAGGCAAAACTTTATAAATTAATGTCTGGGGGTATCGGCATTCCACAAGTTCGGTGGTGTGGTTTTGAGGGAGAATATAATGTTATGGTTATGGAATTGCTTGGCCCTTCATTGGAAGATTTGTTTAATTTTTGTTCACGCAAATTTTCTTTAAAGACGGTTTTGCTTCTAGCAGATCAAATGGTTAGTATTTTTTAATAAAATCGATAATTTTAAATTACAAAAAATAAATTCGTTAATGTGGGGAGATTGTTTTTTTTTGAAAAATACAGATTTTAATTGTCTACTATAAATTCTGTAACTCCTATTTGTGTGATTCTTTAGAGTTTTTTGAGTATCTCCCAATTTTTCTATCCGTTTGTTTGATTCACCCAAACGTTTTATAGTGGTAATTAATAAATAAATTTTCGACATCAGAAAATTGGAGATTTTAAATAATTTTATTAGTTAAAAATTTTTTCAGCTTGCAAGGATTAATTATATCCATACAAAGGACTTTATTCACAGAGACATTAAACCTGGTAAATTTAAATATTTTATGTAAAATTTTGATTTTCCTAAAAATATAGACAACTTCTTAATGGGCCTTGGCAAGCGTGGCAATCTTGTTTATGTTTGTTATTTAAATAAATATTATAAAATAATTTAAAAAAACTTTAGATTATTGACTTTGGACTGGCTAAGCGATACCGCGATCACAGGTCAAAGCAGCACATTCCATATCGTGATCACAAAAATCTTACGGGTACAGCTCGATATGCTTCAATAAATACTCATTTGGGTGTAGGTTTGTAATTTAAATTTTATTTATTTGGGGTTCCTCTTCTTAATTCTAATATTTGATTTAGTGCTTCTTTTGATAGCTCATGAAAACTCATGTCAGTTGAGTTGAATAGGATAAATAATAATAGCATGATTTTTTGGTTTTCGTCCCAAAGTCATTTTGCAAAACAAAACCCGCACCTTGTATGGAAGAAAGGAAATTTGGATGGAAGAAGTCTGTCCATTCTGTAGATATTTAGGAAAAAACTTAGGGAGGAAAAAATGGGGTCTGTCAGGTTCAATATTACTCCCGCATCACTTCGCAATAGGAAGTTGGAGATCCTCTATCGAATTTTACCAAGAAATATATCGAATTTGCAGTCGCGTAAACGGTGGTTTCTTGTTAGACCATTAAAATTTAACTTGTCCATTTTCTTCAATAAATTTATTTAAGAATTTAAAAATAGTTTCGGGTTCTTGCAATATTTTTTATTTAAAGTTAATCCCAACAAAAATATTTTCCTTTATTTATTGTAGAACAAAGTAGGAGAGACGATGTTGAATCTCTTGGCTATGTTTTAATGTATTTTAATCGAGGAACACTTCCATGGCAAGGATTGAAAGCTGCGACTAAAAAGCAAAAGTATGACAAAATTTCTGAAAAGAAAATGTCTACCCCGGTGGAGGAACTTTGTTCGGGATTTCCAGGTTTTTTATAAATTAAAAAAATTTTTAAAATTATTTTGTTATTTTTAAGATGCTTTTGCTCGTTACTTAAATTATTGCAAAGGGTTGTCTTTTGAGGAAGAACCTGATTATGATTATCTCCGACAACTTTTCAAACAACTTTTTAGTCGACAAGGATTCGCTTATGATTATGTTTTCGATTGGAACCAGTTAATGTTTGTAAGCTTTCTCTCACACACCCAAAAGTTTTTATGTAATAGTAGAATTGGGAATTACTCGGGAAAATTTACGGAATGACTGTTGAGTTTAGAAGATTGTAACATTCATTTCAGTTTTACCCTCCTAACCAAAATTTTAACAAATTGTCCAAAAATTCGAAAAAGCTTAAAGAGTTTTTCGAACTTCCCTTTAGTTAATTTAAACAATGAATCCTCCCCTCAATTTATCTCAATTCAGTTTGGCAAAAAATCGGCAACATTTACCGCCTCCAGCGCATGGATTGACGGTTGCGGCTACGGGTGGTTCTTCGAATCCAACAGCTACTGCAGTTCCTTCTGGAGGTCCTCCACAATTCAATCATCATATCCACAACCATGGAATGCACAATGTCCCTATAATTATGAATAACAACAACAATCACAATCAAGGTCATCATCACAATTCATTGGCTGCAGGTTTGCAACAATTGCCAGTAGCAGCTTCGGGTCACCACCACGGTCATCACCAACATCATAATCAGCAACATCCACAGCCATTGGCACAAGCACAAGTAACTTTTTGATAAACTTTATTTTCTGGTTTTTTTGAAATTGGGCATGTTTTTCATTTGTCTCCTCTATTTAATGTGTCAAATTTAAAAAATTCTCCCCTTTTCAAAGCTAGAAGAAATTTATTTCAGAGTAATAGAGGAATTATTTTTTGGGGGGAGGGGTGTCTTAACTAATCCACAAAAATATAAATTCAAAAACAATTTTATTACATGTAAAAAGACCTCACACCTTGTATTCTTCTTCAGATTCAAAAAAGGTTTCAGATTTCATCGCGAGATAAATTAAAGAGACCCTTTACGGGTCTCTTTAATTTCTGCGAGGATAAAATCTTTTTTTTTTACATAAAAAGCAAATATTCAAACATCTGTTAACATTTAAAGCAGATGTTTGAAGGTTAAAAAAATATTTTTTAAACCCTTAGACAAATTTACAATATTTAAAATATTAGGGAACTCGACTTGCTAGCAGAGACTTTACTTCTCGACTGGTGATGGATTAATTAATTGATTAAAAATACAAAAATGGATTGCCATTTTTTCCCTAAAAAATTTATTATATTTATTTTTGTCTTTATTTTATTTATCATTTTTATTGCGTTCATTTTATAATCGTTTTTTTATTTGTTTTTTCTTTCTATTTCACAAGGCACTTCTCTTGTATTTGTTTTTTTTAAATAGAGAAAGAAATGTTTCTTCTTTTAGAAAAAATTAATTTTAGGGTAAATGGATATTTCTGAGTGCTCGTTCGTAGGAGCGAAGAGAACTCTCGCGGCTTAATTGTCGTGTATGATTTGCTAATTCAATACTTTGAGGGAGAAGGTTTAAAGCAACGAATTGTTTTGCATCTCTCCAAATTTGAGCCTTAAAATTGAAAAGTTAAAAAATATTTTTTTAGAAGAAATGATGCTCTTTTACTTGTTTTCGGGCAGTCGAGGCGATAAATTCATTAGTTCTAAGTCTTGATTCTTTATCAATAGTTTCATCTAATGCATGTTCAATTATGGCAAGAAGTTGAATACGTTGTTCCATCTGTGAAAAGAAAAAATTTTAGGATAATTAAGTGTTTAATTTTAGTGGGAAGGAATGCCAAAGTTATTTTATCTGTTATTTTTGATCCTAAATATTTAAATATTCCTTTAAATTATTGCCTCATCAGGACCCACACTCGATCGATTGCTTGTAGTCCCTCCACCGGTCACTTGATTAAATAAGGAATTTTGATCTGTTTGTGTTGCTCTTGGAACAACAATTGTTGTTTTACTTGTTTGGGGCATTTGTGTGTCTATTTCCTTCTTTTGTTCTTGTTTTATTGTTTCAGTTTCTGTTGTTTGCGAAGTCTCGTCCGTTGATATACAAACCTATTTTTATTTAAAATTTCTTTAAAAAATCCCTCGAAAGTAATTAAAAACACCTCATTTTCTGTTTGTGTTCCCACAGATTCTCCAATTAATTTTTTGACCTTTTTATTTGGCTTTCTTTTGATGGGAGGTTTCGGGTGAGAAACACCTGCCGGCCCACTTGAAGAGGAGTCTAATGAAATGTTTTTATTGAAAGCAGATTTTTTCTGTTGTGCTACAAAAAAAAGAAGAGATTTCTAATAAATTTTAATAAAAAATATCCATACAATCGCTAATAATTATACGTCGACGAACTCTTACAGTTGTTACTTCATCCAATTTTGTATTTCCTCCTCCAACTTTCCCTCGTATATTTTCTACACTTTTTTCACGTTTTGAAATTTCTTTTTGTGGTTTTTCAATTAATTTTTGTTTTACACAATTTTCGATAACTGGTAAAGCAGCAAATGAACTACTTCGCCTTTCTGCTGTGGAAATTATTGGCTTAAGACCTGTTGTTTCTAGGCCATTAGAAGATTTAGCTCTATCTTGGCTTTGTCTTCTTTTAATATTATTGCTTTTATCGACAACTTTTATTCCCTTAATTTTTAAATATTATTAATATAAAATATAATTATTTTTAAAGAGGGTTGGTTTTCTTCCTATTTTTACAAGGTGTCAATTGTTTATTAAAAAATTCAAATTTGGGAAAATTGATTTTAATTTTATTGTACAGATCGGTAATTTCGTCCTTTTTCATATTCTTTTAATTTAAATTAGAAAACATTAATTTGTTGTCTCCTTTACTCACCTTAATTAATGGTAAAATACTGCAAGAACCAGCTCCATTATTTAAAGTCGTAGTTGATGTTGGAATTTTTGAAAGACGTTTTGACGTGGAACGACGTCGACGTGGAGATGTTTTGTCAATACTTTGTCCGTCGTCTACATAATATTCTTCTTTTCCGTTGTATAGTTGAAGGTGGTGGTTGTTAGACAAACCAGCTGTTGGTGAGGGAAGCATTGGCCTTAATTGCGCAAAAAATGAATAGATAAAAAAGGGTTGAATAAGGAAGTAAGGGAATAAAAAAATATATAATAATGACGATAAATAGGATATAAATGTAAAGTACATAATATTCAAAATATTCCAGAAAAAGAAGATTCAAAAATGATAATTTTTGATTATTATTTTTTAAATTTTAATAGAGCAATAAAATTAATTAAAATTTTTGTACGGTAGTCACTGTGTGGTATACTCTGAAACATCAGGGTACAAAAAATTGGGCAAAAATACGAACCATGTACTAAGTATTTTGGAACGGGAATAATGTTTACTTTTTAAGACAATCTAGCCAGGATATAATGTAATATTGGGGTCGAAAAACGTTTTAAATTAGAAGTTTCGTACCCCTATAAATACTCTCATTCCTCCACATTTATAATCAAACAAGTTTTTGTCTAATTTTAAAATTTATTTAACAAACCTATGGAAATGTTTGTATCTATTCACCCCATCAACTTCTGGTTCAAATCTAGCTCTAATAACTGCAGAACCACTACGTTTTAAATTTGTTGTAATTTGTTGGTGTTCGTTAATACTCATTACGCTACTAGAAGAACTTCCAGTACTAAAAGAGGAATTACTTGGAATAAATTTATTTGGTGATGTAGGTATCTCGTTGTGAAGAAGAAAAAGATGCATAGCATTAAAATGAAAAAAAATATGAGGCACCGGCTGAAAGTTTTGAAAAAAACAATCTAATCTTAACAAAAGAAATTAAGTTAAAATTGAGGTGAATGTTTTTAATTATTTTATATTTTAATGATTTTTTAAAAATTACTGGGTTATTCATGACTGGTTTTAAAACCAAAAATTTTGATATTTTTTGCCAAAAATTAACCGTCTTTAAAAAATTTAAAAAATCAAAAACTTCTGAAAATGAGTGATTTTATAAAAAAAATTCCCCCAAAATAAAACCGGTATTTGTCTAAACCTCAAAACCGAAAACCGGGGGATACAGGTTAATAACTGATAGTGAACAACCCTAATATTTACACAAATAAACATTAAAAATATTTAAATATATTTGCACTATTAAATATTTAGAATGATGTATTGAAGAAAGAATAAATGATGGGGAATTCTTCATAAATATTAAAATAATAAAGAAAAGTGGATTTAAAAAACGAGCGCGTAGGCATAAACAGCTTAAGCAAAAAATGTTTAAAAAGAAATACAGACGATTTCTGGATGTAAAAATAAATTAAAAATTAATAAATTGTATATATAAATTAAATATTCTTTAAATAATTTTAACTTAAAATTAAAAATTATTTGACATACAATATATCCTTTAATAATTACCCTGGGTAATTAATTATTGTTTCAACCTTCCGCTGGAGGGAGTAATCAATCGAGGGAGGGTAACGTGTCTTAGGTCAATTGTTATGTGGTAATTTTTGTTCCAATCTATCGTTGAATGGGGTAATTAATAGAAGTGGGGTAATCATTTAAGGGAGGGCAATTAATACAGGTTATATGTACGGTAAATAGTTTTAATTAAATATTTTTGTAAATAAAAAAGGGGAAGTCTTTTTTTTAAATAAATTCTTTCAATGTCAAAAAAATAAATAAAATTCACAAATACACAGAAACCTTAAAAATATTTTTAAAAATATTATTTATTCACATAAAAATTAATTAATGTAAAAAATTAAAAATAATTTCTTTTAAAATTTTTTCTTTTCAGTCTTGAGGGTTTTTAAATATTTAAATAATTTTTTAACGTCATTACAAAAAATTTAATTTTTTTTATAAAATCAATAAATAATTGGGCTTAACTTGAAATAAAAAAAAGTAATTTAAAGAAATAAAATCTAAATTTGAATATAAATTAAATAGTATTAAACAGAGCCCCCTAATATAGAGGTATACATATCTATTTCCATATATAAAATATATAAAAAATATATATTTTCTTTTAAATTAAAAGAGAAAATTGGCAGCTTTATCTAAATCTATTATATGTATCTCTACAAATATTTTAAACATTCTATATCCTCTTTTTATCTTCTTTTTACGTAAGAAAAAATTCTCATATGTACCAGGGATGAGCTTTTTTAGCTAGAATAAAAAAAGAAATCTACATAGAATAAGCATTTCTTCACAGATTAGGCTAATTTATTTTTTCTATAATTTTTGGAACAGAAACTGTGATTATCTCTAAATAGTAGGCTTTAGACTAAAAATAGTGGAACATTTCTTAAAATATTTTAAATTTATCTTTGTGTAATTAATATTCTAATTAAAAAATTAAAAATTTTTTTAAACATTTTATTAAGGATTGTTGTTTTTATAAATTTTTTTAGCCTGTCTGAAGCCCTAAATAGTACTCTAAAATGTACTTAATAGAGGATTGCGCACGGAAAAGGTGACGAGTGACTTTAAAGGGGAAAGGGGGGGGGGATTGACGTAATAAATAGTAAACGAGAAAAAAGTCAAATGTTTTTGTTGTTATGTATATCTATTATTTTGTTTTTTATTAATAATAATAAAGTTGATGTTTTCTTTTAAATATTTAAATAATGACGCATAAATAAATGAGGAACTTTTAAAGTTTATAGGGTTAATTTTGATCGTTAAGGATGAAATTTACCATAAAACTTTAATTTTTTATTAAATTATTTCTTCCCAAAAATTTTTACTTTGTTTTATTTTTAATTAATATTTAAATTAATTTAAAAATAATTTTTCATTACCTTAAAAATACCAAAAAATATTTAAATTTTCAGAAGAAAACCTTTTTTTAATGATAAAATAAAATTTTTTAGCCATCTTAAGGGATGCAGCCGAGAAAACGGTCGCAAAATTGTCACTATAAATTGTGACCAGTTTGGACACTAATTTTACGAAAGTTCTCGGCCGAAACCCAAAAAGATGCTTTTTAAACATTGAAAAGTAATTATTTAAAACGGTAAAATAACTCATTGGACGATCTGTTTTCGTGCAAAATCAAAATTAAAAATTAAATATTTGCCCAGAAAACAGATCGCTCAACGAGAAATTACCTCAGAAATTAAATTAAAGAAAGGAAAAATTTTTTTGGTAATATTTTTATATAGGGAGTTGGGATGTTTTTTTAAATTAATTTAAGACTGATTTTATTTATTAAAATTCACTCCGTTTTATAGAGAAAATTTTTTATTCCGCCCAAAAATTTTTTGTTTGAATATTAAACTTTACTTTGCTCTGGCATTGGCTTGAGGTAAAAAATGGAGGAGTTCGGCATTTTGAGAAAAGAAATTTAAAAATAAAAAGATAAAAAATTGAGAGACTTTCTTTGGGCGATTATTAATTGTTGATGATCAAAAGGAAGAATTTGAATGATGAAGAGAATTTTTGAAAATTGAACATGATAGGAAGAATGATGGCATTTAAGAAGTGTGGGTAAGTAATAAATTTAAATTATGATATTTCTCCAAAGCAATCGGCATTTTTTTGAAGATATACTTTAAATTTATTTAATTATTTTATTTACTATGGGAAAATAAAAAAAATATTTTTTATTTCAAAAATAAATTTAAATTTTGATTAATTTGAAAAAGGCAACTTATTTAGGTATTTTCTCAAATACTTTTGACTGCGAGGCTAAAACTCCAAATTTTTATTAAACTTGGTGCCACAAAATAAAAATTTCCAACATAGTTGGGTACTAACTGTGTGGTTTAACGGGATCAAGAGACATTTAAAAAGATTAGATATTAATGGAGTTGTAGGATTTAAAGATGATGATTTGGTGTGCCATATCCCTCGAAATTAAAATCCATTAATATCTCCCTTAGTCCTTCAAATTTCTCTTGATCATATGAGTGATTTTAATACTAAATATCACCACCTAATTATTCTAATCTCATATCATCTATACCAAATCATTTTAATATCTCGATATCCCTCTTAATCGCCCCTTTTTGATTCTAGATTAAAAGAATCATTTAACATGGTAACAAATAAAATAAAATTTGATCTGGGTAGTTTGTAGTTAAAAAACGGCCATTCGATTCAAATAGAGAAGCCATTTAATTAGAATAACCAAGGTACTTTTAAATTCTCGATTTAATATTATCGATGCATGATTGGTTTTTTGTCCTGCCATTGTTTATACCTGTCGAAGTTAACTCCTTATAATCCCAACAATTTTAAGTTCACGAAATCTCTCTTTATCTTTACTGCCAAATTTAAAATTAACTTCAGAATTTTCAAACTTTGATACAAAATTTTTTGATTTTGAGTATTTTTCAAGTTAAAAAAGATTTAGTTTTCAATTTCTGATCCTTTTTATTCCTTTTATTACTTTTTCCATGCACAAACATAAAAATATACACAAATGAAGCAGAGCTGTTTTTAGTCAAGAAAAAAAATTTTTTTTCTGTCTGCTGTTGATAGGATATAAATATATATTACTCTTTTTTAAAAAATACTTTCAAATGATTTAAAGAAAAATAATTATAGTACATCTATATCTTTTTTAGGCCCAGCTGGTCCCTTCTTTTTTATTATCTTGTTAGTATGTCCATTTTATTTTTCATTTTATATTTTTTGTCATTATTATTTCTTTAAATAAAAACAATTATTTATAAAAATATATGTATTACTGAAAGCACAATTGTTGACTTATTTCCGTTTTATTTCTACAAAAAAATTAAAAACAGAGAAATAATAGAAGGTAATCTCAAAAATTAAAAGTAAATTGATCAGTCCTAAAGATTTAAAACACATTTTTTAAAAATCACTTTTTAAATTGATTTGCAGGAAGTAACGGGATTTAAATGGATATAGGGGTAGTCAGGGGAAATTGTTATATTTGTAGTGATTAAGGGGGATATAAGAGGATTCAAATCGCTCGTATTATTCTTAATCCCCAGTTTTAGATATCTCTTAAATCATTGACTTGAACGTAAGCCCCTTTATAGGGGGACCATTTTTAAAATGGTCCCCCATCCTTGACCATTTTAGGATATTTACGACATGTACATATATTCAATCAACATTCCGAACTTTTAAAAATTAATTTTAAAATTAAATAATATTTATTTTTATATACTCAAATAGCATTAGTATATCCAGAGAATTTAAGATTGATCAATTCATTATTTATCTTTTAAGCACATTCTTGTCTTCTCTTATATTTTTGTTTTGCTCGTTTCATTAAATACCAAAGCTTTAACCTAACCATTCGCCGATCAGCAGCTTTTGCTTTTTTTCTTTATAAATCTTTTAAGTGCTAAATAACTGGGAAAGAAGAGAAGAAGAAGTTTCTTGCTAAAATTACAATGTACACAGACACACATACATTCATTCATTTAGTATATCCTCATCAACTAAGGCTGGTCCCATTCATTTTCATCATTACTTTTCGTTCACTAGATATATTTAAAGGAAATAGAATAATAATTCAAAAATTATTTAAAAATTATTTTAAATCTTTCTATAAAATTATTTATATTTTTTTTTGTTCTCAAAATATCTGAGAACAAACAAATTAAATAAATTTATTACAAAAAATATTTATTTCCTTATAAAATCACAAGTACATTAAACCTTTACTTTTTTACTGTCCCATTTGAAAATTTTCCTTTCTGTCCTCTTAGATTTTTTCTAAAATTAGCTAATTTATTTGGTGGTTCTATTTAAAGTATACATATTACATATTTAATAATTTTCTCTCTTTTCTCATTCGTATGACCAATCACTTCCACTATTTTGCAAAAATATTACCAGCCGTTGCACGTAGGTGGGTGGATGTTTTCAATATTAGCAGTTGGTTCACATACTGGCATTCTTAAATTTACTTTACAATTTATGTTTTTTTGCATCCATCCTTTTTCTTAAAGTTTTTCAATCCATTTCCTCTAATTCCAGCATTCATATCAAGCTTTAGGATCTAAAAACTGTTTAAGAAATAATAGAAAATAAAATATAGTCAGAAATTTGTAAAATTTTTCTTCAGAAGTTCTATTAAATATACTTACAAAATTTCTGTTCATTAAGCTATTGAGAAGATAATTGGGGGTTGCTTCAGAAATGTTTTTAACAAAGAAGGATCTTTTTTCTCAATTTTACGATATACTAATCCATAATTTTTTTGTTATCAATTATTTCATTTTCAATCTTCATATTTACTACATACATATTCCAATTTCTATATATTTTTTACAAACATTTTTTTTATTTTAATAAAATTAAAAAACAATCAATAATGAAAAGCTTTCATTAAATTAATTTTATCAAATTTGTGCCAGAGAGAAGAGGGCTCTCTTTTTTTAAATTTAATGTACATATAATGTATTCTTTTTATTTTAACTTTTTTTATTTAACAATAGAAGAATCCATCTACACTTTTCCTTTTTTTTCTTTATCTTAATTTACATGCCACCCCCCCCCCCAAATATATTTTTCTTATTATTCCTCCTTTTCTTCATCTATTTAATTAATCTTTATATTTCCGAATTCCTTTAAATAATTTAGATCCTTAAAAAGATTATAATGTAGGGGTTTTTTTAAAGATGTCAACTCTAAATAAAAGTATTGTTTAACTAAATTTGTTTTTGTTTATTTTAAGAAATCAAAAAATATATAATTTTTGGACTTTCTACTATGTTTTAGTTTCAACATGATTAGTAGAGTTGGGATTCTTTTTTGTTAAAATGTCACAACCCCGTTCTCGTTCTCAAACACAGTTCTTCACTATTAGATACTCGTATCTTCTTAAATTTTACTCGGTTATCAAAAAATCTTTTAAAATTTCTTTTTCTGCTATTCTTTGGCGTTCTGATTTTATTAAAAATTTTATCCGAAAAAATCTCGATTTTCTTCCTAATTTTCTTGTTTTATTTGTTCGTATTTTTCAACTTCAATATATATTTTTATTTGTTATGGCAGAACAAAATATAAAAATGCCAGAAGGAAAAGCACCCCATTTTCCCCAACAACCTGTTGCCAGACAAAATGATGATGGATCACTTGAATTGGAATGTTTTTTGGAAGCTCAACCTGTTCCGGACATTAAATGGTTTTACGAAAATGTAAAAAGATTTTTTTAGTTTAAAATTAAGTTTTTATATTTTCTGACGATTTAATTGAAATAATTTAGAATATTTTTTAGAATGAACTCAAATCAAGTGAAAGATTTTCTTTTCGTCTTGAAAATAGAGGGACTGACGCTTATTCATCTATTCTACAAATTAAGGTTATTTTTTAACGTTTAAATTTGTTTTTTTTAATTTTCAGTCTTTTATTTTTCTAACAATAAGAAAAGCCAATTAAAATCCAAAAAAATTTTATCCTTTAGGATCTGGCTGACAGTGATGCTGGTGCTTATCGATGTGCAATTGTAAATCCATTTGGGAAAGGAAATGCTAATTTTAATTTAAAATTAACTGGTATATTTGACGATATTTTCTTTAAATTCCTTTATTTTCAGGCTTTAGTTCTCCAACTTTTATTGAAAAACCACAAATTTCTTCTCGAGATGATGGGCGTGTTATGATTATGGAATTTAAAGCTAAATCAATTCTTAAACCAACTTTTGTTTGGCAAAAAGGAGATGAAATTGTTGCTGAATCTGATCGATACAAAATTATTTTGAAAGAAACTGGAAATCACGAATTTTATGCTGCGTTAGAAATTGTTGAACCAAAAAAGGAAAAAGATGCTGGGCAATTTGTTTGTACTGCAAAAAATGAATCTGGAAAATTAACTGCGACGTTTTCTGTTAAATTTGAAGGTTTTTTTTGGAAATTTTTTAAAAAGTTATTTACTGATTAAAGCTTATTGTTAGCTAGAGACCGTATTTTTGATATATAATATACCTGCTATTCTTGTGCCGTGTTCTAATTTTACTGTGTAGTCCTTCCAACCTTCACTCGGTACTTAGTCGTCTTCTCACCCCAGTCCGCTTTTTACTTTTTATACGGAATCGTCAGTTTTTCTACAGGGAAATTTTTTTAAAGTATGCAAGGAAGAAGTAACCGAGGAAACGGAATAAGTACCCCCTCACTCTCCCTAAAATCTATAAAAGAAAAATTTTTATATAAGGAAAGAATATTGCTATTTTTCTTTAAAGTATTTTCCTTTATAATTTCATAATTTAATCGGGTTTACTAACAATAAGTTCATAGATCAAAATTATAATTTTTATTTTTTAGCCTTTAAAAATTTATTATCATTTTTTAGTTCCCCAAGGAGCGCCTACTTTCACTCGGAAACCACAAATTTTGCAGAAAACCTCTGATTCTGGTGATCCTGCAATTGTTTTTGATATTGGATTTCAAGTTTGTTTTTGAAAAATAAAAATATTGTTTTAAAAATTATTTTTAGGCCGACCAAAATCCTGAGGTTATTTGGCTTAATCCAAAAAGCAAAAAGATGAAAGAATCTAGCAGAATTAAATTTGGTTTGACTCCTGATGGAGGGGCAAATACATACACTGCTCAATTGGAATTAAAGGTTTGTTGAGGGTTTTGTTGAGATTAATGCAAAAATTGGAATAAATAATAACAAAAAATAGGTCTTTAATTAACAGAATATTTTAAATAAATATGTTTAATTTGAACTTACCGGGATTTGAATAAAAATAGAAAAAGTTTGGTTTGTAAAAGTGAAAATTTAAAAGTTGGCTCGGCGTCCATTTAAGCTAAATTGTCTGAAAACTTTTGAAACTCTTAAAATTTGCGATCTAATAATTTTAAAAAATTTTAATATTTTTAGAACTACAAAGCAAAAGATAGTGGGACATACACTTGTAACATAAAAAATGATGCTGGAGAAGCAAATGTTGAATTAACGCTTAATATTGAAGGTAAATTTAATTTTTTTTGAATTTTGTTTGTTTGGGTGCTTCTTTAATTTCCAAAATCCTTATTTGGTGTGTATTTTAGGTGATATTAAAGAAGAAATAAGCGAGTCTTTAATGGAAGAAATTGATAGACCGACAACTGTGGATGATTTTAATTAAATATTTTTTAATTAATTGCTGTGTTTTCTATAATTCCCCTTTTTTATTTATTTTTAGTTTTTGGAAGTTTTGTAGATTTCTTCTTCCTTTGTTTTTAATATAAATTAATTTAAATTTTTTTGTTTTAATTTTTTTGGAAGGGAGGTAGTATTAGAAATGTTTAAGATTTTGGGAGTTTTTTAGATTCTCAGGTTTTTGGGGATGAGGGCATTTTTTTGTTTTCTTTTGTGTTTTATCTTTATCTAACAAAAATAATATTTTAAATTTTATTTTTAACTTTTACAACTGTTTGCTTTTGTTTTGGATATACATATTTCCTCTATGACCAAATTAATCAAGTTTTGCCATGTAAAATAATACGAAATTTTTTGAAATTGAAACAAAAAATAAAAATTTTTTAAATTATTTTTTGTTTTCAGGCCCATTAGATGATGCTGGCGATGATGAAAGTCAAGCATAAACAAAATAAAAGTTTTTTAAAGTTTTCTTGTCAGTGGCTTTTTATCCCAGTCGTTTAAATTACAAAAAAGACAGTTTTTACTAAAATATATTAAAATATAATATTTTTAATTAAAATGCGTGCAATAAAAAATGCACATTTGTTTGTTTATTCATTTTTTCGCACGCTTTTTTTTTAAATAAAATGTTTTGAATTTAATTGTTAAATACATAATTTGAGATTATTTTTTAAAACTTCTCTTGATTTTTCTTTGAATCTTCATTATCTTCTGTGTCTTAGTTATGAATTCTAAAAATATGGTACTATAGTCTTATCTCCCCACAAGTCCGCGACTTTTTGTCCGCAAACTTTTCTTCTCCTATTCTTTATTTCTCTTTGCCTTTTCCTTCTCCTTTCTTTTTTCTCAGAAAGTGTCATGTCCGAGTGTTCATGCTGTGGAAAAATGTTTGGATGGGAAATGTAATTGAACCATCATGGAATGAGCCCAGACCGAAGCACTACCGACTGTGCCACCATCCAACCCAATGCTGGGTTATTTATTTTCATTTATATTCTTTCTGCAAATGCTGACACAACAGAAAGATTAAAAATGGTCAGGTTAATAAATATCACGGACTAATTTAATTTAAATAAAGTTTGTGCTTTAAAATTGTTTTAAATTTTTGGTACTTTTCTTTTCTGCTACACCCCCCCCCCCTAAATTAAAAAATGTAATAAAAGGTGCCGAGTCGGACGGTACCACTCTTTTTTCCCGGAAAAAGGGGATCAAATTGGTCTAAAACCATGGTCATTTTCGGGAATAAAATTAAAATATGAAAATAAAAGCTGATTCGAAGGACATTAAAATCAACCGATTGAACAAGTTTGAAAAAAATTTTAAAACGTAAACATAAAATTTAAAACACAATTTTAAAGCACAAAATAAAGATGATGTATTTCTAATATTGACTGCTTTATTTAAATTAAATTAGTCCGTGATATTTATTAACCTGACCATTTTTAATCTTTCTATGAGAAAAAAGAAAGGAGAAGGATAGAGGCACAGCAGTATCAGCCCGTTGACGCACGCGTGAAAACTAGCTAACTCTTTTCCTTAAACATAACGCCAAAATTTAAATAAATGTCTATTTACTCTCCTTTTTTTATTGCATCTCTCGTGCGTCTGACTTAATTGGAAACAAGAGAAATGGTCAGAAGGACATTTTCTCTCATTTACTAGAGGGATTAATTAAAATTTATATCTTTTGATCCTCAATGCCGAATTTTTTCAAATTTTGCATTTTTATAGGCCTATAATAGTTAAACAATCCTACAAAGTTTGAAAAGCCAATATGCATTTTTAACGAAGTTATGAGCTCTTCAAAATACGATTTTTTCGATTTTTAGGAGTCTGTATCTCGGCTCATGATTTTGATTGAGCCGTGATTTTGGTGTCATTCGACATATCTCGACGAGCTCTTTCGAATGACATATAATTTGAAAAATCGAATTTTTCGAGCTTGGTCCCCCCTTTTGTTTCTCGATTTTCAAAAGTCTGTATCTCAGCCCATAATAATGATCGGTACTTGATTTTGGTATCATCGAATCAGCTCACCGAGGTCTTTCGAATGATACATAATTTATCCAGATACGGGGATGGCTGCGCTAGTTTTGCATCAACTCTGTGAATTTTGCATTAAAATTTCTGAAATTTTTTTCAGAGAATCTTGACACAATTATCTATAAAATGTATAGACAGATTTTAAAACGTATAAGCGGTTTTCGAGATATGGGATTTTAAAGTTTTATTAAAATTTGTTTTCGCAGTCGCAAAAAAAGAGTGCATAAAAGAAAGAGAGACAGTTAGAGAACGAAAGAAAAGAGAAATAGAAAACTAAGTAGTTTTCACGCGTGCGTCAACGGGCTGATACTGCTGTGTAGAGGCAAAGAGAAAGAATAGGAGAAGAAAAGTTTGCGGACAAAAAGTCGCGGACTTGTGGGGAGATAAGACTATAGTACCAAAAATATTAATTAAATTATATTCGAACATTACATGCTCACCGGTTTTATTTTTAAACTAAATCCCCCCTCCCCTTTCTTTCTACAGAATTATTGAATATTAATCTTCCAAAACATTTGCCATATTTATCTTAAAAAACAATGTTTGCTTTTTTTCATCCCCTTTAATAATGTTAGGGAGATTTTTCTACTCGCTTCGAGTATCACTTATATTTTTAACACCACACTATACATACATAAACCTAAACAAAATTATGTCTTGACTAGATTATCACTTCAGTTATCGCTTCATTTTCGTTTATGTTAGGAAATGTTGTTTTATTAGGAAAAATAAGGTATTCTTTAAGATAAATTTTCGAGAATTAAAATAATTTTAAGAATCCCTCCCAAAAACTCACTTTCTCCTCGTTGTTGCCCATGCATCGAATTTGGCTAATTGTCGAGCATTCAAGTAAGAAACTGCCAGTAATTGAATCTAATTTTATAAAAAAAAGATTAAAAAACAAAAGTTCTCTTTTTACTTCTTCCAGTCTACGTTTTTCTGTAGGAAATTCTGGATCATCAATAACTTTTCGAAATAAATCAATTACATCTGGACTTGCACCCCTCAAAAAAGGCAAATCTTTAATTCTTAGACGTTCTTGTTGCTTTAAAATAAATTAAATAAAAATTAATTTTCCCTTTCCATCCCCCCCTTCCCAACCCCCCCCTCCCCTCCATTCCCTCCTTCCCTTCCTTTACCTCATTATCCTCTTCTTCAATTTCACCTTTCTCTTCTTCATCTACAATATATTCATTCTTCCCTGTATTATAATTTCCTTCCTCTCCATAACTGTCAGGATTTCGTCTTTTTGTTGATCTTCCTTTTTAGAGGATTTAAAATTAAATTTTCTTTCAAAAATAACCTTTAGGGATATCAAATTCTTGTTTTAATTTATTTGAATTATTCAAAATTTGTTTAGAATTTTGTTTAATATTTTTTGTTTTATCTTCCTCTTTTATTTCTTTTTGTAATTCTTTTTCAAAAGTAACTAAAACAGCTAAAATATCCTCAGTTATTTGCATTTCTTTCTCGCATTTATTTCCGGGAATATAATCTTTCCTAATTTTAAAAAAGAAAAGATTTTTAAAGAAATTATTTTTAATAATAACCAAACAGCATTTAATTCGTCTTGGGCAAAATCAGGTAATTCATTTATATTTGGTGGAAGTCCACAATGTTTTGTTAGGCTGATTTTCTGTATTAGAAACTTTAGACAATTTAAAGAATAATTAAATTTTTATTAAATTTTTAAGTAAAAAATTTTTGAGGTCCTCTAATATAAAAATTCGGGAGATTTCTTAGTTAATTAAATTTTATTTTACCCGTGCATAAATTAAATAAGAATATAAGAAAATTAATAAAAATAATCGAAAAATCATTTTAATAAATTAATTCAGACAAAATCAGAAGAGAATATTTTGCTTTTTAAGTTATAATTGTTTTGAATAAATTGCCTAATCCAAATAAATAAATACATATAAAACGTAATTAGTAAAATCAGAAGATGTTTTCAGTAATTTTGTCTTCGCACATGTAGATTTTTAAATAATTTTTTTCCTCAAAAGTTGTGTGAGAAAGAAAATGATGATTTGGAGGACCTCAATTATCTTTTCTCTTTTCACAACAAAATGTGTAAAGTATCATCATCGTAGTATATATTTAATGACGAGCCAGTCGAAATTAAATTGAGGAGAAGATGGAAAAGAAAAAAATAAATAATAAATAAAAAAATTAATTTTTATTTAATTTAAAATTTTTATATAACTAAATTGAGAATAAAATAAATATATATGTAAAAATCCTCTAATTTTTCGGCTAATTGACTTCTAATTATTAATTATACCCTTAAGTGGTATGTTGAATATATAATTAATTTATTCAACATTATTAGAGGAAATACGGCATGATCGGTGACGGTGAATACTTTACATGAATAGTTCTTGTTTGAACAGGCAGATTTTTGCTGGCAATTGAGTCATTATGCGGTAGGTTAATTGAAATGGTTAATAAAGTAGATCTCGTTTTCACTAAAATAAAAAAAAAGAAATTCTCAATAAAAATGTAAAGTAAAATTATAATCTTGTCAGAAACCATTCAAAAAAACTTTATTTTTATTATTTCTATCAATCTGAGATTTCTCTGATTAATTTATAAATTAAACAAATAAATTAAGTAAACAAAGAATCTAAGAAAAAACAAAACAAAAATGTGTCTTCTAAAAGAGGTTGCTGACACGTTTAAACAAAAATAGAGAAAAAATTGTTTTTTTAAGTTAAATATAAAAGTAAATAAACAATAAAAATAAACTTAATTTATTAATAAAAAATTGTCTTTTAAAATATTTTTATTTATTTTTAGTAAATTAATATTTCCTAAACTTAAAAATGAATTAAAATATTTATTAAAATAAATAAATGCATTATCAATTATTTAAAATTATTTTAGTTTTTATTTCTATTTTTGAAGGTAAATCTTATAATTGTTCACTATCAATTATTAAACGGTACCCCCTCCCCGTTTTCGGTTTTGAGGTTTTGTTAAAAATAATTTTAAAAAATCACAAAAATTTTCGATTTTAGATTCGTCGTGCTAGTAAATATATTTTTTATAATTAATAAAAAAAAATATTTTTTCAGTAAATAATTTATTGTTACCACATTATGGAATAGCTAATTCACAAATTTGTTCTTTTAATGATGAATCTACTGGTTTTTATGCTAGCTGGCATAGTAATTGTAGGTAGATGACAAATAAATTTTTTAAATTAATTAAAAAATTTAAAATAATTTAGTGGATTAGTTAATTTTATTGTAAATATGAGAAACTTTCCAAGAACCCCAAATTTTCCATTGAATGGATTTTTTGATGAACCTATATTTCGAGAGCAACATTTTTGGATTGGTTTGTTTAGTTAAATAATAAGGAGAATATATTAAACTTTAAAAACTTAAATCTTTTAATTAAAAATATTTGTTTTTCAGGAATAGGTTTTCGATTAATTGTAAGTCTTTCTAAATTATAAAAAAATCTTTTTTTTTTTCAAAAAAAGTCAACAGAAATGGCCGTAATTGAGAATCCTTCTGGTTCCTTTGTTTCAGTCACTTCGGCACGTTTTGAGTTCGGTAGACCTCCAATACGCGAAGTTGGAGGAGGCATTTTAATTAAGCCTAGAGGGACTTTTATGGACGCTACAATTGTGGCAAATTTTGCTGTTGATGAATCTTTTTTTGGAATGGGATGTATTGAATTATTGGTAGATTTTTTTATTGTTTTTTAAAAAAATATTTTTAAAGTTTTTCACTGATTTAACACCAATAAATGCTCCATATGGAGGTATACCACATTCGAGAACTATTTGTGATTTAACAAAAACATGTTCACGATTTCCATGTCCAGAATATGGTAAAAATAATTATACAAAAATTTGTTTAATGTGTAGTTTAGTGTAGACTTTTTTTTTTAAATTTGGTTTGGTCACTGGTGTGGGAGATCCCTAGGAAATACCACCACTTTAGTGTACAATCCATTGTAGTTTCGATTTTATCTACAAATAAGATCCGACTTACTAGACACAAGGCTCTCCTTTCACTTAATTCAATCACCAAGAATCTCTATTTGCCATTTAAACATTTTTAAGGAGAAAAATTCAGTTAGAAATAATTACTTTATTAATTCATTTTTATTAAGGTAAAATCCCTTTTGGCGGAATTTCACCGCCAATGGACTATCTGGATAGTAATTTAAATCAATTTATTCCTCCATTTGGTTCATTACCTCCTCAAGCTTATTCTCCTTATTTTCCTCAATCTCCAAATTATTTACAAAATTATAACAATAATCCACTAAATAATTATCAAAATTATCCATTTCCTAACCAATTTGACCAAAAATTAAGACAACAACAATTATCTTATTTAAATAAAGATTCAATATTTAATAACTGCCCCCCAACATTTAATGAAGAATCTTTCCAATTTTCTTCTTCATTATATCCTCAATATGACAATAATCCCTATTTTAGTAGACTACCTTTATCTTTTGCAGAAAGAGTTAAGAAAATAAAGAAACGAGGAAAACAAAAACAAAGTATAAATTAAGAATTAGTGAATCCAGAAAAATTATATATCTTTTTAGTAAAATCCTTAGAAGATCAAAAAACAACAAATCCAGATATTTCACCATTAATTAATTTAAATAATACTTTATTACCTTTAAAAGAACATTCATTTAAATTTAAACGTCAAATACCATCAAAGCCCATTGTTTCGCCTTTTAATCATCAACAAAATAATAATATTAAAGTTTCCCCTTTAAAAGGAACAGCATATGAGGGGCAAGACAATATTTATCCGAGAATTGAAAATACAATACCTGCAGCTAATCCACAAGTAATGGGTTTTTTTAATTTTCAAAGTGTTTTTGGTGATAAATTAGGAAAAGCAAGAGAAGTAGGAAAAGTTTTTGATGAGTGTCTGTTTCAGTGTTTTTTGTAACTTTGGCTATATCCAATTATTTTTAGTACGAAGCATTAGAAAATTGGAAAAATAAACAAGGAAAACAACAACAAAATTGGCATCCAATCGAGCAGGGAGGTGTTAACAAATCACAAATGTATTGGCCTTGGAGAACAAAAATTGGTCAACAAGATGTTATGGCGGGGGATTTTAATGAAAATAAAGAGGAAAAACAAGTAGTTTTTAATCAAATAATTTTAAAAATTTTATTCGTTTATTAGCAATTCGAGCAATTTAAAGGAAAAGATGTTGGATTACCTCAGACAAAAAAATTAAATTTTTATGATCCTAAAAAGTGTGATGGAGGAATTGATCCATATTGGTGTAAAGATTATATAAAACAATTTATGTTAGGAATTGAAGGAGGAAATAAAAATAATAATAATAAAGTAATTCTTATTTAAATTAAAAAATCTTTTTTCAAAAATCTTTCCAGTCTTCTTCCTGTCCAGCACTTTTAGAATCTCTCAAAAATAGTGATCATCGATGTTGTAATGCTTTACAGCAATTAGGTTGTTAAAAATAAAGAAAGAAAATGTTAAAATAATTTAATAAAAAATATTTTTGTTAAATTTCTAGACAATTTTTTTGAATTAAAATACTCTCTCGAATATATAAACTTTTGATAAAAATTTTAAAAAAATTGATTTTTCTTTTCAATTTAAAGTTAACCCAATTTATTTAAGCACAAATATAATAAATACAATTTTATTTTTAAATTGAAAAAAAAGAAAAGAATTGCCTCTAAAAATAGTTAAAATAAATTTAATATAGAAAATTTAGAGAGGATATGTACAGATGTAGTTTATCTCTTTACTTTTAATAATAAACACATAATAACAAAACTATTTTTTAAATATATTTATTTGTCATTCTTTTAAACTAATTTCAAGTCCATGCCTTCTTTCAACTTACTACTGAATCAAGAATCACTAAAAAGAAATTACGCAACAAGTCATAGTAAGATAAAAAGGTAAAAGTTTGCCCCTGGCACGCGTCAATCCTGTGATATCATAGTAAATAGTTATATCGCTAGGCTGTACCGGCTGGGGCAATTTTTTGGTTAATAGATCTTATATCCCCGCCTAGCTAACTAGATATCTATTTTCTTGAATACAAATTAATCAGTTGTCACAAATTAAAAATAAAAAGATAATTGAAAATGAAGATCCTTCTCTCTTGCCAAACTTCTAATAAAAAACTCGCTAATATTTACTTAAAATTCGCTAATATTTACTAATTATAAGAGGCTCATATTAAATTGCTAATTTATCATTTTTTGAGATAAAATTTTCCTTTTAAACAAAAAAATATTTTTAATAGTTTTTTTTAAATATTTTAATATTTACCCAATATTTTATATATCCTCAATTTTATAACAATTTTTTTAGCCCCAAGAGATCTCATTGACTGTATATACATATATTAAGGTTTAAAAAATTGTTATGTTATTTGTAATATTTGCTTTTATTGTTCCATCAATTATTTGTGCTTTTCTCGGATTTTATTTATGTATTAGTCACAAATCAAAACCTTTAAATAATTATGATATTCGGTTGGATGAATCTACAATATTACTTCTTCAACAACAAGAAAAGAATTGTTCTTTTTCTCAAACACCTTTATTATTAAATAATGGATTGAATTTAAATAAGTTTAAAAGTTTTTTTAAATTTATTTTAATAACTCAATGTTGATAAGGGGGTGTTTAATTAATTTGTGGGATTTTTTTGATTCTCTCATTTTTAAAATTTGTTTTGGGAAACCGTTAGTTTTAATTTGAGATTTGATGTATTTAGAGAGGGTTTGTAGTTCAATTAGAGAGAGAAACTTTTTATAAAAAATTTTTTAATTTAATTAAGGGTGTCTATTAGAGAGGATTGCTAATTTTAAAAATATATATTTAAATTAATTTAAAGTAATTCATCATTTGGCCGTTCACCACCTCTTAGGCCGCTTCCACCTTCAATGCAACGCTTCTTTGGACCTTGTTCAAATGGAATTGGTTGGCAAATGCCGGCACCTCCTTCACCCCCAAAAATATTAATAAACAATTCATTTAAACAAAAACCATTTTTATGCCCTCCGCCACCCGCATATTCATCTAAAGAAGAATCCCCACAACAATTAAAATCTGCTTTATGTTCTTTTGCTTCTGCTTTTTGATTTCTTTCGATTATTTTGGCACAGAAAAAAGGAAATATTTTTCAGAATAATCCAAAAAATAATGATAATCAATTTATTGTATTTAATTAATTTGATTTTAATTAATTTAATAAATTTTAAAAATAATTTCGTAATTAATTAGAGATTAGACCGAAAACGATTAGACCGAAAACGAGATTCTCGGCCAAATAAAAAATCCAATCTCTAATTCTAACCAACTTTTCATTTTTAACCAAAATATTTTAATAAAGTTTTTATCAAAATAATTTTTAAAAAAATTTAAAATTTTTGTTTTTTATTATTCTTTTTTGAATCTAAACAATCTCTATCGCCAAATAAAAATCCACTATTATTTCCCGAACATCCACCAGCATTTCCACTATTTGACATAGATAATAATGATTGCCTTTCTAAATCACGTAAATTCAAAAGTGCATCTAATCAAAATTTTAAAAAAAATTTAAAATAAATAATTTTATTTAAAATTCCTTTTACTCGTAAATGTTCAAAAAAAATTAAAAGAAAAACCAAAACTTTTGACGACACAAAGTTTAAGGAACTTTTATTTGGGATGGAGAAATATGTACATATGTTTTTATTATCAGGAATAGTAGCATTTCCGAAGTCGGAGAGCACTTTAAGACTAATAAAGAAAAAAATATTAACAGAACCTGAAGATGGACCTCCACCGCCCAATCTTAAACGGAATTTTCTTCCAAAAGGCGACGAAAGTGAAGATGCCATATTATTATTTCCATTTGTTGTTTCACCGAAATTTGGTTGAAATAAATTTGGAAGTGGAGAAAGTGTAGGTGAAAGTGTAGGAGGAGGAGGAGGGGGAGGTGGTGGAGGGCCAATTAATGCTGATAAAAGATTTCCAAAAGGATTATTATTTGAGGGAGGTGTTGGAGGAGGTGTTTGTAATCCAAATATTCCAGAATTAATTAAATTATTGTTGTTAGGGTAAAATGGATTTAAAAATGGATTTATTTGATTAAAAGAGCCCCCAATATTTGGAGTATTAATTCCTCTATTAAATCCTCCTCCCGTCCATGGTTGCCAATCAGAAGAAGAAGACGAATAATAATGTCCATAACCAATGGGATACATGTAAGGGTTATTATATAAATTCATTGAAGGATTATTAAAAGAATAAATACCAAAATAAGGGTCAAACATTTGTGTTTGAATATAATCAGGGAAAGAAGCAGCAAAAAATAAAACTGGGAAAATAGCCATAATTTTTATTTGCATATTAAATTTATTTATTTATTTTTTAAAATTTATTTTTGTTGAAGAAATAAGTGAAAATATTTATTACATAAATAAAATATTGAGAAAAGCTTTTGAGCGTAAAAATATTTTTTTGTTGTCTCGATTAGATTTTCCAAGTGGGTGAAAGGCTAAAGGGTCTTCGACTGACCGCTGAAGAGAAGAAAAAAGAGAATTTAAAAGAAATTTTTTAGAGCAAAAGTTGTGTTTTTGTATTTAAGTGGTCTTTTACTTATTGCAGCAGAATACAAATTTAGCAAATAAAATTTTTACAAAAAATAAAAAAATTAGTTCAAAGGCCTAACAATAATTTTGAATATGTAATCACAATGAAATGATCAGGATTAAAAATTTTAATTTTGATGGACCTGCAATTAAATGAAAAACAGAATTCGACATTTTCAAACTGCCATAATTTTATTTTGAAGGAAATGAGTAAATAAGAAAACCCCGAGAAACCGGATTTATCAGAATACCCGTCTCCGAAATACCGGGTCCGGAAAACGGTCGTGGACCCGGCTCGGTGTCAAACTCTAAAGAGATGAAAAAATCTAAAAAATTAATTAAGATAATAATACAGTAATTTGTGCTTCACTTTTTTATTAGGCACTCTAATGTCTGAGAGAATTTAAGAAAAACAAATTTGGCATTTTGTATTTTATTTGTTTGAGCTCAAAAATTTCTCTTTTCCTAAGAATTTCTTTAAATTTTTTTCATTTTTTATTTTTTTTTAAAATTAATTCTTTTAGGAGTTAAGAATGGCACATAAAATTGTTTTTGCAAGTCTTACTCGTCAATGTTTATTTTCAACATTGCAATCCTCAACAATTTGTTCTTCACAATTTTTGCCAGAAATTAAACAAAAGAGAACAATTGTTGATAAACATTTATTTAAACTTCCAGAAGACTATCCAGAACCTTGGCCTTACAAAGAAAAGCCTTTTCCAGCTAGATTGTGTCCTTTTGATCCGGGCTTTGCTAGACGACATGAAAATTCGAAGCTTATAGTTGTTGAGGGAAATATTGGGTCTGGAAAGGTTTTTTTTTGTAATTTTTGAAAATAAAAATAAAATTTAAAGTCAGAATTTGCCAGTCAATTAGCTGATGCTTTAGGCTTTTATCATATGCCTTCGTTTTCTATGAATGAAATTTTGATTGACAGATATGGAAATGATATGAGGAAATTTCATCATTTAGTTTTGTTTTTCGAAAATTTTTCTAAAAATTAATTTTCTTTTCAAGTTTCCAAAAAGATTTCGAGTTCCAGATGAAATTATGTTTTATAAAGATCCGGCAAGTGACCAAACTGCTGTTATGCAAAATACTATTTATCAATGCCGTTTTGATCAGTACTTGAATGCTTTGGCCCATATTTTGAATACGGGTATTTTTTGTAGATATGAGTATTTTATTTGGTCAATTGTTATTTTTATACTCCCAATAAAAACTTAATTTACAAATTGGACGTTTTTGATATTTTTGAACCCTTTAATATTTATTGTGTAATTTGTGGATATACCACCACCCCCCCCCCCTATTTTGAGTAACAGGGTTTTTTCAATATGTGCTTTCTTCCTCGATTTCATTCGGTTTTCCTTTGTCAAATTCAAACGAGAGAAATTAATAACGAAGATATTAATTTTTAAATTTTTTATTTATCGACCAAAAGGAAATGAATGAAATTGAGATTGAAAAAACTCTGATACTCAAAATAGGGGGTGGTATATCATTCTAATTGGTAAAATAAATAATTTAAAGCTAAATCTTAATTATTTAAATCTAATCTTGTCCATGTTTATTTTACCATTACCTTTTTAAAATCCATGAGAGGTTAACTGATCTAGCATTTTTTAAAACTTTACCTAATAAAATGTTCGAAATTCTAAGATTTAATTAATTTTAAGTTTTTTAATTTTTTAGGTCAAGGAGTTGTACTTGAGAGGTCGCTTTACAGCGATTTTGTTTTTGTAAATGCAATGCGTGAAAAAGATTGGATTAGTCCAGAATGTATTAATTTTTAATTTTAAAAATTATTTTTAAATTTTTTAGTTTTCAAATATTATCATTTTATGCGGAAAATATCTCTGCAGCAAATCCCTTTTTACCCTCATTTAATAATTTATTTGGATGTTCCAATTTCAAAATCTTTGGAAAATATTAAACAACGAGGAGATGTAAATTAATTAATTAATATTTTCTCTAAAAAATATTTTTTAGCCTTATGAAATTGCTGCTGTTGATGAAAAATATTTGATGACAATTAAAGAATCTTATAAAGATTTAATTAAAGAATTGAAGTAATTTTAATATTTATTTTAAATAATTAATTAAAATTTAAAAGGCGTCATTCATATATTTTAACTTATGATTGGACACAACCAGAATATATGGATATTGTTTTGGATGATATTTTCAAATTAAAGATGGATAATATTCAGTGGCATAGTGCTGGGGATGTTTTGGCAACTTGGACTGTTTTGGCTAGATCTGATACTGAACACAATCGGCATCGTTATTTGTTTGTTTTTATTAATTAATTATCCCTCTCCCCCAGGCCCGTAGCCAGGATTTTTTTTCGGAGGGGGCCAAGGGGGGAAAAATTTTTATTTTCAGCGCCGCAGGCGAAAATTTTTTGAATTTTGGACCTCAAGAAGCCAGATTTCTTCCATTTTTAGCGCCGCAGGCGAAAATTTTGAAAATTTCGAAGGCCGTAGGCCAAAAAAATTCACTTTTTTTGCCCCAGCCCTTCCCCAAAATTTTCCCTTTTTCCCATTTCGGGGGGGGGGGGGGGGAATTCCCCCCCCCCCTACCCCCCCCCCCTGGCTACGGGCCTGCTCTCCCCCACCAAGTCCTTCAAAAATTAAAAAAATTTTTCTTCAGCTATAAAAAAAGAAAATTTGGCTTTTTGCTTTTCCAATTACCTGTCCTACCTCTTCCTATTTTTATTTTATATTTTATTTCTTAATTTTTCTTTCAATTTCAAGTTGTACCTACAAAATACCTTTGTTTATAAAAGCATTTGCCGATTTAACTGAATTGGATACTGAAGTATCAGAATTATATATTTACCCGCCTGATGGAATGCATTTTCGTCGTGTTATGATGCACGAAGTAAATACAAAATAAATTTTTTTAATTAAATAAAATTATTTTAAAAGGTTTTGAAAGCTTTCCATACTTATGGATATATAAAAGGGAAAGATCCAATTGCTGGCTGGAAGTATTCAGATGTTCCTTTGGTTGTCCCGGAAGGATGGTAAAAGATAAAAAATTTTTGTATGTTAAATTAAATAATTTTTAGGTATGAATATTGGTGGAAAGAGCATTGGTATAATTCAATGCATTTCTCTGACACTTTCTTAGACCCTTATGGTAAATATTATGATCCCGATTATTTACATCATTAAAAGAAAATTTGTGAAAATTAAATGTTAAATATAGGCTATGTTTTTTTGAATATTGTAAATTGTTTTTTTAGGAAAAGAAAAATAAATAAAAAATGTTTATTTTTTTTTGAGTAAAATTTTAATAGTATTTTTTATAATGGAAAGAGTTTAATTTCATTTATACAACATTTTATTTCCATATTGTTTATTTATTTTAAGCCAACATAATTCCCTCCCTCCCACATACATCAGACGTTTTGTTGTTTGCTTTGTTACGAAAGTTTTAATTGTTCGGTTCGGTTGGGAACTCCTATTGTTCAATTAAGTTAGACTTGTCGATTGACTCAGCTCAAATTTCAAATGAGCTATCATTTTCATTTTTTTATTTCTCATCCCATAATTTTTTCATTTACTTTTTGATCATTCTCTGCTCGTATTTGAAGCCTCTCCTAGATTTTGGAACCATTCATCTTACATCAACTCGCAGAACTCCTAATGGCGTGCAATTTATCAGAATTTGTTCCATTCCTTAATTGTAAGTACCCTCCATAGCTTGTTGCTACAATAAAGTAGCCTTATTGTGAGTCATTTTCTGAATTTATTCAGAAAAAGTTTTTTTATATTTCATTTATCCTTTATTTTAATACAATTAACAGGATCCCCTGAGTATTCAATGCTTTTTCTTATTTCATCCACAGATTTTAAAAGTTTAACTTCTTTGTTGTCATCCTGTTTTTGATAAAGCATTTCACCTTCAAAATCAACCAATCCATATTTTCGAGCTCTAATTAGCATTCCAACTAACTAAAATTTAAATTGATTTTTTAAAATTTAAAATATTAAGAGGGATGGGAGATACAGGCATTCTCTTCCTTTAAAATATTGACTATCGCGAACGAGAATTTAAAATTAAACAATAGAAAATTATTAACAATACATATTTACATAAAGTGACATTTTACTCAAAGATCCTTAATTTTAGAATATAAAAATATTTAATTTTCGAGGGATGGGCCTAGGATGGGATGGGATAGTCCCCATTCTACGAGGTATGGGCCTAGTCCCTCAAAATACGAGACATGGGACTAAACCCAACCCTGTTACCTACTATTTACATATAATACACAAAATAATTTCCTATAGTATATAAATATAAACTTACACTTTGAGAATAATGATTGTAAATATAGAAAAGTTGTCCAAATTTTATTGAACAATTTGGAGGTATTCCAGTAGCATTTCTTTCAATAATTTCACAAAGAAATATAACTTCTTGCATTATACTATTCCCAGCACGAACTCCACGTGCTTGAGATTTAGTTCCAACAAGTGGGCGGCCATAATCTGAGGAATTTTTATCAAATTTTTGAGTGCCTGCGTAGACTTTAGAGCCAAAATCTCTGATTTTTTGAAATATTTTAATAAAAATATTTTATCCTTAATTTTAATTTAAATTTAGCTTTCTAGTAAAAGAAAATTTTTTTCAATTTTCTTAATGTAACTGTTCTGAAGAGGAACAGAGAAAATAGAAAAGTCTGTATGAATAGCAGCATCATACCTTTAGGGTTGAAGTAGTTTAGGGCAACAATTAGATAGATAATTTTAGAATGGAACTTTAAAAATTCTTGCTTAATTTAAATTTACTTAACTCCAATTCTATTTGTTAATGTTTATGATGTCGCGAAATTTCGAAATATTTATTTTTTTAAATTAATTAACTCACAATTTTGCTTCTTGTTCACTTTTTTGTGCTGCTTGATTAATTCGTTCAATTGTTTTGCAGACGGATTTTTCCGTTGGTGATCGAATAGAGGGCATTTAATAAAGAAATAATAAAAATTTAAAAGAAAAATGCCCAGAAGGGAAAGATTAAATGAACACATATTTTTTAAATTTTTTATTTAACGATTTATAAACAGCTGTTAATATTTCAAAATATTCACTATCTCTTACAAATTATTTGTCAGCTGGTTTTAAAAATGGATATATTTTTAATTGTTGTCTATTTATATAAACGTTCCATTATATAATTAAATTACCTAAATTAGGACCGTCAAACTTTTAAGGTCCATTAGGTCTTTTTGGAGGTTAGATAATAGCGAGATTTGGCGTGTTTTTTTTATCTCGAAGCAAAATACTTAACATTACATTATACCATTATGACTAGGGCTGGAACTTCCGACTAAACCTGGACGAAATTTCAATTTTTTCAGGCGAAACGTGCGAACTCTTATATTATTCTATGAGCATCTCATATATTAAAGGAGCTTCATATCCTTTAAGTTGATTTTGATGCTATGTATTTAGTAAAGCTCGAAAATTTATCTATACTAGGAGCTTCGCAGGACGATAAAAAATCATAGACCCTATAATATGATTTCCTTTTTATCATTATGATAAATTCTAATTTTAATTAAATGGATAAATTCTAATAAAATTTCATAAGCTTCGAACTTAACATATTAAAAACGTCAAGTGGTACCAGGAGCACTAGATCCAATAGGGTAACTCCATTCAATAAGAGTTGTGTATTCACATGGGATTGGTGGTTCTGCATGAAGAACCACCAAGATTGGGACTTGCACAGTGAATGAAAAATTAGAGTATGGTATGTATAAGGTATGAGAGGATAAAAATAATTTTTGTAATTTTAATTAAAAAGATAAATTCTAATAAAATTTATCTCAAAATAAATATATCAAAATAAATAAACTTTAATTGTTTAACTAAATCTAAACAACTTTGTTTTTGCAGGAATGTAGGGATTAATTTTTGTGGAAAAAGGCACAAAACCTAAAACAAAAATAATAATTTTTTAAATTATTCAATCATTTTCTGATCTAAAAATTTGCATAAATTCATTATTTGAATATTCTTCTCTTTGTACTTCTCAATTAATTTTGTATTCATTTGCCCATCTAAAATAAAAGAAAAAAATTAAATTCTAAAAAGTATTTCTATTTTGAAAATCCCAGGTGCTGAAGATTTAATATTTGAGTCCCTTTAGTATTCTAAAATTCTGAGAATTTGGGTAGCCCAAAATAATGTGGTAAGTGAATAAATACAGTACATTTATACCCGATAGAACGGTACTCCCAAATATCTGAGACAAAAAATTAGAAAAGATAGTTCTAACGAGAGCTTTAATAAATCGTGTCTGGTGTTTTCGCCAGTATGCGATTTAGGCAGTGAGTAATATGGGCAGTGAGCGATTATTAATGTTACTCCCATTATTTTTTCGGGAAAAATTATTTTTTAAAAACGTTTACTGCCTAAATCACTCACTGCCTAAAAATAGTATACTGGCGAAATCACACGGCACCCTTTAAATAAAAAGGAAGGGATATGTTGATTTAGAAAAAAGTTAATCTCTCAATTTAAACTAATTTAAAAAATATTCCTAAAAAAATCTTTTTAAATTTCTTCTTCTTCTCCTTACCTGTATTTAAAAAATAAATAAAAATATTATTTTGCCCTTTCTCCATAACTTCATTAAAAATATAATTAATACAATTAATTGTATTATTTTCATTATATTTATTAGAAGGATCATCACAAAAATGTTCTTCAAGTATTTCAATTGTTTTATTTTCTTCGAATAATTTTAAAAGAAATAAAAACTTTTTATTTTCTGTTGTTTGCTCTCTTAAAAAATATTTTCTTTAAAAGATTTCTAAAAATAATTTAAAATTTTTACAATTTTTTTGTCAAACTATAATGCCATTTAATTAAAAAAGAGGATTTCTTTGCTGTCTCTAAAAGTTGGCGTAATTGTGTTAATAAACTAAAAATTAAAAAAAAATTATTTTATCAAAGAAGCAAAAATAATATTTTTGTTTTTTTTTAATTTTGACTTTAGAAAATCACCCAAATAATGAGACTTTTACGAAATAAATTAAAAATTGAAGATTTAAATTTACTTTACTCATTATCTTAGTGTGATTGATAACTTTTTGATTTAATGTGCATATGTACTTCACTACCCCCATTTTGATCCCATCGAATCAGTTAAAATTTAACTAAACTCGAATTCCCCCGCTCCTCTCACACAAACAAATCCTAAACAAAAAACTAATCCCCTCTCTTACATTTTTGCATCAATTAAAGTGTCAATAACTAAGATTCCTTTAATTTCTTCATTTATTATATTTTTTTCTTCTCTAAGAACATGTATTTCTAGGTTTGGGTCTTTCATCAAAAATTCTGTTGAGGATAGAAGTGGAGAATTAGAATTTAAATTTGAAGAAGAAGGCAAAGGAGATGTTGAATTTAACGGAGAATCTAATTTTTGTACTCGGTATTTTCCTATAAATATTCTTTTAATATAAAGATATGAAAATAAAATTAAATAGAAAGAAAATTCACCAAAAAATTAATGGGTACCCCTCCCTTCTCCCCCTCTACAATCCCCGTCTAATGCAAAGCTTCTAACAAACTTTAAGCGGTGCCTTATCGATGTATATTTTGCATATTCATATCAAAATTTATGTATATTTCTAAATAAAATTTTCTCAATTTTAAATGAAATTTTCATAAAATTTCTTAATTTTGTTTGTATACATATCTAGTGCATATTTTATGACTTTTCTGATTTTGCGGTATTCCATGCAAATCTAAGCCATCCCATTATGACATATGTATAGTTGATGGTAATTTTTTGGTGAATTATCACAAATTAATGAAAATTCCCAGCAGGAAATGAAATAAATAATAGGAAAAAAATTAAAAAAAAGATGTTTAAAAGAATTATTTTTCCTTCTACAGATTCTAAATTTTTACCTTTGTCATTATTTGATGCTGGTACAGAGAAGCGAGACCGTCCACGGAACAAAGATCCCATAACTACTGAAAAGAAAGAAATCCAAAAGGATAGAAAAGAAAAAGAAAGTTCTAACAAAAAGAATATTCTATTTTGCTAATATTTAAGATATATCCAAGAAAAAATCCTAATCTCTCTTAATCCTAATCTTTTCTCCCACCCTCTTCGTTTTTTCGCTTCCCGATTCATTTACTTCAATTCAACATTTCATTCTTCGTATTACTTCTAGTCTTTTTCAAGTCTTTAGTTTCATTTTACTCTTCATATGGGAGTCGCATTTATTTAAAAAAAGGAAAGAGAGCCAAAAGGATACGGTAGGAAAAATAGTTAAAACAGAAAGCCAAAGAGACAGAAAATCCAAAACTAAGTAAATCACAAAATATTTATTATTCTCTCACCCTTAGAAAGCAATTCTTGTTGCTGTTGTTGAACATTAATTGGAGTTTCTGGACAAATATTAAAAAATGGGCGGATTGGGGAAGACTGTTTTTGTGTCTGTCCATAATTTGCCGTCTTTACATTATTACCAATTTGACCTCCAAAAAAAGAAAAAGGCTTAACAGATTTTTGTATTGAAGAGCTTGGAGGGGGTGTCAGATTTAAATCTAACAATGAAGGTAAATTTCTAATTTCAGCGGAAGAAGTTGGGCGTGAAGAGGGAAGAGGGTGTGGAGGAGAAGGTGAAGAAATTATTTTGGTTGGTTGTGGTGGTGATTTGTTTGTATTGTTTTCTTCTTCAATATTTTTTTGTTTAATTTCAATTGAAGACCAAAACTGACGAAAATCTTTATCTTCTTCTTTATTTTGCTCTTCTTCATTTTTATTTTTATCTTCATTTTGTATTTTGTTACCATTATTTGATTCTCCATTTGAATGCTGCTGAATAAATAAATAAATAAAAATTACAAAAAATTTTCCCTTTTTTAATAAAAGTTTTGGAATAGCGTGATGAAAGAAGGGGATTCAAAATAAATATAAAAACCGACCCGTAGGTACGAAGGTCGGTTTATAGGTACTGTGCTTGAAAAATAAGTATAAAGGGAACCCTGGAGTAAGTCAACTTTTTTTAAATAGATAATTAAATCCATTCAACGTCTAACGAGCCAAGTCTAACGTTAAAACACATTCAGAGTTAAAAAATAATTTGAAAGAGATTAATTAATTAACCATAAATCGTTCAAGTCCAATAATATTTTTATCATTATTTGTTGTTTTAATTGGACTATCTGGCTGCTCAGAACGACTTTTTAAAGGTGAAGAAGTATTCCAACTAAAAAAATATTTTTATTTAAATTATAAAAATATTTTGAGTAAAAATCCCCTCCGTGAATAAAAATAAATAAAATTATTTTTAGAATAAATAAAAATATATAGTTTGAAGTTTGTAAAAATTTATAAAAAAAATTATTTTATGTTTACCCTAAATAAAGGGAAAAAAATAAAGTCAATATTGTATTTCTAAAGAATAAATTATTAATTTATTTAGATTATTTAATTTGTTAATAAAGATTAAATAAGAATTTAATTTTTTTTTGGGAATTTTTCCTTATTGTCTCTAAAATAACCCCCCTCTAGAGTTCGCCGAAAAATATCCCCGGGGGCTATTTTAGAGAAAATATGGCAAATATATTTTTAAATTTATGTTTGATAAATTTAAAGAATTAAAAAGGAAGTTAATCGTTTTTTAAGTTCTCTGACTGGCCCAACAAAATAAAAATGTTTTCTAAATGTTTGTATGATCTTGAGTACTCAAAAATTACCCAGGGTTATTATTGCTTAAACCTCTCACTAATTATTTGAAATGGACAATTATAATAGTTGAAAGAGGGTAATTATTAAGGTTATACGGTATATAACTTTAAGAATTATTCACAATAAAGGGGAGAGAGGGGCTCTAAATGCTTTTTAATTTTCTTAGAATAGGTACTTACTATTTTAATGAGATTAATTTTATTTTTTTTTATTAATTTTTTTATTAATTTTTAGTCCCTAATTTTTATTTAACTAAATTGTTTTTTAACCGTACGGCAGGACCGATCGGTTTAAAAATTTAAAAAAATAAATTGCATAATATGCAAATAAATATAAAAAAATTCTTTTTCTAAAAATAACTTACGTTAAATAATCAAATCCAAATCCAGTTGAAGAAGAGGAATTAATTAATTGAGGGAACATTGTTTCAGATATTTCTTCTTCGTCTTTTTCAGAATCTGAAGAAACAGATTCTGGAGATACTTGGTCATTTTTGTTATTTGAAGAGGTTGATGATATTTGTTTGGATAACTGTAAAAACTAAAAGATGAGAAGAGAGAGGAAAAAGGAAGTAAATGGAAAAAAGGAAAGAAATGAGATAGATTTTGGGATGTGGATATATTTTAAATAAATTGTTTTGATCCTAATTTTGGTTCAGAATTAAGAAGAGATTCTAATTTAAATAAAAGTTGAAATATCTGTCGATTAGGGACGGATATTTTATATAGCATAGATACAAAGAATCCTTATAATCAAAAATATATTTTTAGAGAATTTTTGAAGATTCTTTTAAAGGTAAAAGAAAGAAGGAAAGAAAAGAGAAGCTAACATCAGCAGAAGATCCAGAAATATCCATAGGCATCTCTCCACCTTCAATTCCAGCAACATTGTCAATTGACTGTTCTGATTTCTCTTTTATTTTTTTATCTTCTTCGCAAATTATTTTCTCGTTTTCAGATTTATTTTTAATATTCTCACCCTCTTCCTTTTTTAATTCTTCTTTTTCTTTTGAAGATACATCACTAAAAATTAAAATTAAAAAATATAGTCGGCCTCATTTTCAAATAAAAATATTTTCCTAGCCTCAAAAGTGTATCTTAGGGTTAATAATAATTATTTTCTCATTTTCAGTAATAAACACCTTATTTATTCAACCCCAATATATTCTAAAAACTTACATATCTAATTGTTCATCCTCTTCCATAGGTTCAGGTGATGACATAAAAACTTGTGAAGGGCTATAAGGACGAGACAATAACAAGGAATCTTCATCACCAATTTCCATAGGCGAAGATTCATTTACTACTTCAACAGACCCTTTCTTAATTTTAATATCTTTATCAACTTTTTCTTCAGCAACAATTTCTTCAATTTTCACATCTCCATTTTTCTTTTCAGAAATTTCTTTAGAAGAAGAAATAGGAGGAGGTGGTGGAAGAGGTTGTTGTGATTCAGCTAAACGTTTTGACAATCTCGGATCTCTAATTAAATTATCTGTTTGTTGTTTTTGTTGAGTCTTTTGTTGTTCTAATGAAGTTTGAGAAATTTTTGAAGATGCCCCTCCTTCACTCTTAAAAAAGGTTAAAAAAACATTTAAAAAAGGATTTCTCATTATTAGACAGACCAAAGAAGTCTTTTCCTTTCCAATACTTCGAATTTGTTCAAAAGCATTTGCAATCATTGCCTTATTTTTTTGTCTACGTTCCAAAGTTGAAGAAGAAATAATTTTATTTTTATCGGAAATTATTGGAGGAGAAATATCCTCAGATTCAGGTGGAGGTGGGGGAGGAGGAGGAGGAGGGGGAGGGGGCATAAGAAGCATTGAAAGAAAATTAGAAGAATTAGTAGATGTTGTAGGTGGATGTTGTTGTTGTTGTTGAGTATAAGGATGGAATTGTTGTTGCTGTTGACTTGAAGGAAAGTATTGATTTGAAGGTCTACTATTCGAAGAATTAAAATTTGGGGAAGCAGAAGGAAAACGTCGATTAACTGATGATTGTTGTGGATATTTAGTAGAAGGTGTTGGAATATAAGGAGTTACAGGTTTTCCTCCAGGCGGGCGTTGATTGGGTGTAAATATAGATTCTAATTGTTTTGGTTGTGTTGCTAAAGAACTACTTCTTTGACTATTTAAACTGTTTACAGGTAAAAGACTTTCTTTTTGGTAAGATTCTAATTTAGCAAACATTTTTGGATCAATTCCACTTATTTTATCATTAACAGAAGGATTGCGAGGAATTCTTAAAAATGGAAGAGATATGTAAATCAAAAAAATATAAAATACTTACGTATCCAAATTATAAATTTCAAATTTGTTTTTAATTCCAGAAATATTTGAAATAAATAAACAATGAAGAACAGGACCGTCACGAGTAGGAATTCCAAGCTGTGTTGATAAATGACCATTAGGAATAAGAAAAAGAAGGGAATAATCACTGAGAATGCCAAAAGCTATCTAAAGAAAATTGTGTTTTATTTCGAAAATTTTTTTCAGTTTAGGGCTAAAAATTGTACGGAATATGGAGATTTATCTCTTATTGGGAGCATCGTTTAGGCAGCGCACCTTAACTAGTGGGAAGTCAAATTAAAAAAAAAGTTGCATGTAAAATCAACAAAGTAAAATATTTAAAAATATTAACCAATTCTTTTTCGACCATTTCTTTGCAAATTCTGGCAAAAAGAGGCGAAAATGTATTAATTAAATAAAGATAAGAGATGCGGACAGGTATTGTTGTTTTTTGTTGTTCAGAAGAAGAACAAATAATTATTGAACGCTTTTTGAGAAGAGGAGATTTCTCGTTGTTATTACGAGTAATTTCTTTTATTAATTCTTGTATCGGCCAATAATTAACAAAATCTTTACATTTTGTTAATTGCTGCATTTCCAAACATGATGAACTTAAAATAGAGAATATCCAAAGATTGTTGAAACAACCAAAGTAAAAAACTTACAATCCTGAAGGTTTCGAGCATTCGCGCATTGGTGGGTAAAGGTCAATAGATTCAACAATTTGTTCTCCAAAACGTAATGATCCAGTCCAAATAGAACTGTTTGCTGGATTGTGAATAATACGAGAAGTCGACGTAGACGTTTCCAAAGATGGATTTTTAAGAATAGCTACAAAATAATTTAAAGTTCATTTTAAATTTAAATTGCTAACTAAGATGGAATACTTAACAAAAGTAAAAGTATTATTACCAACTAACGGTAATAATATTAGAAATTGGTATATTATTAGTTGAAAAATTTACTTTGGACGAAATTATATAAACTTTCGTTTAAAATTAAAATATAAAATTTCAAGACTGTAATAAGCACTTAGTTTTTAAAAATATTATTTAGGAAAAAAGTTTTCTAAATTTATTTTCGAATTTTAAAATTTTTATCTTAAAGAATTTTAATTATTTTAATTATTCCGTAATTGAAAATCATAAAATTAATTTCCAATTAACTTACATCCACCAATTTTTCCATTACTAGAACCTTGTGCTGTTATTGTTGTTTTCTTTATTTTATCATCCTCAATTTTAGGCTTTTTAGGAATAACAAAATTTCCAATAGTGCCGTTGTCTAATCTTTTCATTTTTTTAAAGTAAAATATTTTTAGAAATATTTTTTAATCTAAAATTGTTTGAAAAAAAGTATTTATTAAATTGGGGGGTTTTAAATTTGTTTTTACATTTTTTGATTTTTAAAAATTATTTCGGTCTGGAATGGGAAGAGGAAAGAGTAAGTAAATAAAAATTTTAATTAATTAAAATTTTTAAATAATATTTTATATACATAGGTAATTTTTTTAAATTTTTTATTAAAAGAATTAAACTCATTTTATGTATATGTAATCAATAAATGAATTGTTTGTTTATTAAAAAAATTTTTTTTATTTTTTAAAATATTTTTTATTTTATTCCAAAATAAAAATTTTAAAAATTATAAAATATTCTTTTAATATTAATTTGCTTATAACTCAGATACTAACATCTCTAACTAGTTTATCCCGTAAAATACCAAGGGCTTTATTGTTTATTTGATTTTTCTAATGCCGCATTGACGTGCTCCGGTTAATTTAAATTTAAAAGGGAGAAAAAATTAAAAGGATTATTAGTCAAAGTTCATTTAGTAATTGAGAAAATTTAAATAGAAATCAAAAAAGAATTTATATTTCAAATTATTTATTTTTAAATTAGAAATTAATTTTATTAACTAAGAGATATTCTAAAGTGATTTAATCACTCGACACTCTAATATAATTATCATAAAAAATAAAAGTAATGGAAAAGTTAGGATGTTTAATTAAAAGAACGGAAAAAAGGAAATAAATTTTTGATTAGATTTTAGAGTAGAAAAAAGTAAAGTAAAGAAAAGTAAAGAAAAATATATCTGGGTATTTTAAATAATTCTTAAATAAACTAACAAATAAGCCCTAATTTTAACGTTTATTAACGTTGAATAAGTAATAAAAATTAAAAACTATACCTGCAAATTAACCTCAAAATAGAATTAATTTACGAGAGGAGTAAAACCAATAAAATAATCCTTCATCCAATTTATTTTATTTAGCTAAACATTTTTATTTAATTTAGTTTAAAATAAATTTACAATCCTGACAGTTCTCAGTCAGGGCCTTCAATATAACTGTTGTCAAAATTAGGGTTAGCAGAATTGATCGGGATTTGGTTGGAAGGAAAAAATGAATTAAGAAAAAACCTGCTATAGATTAAATAATAAAAATTGAAAAGCCGTAGAAAAAGAATTAGTCTGGGGCTCGAAGAGCTCTTTCGAATGATATAGTATAATCTCCATAAAAGAAAGAACAGATGCTGCAAAGGGATTCAGTAAAAAGGGGGAAATAATCCGAACTAGTACCGTTTGGATTATCAAAATTTTATAAATTTCAGTCGGTTACGGGGGAACTCAACTGTGGAAAAACTGGGAACTGAACTCAACTGGGAACTCAACTCAACGCATACAGATAACCTAAATAGAGAATTTTCAAATATTTTATAGAAATCTTTTGAAAATTTTTGACCTACTGTAACGAAACACCATAAATTTACATGGGCTCCAATCCGTACTTAAAATGGAAATATAGTACTTACAACGAACGAATTTACTTATTTGTAAGTGCGTACCTATAAATGGACTTTTTGGTTAAAAAATTAAATTTAACCATAAAATTCTCAGAATTTCGCTTGCGGGGCTCAAAGACTCGTTTGTGAAAGAAATATAAGAGACTTGAGCGAGAATAGATTTTAAATTGTCACTTTGTAGCATACTTATTACAAATTAAAAATTTTATACTTACACTTAAAATTTTCCCGATTGAAGTCCTGATTTCCATCGGGATTTTTACTTCTATCACCTTTTATTTACATGCCATTTCTCTCTCAAACTTTGATTGGTACTTCCCTTTCTAATATACCCACCAATATCTAATTAAGGTTAATTTCGGAATACTGAACAGAAAGCAAATGAATCAAATTATATGCCATTCGAAAGAGCTCATCAAGATGAGTCGAATGGTGAAAAAATTTTCGTGCGGACTCATAAAGGGGCTGAGATATAGGCCCCCGAAAATCGAAAAACCATAGGGGGGACAAAGCACTTCTTAGGGGTGAAAAATTCGAATATGCAAATTAGGTATACCTTATTCGAAAGGGCTCGACGAGCTGAGTCGAATGACACCAAAATCAACGAAATCTGACTTGATTTGACAAAGTTATGACCGTTTGTTTTTACCCCTTCCCACAAGGTCTACGCGGAAAAAAGTTTTTGCCACTGCGGAGGAAGTCGGGCATGTCGAGCGGAACGACGGCCGCCGCTTTGCTACGGTCGCCGCGAGCGAAGCGAGCACAACCGCAGCGAAGCACGGCCATCGTGTAGTGAAGACCAAAAATGGTAAAGAATGGTCCCAGACCCAGTGGCATTTTTCCCAGACCATTTCTTCACCCAAGATGAAGAAATGTTTTGGAACCATACCCCAACTTTGCAATACCAAAAAAATCCAATTTCTTGTTGATTGGACGCATAAAGTTTCATTGGACGCATAAACTAGACCAGCACCAGAATTGTATATTCATTTGGTCTTAAAATTTGGGTTTGGACTCTTTAATGGATTTTATTCTGGTTATTAAAAATTTCTCTATGTGACTTTGACCATAGATTAACTTATTCGTATTAGTTTTTGATCAGAAGTCATTATCTGCCCAAAATTAATATAAACTAAAGGATGGGTTCCATCAAAGTGCTATAGATTTTGAGCAAAAATGGAATGAATTTTATTGAATTTCAGAAAATTACTATTCAAAATTGGAAAAATACATAGGACTCTGAGTTCTTGTACACACGCACGATACCGGACCATAGGTCTAAAAAGCAGAGCTGGGCCATAGAGTTAAAGTCTGAAACACATTTTAAGTCTGATACCGTTTTACACTTCATACGAGTCACACAATTCCTTAAAATTTTGGACTCAAAATTAAGGAAACAAAATTAAAGGACACAAAAATATGGAAGGAAAGGGATAAGAGATTCAATTTCATCACCAAACCTTCAAACGCACAAAAATTCAATATTCATAAAACTTTATATGAGTCACTTAAATTCCTTAAATTTTGGGCAAAAATTTTTGGACACAAAATTTTTAGGAATGTTTTTACTACTTCAATAAAATAGGCCGAATTTACTGTTTGAATTTTAATTGAGAATTAATATGTAATTATGTTTTGCCGCCAATAAAAAGTGACAAAAACAAAGTGGAAAAATGACGACGCTTAAAGGAAAACTTTATTCTTTTTTCTTTCATTGACGAAAGAAAATCCCTATTTTAAAATCCAAAAAACCAAATTCCTAAAAAGGCCAATAAATTAGCCAGTTAAAATCTTAAAAGTTGGCCATAAATTAAAAGATCTTATTTAATAATTTATTATTTAAGGTAAAAAATAAATAAATAAAATAACTATTTGGAGTTTTCAAAAGTGAAAAGACGGCTAAGAAATTGATTGTGCGATGAAGAGAGAAGCTGGAGAGTGGAGAATGGAATGAGGACAGGCGGGCGATGAAGGGGAAATGAGTGCGTGTATATATTTTTACGCGAGCGTCATGGCGAGATTCATTGGTGTTCGTGACGTGTCCGGTTAACTCATCTACTCGTTAACTCATCTACACGGCCAAAAACGTTCAACTCATCTAAACGGCTAAAATTCCTTAACTCATCTACACGGCCAAAAAGGGATCAACTCATCTAATCGTTAACTCATCTATTCGTTAACTCATCTACACGGCCAAAAAGGGTTAACTCATCTAATCGTTAACTCATCTAATCCTTAACTCATCTACACGGCCAAAAAGGGTCAACTCATCCAATCCTTCGAAACGAGACTATTAAGTAACGGCCGTTTGAGTCTTTGGCCATCTGAGTCTCCGGCCGTTTGAGTCTCTGGCCGTTTGAGTCTCTGGTAAGTTGAGTCCATGACCAGTTGAGTCCATGACCAGTTGAGTCCATGGCCAGTTGAGTCCATGACCAGTTGAGTCCATGACCAGTTGAGTCCATGACCAGTTGAGTCCATGACCAGTTGCTACTGGCCATGGACTCAACCGGCCGGTACTCAATAGTCTCGTTCCGAAGGATTGGATGAGTTGACCCTTTTTGGCCGTGTAGATGAGTTAACGAATAGATGAGTTAACGATTAGATGAGTTAACCCTTTTTGGCCGTGTAGATGAGTTAACGAATAGATGAGTTAACGATTAGATGAGTTAACCCTTTTTGGCCGTGTAGATGAGTTAACGAATAGATGAGTTAACGATTAGATGAGTTGTATAGGAGCCGTTCGTGAGTTAGATAAAGCAAAAATGAGAGATGAAATGAATGGAGAAGAAAAGAAAGAAAAAAACAATGGAGAGAAGCAGTCTGCCAAATAAAAAAAATAATTGCCAAATTGCGACAAATTTAAAAAAAAAGAAAGTAAACAACTTAAAACTGTTTAAGTTCTTGTGCAATAAATACACTTAAAAATTCAAAAAAATTAGACAACTTTTTTCTACTCTATAAAAGGACAAATGAGAAGAGTTCAAGGAGATAGGCTAAGGTGTTAGAAAGCAAAACAATATAAAACCGGAAGAGTCTTAAAAGACGGAATTCGGGAAGTCATTATTAAACAGGCGGATTTCTAAAAGGCGGAATTTAGTCATTATCAAAATCAAGTTTTTGTTTTGTGATGCAAACATACTTTCCCGGCATCCGTCCAAATCCCCAAATATCCCTTATATCCTTCCAAATCCCCTTGAATCCCTTATAATCCAAAGAAAACCCTCCAAATTCTGCGTAAACAACAACTTTTAAAATTTCGTGGGCCAGGAAGCCATATTTCTTCCTTTTTTAATTTTGAGAATTTTGGAAGACTAGGAATAGTTTATGAGGCCCATCGGTCACCGTGATTAAACAAGTTTGACAAAATTATGATAAAAAAACAAACATCGTAACCCTATGTATGCGCCAGCTAGACGTGTGCTTTACGCGGGGTTTTGCGGCACGTGTCTCGCGGGATCAATGGTCGCTGGGTTCTGCACCACTTTTTCCCATAATCCATTTGTGGCATTTGTTCCTTTTTTATAGCAAATTACATATACATTGTTGAGTCGAATGATATATGATAAAATAAAGATCAAACAAACAGGCTCGCAATGGTCAGGGGTTAAGGAAAAAGGGTGCTACTATTACCCATAAAGCTATTCCTTTTACCGATTTTCAGCGTTGAAATGCCCTACATCCCCCTCCTCTACATCCCCCTCCCCCTACATCCCCTTTGAAAATTGAAAAAAAAACATAAAATAACATAGTACAACTTTGATTGGACTCGTAAACTTTTCTTTGACTCGTAAACTATGATTGGCATTATAAAGTGCCATTGGAATCCTAAAATCATTGGATTCATAAACTTCATTAGAGCTTCATTAAATAAACTTCATTAAAATTCACATTATTTTTAAGGGGGTGGGGAAGGGAGGGTTAAACGGAAGTGTCGAAAAAGCGGAATTCTGTCTCTTAATCCATCTCTTAAATACATATAGGGGTTCAATATACGGGGTCTCCAGATTGATTTTGAGTTAGTACTTACTATTTTTAGATTTTCTTATTTTGTCTCTAGGCTACTGTTAAAATCAAATAAAAAATACTGAGTTTCAAGTTATTAAAGTTTGGTAGGATGAAAAATTTCTATGTATATAAATATTTATTCATTTATTATAAATAAATGTATAAATGTGTATATGTATGTATGATTTATTTAAAAATTTTCTATCAATAAATTGATTTTTATGTGGAGAAATTTTGAGTGGAGACGCTACAATTAGAGGGCTATGTATTTTATTTAATGCCCAATCCTCTCATTTTGCCATTTCATTTACAACCGAGATTTCTAGTGTCAAAAAACTATTTTACAAACTTTAAAATGGAAATGATAAATAATTAAATTGTTTATAAGTAGAGCCGACATTTTTAGGTTCCGACCTATTTTTTGCAACCTTGTAATGTTGAATAAAGCTCAAAAACACTTATTTGGCACAGTACCGTATTTCTACATAGGACCTATTTGAGCTTAAAAACCTGTTAACGCCTTTTTGAGACTATGTATGTCTATTTTGAACCTATTTTAGATCTTGGAGATTTTCTTAAAGTTTGACTATTTTTAGTTAATTTTATGTCAATTTTTGGCTGTAGTTTAGTCGGGACCTACTCAAAATTGGTCAAAATATACATATGTGATTTGGTTTTTCTAGGCTGAGTCGAACGGTACCCCTCTCTAGGTACGGAAATGGCCGTGGACCGAGATATAGGTCCCCGAAAATTGAAAAACCATAGGGGAGAATCATCATTCTATTTGAAATAAAGATAATCCTTAAGGATTTAAAAAATTGATAATTAAAAAATGATAACCGGGCAACTTTAGATTTAGACAATCTATATGTTATTCAAATTTCTCGACGAGCTGAGTCGATTGATACCAAAATGATCCCGCGGAAACAAACCCATTTAAACCATTGGGACCAATTTTCGGGTTAAAATTTTAAATAAACAAATAATATGTATCTTACTAGAAAGAGATCATCGAGCCAAGTCGAATGATACCAACTTCAGCCCAATTTGATGATTCTGAACAAAATTATACCTAGCTGATCTACCAAAGATGCCCTTCTTATACTTAAAAATTTCCAAATATCCACAGAAAAACAAACAATTTTCCAAAGTTTTACAATACATACATATGTATATGTTTCAATATTATTCAAGCCTCTATAAATCTGATAAGAAATTTTTTCATTTCCTTTTCAAATTTACAAAACTTTTTTGTTTAAATTCTTAAACAAAATTATCATTTCCATATACTATTTTCCTCTCATTTATAATTTCATCTTTTCCTTTTGTAAATTCATTTATTTTACTTTTTGTTGAAGTAGACTGCCCCAAGTTAGAATTTGTTGAAATAAAAGAATTTTGTTTTCGCTGTTCGTAGCAACCAATAACATCTACGTCAAGCACTCTACTGCAAGAAAGAGTTCCTTCGAATGCTTATTTTTAAAAAGAAAAATATGTTAATTATTTTGTGGGCATTTTTTGAATAATTTAAATACTTACAAGAACAAAGAACAGTTCCACAGGATTTTGGACTAAATTGGATTATTTTAAAATTAATATAAGCCGGGCTTCGATTTTACTTAACCCTTGAGATGAAAAGTTATAGTAAAAATAAGTTAAGTTGAGGATATCAATAAAGGGATCTTCCCATCCAATAGTCAAACTAAAAAGAATGCACCTTAAATTTAAGTTGTAGGTAAAATTGAGGGGTCCGATATCATAATCCAATGAGTAACCCCCTAAATAACCCTTTTGTAAATTCCTTTCTATGCATCATAAAAAATAAAATTAAAACCCCAACCAAAGTTCCCTTATTCTTTGCCAACTTCGATCACATAATCCATCTAATGCCCATTGACAGCATTGGTTAGTTAAGTCCTCTACAATAGACTTTTTCCCATTTTCATTTTTAACAGCCATCTTTTTCCAAGTCCACCATGGGAGTACTTTTGGAGGTTTTGAGTTATTATTATCAAAGATATTTTCTTTGGCTTCATTTATATTTTGTTGTTGCGTTGAATGATTAAGAATAAAAGCATCCTCCGGAGCTGAGGGACGACTATTTTTTGATTAGAGATATGTATATTAATTCTTAAAATTAAGTTTATTCTAATTGAACTGTAATTTAACCGAATACTAAATAATTTCTCTAATGATTTCCATCCCTTAAATAATTACCCTCCGATTTAAATACTGGAATTGTTTGGACTTGTAATTAAATATCAACGTCTTGTTAATTCATTTTTCTCAAATTTTAGCTCAAAATCTCAAATTAGACTAGATAATCTTTGACTCAAATTCTATTTTGTTATGACTTGTTAAAACCTACGGTATTGGACCTCTAATGGGTGGGCCAAATATTTCTATTTTTTGAAGATTTTTTGGCGATTTTAAAGAAGAATTATTATTTTTTAGTTTATCTTTATCCAAAATTTGTTTTTCTGCATAAAACATCTCAAAATCAACTTGTAATGTGTTGTCAAATTTTGTTGTAGATTTTAAATTATTTATTATTTTTATTGTTGTGGGGGGTTTTGTAGCAGATGAAATAAATTGTGATTTTGTTGAAATTGGGATAAATTTCGTTGAGGTTGCTAACTTTAAAGAATAAAATGGTCAAATATTTTTATTAACATTTAGTGTATTTTCTGGAATAGAACGGCTATTCTATGTCTCTCTCTTCTCAAAGGGCTACTCTAATGAATGTGGTCATCCAATTAAAGAATTAAATTAAATTCAATTAAATCCACCTTATTTCAACTATTACTTACCCTTCCTACAATACAAATCACTTGCGGTTAATTATCCCCACTAATGATAGGTTGAAAAAAAAATAACCGAGGTAATTATTCAAGGAAATATTTAAATAATTATTTACTTTTTTATTATGTTTTTTATTCTTTTTTGTTTGTTTTGGTGTTTTAATATTAGTTATTGTTGTTGTAAGTAAATCAGGAGGTATTAAAACATCTTTGTCTTGACTTAAAGGTAATAAAAATTCCCCTTCACCATAATTTAGCGGCAAATTAGTTGTTTTTAATAAATTTGTATTTTCTTTTTTTATATTTTTTTGTTTTTTATTTTCTTTGGATTTTTTATCATTTTTTGAAGAAAGATTTTCCCATATTCGATGATTTGGTTTTGTAAATAATTCTGCTCCTCCAACAAGTTTTTTTAAATGACGGCGACACTCTAATGGAACTTCAAAAAAATAATCTTTCTAAAATTTGTCATAAAATTTAAAATACGTTCATAACAACGTTGTCTCCGTATATGAACTGTTGGCCCACTCATTTGACAAATTTCTGAATCGATACGACATTTTAACTGGCAATTTTGATAAGCAGGTAACCAGATAGTAGAGTTAATATAAATATTTCCGCCTAAACATAGGAAATATTTTTTTAATTTTAATTTTATAAAAGTCAAAGAAAACAACATTTTCAGGAATTTTTAGGTAAATTTTCTCTTATTATCAGTGACTGAACTTTGAGATTTGCTCGTACTCGTACTTGCCCTATTTTTGGCATCGTACTTACTCGTGCTTGAGGAATATGCAAAAATTTTAGAATTTTTGTGATTTTTTGGAGCTAAATTCTTTTTTATTATTTGTTTTTTTTTTGAATTTTCATATCAAGAGAATTGTCGGTAAAGCAAGAATTCTTATTATCAAAAAAATTTTTTAAATAATAAACTCACAAAGCTTTTCATTTTGACGAATAAATTTAAAAACTTTTTGTATTGGTGAAGAAAGGGAATCTGCCAATAATAAATTTTCGTCTATTTTATTGTAAACGTTTTGGCAATTATAAATAAAGAAAATAAATGTGTTTAAATGAATTGACAGTAATCTTGAGGGTTTTAAAGGGAGAAAATATTTTTCTCTCATTAAGAAAATGAAGGATAATTTAAAATTTCTATAATTTTTCTAGAAAGAAAATTAAAATAATTTAAATAAAATTAAATAGATTAAAAGTTAAAAGGGAAATGAGTCTTTTTCGATCCGAAGATCCTAAGATAATTTTGACCTCAATCCCACATACATTGATACATTTTAGAGAAGTGAAAGATTTTAGAGAAGTCCTCAATAGAAAGCTTATGAAATATCTTCTACACAACGATTACAACTACTATATCTACAACTCTTCTTAGATTTGTTTATGTCTGAAATTAACAGGTAAATTTCCCTTGAGGTAGTTGGGGAAATTGATTTAAAGGAATTAAAAATACATATATAAAGAATCTTGAGGATCAAGATTCTTTCAGTTAATTTACAAATCAAAGTTTCGATTTTGTTGTTAGTATAAATTAAATTTTGACGCAAAAATGAAAAGCTGCTCTAATAGTTGCTTTTTCTGCCATCATTCAGACATTATGTCAGTAATAAATTTTTCCCACAACCAGACAATCTATCTCTATACTTATTCACTTCCCGCATTTTTATTCAATTGTTTTATGAACTACGCGGTTATTTTTTTGTAAAAACCATCAAATCACTAAAACAACTGGGGCAATGGGCGAGATGAAAAACAATGAAATGAGAATGCAATGAACAGGAGACAATTTCGGCAATGCCAAAAGAATCGTGAGAAATTAAAACAAACTTTTATTTAAAGACAGCCGTGGCGGCATAAAATAAAAATTCGGAAAATCAAAAAATTTTCAAGTAAAAAGTCTCAAATTCTCCAACTTTCTGGGACGGGTAACGTGTGAGCAACGTTAGAGATAAACAGAAAAGATGCTAATATTATCTAAACATTCAAGTAGAGTTAATGAAAATTAAGCATAAATGTACGAAGGGTTAGAAGTGATTTAGGGGGTAATTGGGGGATCCACAGTGATATCTAGAGATACCGGGAGATTTGGGAGATTAAGGATATCGGAGGTTAAGAGGATTTGGAGGTGCCACTGTCGGATTTGGAAGGATTAAGAAGTATTAAAACTAACAAATAAGACATGTCAAATTTTTCAAAAAATTTCAGTAATCGGGATTAGCGACCAAAATACGTCAGGAATTCCCGATAGTAGGATCCGTAATAGAAAATAGTTTTATTTTTATCCATCTTTATAAACAATTTGTAAAATGCGTGTAGTAATGTTGATGCGTATTTCTATTCTCATTTTTGTATACGTCCAATCCCAAGAGCATCTTCTCAAATCCCTTTTTATAAATAGGGTCAACAAACTTGGAAATACTCAAAACCGTGAAAGGGAAAATATTTTTTATGAAAAGGAGAGAAAATCGGTACTTTTATTTCTTACTTAAGTAGAAAATTTAAATTAGCAAATACTTATGCTTTTATTGAACCTAAAGCAAATATAAGTCTGAAAATGGATTATTCGCCCCTTCTTTAAAAGAGGGGGTGCTTTAATTTAAGAAAAGACGTTTAAAAAGACATAATTTGAGGAATTTAGTAGATTACTTGTGGGCCAACTGTAAGTAACTGAATGTGTAGTTAGGCACTCATTTGACCGAGCTAATTGTGAGCGAGCCAACTGACAATGAGCGTGGCCAGAGGTACCTTATAAAAACCCCCAATTAACTGAATGGTTTTGATTTAAAAAATCGAGATTGCGATTTTATGAATAAACTGGTATTGTAAATAAAAAACAAAAGAATAAAATAAAGGAAAGAAACAAAAATTATTCCATAAAATTCTCGTTGACATCAAATTTTAAAAAATTTCTTAAAAAAAGAATTTAAAAGAAGTTTAAAATAAATTACAGTGAAGACAAAAGATTTAAAAACGATAAAAATGCATATACTCATTTGGCCCGTTCTTTCTTTTATTTTTCCTTCTTTAATAAAAGACAGAATTAGCAAAATAGAACATTTATTTATTAATTTATTTACATTCTCTTATAAATTACTTATTCTGTTTCTTTTTTCATTTTTATATTATTGAATTTTTGACGGCAATTTTAAATTAATTATTTTGGCAATTTTAATTAATTTAATTTAAAAATTTAGAATTTCTATAAAAATGAAAAGACACGAAAAAGATGGAAATTTTATTATTCCAAAAATGCCAAAAATGAATGATGATACTATAAAAATAATAAATGCGACAACACCTTTCTCTTCGAGTAATGGAAAGACTGAATGTGAGGCTTTTTTGATTATTTTTAAATATTTAAATTTTTGGTAATAGTGTCGTTTTCAGTCCCTCTTTTTTCTTTTCCAAGTTTTTTCCTATAATTTGAACAGAATTGACAGACTTTTCCTCCCTCCATCACATTTGCCTTCCTTTTTTTCTAAAGAACTGAATAAAGAAATAATCATTCTTGATTGTTTGTAGGCAGAATATAATAAGGCAATTGTGATGGAAGAAGGAAAAGTCTTCCCATTCTGTACAAATTATAGGAAAAAATTTTGTGAGGAAAAAAGGGGAAAACGACACTATTTACCAAATTTTTTCCTAAAAATATTTTCTTAATTGAATTTCCTTTTATTTTATCAGCTCAAAGCAAAGCAACATCGTCTTCTCATCGTCATCATCGACATAGTTCAATTTGGACTGGATCCTTACATTTTGGAGAGCAAGTAGTTGAATCAGTAGACCTTCACCCATTAATTCGTGGATGTTCTAAACCTTTGGGATTGTTAGATTATTTTGTTCAAATTAATTTTTATTTAATTTTTAAAGTTCATCATGTTTGGAAATGCAGCAATTAACAAAAAGTAAAGATTTTGTTAATTATTGGCCGATACAAGAATTAATAAAAGAAATTACTCGTAATAACAACGAGAAATCTCCTCTTCTCAAAAAGCGTTCAATAATTATTTGTTCTTCTTCTGAACAACAAAAAACAACAATACCTGTCCGCATCTCTTATCTTTATTTAATTAATACATTTTCGCCTCTTTTTGCCAGAATTTGCAAAGAAATGGTCGAAAAAGAATTGGTTAATATTTTTAAATATTTTTTTAAATTTATTTAAAATTTTCAGGTAGCCTTTGGTCTCCTCAGCAATTCTTCTCTTCTTTTTCTCTTTCCAAGTGGCCCTCTCTCTACAAAGCTTGACATCCCTGCTCGCGATGGTCCTTTATTGCATTGTCTTTTTATTTCCGAATTTAAAGAACTTAAAAGCAAATTTGAATTATATAATTTTGAAAAGTAAAGTTTAATAATTTTTTATGGGAGCAGGCCAATGTACCGCTAGCCCAACCTACCGCCAAGGCTATAACTTTGTTCAGAATTGCGAATCCGGGATGCTCTAGTATGTTTTCGATGCGCCTCGACGAGCTGAATCCAACCTTACCAAGTCGTCTAAGATTCGACAATTTTGAACAAAGTTATAGCCTCGGCGGTAGTTTGGGCTACCGGTAGGTTGGTGTGTACCCAATTTTTAATAAATTTTTTAGTATTCCTCTCCACCCTTCTTCAATTGACAAATTCGATGGAAATGACCCAAAAATTATATCTGAATTGAACAATTACCACAAGGAAAGTAATGTGCCAATAAATGCCAAATTATTACAACCAAAACAATTAGAATCTATATTTACACCCAATCAACGCCCGCCTGGAGGCAAACCTGTAACTCCTTATATTCCAACACCTTCTACTAAATATCCACAACAATCATCAGTTAATCGACGTTTTCCTTCTGCTTCTCCAAATTTTAATTCTTCGAATACTAGACCTTCAAAGCAATACTTTCCTCCAAGTCAACAGCAGCAACAACAACAATTCCATCCTTATACTCAACAACAACAACATCTACCTACAACATCTACTAATTCTTCTAATTTTCTTTCAATGCTTCTTATGCCCCCTCCACCTCCTCCTCCCCCACCCCCACCTGAATCTGAGGATATTTCTCCTACTTTGGAACGTAAACAAAAAAATAAGGCAATGATTGCGAATGCTTTTGAGCAGATTCGTAGTATTGGAAAGGAAAAGACTTCTTTGGTCTGTCTAATAATGAGAAATCCTTTTTTAAATGTTTTTTAACCCTTTTTAAGAGTGAAGGAGGGACATCTTCAAAAATTACTCAAACTTCATTAGAACAACAAAAACAACAATCAGATAATTTAATTAGAGATCCGAGATTGTCAAAACGTTTAACTGAATCACAACAACCGCCACCTCCTCCTCCTACTTCTTCTTCTAAAGAAATTTTTGAAAAGAAAAATGGAGATATGAAAATTGAACAAATTGTTGAGGAAAAAGTTGAAGAAAAGGTATTTTTAACAAAATTTAAATTTTGAGGGATTCCTTTTTCGGAAAAGCTGCAATTTATTCGAATCTTTAAATAACAAATTCCTCAAATTAAATTTATTTATTTAGGCCAATATCAAAAATGAGCCAACCGAAATTTTGCATGAAACTTTGCCAATGGATATTAGTTATGGAGGTGATGCACTTGCGATGTCTTTACAAATGTATTTCTCATCGCCTGAGGAGCCTATGGAAGAGGATGAACAAATAAATACGTAAATTTATAAATAAGACAAAAACCCCGACCCGACCCCCGAAGACTCTATCACGGCAAACCCCGTTCCCCGACGATCCTGCCCCCGAAGGCTCGGGGTGCTACCCTAAAATAAATAAATAATTTTAAAATATTTAAAAATTTTTAGTGAAAATTCTTCAAAAGAAAATAAAATTATTGTTAAAGAGGGAAAGGAAATAAAAAAAGAACAAGAAACAATTGACAACATTTCTGGAATTGCGGGTGGAGAAATGCCTATGGATTTATGTTAAAATAATTTTGAGATATTTTTATTTAATACTTTTTGACTCCGAAAATTACTTTTAGATTATTTTTTTGGAATTGATTATACAGTGCCGGAAAAAAAGATAGGACCAGACGCCCACATTTTCCTTTCCGCAAATTTTCTTCAGAATTTTAGACTTTTAAGAGAAAAAATTTAATATAAAATATTGATTAATCTATCCTCTTTCAAATGAGTACAAATATTACCTTTTTGATTATCAATTAATTTTACAAAACATCTCAAAACAAATACTACTCAATTTTGGGGTGGAAAAAAAGATAGGACCAGGCTAGAAATATCGACTTTTGTTCGGTCAAAAATTCTAGAAAAATTTCAGTGAATATTTCCATCGATATTGAGTAGAAAAGAAAAAAGAACTGAGTCTGTACCTTATTTCTTCATCGAGATTTCAAATCCCATATATCAACGGAAAATCGGGGTACAGTACTTCAAAAAATATTTAAACCCCCTGGAGCTTTTATAAAAAATTTCTTTTGGGCCCATTAAAAAGCCCATAAAATTTGCTACAAAATGGTCCAAGTTTTTATTTTTCCAATAAAAACTCATAGAGATGGAGGTAAGGCAATTTTTTAAGTGATCATTTTTGGGGTATTTTGGGAAATTTTGAGCATTTTTAATGTAAAGTGGACTAGGATTAATCAGATATTTTTTTAGAAAAATTAATTTCCGGACTATTTTGTAGCAAATTTTATGGGCTTTCAGATAGGCATAAAATAAAATTTTTAATTTTGGATCTAGAGGGCTAAAACATTTTTTGAAGTACTGTACCCCGATTTTTCGTTGATTTTTGAGATTTGAGATCTCGATGACGAAATAAGTTACAGACTTTGTTCTTTTTAATTTTCTACTTAGTATCGATGGAAATGTTCATAGAAATTTTTATAGAATTTTTGACCGCACAAAAGTCGATATTTCTAGCCTGGTCCTATCTTTTTTTCCACCCCAAAATTGAGTAGTATTTGCTTAAAATTTTTTTAATAAAATTCTGTCGATAAAGTATACTGATATTTATACTCATTTTAAAGAGCACTTAATGGCCTAAAATTTTTGTGTTGAAACTTATTTTCTAAATGCCATTAAAAAAGAGATAAGCGAAAAAAACTAATTTAACAGCCTCTGGTCCTATCTTTTTTTCCGGCACTGTATTTAGATTTTTATTGTTTTCACTTTAAATATTGATTTTCTATTTAGAATATTTTTTGTTGTTTTTATGTCTTCCACCAGAGGTGGGTCGTAAATGACAAGAGTGCCGGAAATCGGAACAGTCGGAAATTGGAAAAGTCGGAAATCAGCCCAAATTATCGGAATTCCGACCCACCTCTGCCTTCCACCTATTGAAAAAACATTAAATTCTCTTACAATTAGTGACATTTTAATATTGACTAAATATATCAAAAATATTTGTCGCTAAATTTATTAAATTTTAATTTTCTAAATTTTTATTTTTTTTAGAATTATGGAAAACGTTAATCTTTGCAAAATCTGTCGAACAAATATTATTGAATTGATGTCATCAAATGGCACAACAAATAAAATAAATTTATTAGAATCTTCTTCAGATAATTGTGCTTTTTGTTTTGGTTTATTATGTGATGAAGAATTACACGAACAAATAGCAAACGAAGCTTTGAGGAAATTTTTGTTAGAAAAATTTGATGGAAATACTTTTATTTTAGCCATAAATATGCCAATTACTCAAATTTTTCGTGAAACAATTTTACAAAAATTATATGATTATGGAAGATGGGCACCAGGTTCAATGTCTCCAAAAGAATTACTTTCACGTTGTTTAATGGGGAAAATAGCTGAGGTTTTTTTTAATTTTTATATACATAATTAGGTGTTTTTCGTTTAGTAATTTGACTGTAATAAGATTATTTTGTATTTGGGTAACCATTCGGAAAGTCCTACCTTTTTAAAAAAATCTTTTTTTGATTTTTCTTGACCTTTAATCTGGCATTATTTAATCTTTGTTGTCAAATCTTTAATTTATTTTTCGGAGTTTTAATTAGGGTAGCACACCGAGCCTTGGGGGGTGGAAGTGTCGGGGTTTGACGGGCCTTCAGATCTGGGTTTTCGCCTAAAAGTTTGGCGGGGACGGGGTGCTACTCTTGTTTTATTTTTCTAAAAAAATTTATTAAATTTACTTTTAGATAAAAACCCCCTCTCAAATTTTAGAAAACAAAACTTCGTCCAACACTTAATTCTGATTTAATCTTGACTGTTTCTTTCGAAAATGATGAATTTATGGAAAGTGATTTTAATTTTGCTTTACTAAATTTTCCGAATCAATTTAATTCTACGAATAAAAAAAGAAGAAAATTAAATAATGAAAATAATAGAGACAAAAATTATTTAAATGATAATTCTGATTTTTCTCAATTATTAACTAAAGTGAAAGTTCGTTCATTGCCAATGACTAACGAGATTGCACGGTAAATATTTTTTTAATTAAAGATTACTTTCTGAATAAAAAATGGATAAATATTTAACTGATTAGATTATCTTTCTTTCTTACCTCGATTCAGGCCCGTAACGAGGATTTTTTTCGGGGAAGGGGGGGGGGGCACGTGGAAGAATAATTTATGCGCTGAATTTATTCACTTTTCCTCATATTCTTTTTAGAAAAAATTCTTTTTTCTGAATCCTTATTTAACATTTTCTTTTTTTCTGCCACCCAAAAAATTATTGTCACTAATTATTTTTTTTATTAATTTTGGGAATAATTCTTTAATATTTTTTTTTATTTTTTGGAACTACAAAATGCTTTTACCAACTAAACGTTGCAAATTTACTATTTCGATTGAGCGTGATCCAATTTTCATAGCTGGCCGTTATTGCAAATTTTCCAGAAATTTGCCTCAATCTGCTTGGGGATTTGATGGGGAAAATGGGCAAAATGGAGGATCTGTAAATATTTTTTAAAAATTTTTAAATTTTTTTGTTGATTTTTTAAAGGTTGGTGAACGAATTTCAAATGTTTTGGTTAAACATTTTGGAGCAAATTCTAGTCGGTTTACGCCTTCTGGGAGGGAGGATGTTGATGTTAGAATGTTAGGAACTGGAAGGCCTTTTGTTGTTCAATTATTAAATGCTAGAAGAACTTCTTGTTTAAATTATAAAAATTCTACAGAAAAATTGGTTAGGTTTTTTAAATAATTTTGAAAAGAATGGGGGAATTTGGGGGTCGTTTGGCTAGAAAATTGGTTTTTAATCATATTTGAAAAATTGAAGCGTTATTTAAAGGGATTTTGAAAATTCACGGGAAAATTTGACAGCAAAAATAAATTTTTCTAGCTATTTTTAAAGAACTAGAATTTTTCTTTATCAAAAAATATTTTTTATTTTTTAGCAAGAATTAGCAAATGAAATCAATTCAGATTCAAGAAAAGAAGTTGTTGTTAATTCACTTGCTCAAGTAAATGCTAAACAAGCTTTAATATTAAATGTTGGTTTGGAAGGTTTTTAATTTAATTTTTAATAAAAAGTTTTAAAATTTTTAAAAGAAAAAAGAAAAGTTTATTCGGCTCTTTGTTATTCTAAAATTCCATTAAAAGATGATTTTATTGAAAAACTTTCTTTAAAATGTCCAGTCGAAATTTTACAAAAAACAGCAATTCGAGTACTTAAAAGGCGTCCTTTGCTTGATCGTCAAAGAACTATTTTTTGGATGAAAGCACAAAAAGTGGATTCTTTTCATTTTCAGTTGAGATTGCAGGTGAATTAGTAATTAATTTAAATAAATTACAGAAAAATTAGAATAATTTCTTAAATTCAATTGAAATTCCCTCCTTGCATTTTTGGTTCCTGTTGTGAGCTAGAAGTCTCGCGGATATTTTAAGGGGGTTTTTGTAGGTACAAGATTTCGATTTTAGAGTCGATAGTCTTTTTATTAAACATTAATTAACAAAAAGTTTTCCATATTTTTTGAGGGAATTTTCTTTGCATTTTTTATTTTTTTAATCTTGAAGGAGTTTCTTGGCAGCTTAAAAGAAAATTTCTAAAAAAATATTTTTTAAACAGACTCAAGCAGGTACTTATGTAAAAGAATTTGTACATAGCGATTTTGGAAGAACACGGCCATCTTTAGCTGAATTAATGGATTTAGAGTTGGGCACTGTGGATATTTTAAGATTGGATGTTTTGTCTGTTGAATTAGAATGGCCACCATTAACATTAACAACAATGGCTCTTCAAAATGAAAAAAAAAAGAAAGAAAAAGAAAAAATTATTTAAAATAAAAAGAAATAATTGTTTTTTTATTAATTTGTTTTTTTTTTAAATTTTTTTAAATAAATAAATTGTTAGAAATTTGTTAAAATAATTTTCAACTAAAATAACGATATACTTTCTTTTATCTGTTCTTCAAAATAAAGTATGTAAAATCAAAAAAAATCCCTCAACTCAAGTGAAAACTTTAAGAATATGCAACATGTAACAGAAAAGTGTTTACTTTTAATTTTAAGTTTTGAGAGTTTGAACTGCTAAATTTCTTCAAAAAAATTTCTCTAAATTATTTAAATATTTATGAAAAATTAAAAGTTTTTTTCTCCCAAAGTTCAAACAAAATTCATTTGATTTTAATGGTTTTTTTTCCTTTTTAGGAATTAATTGTTTTTTCAAAAATTATTTAAAAATGTATTGAATATTTTAAAAATATTCTTGAAAATATTAAAAAAAAAGTTTTTTTAAAAGACTTTCTATTTAACTTTTTCCCAAAAATATATTTTCCAAAGATCCTTTTAATCCTCAGTTTTTTGGATTTAATGATTTTTTTTCTCTTTTTAATTTTAGTCTCCAAATTTCATTTCTTAATTTAAATAATCAATTAACTAAATAAATATTAAAAAAGTGAATACTTATGCAAAAATTAAAAAAAAATTTTTGGAAATAAAAATTATTTTAGCTTCTATCCCCAAAAACTACATACACACTAAATTAGCTTTGTTAAATAATATATTTTGTTTATAGCTTTTCTTTTTCTTTTCTAAATTTTTTACTTCAATTTAAACAAAAATCTCCCCAAAAATTCTTTTTTTTATTTTTCCAACTTTCTCTCTTTATTTTAATTTTTTTCTATTTTTAGCTTAAAATAATATTTAGTTTTTTTTTTAAATTCTTTTTTTTATTAATAAAAAGTCTTTGCCCTCTTTCCTGTAATTATTGCCATTTCTGGGGTTCTTTTGAAAATAAATTTTGTTGAATGGATTTTTTGATACTGTTTTTGACATTATTTGAAAATATTTATTTTTTAATTATTAATCATTTAAAAATTATTTTTTTGCTAATTTTTGCAAATAAAAAGAAAATATTTTTTTAATTAAGCTGTGATTGTTTTTGTTTTTTATGTCTTATGTGAGCTTTATCGGCCTTGATATTTTCTCATTTTCTAAAGAATTTCTAAATATATTTCAAATTATTCTGAAAAATTCGAAAATGGAAATTTTTTGAAATTTTATTTATGAAAAAAATATTAATATTTTTTGTAATTTATATCCGTGTGAAATGTTTGTTGCAACATTATTCTTTGGATTTTCAAATATTTAAATTATTTATTTTTAAATAAATATTCTAAAAATATATTAAAAATTATTTTTCTTTTTTTTCTCGAATGTAATTTTAATTTTCTAAAAAAATCTTTCTTTTTTTCCCAAAATAATATTTCTTATTTGAATAATTTTAAAATATCATTATATTTATTAATGTTAATTAACTTTAAAAGGCTTAATTTTGTTAAATGTAGCAAGTAAAGTTATTTAAATAAAATTACAAAAAAAAGGGGGGGGGGGAGGTTTTTTGAATGAAAAAATAATTTTAATTTATTCAAATTAAATATTTTTTTAAGGGGAAAAAGGTATTTTTGTTTTTAAAAATTAATTTTAAATCGAAAAACAAATCTAATTAAATTAAGAAGATACACTCCCTCTCCCTTCTTTAAAATTATTTTTATATATTATTCACCCCTTCCCCATTAATAATAATTATTAATTTTATTTTATTCACTCTTTTTTTACTTTTTTCAATCGTTAAAATTAGCTCCCTTATATTTTTACGTCAATTCCTTTTTGCCTAACATTTTTTCTTTTATTTACTTAATTATTTTGGAATATCTGCTTTTTAACAAAAAAAAAGATTTTCTTTTTTAATTTAACTTAACATCATTAATTTCTTTTAAAATCTATATTTATTTTAATTTTAATTTCCGCTTGGAAAGTTTTCTACATTTTTTAAAGTTTAATAATTATATATCCTTTTTATGTATATTTAATTTTTTAAATTATTATAATTAAATTGAAAGATCTCTCTCAGTAAAAAATTCTTTTTTTTCTTTCTTTACACCACCTACATTTATTTTAATTATTTTTCCCTTTTTTGTTTAATTAAATTATTAATTAATTAAAAAATATTCCTTGAGAGGATAAGAAGGTATTTTATTATTTTTTAAATAAAAATATTTATTCATAAAAGGTTTATAAAATTAAAAAATAAAAGATTTTTAATAACAGATTTATTTTAGAAATTAAATAAAAATATTTAAGTTAGCTTTTCACAAAGAGGAGTTAAATAATTATATTATTTTAGATTGCTAATAAATATATTTATTTTGAAATAAATAAATATCTTTAATTTTATATAAAATTAATTTTATTGAAATAAAAAAAACTACAAAATATTTAAATAATCTACATACTTTTTAAATTAAATAAATTCTTTTTGTAATTCATTCCTTTTTTTAATTAAAATTTATTTAATATTTTATTGTTTTAAATCTCCGGATTTAATACATATTTTTTATTCTTTTATTTTAATTAAATATTTAATTTGCAATTCTAGAATTTAATTTCTTTTTCCTTTTATTTAAAGAGTAGTCTTTAATAAAAAGAAATATCAAAAGCCCAAAAATTTCTGTCATTTTAGCGTGATTTAAATTCTTTAACAAAAAAATCTCTTCTTTTTAACTAAATAAATGTTTTAAAAATTAAAAAAGAAAAAATGAAAAAATTTTTTCTGAGAGGAACGAGATTTTTTTAAATTTTTTCTTTTTACTTAACTCCCAAAAGCCCAAAAATGATTTTAATTTTGTCTCTTTCCGGATTTAAAAAAAATTTCTTTTTTTTCCTTCTAAAAGTATTTTTGTTTAGTCTCCATTTCGTGATGATTATATTTATTTATATTTTCTTCTCTCTTTTTTTTCTTGTTCATTAGCTAAAAAGAAAATATTTTTTTAAAGAAAATATTTAAAGATTTATTTATTTTCAATTATTTATTTAGACTTTAATAAATGGATAAATTAACTACATCCAAACAATTATTATTTAATAACCAAACAAATAATTATTTAAATAAACAAGAAGATATTTTGGTGGTTGATTATGGAGTAGAAGATGATGATAGTTATTTAAATGAGTATGTTGTTGATTAACTAATTAGAGGGGTCTCTCCCTCACCCTCCCTCCCTCACTCACCCCCTCCCTCGAATGGGCCAACCATTAGAGGGTCCTACATTCCGTTCTCTTTTGGGATCCTGAACCTTTCTAAAAGCCGATTGATGTCTGGCACATTTAATAAAATTATTAGAACTTTCAGCATTTTGCGTTGCTTTTAAAAATATTTTTCAATTTATTTAATTAAAAAATTTAAGATTAACAGACGAGGAATATATAGATTTTGTAGCAGATTTTTTAAAGCCAACCCCAATAGAATGGGTGTTTGTTGTTCTCTTTTTTATTTTAATGGTTGTTGGTATTTGTGGGAATTGTTTGGTTGTTTATGTTGTTTCTAGGTTTTTTTTGAGAGGAATTTTAATTTTTTAATTATTTTATTTAAGGAATAAACATATGGTTGGGTTTTAGAATTTAATTAATTATTTAAATTATATTTCAGTGGACATCAATGAATCTTTTTTTAACAAATTTAGCTTTGTCTGATTTACTTGTTCTTGTTAGTTTTCTTTTAAAAATAATTCTTTCGCCTTAGTTCCAATTTAATTAATTTTTAAGGTTTTTTGTTTACCTCCAACAGTTTTAAATGATATTACAAAAACATTTTGGTTATCTGAAGGGTTTTGTAAAGCTATGCTTTTTGTACAGGCAAATATTTAAATAATATATTTTATCTATTTTTGGAATTATTAGTACATTATTTTAAATATGTCACATAATTTTATATGTGCAAAGGACAGAAAAAAATATTTATTTAATGATGTATTTTATTTTAAAAGAGAAAGATTATTTTAAATAATTACCGGAAATTCTTTTAAATATTTAATTAAAATATACGGAAATATTGAATAATTAAAAAATGAAGGGATGGAAATGACAAGAAAAAGAATTTTGAAAAAAGTTAAAAATGATTTTTGGACATTTAATTTTTAATTTCCAACTATACCTAATCCGGATTACACAAAAATATTTCCCCTTTTTCAAATAAATTATTTAAAATTAACAAAACAAAATTTTAAAGAACACATCAGTTTATGTCTCAGTCCTAACCTTAGTAGCAATATCATTAGAACGTTGGAAAGCAATATCAAAGCCTTTAAGCATCGCTTTACCTTCAAAGACAACTTGCCAATTTATTTTATTTATTTGGTTATTTGCTGCTTTTCTTTCACTTCCAGAACCTTTTACTTTAAAAACATTTTCTGCAGAATATGCTAGAAAAAATTTAAATACAAAAGTAAAAAATAAACTTTTAAAATTGAAAAATATTTAATTTATTTTTAGTGGGGTACTCGTTGTAAAGAAAGTTGGTCTCCAAGTTTTCAACAAAAATATCAATTAATACAAACATTAGTTCTTTTTATTGCTCCTTTACTTGTTATATCTGCATTATGTGTACATATGAATATTGTTTTAAGGCAAAAAGCTCTTCAGGTAATAAAATATATTTTTACACTCTTTAAAAATTCCATTAATTTTATTAAGTCCTTAACCAACATTATTTTATATAAATATTAACTAATTTAGACTAACAAGTCGAGCATAACCACTGCCACTTCGGAAGACATACCCGACCTAACCCGCCCACCTCTTTCTTATTCATAACTTTATTCCAAATTAACCAAACTCATTAATTTTGATCTCATTCTAATCAGCTCAAAGAGCTTATTTCAAATAAGCTAACTAAACCGATTTTTTTAAGTTGCTAATATGTATAATGGATTGAGGAGGGGGATTTAATCCAGACAAATTCCTCTCTATAATTTAAAATTTTCTTTTTATTTTTAATATTTTATTTATACTTTAAAAATAAACAGCAGATTGGTTCTCGCCATCTACGTGAAAGACAAAGAGCAATGAGAATGCTTATTGCTGTTGTTCTTGTTTTTGCTATTTCTTATATGCCTGTTCATTTACACAACATTGCCGCGTAATTATAATTTTTTTATTAAAATTATTAAAAAATTTTAAAAATCTCTTTCGATTCTTTTGCGATTTTTGAACCTATTTTGGCACTTAAAAACATAAAATAGGAACCTATTTCTTAATTTTCGGGCCTAAAATGTCAGACTCTAATTATTAAATTATGTATTTATTTAAATAAAAAATAAGAACTGATATATTTGTATAAACTAAATTTTTAAATCAAAAAGAAAAAGTTATTCTTTTAATTTCTAGAGCCTTTCAATTTGACCGTTGGGGAAGTGATGAAGATGAACAACAACAACAGCCTTCATTGATATTAATAGCCTTAAGAAAATTTATTCCTCGAGTAATGAGTTATTCTTCTTCTGTAATTAATCCAATTACTTATAATTTTATGAGTGGTAATTTAATTAATTTAATTTTATTCAAAAAATTTTTTTTCTAAGAAAAATTTCGAAAAGAATTTCGTCGTGCTTGTTGTTGTGGAGAACAAAGGAAGGAGTCTTTAAATAGAAAAGAGTCAATGATGGCATTTAGAAGGCCTTCATCTTTTTCGCCGGCAAATGCACAAAGACATCATATACCTTTATCTAGAAGATGTACAGCACTTTCACAATCATCTGCTGCACAAATGCTTTAAAAAGAAGGGTCTAGCTAGCAACCAAGAAGAAAATTAAACCTTCAAGTTTAATGATAATTCTTGCTTAGCTTCAATTATACCTTTGCGGATGCTCTACCGACAAAGTTTCCGAAGGGAAAACTTTGCTTTCTCTTTTATCTCTTATAGATCTTTAACTCAAGCCTAAAGTATTTTAAATGTTGCCAGAAGAATTTTAATTTTAAACATTTTAAATTTACATAAATTTTAATTTAAAATAAATAGATATTATTGCTTAAATAATAAACTTTGCCTAAACTTTTGATCATGAGCCTTGTCAAGACTTCCTAAGGTTTTTTGATCTCGATCTTGGAGTCAAACCTGGTTTTGATTTTTTGAGGTAAAAATTGATATACATAATGGTTAATCCACGATAAAAACTGAAGCAACCTTGCTATATATGTACATTTAAAAAATTTAACTTCAATCATTCAAATAAATAAAAAATAATTTATAAATTTGTTATAAAATTTTTATAATATCGATTAGAAAAAAATATACATTTAATAAATTAAATTTAAAAAAAGGAATAAAATATTTAAAATTAAAAAAAAAAGAAATTATCAAAAATAGCAACAGCAAAAATCGAATAAAAAATATTTTTTAGGAGAAAATTACTAAAAATATTTCTAAAATGAACAAATTAGTCAATTTAAATTTAAAAATAAATAAAATTGTCAACGGGCAGTTTAATTACTTTTTTTGCCAGGTAAAAAGGGGAATTAAATTAGTGGAAAATTGGGGATACATAGTAAAGATTAATTAAATAAAGAAAAAATATTAATAAATAAATATGTACATATTGCTTTTTGTGACTTTAATTGAAATTAATAAATATTTACACATTCTCCTTTTCTAGGGAAGAAAAAATATTTTTAAAAATTAATTAGCCCCATCACGCAAACATAAATTTAATGGCTGTTCTTCTTCCTCCTCTTCTTTTTCTTCTTCAACATTATTTTTATTTTTTTCTTCTTCTTCCACAACAATTACTAAATCCTCCTTTCCTTCCTCTTCCTCCTTTTCATCTAAAATAGAAATTAATGGAGGTCTTTCAAGTAATAAAGCCATTTCTTTATGTCTTTCTCTTAAACTTAATCCATTATTTAAATTATTATTAATTGTTGGAGAAGGTATTATTTGTTGTTGTTGTTCTAAAACTTGTCGAAGTATTGGCATATCTAAATATTTATTTTTAATTAATTTTTTTAAAATTTATTTTATTTTTTACCCAATTTTTTATTTATTTGTTGTTGTTGATTATTATTAATTTTAATAATTTCTTCCTCTTTTTTATTAATTTCTGGTGATAATATTTTATTTTTTAATAAAAATTCTTTTTTATTATTTTCTTCTTCATTTTCCAATATTTTCCTTTTTCTGTTATTTTCAATTAAATTTATTTTTGGAGAAAAAAGTTCGAAAGGAATATTTTTGCAAATATTGGCATTTAAAAAATGTGAATAAAGTTCTTTACACTTTTTGAGACTTTCAAATAATGATGCTAAATTTTGTCGATCCTAAGAAAAAAAATTATTTATATTTGAAAAAATGAGTAAAAGTTTTCTTAAGTTTTTATTTGCTAAAACAGAAAAATCTCCAAAACTCAATAAAATTTATTTAGTCACAAAGGACAAATTTTTGATTATTATTCCGTGGCTATAGTACTTAGGGGACTATAACCCTACATATGTATATTGTAATATATATTATTGGTCTGGCGTAGAATACGCAAGAATTTTTGATTTTATACTAAAATCAAAAAAGAATATACTCTCTTACCAATAAATCAGTTCTCAATGGAGTAGGCCCAAATCCACACTGAGCAGGTATTGGGTGTTGTTGTAGTCTAGAAACATTTAAAGAATAATTTAATAAGCTCGAGAATTTTTCTCTAATTCGTCTACAAACAGCTTGTCCCAATTGGTCAGATTGCTCATCCCAGGCATTTATAAAAGTATTTGCTGTCATTCCATTAAATGATGCTGTTGAGGTTGCCCCTCCAGAAGCACATTCCCCCGCACCTTCTAATCGACAAAGACAAACAGCTGCACAAATAGCTAATTGTTGATCTGATAGAGGTAAGTCCGTCGGTCTACGAGCTGCTCTAAAAATTAATAAAATTTGTATTTAAAATATTTATGCCTATAATTAACATATTTCTCTTGGGGATTAGAAGTTTTGATATTAAAATGGACAGAGATTATAAAATTGAAGATAAACTTAGAGGAAATATAAAAAGATGTTGCCGTAAACACTGTATTAATTACCCTGGGCAATTATTGTTACGATCTCTCTCTGGAGGTGTAAATAATAATGGTGGGGTAATTATTTGAGGGAGGGTAATAATACAGTATATACGGTACTTATTAATAGTGAATAATTTTAATTTAAAAATTAATTATTTACCTTATTCTAATGATTAATTCAACTGTGCAGTCACGTAGGGCAGAAAAGGAAGAAGTTGGAAGAAGTAAAGCTAAAGGAATATTAGCCAAATCAAAAAGTCTATCATTATTTGGAAATAAACGAAGTGAACAAAATCGAAGAAGAAGAACGGGGTATAAAGATTCCTTTAAATTTAAAAATTTAATAAAAATTAAAAAAAGGTTTGGAGTTTTTTGAATTAGAGGGTATTTATCCTCTCCCAATGGCAATAGCCAAGAATTGAGAAGAGAAATGAATAATATTTCTCAATTTAAGAACACAGAATGATCCACAAATAGAATTTAAACCCCCCTGCCTAGAATGTAACAATTAGACGGTTATTGTAGATATCAGAATGGCAACAAATGGTATCCCCATAGAAGACTTTGAGTACCCGGTTTTAGGCACAGAAGTCAAGTCAGGTCTAAATATCCGGAGACCAATGAGAGAAAGAATGAAGTACAGATTTAATTTCAAAAATATTTTACTTTTAAAACTTGTGCTTGATCATCTATCCTTAACAACCGGAAACCTCCAATATTTTCAGCAAAACGAACAACAGCTTTTGCCAATAAACATAATTTATTACTATCAATAATTTTTTCTTCTTCAACATTATTTTCTTCTTCTTTTCTTTTTAAAATAATTCTCAAATCATTTTCTAATTCTTTCCACCCTTTTTCTAATTTTTCTAAAAGACGTTCTTCATTACTTAATTCAAAATTTAAATGTTCAAAAACAGAGCGAACTGAATCTCTTCTCATTTCTTCTCTTAACTTTTCTTTTTCTCTTTTAGGGACACGACCGTAACGAACACCTAAAAGATTAAGTTATTATTTAGAGAAAATTTACAAAAAATCTGAAGAGATTGAGATAAAAAAATTAGATTTATTTTAAATATTCGAGCTCTTCTAAAATACCGTCCACAAAACAGCGCAAAATCTGACGGGTTAAATTGTTAAGGAGCCAGTAATACTTCGGAAGTCCCCCTCCTTTCTTCTACTTTTCCCTGACCATTTCGAGCTTTTTTGTTTTGGTATATAATTTATTATATATCATTCGAGATTATACATATATCATCCAATGAACACTTAAAGTCCTCCAGTTATATTTTATGACTCTCAACAAAATTATGAGCTTAATCCTCTCTGGAAGAGCTTTTTGTGCGTTGCAAGGGTAAAACAAATGGTCGTAAGTTTATTTAAGTCCGATTTTGTTGATTTTAGTGCCATTCGACTCAGCTCGAAGATCTGAGTCGAAGGAGAAAAAAGGGAGGGCGATTCCCGAAATATTACCGAGGAGCCTATTGAATACAACAGTATTTTAGCCTAGTATGCTAAAAAATTAATAGTAAGAAAATATATTTTCCCTTTATTTTCTCATTTTTTACTTCCCTCTACTTTTATTTCCATTTGTCCTCAATCCTTCAATTCCATCTAAATTCTGTTCTGCGCATCGACGCGTTGAACTCCAAATAAAACGACCTTGGCCGATTGATAGAAAATACAAAAAAAAGAAAAATAGTAGGTCGTTTAGAGAGGAGATTTTTAAAAGAGAAAAAAATTATTAGAAGAAGATTGTCGAGGCCATAGTCATTTTTCCATCACAAAAGATATAAAAAAGAATTAAAAAATAAACCGGAAAGGAAGGAAAAATAATTTTTAAGTGTGAAGTAGTAAATGCAGAATTGAAGGCCAACCAAAATTGGGGAAAAGAAGAATAAAATTAAGAGGAAAAGATGGAACAGCCGGTCGAATTGCCAATGCTCTTTTAAACAGGGCTCCGATCGACAAAATGCCACTCAAAAGTATCAAAATCTTGTAAAAAAAGTACATAGGGAGAAAATTTACAAATAAAAAGTACACTCAAAATTAAATTTGAAAATATTTATTCGTGATCAGATCTTTTATATTTCTCTCTTAAATTAATCTTTTCTAATAATTTCTTGTTTCAACTGAGCATTTTGTTGACATGTCAAAATTTGCTGTCACATGAAGCAAAGCTCTGACAGTCTTAACCTCAAGCGAGTTTCTTTCTTTCGTCCATTGAATGTTTGCCATTGAGAAGCGCCGCAGGCGAAAATTTTTTGAAATTTGGAGCCTAAGAAGCCAGATTTCTTCCATTTTTTGCGCCGCAGGCGAAAATTTTGAGAATTTTGGAGGTCCTTAAGCCAGATTTCTTCGTTTTTTCAAAAATGTTGATAAAAAAGTACATACTTTCAAAAAAGTATAAATTCAATTTCGGAAGTACGAAGGTCGATAAAAAAGTACAATACTTTTAAAAAAGTACGAATCGGAGCCCTGTCTTTTAAATAAAGATATAATGTTTGTTGTGTTATAAATATAGGTATGTATTATTTTAGCAAAAAAGGACAAAGATTAATTTAAGAGTAGTGTTCTTAGGGCAAGATTATTATTATCAAGAATATACAGGGTGCGGCAAATTAGCGGCCGCTTTTCTTTTGGCTACAACTTTCTTGATTTTTAGTGAAAACCGATAATTCTTTTTTTCCTGGATTCCTGATACTCTAAGAATTTTTCTGATAGCAAAATCGTTTTCAAATTTGATAATTTAGTTTGATTAATAATCTCTCAAAGTTTAATTCAAATTTTTTTAATAAAAGATGGCCTGGATTCAAGGCTATTATTTCAATATGAGAAATTTATATATCATTCGAATCAGCTCTCCAATCTGATTCGAATGACACCAAAATCAGTTGTCTATCACGTAACTGGACCGAGATATGGCTTAGTGAATGATTTATTAAAATAATTTTAACAAATACAAAATTTTAGAGTAAAATTTTCAACAATGAAATTATAAGCTAGTTCGATGCGCTTGAACAATACGAGTCGATTGGTATTAAAATCATCGGGATTGAATAATTTTTGACGAAGTTATGATCAATTAAAGTTTGACAAGAAAAAATGTTTTTTGATGTTCTTAAATGTTTGGACCGGCTTATCTTTACCATGTGTGGACCAAATTTTTATTTTTTGGTACCAAAAAAATTCTTAGAGTATCAGGAATCCAGGAAAAAAAGAATTATTGGTTTTCATTAAAAATCAAAAAAGTTATAGCCAAAAGAAAAGCGGCCGCCAATTTGCCGCACCCTGTACATATTAGAGTTAAAAGGATATAAAAAGAATTGGCAGGTGAAAGATTTGTGGACGGAAATACAGTCGTCGACATAAAGATAGGGACAAGAGTAACTGAAATGAAAATTAACTATTTTTTATTCAAAAAATACGTTCTATATAGCAATCGAAAACTCTATTTGTATCTCAGTTGACATGTTTCTGCATTTTTCATGAAAATGAAAATTGGCCGAGATAATCCGGATCTACCGGATATAGCAAATCCCATATCCTCGGAAAAATTTTTCTGAAAAAATTTAACAATTTTTGACTGAGAAAATAGTTAATTTTCATTTCAGTTACTCTTGTCCCTATCTTTATGTCGACGACTGTATGTATTTTTGTTAGTAAATTAATTAATTCTCAAAATCTTTATTTAAAAATTTACCGTCTTTAGACATTCCCGCCTCTATACATTTTCTCCACCTACATTCTTGACATCGATTACGGTTTGCACGAACAATTTGGCATTTTTGACTTTGAGTGCAAGGTCTATAGTCAATTTTGTTTTGTAAAGAGCGTCGAAAGAATCCCTTAAAAATTAATTTTTTTTAATTTTTATTTTCTTTTCAATTTTTTTTAAATTCAAATACATATTTAGGTTATATCCGCTTTTTAAAAATTTTTATTAAAGATCCCTTCTTATTTCTCCTAGACAAGAAATTTTCCTTTCTCTTTTCTAAAAACTAAAATAAATGAATGTGACCTACTTTTGCATATTTATTGTCTGAAGAGAAAGTAAAGAAGTAAAAGTAGGTCTACACATTGGGGGCATATAATTGAAGATATTGAATGACCCGATTTTTAAGAAGGAACATTTTACTATATATTTCTTTAAAATAAATGGTTGACCTAATACTTTAATGGAAAGGAAGGGATAAATACATAGTAGATGAACGTGACTTGTGTGTATTGGTCAAAAATTTTAAATTCTAAAATATTTTTTGTGAAGTTTTTGGGAAAAATTGGAATATATCTATGTAAATCAGGACCGGATTTCCTTCCACCTTCCGCAGAATTCCGCTTTTACCGTTATTAGAAATGAATAAAAATATTTGTAAGTGTCAGGAATTTTAAACAACTCTAAAGTAATAATTTTGAGAGAATACCCACCTTACAACCTTCACAAGAAAATATTCCGTAGTGAAAACCGCTGGCTCGATCAGAACAGACTTTACACAAAAGTATTTCTTCACCGGCAATAATTGTGGAATAATCCGGATTTGCCTGATTTGTATTGTTACCTAAAAATTATTTTTTATTTAAAATTTTTAATAAGAAGTGAAACTTTTTTTACAAAAAAGATTAGCTTTAAAACGAAAGAATAAAATTTAGACAGTCTAAATAATTTGAAAATTATAACAAAAAAAATTTTCTTTTCACACTTCTCTCCAACTACTTTAAAATACACAAGGTTTTAAACTTAAAAATATTTAAGAATTGTCTGAACAAAAAATTTATAAGTAAAAATTAGACCCAAAATTTAAATAAAATTTTTTTAAATTTTTAAAAAAATATGTATTTCCCCCCTCTTTTCAATCTTTTTTCTTTCAAATACAGACTACTATGTATGTTCATCATTTTAATGCTCCCAATTGCTTACGCGCCCCAGTCTATTTTATTTTTATTTGGTCCGATTTAAAAAGCTTTTTTCTCTTCCAATTTTTCTTCCAAAATTTTTGTGTATATATCCTTATATGTATTTTCTTTTTTTCTATTTATTCCATTTTCAATTCATTCCCCTACTTCTCCCATTTATTTTTTTTTCGCAATTCCCCTCACCCCCCCCCCTTCCCCCACTCCAAAATTCCAATTTTCTCCGGTTCTATTCATTGGGTAGAAAATGAAAATGACAGTCTCATTTCTGCGCGGACATATAAAACACACTTCTTCTTCTGCTAAAAACAGTCTCACACACGCAGAGAAATGAAAATCCAGTTTTTTCAATCCCCCAAAAAAGCGGAGATTGAATGAGGGGAGAAATAGACAAAAATCGACCTACCGACCAGATTTTTAGGTAAAAAAAAGAGTGAAAAGAATATTTTTAGAGGGGTGAGAAAATTAAAAGAGAGGAGAAAGTGTGTTTGAAAAGCTGTTTTGGGGGGTTGGAAGGGTGGGGGGGGGGGTTTGGGGGAATAAAAAAAGAGAGAAAGGGAAAACTGCGACTGGAATTTTTACTTCTCTGGATCATCAAATTATAAATATATATTAGCACGCTTTTGAATGAAAAGAAAAAAAAATTGTAAAATAAAATGGAGTGAAGAAAGCAAACAAACCCTGGAGGCAAATAAGAGGCGACATTGTAAGGACAACAACACGAGGTTTTGGGGATTATGATGAAGAAAGTATAGATATATTTTATAAAAGGAAGAGAGATTAAACATTAAAAATTAAAAAAATTGAAAAAAATTTTTATTTAATTTAATTGGAAATTTTTAGGATTAGAGAAAAGAAATATTTAGTGTTAATATACATAGGATTTTTTAAAAATCCGTAGATTATTATTTAATTAAAAATTTGGAGAGTGATCAAAGAGATTTTGTTTTAGAAATAAGTAATAAACTAATTTTTGTTTAATTTTCAGAATTTAATAAAAATCATTAAAAAAATATTTACACAAATAAACTTCATAAATTAATCGAAAAAAGAATAAAAAATTTAAAAAAATTTACCTTCAATATTTGTTTGAGCATTATTATTTCCATTTATTTCTGTAATTTCCCCCTTTGTTTGTTGTTGTTGTAATAATTTAATTAGTGCTTGACCCAAAAGTTCATCAGCACTTGTTGAAGGTTTTGGGGTAAAATTCTTTTGTAACGAGGGGGAACGTTGTTGTTGTTGTTTTTGTTGTTGTTGGGATGTTTGTTGTTGGGGCTTTAAAATTAAATATTTTAAATTATTTTTTTAAATCTGTCAGATTTACTATATTTTAAAAGTTGCCTAATTAAAATATATTTTTAAAGTCCTATTAAAAAAAATATTAAAAAAAATATTTTTTAAATTTTTAACTACTTTTAATTCAATTTTTTGTTGTTTAGGCTCTAATTGACGTTGTTGCAACACAGATTCTTCAGATAAAAAATAAGGAGAGGAAGTTTTGTTTATTGTAGTTAATTCAGAATTTTGTATTGAATTATTAACTAATTTAAAGGCAGAAGTTGGAATTAAACCAAAATTTTGCTTAAAAAATATTTTTTAAATAAAATTTTATTTCCCTTTTTTCTCTCAAATTTTAGAGAAAGAGAGAAAATTATAAAAAATAATTTTTAAATAATTTATTTTTTTACCGAATTATTTTCTAATAATTGAGAAGCTTTGGCTGTTTCCGAAGCTTTAATTCTTTCCAACATTTGTTGAAAATGTGCTAAAGCAACTAATTGATCAAATTGTTGAGGGGGATATTGTTGTGGTTGTTGTAAAGGTATTTGAAGTATTTTTGTTGAAATTGGGGAAGAAATTGGGTATTGTTGTTGTTGGGGAAGAAGAAGGAGAGGATTTAAATTATTTGAATTATTTAATGAAGGGGAAGAAGAAAAAGGAATTGAAGAGGAGGAAGAAGAGGAAGATGTTGTTGTTGTTAGTGGACTGGACATTGAAGGTTCAAAAACACGTATAGAAGGGGGGACGTGACGAATAACTAATTGTTGTTGGTGTTGTTGGGGTTGTTGGGGTGGCTAAAAAAGAAATTAAATTTTAATTTAAAAATAATTTAAAAGAATTTTTTGTTATTTACTCTAATAATAAGAGAAGAGGAGGAAGAATTTCCTCTTAAATGTTCAGGAATATTTTGAAGAATATTTTGTTGTTGTTGTTGAGAATTAATAATTGTTGTTGTATTTGTTGATGTTGGAGAGAGTAATGTTGGTCTAATCCAGGCATTTAAAAACATTTGTTGTTGCTGTTGTAAATCCATTTTTTAATCAAAAAAATTATGTAAAAATAACTAAAAAATTATTATTAAATAATTAAAAATTGTTTTTATTTAAATAAATATTTATTTTATCTTAGATTATCTTTGGAAGATTTTGTGGAATAAAATAATGTTGTGGAAAAGGGTTAATTAAAATTTATAAAATTTCTAAACATTTTCTATTGATAAATTTCAAAATCGCAACCCTAATAAAAATTAAATAAAACCTCTAAATTTAAAATATACAGTCGTGGAAAAAAGTATGGAAGCGCTAGAAATTTTTTTCTTAATTCTTAATTTTTTATTCAAAAAATACGTTTTATATACCAATCGAAAGCTCTATTCGTATCTCAGTTGACATGTTTCTGCATTTTTCATGAAAATGAAAATTGGCCGAGATAATCCGGATCTACCGGATATACCAAATCCCACTTTTTCGGAAAAATTTTTCGGAACAAATTTAACAAACCCAAATGATAAAGCATATTTTTCTGAGTATTTTCCACAAAACCGCTTAGAAATATCTTTTTCCGGAGCAGAGATATGATTTTTTGAAAATGGCATTTTTCGTCTATTTTTGCAAAAAATTCAATTTTTAAGGGAAAAATGCCATTTTCAAAAAATCATATCTCTGCTCCGGAAAAAGATATTTCTAAGCGGTTTTGTGGAAAATACTCAGAAAAATATGCTTTATCAAATGGGTTTGTTAAATTTGTTCTGAAAAATTTTTCCGAAAAAGTGGGATTTGGTATATCCGGTAGATCCGGATTATCTCGGCCAATTTTCATTTTCATGAAAAATGCAGAAACATGTCAACTGAGATACGAATAGAGCTTTCGATTGGTATATAAAACGTATTTTTTGAATAAAAAATTAAGAATTAAGAAAAAAATTTCTAGCGCTTCCATACTTTTTTCCACGACTGTAAGACCAAGTATTCAATAGAGATTTTTAGAAATTTATTTTTTTTATTTAAACAAATGTTAATAAAATAGAAGGGAAAGGAGAGGATTTTTTATAAAAAAAATTTAAAAATCATTTTTGGATTGACACAAATAAAATATAAATTAGGTACAAAATAAATTAAAAAGATTTAAACCACAAATCTCGATTATTTGCCCATATGACAAGCGAAAAGAGAGTGAAAGAAGGAAAATATTGGGAAATTCTTTAAAGGATTTATAACTAAATTATGTTTAAATATTTAATTAATAATTTAAGGAAAATTAAATAAAAAATTTAAATAATTTAAAAAAAAAAGTTTAATTTAAAAATTCTTTTAAATTAAAAAAATTATTAGAGAAAAAAAAAGAATTTTTTAATTAAAATATTTATTTAGAAATATTTGGGTAAAATATATAAATACTTCCAAATAAAAACAAAATTATCAGATAGATATATACAAAATAGGGCAATTAATCGAATCAAACAGAATTTTTAGTGAAATGCCCCAAAATCAGAAATTGTTTCATTCATTCAGATTAACTTTCAGGAAAAACCTGATTTGAGTTTTTTTGGAAAGATTTTTAAGAGAAATTGGAAGAAAAATGAAAAGAGGGATTTTATGTAGGGAGAGAGGAGGAGGAGGGCAATCAAAAATACCCTCTCCCCCCTTCAAAATAAATTCTATTTTCTATCACGTTTGCGCATTTCCCTCCACATTTTTTCAACAATTTCTGCCATCAAAATTGGGCTGTTTCCGTGATTATTTGGAAAAAAGAATGCGCGGAATACTAAAAAGTTGAGGAGAAAATGAAAAAAATTTTTAAGGAAAATGAGTGGAGGGGAAGGGTCGACATTGTCGGAGAGACTTTTCTTTCTCTTTTCTTCCCTTTCATTAATCTATCAAAACCCCGCCCATTTTTCACATGAATCCGCCTTTACCCTCCTTTGCAGACGTTAAGTGGCGCGCGAATCAGGCATCAGCGGCGACAAAATGATCGCAGACCAAATTTGGATAGAAAAGGAGGTCTTCCTCTTCTCTTCCCTATCCCTATCCCTTATACTCTCTAACTACATATTTAATTGAAAGAAGATATATAAAGGGATTTAAATGTAATTTCACATCGGTTATGAATGAGAGAGAGAGAGAAAGAGAAAGAAATAAAGATCCGGGGAGGGAGAGGGGAATGGAGGGGGGGGGGGATAAAAAATAACAAGTGGAGAGGGGAGATCCGCCTTTATTGAATAAATAGGTCAGGGCTGGGGAGAGAGAGAGAGAGAAAAGAAGATTTATAAGGAAAGAGAAGGGAAAGTGAAAGGATTTGGTAAGATATACTAATTTTAATTATTTTATGTCAAAAATATATCTAAATTGTGACTCGACTTTAATTAATTTATGTCTTTTAAATTGTTTAAAAATTAAAGGGCATCTAATTAAATAGTTTTAAATTAAAATATAAATTATTAGTTTTTATAATAAATTTTGATTTTTTGAAAACTTTTGAAATAAAAATAAAAATAAATAAATTAAATAAACAATAGCTTTTTTACTTAAATCTTCATTCAAAGAAATATCTTTCACTTATTACCATAATTAAATAGTTGCCCTCTCCCCCTAATACTTATCCCCTTTCAAAACAATAATTACTCAAGGTAATTATTTTAGAATATATGGTAAATAAGTAAATAACGATAAATTTTAATAAGAGTTCAATAAAATTTAAACTTTTATTTTCTGATTTCTTAACAAACAAACTACATATTTATTTTGGATAAAAAAAGAAAATTAAAAATATTTAAAAATAATTAACAAATTAATTATTTAAATCAAAACAATTGCCAACAAATTTTTGAATCGATTTAACTCCGTTGCGCAAATTTAGAATAAAAATATATAGGTGGAGATTAAAATAAATAAATTTTGTAAGTATATAACAACAAAAAAAGAAGAGCAGCAACAAACACATTTCCCCAATCCTTTTTTATTTTTATTTTTGAAGGCCATTTTTATGGGGTAAAGACTGTCAAAAAATTTGTTAGTTTTCAAAAAGTTTTTTTCAACCCCTAAATACACAAAGAAATTTCTGGAAAGAAATTTTTGATTGAGTGAAGAAGAAATCAACAAAAATAATTAAAAATAAATTATTAAAATAAAAATTACCTAATTTATTTTTTATAAAAAATCCTTATAATTGCCAATTTTATTATTCATTATTTTCTTTTATTAATTTTTAATTTTTTATTATTAAAGAATATTTATTTATTTATTTTCCATTTTGGAGTCTATAAATTAAAAAATTATTTTGTAGAGCATTTTAAACGTTAATTCAATTTGACTTTAATTTATTTGGAAAGAAAATTTTTGAAAAAGAAAAACTTTTGATCATTTTATCATTTAAATGTGAACAAATTTATAATGTACTCCAAAATAAAAAGAAGAGAAAAGGAAGAAGAAAATTGTTACAAATTGTTTGCAACAAAATTAAAAAAATAAATTTATATTTTAATTTTTTTAATTTAAAAATAAATTTTAAAAAAATAAAAAAAAATATTTAGTAACACTTAAATAATGCTTAAACACCTATATTTGTTAATCCGAAATGTCTAAAAAACTTGGAGTATTTCTAGAATATTTTTAATTAATTAAAAATATTTTCAAATTAAATCAGTTTTTCTGTTTTTACGTCTTTTCTTTCTTTTTTTTAATCCAAATTATTGGGTCACAAAAATTCTTTTTATTTATTAAATGTGTTCAAATACCTTCTAAAATAAATAAAAATAAATAATAATTGTGCGCAGATTGCCCGCTAAATGTTAGAAAAAATGGCGCCAAATTTTTAAAGGCCATTTTTTTGCTAAAAAACGACAGATTCGGCCACCCAAAAATTTTTTTTCTTTTTATTTATTTTATTCTCTTCGAGGCCAACGGGTCAATGTCATGCAAGGGACCACACAAAAAACATTTAATAAATAAATAAATACAAATATTCTTTACCCAATTAATGTTTTGAGGGGAAATATTTAAAAAATATTTAATCTATGTATGATTCATGAAATAAAGAAATTAGCGCAGTATGTAAAACAATTTTGGATTATATTAAAATTTAAATAAATTACAAAATAATTAAAAATTAAAAAAAATTTTTAAGTAAAAATTCCAAAGAAAATCTCTATGTAGAGGAGGGCATTTAGAAATTTAGTAAACAAAAGGAAATAGGTAGATATAATTACTTGGATGTAATCATCCGGTGACCCTAGGACATTGTATTTACAAAAGAGTTTTGTATTATTTGGTATTTAAAATACATATTTACAATAGAAACTACTTTATGTAAAATTATTTTCTTTTTATTAATTTTAGAAATATTTAAAAATCAAAATAAATTAAAAATAAATTATTATCTTGTTTTTGTTTTCAGTTTTTAAATAAATAAAAACTTGTTTAAACATAAATATCTTTACTTAATTTATAAATATTTAATTTTGTTTTATTGGCTGTTTATGAATGAGCTAATTTTTCAAAAAAATACTTTTATTTATTTTTCAAGATTTTTCTTTTTTTTTAATTTGTCCAAAAATGGGCTTTTCTTTCTCATTATTATTTAATTTTTAATGAAAGAGAAAAGCCCTCCTCCTCTTCAATCACAACACCACCATGAAGAAGATAGCGCAATTTTCGCGCACTTTTCATCCGTTTTGTTACAAGTTTTTTTTATTTTATTTTATTCATCTTCTTCTTCTTTTTTAATAATTTTCCCTTTTTTAAGGTCCCGGAATTGTTTTCCTCTTCTTTTTCTTTCATCACAAACTAGTACAAATATAAATAATGATGAATAAAACAAGGATGAGGGCCAAAAACTTGTGTGCATTAACTAACAGCTTTTCCTAAAATGGAAAAAAAAGTTGTTCGCGAATATATACGCAATCAAAGTAACAGAAACAAAAATAAATAATAGAAAACTACATATAAACAATATTTAATTTGTAAAGAATATTTGTTTGGAAGAAGAGAATTGTCGAAAAATTAAAGTCAACATAAATTATAGGGAATTACTGTAGTTGTTGTTTGAATTTAACTAAAATAATTTTTTTCTGGCATTTTGTATTTATTTTTCTGGGTAGGGAACGTTTCAGCCCTAGGCAATATTTTGGAGGTCAACTTTCGAGTTCATAGTCTTCATACCCTATTTAAATGAATTTGATAGGAAATCTGAATGAATCTACGGATTATTATTAGTAAATCTGATCAGTTCACATCATATGAACTGTGATATCCGAGTAATCGCAAATGATTTGATCATCAGATCTATCTTACTATGAATAATAATCCTAACATTAAGAGCTTTCCGGTATTTTTTATCAATAAATGTGGCAGATTTATAATTTAACTCCTTTAAAAATATTTTTAAAACTTTTTAGGATTTTTAACCAAAAATATATGGAAATCACAGAAAATGGGAAAGAAACTTATTTTTCACATAAAGAGAGAATCTTCCCAGAACTTCAAAATGGAAAAATCCCCACAAATCAGTTTTTATTAGCCTGTCAAGGAATTGCTGATTTTGTTGGTTTGTTTTGTTTATATTTTTTTTAATTTTTATTTTCCAAAGGTTTTCTTGGTACTGCATTTATTCCTGTTAAAAATGATATTAGTGGGAATGTTCACAAAATCTCCAAATTATTTGAGACAGACAAAAAGAAAATGTATTTTCTTCAAGATTTAATTGACGAAGATATTTCTGAAAATAATGGAAAAATTGGAATAGCAACAGAAGGATTACTATGGCTAAAAAGGTTTTTTCTTGAAGATTCCTTCTTTAAAATTAAATTTTTAGAGGATTACAATTTATGCTTCTTTTACTTAAACAATTAGTTAAAGATTATCGAAATGGAATTTTAAATGGAGATTTGTCTAAATCAGAGAATTTAACTCCAAATCTACGACATTCTTATGAAAATACTTTAAAGAAGCATCACAATTTTATTTCTAAACAATTATTTAAGGTTTTAATTAAAATAATTTTTTAAATAAAAATTTCTTTAAAGGTTGTAATCCACGCTGCCCCTTCTAGAAAAACTTTATTAAAAGCTTTAGCCTATGGAAATGAAGGATTGGAAAAGGAATGTATAGACCACATAGATGAATTAATTGGGAATTTTGAAGCAAATGTTCAATCACTTGTTGCATATTATAATCTCAAAGGACTTGAAAGTCATCATTAAAAGACAATCAATTTATTGTAAAAATTTGAAAAATATCATAAAATAAATTCAAAAAAAAATAAAGTTATAAATTTTTGGGATTTTTATATTTGGTGAAAGTGTTAATAAGTAATTGGTCGAACCCTGTAGCCAGAAAATATTTTTGGAAAATAAGGATTTTAAAAATTCTGATTGTAAGATTAAAACTCCCCTACATTAGTGTTGGATTATTGAACGAATCCAATGGATTGTTCTATTTTGTTAAAATTGTTTTTAAGGAGTAGCCCCCTCCTCCTTTTTTCCCTTTTCCCGGTTCCGGACTCGAATAAGTTACAAAAAAAGAATCAGAAAATATTTTCTCCGTTTTTTTCATTTTAATTACCCTTATCCATTCCATATTTTCTCATCCAATCGTCACAACTCATTCGAGAGTAAATACCATTTTTTGGGGTTGAAAGACCCTTTAAATTAATTTTTAAAAGAAAATATTTTAAAAACTAACCGTTTCAACTTCTGAAAATCGACGTTTTTTATTTTTTTCTTCAAAAGTTTTTCCAATTTCTTCAGCTTCCCCTTCAGATAATGGAATTCCAATTAATTCGGCAGCACGCCTTTTCTTTATTATTGGAGATTTTGGTGGCTACAAAATAAAAATTTGTGTAAAATAAAATTAATCAAAAACCTTAAAAGTCCCAAATTTTTCTTCCAAAATTAATTCTTCTTCTTCCTCTTTTCTTTCCAAAATATTTTTATAATTTAAATTCCAAATTGACCATTCTGGAATTTTAACTGGAAATACAAATTCATCTGTTATTGTTGGCAAATGCAATTTATTTTCAGGATTTCCAAGTGCGAGACGTGTTGCTTTTCGGGGAGAGAAAATCTTTAAAAGAAAATAAATTTTGAAAATAAAATTTAAAAAAGAAACCTCTCCAGCATATGGATATTTTGTAGATTCTTTTGGTGACATTGAATTTTCCTAAAATTATATTTTTTATGGATTTCGGTGCAGAAGCAATTTCTGGACGTCCAAAAATTTTTTAATCAATTTTAACAATTCTTGGAATGAATATTTCGTGTCGGGCTAACTCACGGAATGACCAAAACAGGGAATATTACAAATATCGGAATTTTTTGAAAATCTGAATATTTTTAAAAAATAAGACTTTTTAAAAAAACGAGAATATTTTAAAAAACAGAATTAAAAAAAGATTCTGAAAAAGTCTGATTTCTAAAAATATTCTGATTTTTAAAATATTCAGTGTTTTGGACATTCCATGAGTTGGTCGTTCAGTGATTTAGTATTTCCGTGACCTGTCTGTTCTGTGATCTGGAATTCCTCGAGTTAGCCCCCATCCGAATATTTGTGGGTCGTTCATACTTTTTTAAAGTGTGGTTTTGAGAAATCATGTGAATCAATCCCCCCCAAATATTTTTTAATTAAAAGAAACCTTTTCTTCTTCGTCTACTGGATAGGCATTCAACGGAACTTGTTGTCTCAGACTAAAAATTGAATAAAAATTACTTTAAAAATATAATTTAAGAAAACTTTGGATCATACACAACTTGATAAAGAAAAGTATTTTCAGCTTTAATAAAATCATTTACAAAATTTTTATCCAATTTTGATCTCATTCTTTTGTTTAAATAAAGCGGTAAACGAGGTAAAAGCTAAAAATTGATAAAAAATATTTTTTGAATATTTAAAAAACTGTTTTTAATTCAGGTTGATTTGTTTTTGCAAAAATTTCCTCAGCTCCTTTTAATCCAACTCCTTGAAGACCCCCTTGTAAATAATCACAACCAGCCAAAATACAAATTCGGCGAAATGTTGGAAATTGAAATTTACGTCTCAAAATGGGACATAAACAATTTGGCATTTTTTCCTTTTCGTAAATAACACAAGAACCGTCTGTTGGATTCATTTTGAAAATAATCTTTAAAAAATTTTTTAGATATTATATCTGTAAATTTTATTATCATAATTATACTTTACTAAATTTATTGAGGCAAGTGACCCGGAAATTGATGAAGGGGCAACAATTTTGTTAGAATTAAAAATTATTAAGCTATAATTCTGAGGGAAAAGTTTCCCATAGAATTTTTTATGGGAAATTTAAAAAAGAAAAAACCTTATCACAACCAAAAACAATGAGATCTGAATCTTCAGTAATGACTGCATGTGCAAATCCTTTTTGAACCATATAAGCAATTTGAGCATCAGCCTCATACGGCGCCACAATAACATCCACATTATTAACATTTTTGAATGACTGAAAAATTATATTTACAAAAAAATTTACAATTAAAAAACCCTTATAGTTTTCTCCACAATATCTCTAGTTAATTCAGCGCCACGACAAAATGCTTGAAATGCTTCCCCTTTCAATCCCTGGCTCATTAATTGTTCTCCCAAAATTTGGTATTTTTCTCTAGATTCTCTTCTCGAATCATTTGTTGTCTTTTTAGCAGGTAAAGGACGGCCATCAAAAACTAAAATGACATGACATTTCCGAGCCAATAAAAGTTTAACATATTTCCAAACATAGCCAACATAACTAGAAAAAAATTTTTAAAGAAATATATAAATTCCATTTACAAATCAGTTTCTTGTCTCATTGCTATTTTCTCTGCACACCCAATAAGACCACGATGTAATAAACAACTGGCATCTACAAGTAAAGATTTTCCTTCAAATTGTGTGATGTTACCCTAAAATAAGTGTGTAAAATTAAATAAAAAAAATTCTAAAAATATTTTCATTACCTCTTGGCAAGCTTTTTTCATGAAAGGCAACAAACCAGGAACTCCCATCAAATTTTTTTCTATTAGTAGCTTAAACGTAAAAAACGAAAATAAAATATTTTACAAATTTACATTGGCGCTTTTAATTTTTTCAAGTTTTCGTTTTAAAACTCGTTTTGATCATTTATCTGAAAATCGCTCTCTTTCGAATGACTCTTTCTAAACTCAAAAAGTTTGTGGACACTATTTCAAATGCTCAGTATTGGATTGCATGACCTCGGACGAGATTGAATCAGCCAATCTAAATTGACCGTAAATCGTCCATTCTAGACGGATATTCTGAATTATCCCCTACCTCAAAAAGTTGCAACGATCCCCACAGTCAAAACATGCAGATCAGAAAAAAGTGAAAATTTTTTATACAATAATAGGGTAATAAAAAATAATTAAAATTATTATTTTTAGTTAACATTTTCTCAAATCTCTTAAATCCAAATGTCATGTCAAAATAGATAATTAATTTGGAAAAATTGTAATATTTTAATGAAATTTAATTTTATAAATCTAAAATCCAACAATTTTCACATTTTTACTAAGTCGGGTGATTGAGGTGGAATTTGATATTTCTCGTCATTATCAGCCCCAGCCTTTCTAATGAGTGCATTCTGTCTTTGTGCAACATTTGCAGATCTAGCAATAACAATACTATCTCGCAATTGTGTAGCATCTTTAGCCGATAAAATAGCCCGGGCTGCTTGTGAAACATAACCATTTTGGTCTACACGTTGTGAAAGTTTATCAATTCTTGATCGGCCAATTCTTTGATTTTGAGAAGCTAAAAGTATAAAAAGAAATTTTTAAAGTTTCAATTCCACACCTTCTGATAATTGTTCCCAACGGTCCTTTAATTTAGAAACAGTCGTTCCCCGAATAGAATCATCAGAAATAAGTGAATCCTCGTCTATATCGAAATTATCTTCTGATTCTTCACAAATTGTTGACTCAGGGTCAATTGATGGAGGACCAATGCAAAATTTATTAATATTTTCATCAAGAATTAAATGCCTAGGAAAGGGTAAAATTTAAAATAAAAAAATAACCTTTCCAGCTCAGGCAAAATTTGTGAAAATTCGGGACGTGCTATTGGGTCTGAAATTAAAAAATATATTTTTTCTTAATTTAAAAGAGAATGCCTGGTTGCCAAGCTTGATTGAGTATATCAATAATGTGCTTTGGAAATTGAGCATTAGGTTCAGATGGAAGAGGAGGGCGATCTAAAATTTATTATTTATTTTAAATTTTATTATTCAATCAACTTCTTTTGTATGCCATCTCTGCTGCTGCAGCTGCCGGTTTTAAATGAGAAAAAGGTAATTCAGCTGTGTGAATCTCCCATAAAACTAAAGCAAAGCTGAACACATCTACTTTATGGTCATAACGGCAACTTTGTGTAAAAACTTCTGGAGCCATCCAACGAAGGTTCTATAAATAATTATCTATAGATATGTAAATAGAACAGACTCCTGGCTGTTTTGTCATGCTATCCTCGTGGTGTTCAGCAGCAAAACGTGACTCTCCAAAATCGGCGACCTATGAATTTTATTAAAGTATAGGTTTTTAAGATTAAAACAGAATATTAGTAGTTTGTCTTATATGTATTTGTAGTTAAAAACAAACAAACCACAGCTCGTCCATTATTGTGAAGAAGGATATTATGAGAATTCTAAATTTTCTTTCAAAAATAATTTTAATATAAAAATCAAACCAAATCCCTGTGAATGACAGGTTTTTCTATTAATTCATGTAAATAATGCATTCCTCGAGCAATATCAACTCCAACACCAAAACGTAAATTCATTTCAAAAATTCTAAAAATAAATTAAACTTTTAGTTAATTTATTACCTTTTCTGTACATGTAATAACGAGAAAAGTGAGCCTGCTGAGACAAACTAAACAAATAAATTTTAAGGAATATTTTAATGAAAATTTACTTACCTCTGTAATTATAGCAAATTGCTTAAATTAAAAATAATTTTTTCCATCAAAAATTAATCAAAAAAACTTACACTTGGATCCTATAAAAGAATTTATTTTCAATAAAAAATCTAAAAGAAACCTCCATGCAAGCCCCAACAAATGCCACTACATTTGGATGTTTTAAATGAGAAACAATACTAACTTCTCTACAAAACATATCAACCTACACATAAAATTAAAAATAAAATTTTTGAAAAAAATTCCTTCTTTTTACTTCAGTTTTTGCTCCAAAAGCAACAACTTTATAACGTTTAACAGCTACACATTTTCCTCTATAAATACCTCTATAAACTTTACCAAAAGAACCATTTCCTATAGGTTCTTTCAGGTCAATATTTAATAAAGAAAGATGGTGGGTAGAACGTAATTCAGCTCTTAATTGCAAAATTTCTGCTTTTTCTTTTGTCATTGATCGAAGTCTTCCAAGGGGGCTAGGTAAAGGAGTATAAGAACTACTGCCAGAACTAAAAGTTGGAAGCAATAATCTCTAGATTCTGTTAATTATTCACCTGTATTCAGAACAAGCATCAGAATCTGGCCTTTTATTTGCATATACTTTAAGCATGTGAACAACCTTTGGAATTTTTTAAATTTAAATTTAAAAATATTCTTTTTGGACCTGATCATGTCCTTTTTCATATGCCCATAATATGGGTGTTTGTGGTTGGAATTGTCCATCAACAAATTTATCATTATCTTTTTGAATGTCTAATAAAGGCTTAAAATCCTGTGAATGAGTTGAATCAGAACGAATAAGAGAAGAAATCTTTGACGACAAAGAGCCATTTATTGAAGGAAGAATAGCAGAATTACCTTTTTTTAAAAGTAATTAAAATTTAGTAAGTAATAATTACCAAATTTTGCAATAAGTAAATTATCAGAAGCACGTGCTGTTAGTGATTGATCAGCACCATTGTCGAGAAGATACTGAACTACACGTATATGTCCATGATAACAAGCACTATGAAGAGCTTAAACAAAGGATATTAAACAATAATTTGTAATTATTTGGGAAGAAATATACGGTAAAATAGAAATAAAGTACGATAAGGAAGGGAAGGGAGTACTGTATGTTTTTTAAATAAATTAAAACAAAACGCCAAACAATTTTATTTTTGTCAAAAATCAAACGGAATTTGCCTGCAAAAATCTTTTTTTTTAACTTGTTTTAAAGCTTCTGTTTTTTGTTTTAAGTTTTGTAATATTATTCAATTGTTTGTACTTTAATTTCTTTCATTTTTTAGTTCTTTTCTATATTTAAAGTAATTTTTAATAATTAAAATGAATGAATGGTTTCATTGTAATAAATGTTTCTTAGTTGCCAACAATGATTCTCAATTTTGGTTTACATCCTGTGGGCACATAATTTGTGCAGAGTGCAAGAAGAATGGTAATTAAAAAGAAAGTTTTTCTTCTTTTTAAATTTCTCAAATTAAGGAAATTTATTGTTGGGTCAAAAAGGGATTTGTGTTGTTTGTTCAAAACAAGAAACTTCAATTATGATGGTTAACAAAAATATGAAGCCAGATCTTATTCATCTTTTTCGGCCACCAAAAGATCTTTTACTTGAATTTACTTCAAAAATGAAGATGACAATAGACTTTCAAAATGCCCATCGTCAGCGTTTCTTTAAGCATATTCGTGAAAAGGTTTAAAATTGGTTTTTCTAGTTTTTAAAAAGAATTTAAGTACAATAAAGCGGCAAAAATAGCAAAAGCTGCTCATGTGGAAATCACCAAACGGGTTGAACGTGAAAAGAATCTTTTGGCTGAGAGAAATCAAGTAAGGATGGAATTGGATAGCACGAAGGATTATGTCAGGCAATTGGAAAAAGTTTTGGCAGATCGTGATCAGGAAATTCATCGTCTTAAACGAAAAAGTCCAAGTTTTGTCAAAAGAACCAGTCCGCATTTAAAAGGTTTTTTTGAAGTTTTTTGATATTGTTAATTAAATACAGGTCGAGCAGGCTATCCAAGTTTGAATGGAAACACACCGCTATCCCGAGTTTCTTTCTTTGGGTGTACAACAAGCACTCCAAATGACGTAAAAACAATTTAGGGGTTTTTTAAATAAAATTTTAAATTTAGTTTGCGAATATTGCTGCTGGTTGTCTTGACAATAGAAGGAGGAATAATGTGGGGGGAAATGCTGGAACTGCTGGGGAATTTGATTTTTTGTCACAGCAAAGAGCGATGGAAGAGGTTGTGGCTGGAGGGCCTTCTTTTATTCCAAACACTCCTGCACTTTTGGGTTTACCTGCTGACACGAGGTTTTGTTTTTTTAATAAAGTGCATTTTAAACGATTTTAAATATAAGTTATTCAAATTATAAACCGTAATGAGGTCAGGATCTGATTCTTATTCACGGCTTTCCTTGGAAATACCAGGACTAGACTTTGATCATAAATTTTCGATTTCCTGTTTTAGTCGCAATTCTTTCTTAAAATTACAATCTCTAACTTAAAATGCCTCTTAAAATTATTTGGAAAAAATATTCATCTATTTTTTTTATTTAGACGATCACCAACTTACACACCAAAGTTTTTTTGAATGCCTTATTGTCAATAAAGAATATACAAAAATGATGGAAATAATTGAAGGATTATGTGCCCACTTGGATGTTTACCAAAAAAATGTTTAGATTTTATTTACAAATCTTTTTTCTGTTGATTAGATCGGTGATTTTTCTATTGTTTTTAAATATTGCTTTAATTATATATTTAATTTAAAATAAAATTTCGTTGCGCCGAAGATGCGAAATATTGACTTGAACTCAGCAAGCAAATTTTTTTAGGATTTTTAAATGCTGTAAGCGAAAAATTTTCATTCTTTGGTCATTGTTCCAATATTTTCAACTTTTCGTTTCACGGAGCTATAAACTCCTCCTTTTAGTAAATTCTCCGTAAAGAGAATTTCTCTCCTTCACTTGATTCTTTCCATGCACAATTTTCCCAAAAAATTTCTCAATTTTCCTACCAGTATGTCCGTCTTGTGCCTGATGGTTTGGGTCCACTTCTGGTTGTCGCATTAGAAAACAAACTAATTCAAACCTTCCAGCTGTGCATGCAGCCATTAAAGGCGTTTCAGAAAATAAATTTTCCTTCAAAAAATTCATCTTAATTAATTCAAATAATTTTACCATGCTAAGAACTTCACTTCCAATTGTATTTAATAATTGTTTAGCTGCATCTGTTCTTCCCATATAACAAGCAGAATGTAAAGCAGTGTCTCCGTAAATATTTGTTTTAAGAGCAAATTGTCTTTTAATCTCTTCCTTTTCCCCTGCTTTTGATAATAAAAGACCGATTGAAGAACTATGGCCTGTTTTGGCAGCAAAATGGAGGGAAGTATTCCCTTCATCGTCTTCAAGTGTTGGATCGGCTCCAACAGCTAAGAATGCCTTAAAATGAATTGGAAATTGTATTATCTCCGTAGATTTTTATTTAATAATTTTTTTGATTAACCCCTTATTAAATCTAAAAATATCCCAAAAAGTATTGTTTAAACCTTCAATATGCAGGGATTTGCCTTTCCAGCCGAAATATGGATCTGGGAATTAATTTATAAATATTATTTTTTAAATATTTATTAACTGGTCTATCATGCACACTTCCACAAGCATTTGGATCGGCTCCAGCCTTTTTTAATTTAATTAAAAAAAATTTTTTTTTTAATCTTTTACAGCTATTAATTCTTTAACAGCCATTTCATGCCCAAAATATGCAGCACAATGTAAAGCTGTATAACGAACAAAATCATAAGCCTTTAGGTCAGCACCGTGGGAAACGAGGATTTCAATTAACTAAATATGAGGGAAGGGGGATTTTCTTGTGAATTTTAGTGAAAAATGAAAATTTTTATAAAAATTTAAGAAAGTTTTCTTCTCTTTAACCTCCGCATTTCCAGTCATTGCAGCCAAATGCAAAGGTGGAGGAACCCCTGATGGTTGGACACCATTTGGATCAGCCCCAGAAGCTAATAAAGTAATTGCAGCCTCTTTTTCTCCTTTATAAATAGCTATATGTAGAGGAGTATAACCATTTTTTGTTCGTTGTTCCAAAAATGATTTTCTTCTTTTAATTATTTTTTGATTAACTGAATTGTTTGTTGTTATCTCATTATTATTATTAAAGCGCTCAACAAGAATACGAATTTTTTCTGACTGTTTACTTATTAATAAACATCCAAATTTTTTCTTTTACCTGTTCACAAGCCCCAATACAAATTAAATGTAAAAGAGATAATTCATTTACACCTATTTTCTCATCCGCAACACATTCTAGTTGATCTAACTGTGAGGAAAATTCTTCTGATGTGCCCTGACTGTTTGAAAGAATTTTTTAAAATAAATCTATTTTAAGGCTAGAACAATAATTCCAAATTAGAGTAAAGAATAATTATTTTATTAATTCCCCCCCCCCCTCCTATTACTTTTTATTAATTAAAATTTTTCTTGTAAGAAAAAATTAAATACACGCAATTGAAGTAAAGTGTTGTGTGAGCATCAAATTTAGGTTTAATATCATCATTTAGTTTAGAACGTACAATTGCATATCCTTCACTTATACGTTTTTTAAGTTCATCTAATTATATTTTTATTTAAAATTAATTTTAATTTGTTTACCCGCACAGGAAAGTTGAGGTCTGGATTTGTAATTTCCCATACAAATAAATAATTAACGACAAAAACTTCAAAAACTTTAAGCGATTGAGATTTACTGATAGGACAAGAAAGAAAAAAAGAAGTGATTTTTCTTTTACATTTTTCGATCTAATCGATTTGGAGACCCTTTTAGCTTAAATCCTCTTTTGCTTTAATAGATAGCAATGATATATTGAGGACAAAAACTTAAATTGATCCTTTCTCTTAATTTTTGGGGATATATGTAATTTTTATAAAATATTTTTTTAATTTTTTTATTTAACTACAATGTTTTGATCAAAGAAAATAATTAATTTAATTTAGTTTTGGCTACTTTCAAATAATTATAAGTAGATACTGATTGCCTTCTGTGAATATTTTATTTTTTCATTTATTTTTTATTTTCCCTTCAATACCAATTTATTATAACTTATAAAAAGCAATAAAAAAAGCTGACGAAATCCTTCTTTTAACTAAAAAAAGCATAACAGCATTACATACTTTGTCTACATATATTTGTTTTTTTATTTGTTTGGCTATTTTAAATGAAGAAAGTAAACCTCCTCCCCCCTCTTCTTGGGGTATTTCATCTTTTTTTCTTTTAAATAAAAAAATCCCCAAAGGGCCTCTTCTTCTACATTCTGTTGCACCAACGGAAAGAATCAGAGATTTTTCTTGACATTTTTTCGGTTTTTTTCCTTTTACGCCAAAGATGTTTTGTATCTCTCTTTCCTGTCCACGTTGAAGAATAAAAATAAAATATAAATCCGCCTTTTATGGATTTTTGGATGTATAAATGACACAAAATTTGTAAGAAAAGATTACATGAAAACTTAAAAGGAAGAGATATTTTAAGGGTTTTTCTTCTCTTTTTTTCATTCCCTTTCTTTATTTCTTAAATTTGCTAGACTATAAAAATTGTTTTTGTTTAAAAATTGAGACAATCCAAAAATATTTTAATTAAAAAATAATTAAAACTAAAAAAAGAATTTTGATTTTATTTTAATTTAATAATTGGCATAACATTAGTTTTCGGTTTTGAGTTCTGTTTAAATTCTGGTTTTAGTGGGAAAATTTCTTAAAATTGACTCGTTTTCAAAAATTTTAGGGTTTCTTTTTTTTATTTCATAAAAACTGTTAATTTTTGTCAAGAAATATCAAAATTTTTGGGTTTAAACCGGCAGTTTCCTAATACATAATAATATTTATTAATAATAATATTAATAATTATTATTACTAAATTGGAATTTTGTTTTTTTAATTGTTACTTCTATTTTAGACATTCTTTTTCCTTTTTTATAAAATAAAAATAAATTTATTTTCAAGATATTTTTTGAAATAAATTATATTTTTTGTTTTAAAAATTATTTTTGTCTCTCAATGCTTTTCCCTTTATTTTTGTTTTATTCTTGTCAACATTTCTAGTAATGGTAGGGCGAAGACATAGACGTTCAAAAGTTCAACATGTTATTAATTTGCTCAAACGAATTATTGCCTTTCTTTTTTCACATGTTGGATTATGTGCTTTGGTTTATATTTATTTATTTAAATATATACCCTTAATTATAATATATCTTGACTTATAAAACTCTTGACAAGTGGCATCACTAAAAAAAATTTTTACCATGCGTTTAGTCAGCTCTCTTTTTTCCGGATCAAGTCTTATTAAGATTATAGGTCGATAACTGTGAAAAGCAATGATTTCTTGCACTTATCTAGCTGTAAACTTGATCCATCCAGTTGTGAAAAATATATCGCTTATCGATGGCTTTCGAATGATATAATAAACACTCAGATAGGTTCAAGCATAAAAAGGTTATAGCCGATCAAATTCGGAAAAAATAGAGTGCAGGAATATAAATATAAATTTAAAAAAAATAAATTGTTAATTAATTTAAATTCAAAACTCTTAATTTAAATTAATTTCCTACCTAATATAAACAAAAAATTAGAAGCTAAATAATTTATTTTTAAGGTGATTGGGTACGCACTTTTAGGTGCTGTAGTCTTTCGTGCAATTGAAGGACCCCATGAGGTATTTAAAAAAAACATTTTTTTATTTCTTTTAATTAGCGTTATATTCAAAACGAGGTTACAACTGCAAGGAATAAAGCCGTTCAAGTTGCTTGGGGTAGAAAATTAAAAATATTTTTTAATTAAAAAATTCAAATTAGAAGCAACATTTCGAGTAAATAAATTAGATAAACGTAAATGGGAGGATACAGTTTATGCCCAAACAAAACAATTTCAACGTCGTTGTATGTGGTCAATTAGGCGTGGATATGATGGAAAAGAATTTGGATTAGCTGCGCAATGGACATTTACTGGATCTTTTCTTTATTCTTTAACAGTTTAGAATTTCATTTAAATTATTCTTTCTCCCTAAAATTTTTAAATTGAATTTTTGGTTCTGACAATCTCTTTCCTTTCCCTCTTATTTTAATTCAAATAAAAATTAAAATAAAGGTAATAACAACAATTGGATACGGAAATACATCAGCCAAAACATATTTTGGAAAAACATTAACAATACTTTTTGCTATAATTGGAATTCCTTTAATGCTTTTATTTCTTACGAATATTGGGGATGTTATGGCTAAAATATTTAGGTGTTTTTTGAATTAAAATTAATTGAATAATTAATTAAAAAAAGATTTTTATATGCTCGTTCAATTCGTCTAAAATATAATTTAATTTTATGGCATAAACGTAGAAGAGCTGCAAAAATTCGTAGAGCAAATTCTTTGGTTGCTAGACTAACTAGGGCTAATCAACCTTGTTTGTTGTTTTTTTTAATTTTATTGTTTTAAATAAGTTGATTTTTTGGTTGAATTTTAAAAAAAGTTTGGGTAAATATAAAATATAGTTACCGCATATGCTTAAATAATAACTCTCTCTCTCAATAATTACCCCCCCCCCCCCCCCCAACTAGCAGAGGTGGATCGGAATTCCGATTTCCGAAAAAATTTGATTTCCGATTTCCGACACCTCTGAATGTTCCGACCCACCTCTACCATCTAGCAAGAGATTGAAACAATATTTACACAGGATAATTATTCGAGCATATACGTAGCTATATTACCGGAATAGAAACTTCATGAATAAAGTCTTATTTAAGATTTAAATATTTTAAATTAATTCTTATCTACTTATTAATATCGAGGGATTTTTCTTTAACAGATATAAATCATCTCCGTTTACAACAACATCAAAGAGATGATTGTTCATTAGAATCTATAGGTGGACCACCAATATCCGGACCTCCAAACGGTAATGCTGTACATTTAGCTGCTGTAGATGTTAATGAAGTAATTAATTTAGAAAAATAAAAATATTTTTTTATTTTAAAGCTTTTGGCTGCTAGAGCACATTTAGATCAATTAGAAATTAAAGAAAATGTCGAAGCACAATTACAACGAATTTCTGTAAACTTTTAAAATTTAAATTAAATTTTATTTTTCAATTCCTTAGTTTCGAATTTTCATTTTTTAGATCCCCCAAAAAATCTAAAATTACTCCTATAAACTTTTTGAACCCAGAATGGATAGTCGAATTAATTTCTTGTAGTTCTAGGTCTAAAACAATTATTTTAGTTATTCATGTTACTATTATTTAGTATCAATAGTTTTCCTAAAATTTTACAAAAAATATAATTATCAATTTTTATTAAATTTGGGCAAAGTATGCTATCCTGTACATTATTATTTTCAATTTTAAAGGTTCCTCTTTCACTCGTTTTATTAACAATGTTAGCTTATTTGGTGACTGGTTCAATTCTTTTTTGTTTATGGGAAGAATGGACATTTTTAGATAGTTTTTATTTTTGTTATGTTTCTTTAACAACAATCGGTTTTGGAGATAAATTCCCCGGAGGGTCTGTTGGTAGCAATAAAGAAGCACAAGAAAAATTAGTAATTACCTCAATATATTTACTTGCCGGAATGGCTTTATTGGCTATGTGCTTTAATTTAGCCCAAGAAGAAGTTGTTAATAAAGTTGTAAGGAATTTAGAAAATATTCTCTTTAATTTAAATAATTTCCAGGCTTGGTTAGCAAATAAATTCAAAACTAGAGATGATGAATATGATTGAAAATAATTGCTAAATGCTTTTTAATTTTAAGAAAAGACTCAGGGCTCCTCTAATTTTTTTAATTTTATAGTAAATTATTAGAAAATATTTCTTTTTTAACTTCATTCCAAAAAAATTATTTGAAAATTCCATCCATTTAAACCCAATTATTTTTTGGTACTTATTTGTTATCTCTCCCCTCATTTTCGTTTTTCCCAACTGGATGGATCAAATTTGATCACTAATAAATGGAATCATTGTTTTCCACACTTATCGACTTGTAACTTTTTTATAAGTAATCAGATTTGATCCATCCAGTTTTCGAATGATATAAGATTCATTCTGATTAGATTAAGGATAGAAAAGTTAAAGCTGATCAAATACGGAAAAAAACAAAAAAAAAAGGGGGGAGATAACAGACAAGTACCTATCTTTTTAATAACTGTGTATGTATAAATTCTTATTTGTTTAAAATATATTTTTTATTTTTGTTAAATAATGTATAAAAATATTTTTTTCAAAAACTTCTAAAAAAATTTAATTTTATTTTAAAAAAATATTAAAAACAATAAAATAAATTTAAATTTTATTTTCCACCATTTATTCAGTCATATAATGATACCTAAAAAAATTAATTTAAAAAAATTTCTTTAAAATAGTAATTCTTACCAATAAAAAACATTAAAAAGAGCAAATAAAGCAGGAAATAAAAGTGCCGAATATCTATCTATTTTTAACGCTAATTGTTCTTTTCTTGAACGATTTAATATTTTATTTTTATTTAAGGAATCTCCCCCGTCTTCATCTTCTTCTTTAATATTTTCTTTTAATTGAGGTATTATTAATTGATCATCATTAGAAAATAAAGAATTATCCATTCCTTGGGGGGAATAAAAAGGTAAAATTAATTGTTGTTGTTGTTTTTGGTGTTCTTTTAATAAATTTCCATTTATCCATCCATAACCTGGGGGAATATAACCATAATCATTTGTTCTAGCTAAGAGAGCTGCTGTTTCGTCTTCGTTTATAGGTAAAGGTGGTTGTTGTGGTTGGGGCATTCTTCTCCTAATTTTAATATATTTTTTGGAATTATTTAATGAATAAATTAAAATAAAAGGAATGAAAAGGGATATTTTTTGTTAATTTAGTTGCCACAATTTTACTTATAAATTAAGTTTATTTTTCTTTTGAAGTTTATTTTGCTTAAGCGGGTGGAGGGAGATGGTACAAAACATTATGTTATTTTATCCATTCCTTGGGGTGAATAAGAAGGAGAAATATATATTCTATACTATATACAGTAAAGCAGCTGGGCTAAGCTATTTCTCTCCTTTAGCTAGTGCAAAAGGTTAATCGGCGGCTGGGAGCGAACCAGCATCTTCAGTAGACCGGACTGATGTGTTAGCCATTACACCACGCCGCCTACTGCACAGCCTTAGGAAATTAATAGCTATATGCTTTACAATACTAATATTTCTATACTAAACACTAAGCTAGAAATCTAAAAAACTTTAATTGCATACCTAAGAGAATTAATATTTTCTTCTTTTCTAGCTTCACTTTCTTCAAAAGGTATTTGCCAATTTTGTGTAGAAACAGTTTTTAATTGTTGTTGAGCAGCAGTAGTTGATGCTGTATCTTTTTCAGTTTTTTTACTACTTTCCCCTTCTTTTCTACTTAAATAACCAACCCAAGCTAATTCAAGTAAAGAAAAAAACACAAAAGTCATACAAGAAAGAAGCCAAATATCTTTTTTTAATTTTTAATTTTCAGATAATATTCTCTCTGAAATTTACCTATAGCCTTTACATAACTGACTTTAGGCAAATTTCTAATAATATTGCCAAATTGAAATGTCATAGCCAATAATGAATTTACTCCTAACATTGTACGTGCAGGAATGGCCTTTTTAAAAATTAAATTTAAAATTTAATTTCCACAACATACTTGAGTACCGAGAACAAAAGAAATCCATGCTTTATAAATATTTAAAATTATTTTATTAAAAAATTTTAATTCTTACAGATAAAAATAGTTAAATAAGTTGGCAAGTAGGCTTGAAGTATATACCTTTAAACACAAAAATTTTAATTTTTACACAAATAATTCACTGTTTAATTGTGAATGGTTATCAATATATTTGTGTTAAAAACATCGGGATCAGGGCTGGACGCAATTACGGACTGCGTAAAATTGTGGTTTTTTTCCGGACTGCGGATTGCGGCTGCGTAAAATTTTTTTCAGTTGCGTCCAGCCCTGATCGGAAAAAACTTAATTTAATTTCCAATCCCAAAATAATTTTCTAAAACTAACCAGCCAGCCCTTCGCTTAAAGTGAAATCGCATAGTTAATTCATGCCAATAACCAGCTGGATAAGGCTTTAAATTAATTGTTTAATCGAAAATTTATTTTAATTAATAGACCACAGTTTGGCGGTCGGGAATTATATCAATGAGCAAATAATCAGCTAATTCTATATGATCTCTCATTTTGGCAACTCCAACACTTTAAATTAAAATATTTTTTTTTCTAAAAATATTTCATTTTTACCTAGACCAAAACATTTCAACTTCATCAGTATTATAATTAAATGATTCAAAAGTTAGAGCACAAGTAACGTTATCAAAAGGAAATCGAGTAAGATCCATTTCACAAGGTCCTTGTAATTTTAGACGGTAATTAGTCCAAACTGACCCGTTGGCATAAATGAGAAGAAAAATATTGGGAAATGGTGAGCGATGAATATCAGCAGTTTTTGAATTGATAAAACACTTAAATAATTTTTTAATATTCAGTAAATTTTGGAAATAAAAATGAGAATGGGAAATGATACAGTATAAGAGAAAAATACAGTTTAAGAGAAAAATCCTAAAGAATTTAATATCAATATTCAGAGATATGTACATATACCTACTTCCTTTTTTTAACTATAAAAAGGCAAAAATCTTTAATTAAATTAAATCTTCAATATTTTCTTTTGGTCGGTCTTCTTTTGCTTCAAACTTTTCGTCTTCTCGGTAATTTATAATTTTTTAATCACAAAAAATAAATTTATTTTTAAGGTAAAAATGGAGGAAGGAGCTTCCAATGACCATGCGGATAATGGGCATATGTCTGATGATGATGAAAACAAAGAAATGCTAAAGATGGCACTCTCAAGTTATCATCCGTTGAAAGGAGAGGAAGAAGCTCCTCCATTGTTTTGTCCAAAATGTAAAGTTCTTTTAACTTTCAACGAGTCTTTAATTCAGTCTTTAATTTCTCGAAAAACTGATAAGAAATAATTTAAAAATTTCAAATTTTCAGCTTCAATTGAGCGAGACTTTCCTCCGTTAACGACTGAGGCAAGAATTCAATTACGTCAAAGGAAGCACGATATTCTTGGAAAATACATGGCTGCGCAAAAGTTGAAGGAAAAGAAAAAGGAAATGAAAGAAAAGGACAAAGCTAAAGAAGACGATAGTAAGGACAAAAAAGAAGAAAAGAAGAATGATGAAGGTAAAATATAAAATGATCAACATATTAAAAAAAAGATTTCCTTTAAATTTTAGATCACAGTTAAATATGCGGGAAAGAATGTGGAAATTGGTATATGTATTTGGTTGTGGTGATTATATGATGTTAATTAAGAAAAAAAGAAAAAGGGGAGAAGGAGATTTTGTTTTTCTCGATATATAATTTGTAGGTATATGTAAATATATGTAAATATGTATATTTTTGTTAAATAATTTTTTTGTGTAAATGTTTGTTGAAATAAAAAATAATTTTTACCGAATTTGGAGTCCAAAGCTTTTCTAAAAGGATGCTGTTCAGTGATAAACTAAAGAAAAATAAATTTTAAAAAATAAAGATTTCTTAAATAAAAAATGTTTTTTTATCCAAAAATTTATTTTTTATAAAGTTTTTTGGGGGAAAATAATTCAATTACAAACTTATATTTGCAAGGTTCCATCCAAGAATAATCCAAAGCTTGATCCTTAAAAAATATTTTTAAAATTAAAATTTTATAAAAAGTACCCTCCACATTTCGCTGATATAAATGTCTAACTAAAGAAAATAATTTTTTAATTTTAAATAGTAAAAAATGTTAATTATTAACTAGCCTGGAAATCTGATGTTATATCTAAAAATAAAAATAATATCTATAAATATGTCTAAAAATAACCAGAAATTGTTGTAATTTCCTGCACCCAAACCTAAAAAATATTTTAGAATTATTTTTAAATAATTTTATGTTAATTTCAAAAAGATTGGAGGAGCTTTTAAGGATTAATTCCATTAAGTTAAGCAAAAATATATTTAATAATTGTTAATAAAATGAACTATTAGAATAGTATATAACCGGAAACATTAACCATTAAATCGTACAAAAAAAAGTTTGAAATAAGCCTATTTTTAAGCTCAATATTTTGAACCTAAAAATATTCATTTACACATTTTCTAAAATTTTATGACTCAATATCCTTAAAAAAGTGTATAACCAAATAAAATACCTCAACCATAACTTCAACTTTTCCACCAGGAATTTTATGTCTATTATAATTAATAAGTAATTTATCAAGAATATAGGAATCATTTGCACATATTTGTTGTTGATTATTATTTATTTTAATTTCTAATTTTTCTTCATTTTCTTGTTTAATTTGGCGAAGAAATCTTTGATTTTGTGTTATTGGGATTACTGGCCTAAATGATCCAAATTCGTCTACTTCCCAATCATAGAGACGTGAAAGTCGGCGAAGATGACGAGAATTTCGACGAAAAAAGGCTTTTCTGTAAATAAATATTTAAAATAATTATTCGGAAAAAAGAGTAGGAGAAGGTAAAGATTTATAGAAGAGAGAGAGAAAATATGGAAAGAGGAAGTTAGTATCACCCCCGATAATTCAGTTAGTAAAGCATCTAAAATGATGTTTAATAAAATCTGGCAATTATTCAAAGTTACAGATTCGATTACTGCTTGAAGCTCTTTTGAAGCTTGAAGCTCTTTTCGAGAGCTTCAAGAAGCTCTTTTCTATTTTTTTTATTTTACGAAAAATTTAAAATAAAATATTAAATTTTAATAAAATTAAAGTATAATTTAAATTCTCAAAAATTTTACTTATTAAAATTAATATATTTTTACATAAATTTTGACTAAATTGTATTTGCTTTTTAACAATTTATTAAATAAAATTGAATTTTGCATCAAAAAGTCAAAAAAAAGGAGGTAAAAAGAGAAAAAAAGATGATGTCAACACAAATTTATTTTTTAAGCAAATTTAAAAACATTTTAAATAAACTTTATTTTTTATTTTTTCTTTCTATTTTTCCCTTTTTAATTGTTGCATTTTTTTGTTTAATTAATATTTTTTTTAATTTCTAAAAATTATTTTTTTAAAAAGAAAAATATTAATTAAAAGCCTATTTGTCCATATATTTTTTAAATAAAAATCATAATCAAAAATTCCTTATTTCCAATTTTGTTTGTTTAGGGAGGACAAAAGCATCTTTACACATTTTTCTATATTTTTTATTTTCGTCATTTTAGCAAAAAATCCCAAAGGATATTTTCAACTACTGCCAATTTTCACATTTTTTGTTTGTGCCGTTTTTCTTGAATATATTCCCCCCAGTTTGTTAAAAAAAAGAGAAAATGTTTTTGATTGGAAGCAAAATTGCATTTGCATTGGGGAAAATAAAAAGCGGGGAAAAGGAAGCAAAAATTGAAAAAAAGAAGAATAATTTTTAGGCATTAATATTTAGCCAAAAGAAGTTTAACAAAATTTGATAAAATTTATTGAAAAATATTTAAAATAAACGTCATAAATATTTTAAAATTTAAAAAGTGATTATTATACATATTTATTTATTTACTGAAAGGATTTAGTAGACAGAACTTTGGACTTGAATAAATTTTAATTTGTATTTGGAAGGAAAAAATAAAAATATAATAATTAATTTAAAAATATTTTGAAATAGAAATCTTTAAAGGTAAAACTTAAAGATAATTAAAATGTTGGAATTTGTAAGTAATTGAAATGGAGAAAGAGAAAGTCAGAAATACACGAGAGATCATTAAGAAATTTAATAATTTTAAAAAACATGAGAATTTTAAATTAATAAAAAAATTGGGAATCTAGTAAGCTAATATTTATTTTTAAATTTATTTTTATTTTCTAGAAATAAAAAACTACCTTTCTGCTGAGCACTGACTTTCTATTAGAAGAAGGTTAAGAAAACAGAAAAGAATAAATAGGTGGAAAAGTGCCGCAAACTGCACAAAGGCTCTGGGTTCGGCCATCCATTCGGGATGGTAGTTAAAATTTGAAAATAATCTTTCAACTAAAATAATTGGAAATAATTTTTAAAAAACTTTAAAAAATGTTTGAAATAAATTTTAAAGAAATTCTTCTCAAAAATGTGAAAGAGAATTGTTACAAAATGTATGATATCCTGTTCACTTTCATAGGACGAATTAATAAATATATTTTTAAAGTCAAATCTGGCAACTAAAAGAATTTATCCTCCTCCTCTATTTGCCCATTCAAAAATTTTTGATGGAAGAAGACAAAGGCTGTCAACCGGGAAATGCTCAACCATTTCCTTTTTCAAGCTTAAATGATGGGCAAGAAAAAGAAAATATTCTGGAAGATGAAGAAGAAAATAAAAGAAAGGCAATACCAAAAAATAAATGTATAAATATATACAAATATCGTTTCCCCCGACTGGATGCTTTCACTTTCCCCATTTAAGGGTATTTTATCCTGCGCCCTAAGCTTGTTCTCAGCCAGCCAAGAACCCACAATTGTGGAGTGCAAAAGAACTAAAAGGGAAGAAAATAAGTGGAAAAAGAAGCTGAAAAAGGAGGAGCAACAAACAAGTGAACAATCATGCAAACAAGCTAACAATAACAAGAAGAGAATTTTACAACCTTTTACTTATTGTTAGGCAATACTGCCTACCAAATAAATAAAAAGGAAAAGGATTTTTAAAATGCATAAAAGAAGCTGCGATTTATGGAATTACAACATAATTTACATTAATACTTTAATATGTAAATATTTGCAGTACTGCTAAAAATAATTAAAATTCTAGCCCGAAAATCAACTTTTCCAGATAAATATGTGTATGATTTAACTTTCGTCAATCCTTCCTTTTACTTTATCCTTCCTTTTACTTTATTCAAAGGAAGGATATTCGGATCAAATAAAAACTATATGACAGAGAATTAGATAATGAACAACTAAGTATAATCAAGAATTTCCTAAGTGCCCACACTTTTCTTGTATACAAAGTCGATTCCAATCAAAAGTTCGTACCACCTTAGGTGAGCACCTTGTGTGACAGCTTCAGAGGATCTTCTCCTAACTCTTCATTTTTTATGTAAATTGTGCTTTATTGAACTTGTGGAGCTTGAGTCCTAGATCATTTAAAGTCATTATACAAATCAGTACTCATGTCAAACGAGTTTCCCTGACACTTTTTCTCATCGAAATACGTGGATTGCGGTTGTACTCGGAATTTGACCATGAAGCATTTTAACACATTTCTAATGTTTAATGACGAATTGTCCGTTGACGATGCAAATATTGACGAAAAGTCCTTATTTAAAAATTTGTAAATAGAATGCCAAGATACGGTAAACTCTGCTTCTTTTCTTTTGTTATCTTCACTCAATTCGCCTTTTCAATTTGTCCATTGAGAGGAAATTTGACAAAATGTCATTGTAAAAAATACCATCCCATGTAAAATTAAACCATTCATTTTTCCTTTTTTCTAGACTTTTTTTATTCCTTTTTCTTCCTGTTTCTTGAATATTCCTTTTCCTTAAATATACAATAAACTTTTTTTCAGGTTAAAAACTTTATTTTAATATTACATTCGATATGTCAATTGCCCGTATCTTCTCTCGCTCAATTCGTCCTATTATGGGATTAAGACAGGCGTCTACTGATATCTCTCAACTTTTTGAACAATCGGAGCAACCAAAAGGGCAACCTGTATATCAGGATGATATGGAGAGTAATCAGCAGTCTGGTGGGTATGGAAGTGCTTATCCTCAGCCACAACGTCGTATGAACAAAGGGTTTTTTACATTTAAGTTATTTTTTAAATGAATGATTGAAGGGTTAATCGAGTCGAATTGCTTGGTGGAGTTGCTGGCGATCCTGTTTACAAGGTTACGCAGAGAGGCAGCGAATTCGCTTCGTTCAATCTTTACACTAATGTTGATCGCAAATTGGCTAATGGCAATATTGTGACCAACACTGAGGTTCATAACGTTGTTGCTTTCGGTGGTGTTGCTAAATATATACAACAGAATCTTCATCGAGGTTTTAGTTTAATTTCCTTTCTTAACATATTTTGTGTTCTAGGTTCACGTGTATATATCACTGGTCGTCTTCATTATAATGGTGGTATGCTTCTCGCGGATGGGACTCGTACACCGCGAATGGCTTCAATTAATGTTGAAAATGTTTATCCATTAGCGCGTTCTATTCGTCGTGATTCTGCTGCTCAGGAAGAATATCAGCAAGCTAACGATACTGAAGTTTAAGTAATTTGTTGGATGGCCATTTGATTTTAAGATAATTTAGTTGATCATCGCCTATTATTTGATCGTTATTCATTGTTACGAATTTGATTTTTGAAAAATAATTGAAATTGTCTATTTTTTCATTTAACTTCTGTTAATTCAGATATATTGATTGAGTCAGTTATGTAATTAAAACTTTAATTTTTGTAAGGAAACAATGACAGCGATTGCGTTTCATAAGTTTTTATTCAGATCAAGGCACACATACCAAACGTTAGTATTTTAAATTTTGGGGGTAGATTTCTCAATTAACTTTGTTTCTTACGTCAGCTCAATTCAGTTTGAGTGAGTGTTTTAACCTGATTCGTCTTCCCTCTCCTTTTGGCCGATTATTTTAAAGACAATTCTAGTTTCTCACGTTTCAGTGCTTCACGATTCTTGTCAAATGATAATACACCTGATGACAAACCACAAGGTTGGATATCAAGGATCTTGACTGGACCACGAGAGAATGCAATTGGTCGGCAGGCACAGAGTCATTCCTCTCTTTTGTCTGTCGGCGACGCCATTTACGAAATGCAAAGTTTAATTCTCTGACGATCAACCAATTTTTCTTTTAGCACATGACGTCATTGGAGGCAATCGGGAGCTGTACGTACAATCATACAAAAAGGTTCACTTTCTTCAGGCTGTTGTGTGAGCTCTTCGTTTAGTATGCAGCCGAAGTGACTGGTGCGACTCCTGGTGCAATGCTGTTTGGTTCTTGGTTTGTTATTTTTGGCAATCAGAATCAAGTTGTCAATCTGTGGCGTTTTGAGAAAGGTTATGCTGATTTGGACAGGTTTTGAGATTCACAACTATTTTGAGTTATTCAACCCATTTAAGTCATATTAAATCATTGCAAAGTAATCCTGCGTTAAAAGCTAGCGAGCTTGAATATGCCCGCTTATGCGGTCGGCGCCGAACAGTCATTACGAAGCCTTTTAGCTATTGGGGAGAGCCAAAAGAGCGAACTACTCCTCATATTTATGATCTTCGGAGTTATGTTTTGAAGGTTTATAATTTATAAATATCAGAATACTTTCTAAAATTTCAGCCTGGTACAATGATTGAATGGGGGAATGCTTGGGCTAAAGGAATAACTTATCGCCGCGAATTTAATCAAGATGTTGCGTTCTTTAAATTTTTGTTTTTAATAAAATTTTAGGTTGGAGGTTTCTTTTCGCAAGTTGGTCAGCTATATTTAGTTTTTCACATTTGGGCATATCCTTCTTTGGTATGTTTTTAGTTTCTGTCGTTTAATTTCTGCCTGATTGTTCTCCCTTTCCTTAAACTAAACCTAAAAATATTTACATGTATCTGGCTCTCGGTTATAGGGAGTAGAGCGATGGGGACTGTTTAATTTGTATTTTAATCTCAGTTTTCATTATTCGGTAATTCATATTTCTCAAAAATTTATTTAAGGTTGATCGTAACACAACCAGACAAATGACTTGGAGTAAGCCTGGATGGGACTCTACTGTTGAATACACTGTTCCGTTGATTAAAAAGATGCAATCTAGAATTCTTGTGCCTAATGAGCTATCGAAATTGAAATAAATATTTAAAGAATAAAAATATAGTACAATGTAATTTGTATTTTAGTTTATCTTTTCTGGTCTTTTTGTTAGTAAAAGTAGGTGCTATTAATTGTGGCATAAATTGATTATCTATTTTGTTTATAAATCTTTATTCTTGTTTTATTTACAATCAAATATTTCTAAAATTTTTAATTTCCTTCTTCCCCGGACGAAATTCATAATTTTTAATATTTCTGTTCATTAAACAAAATTTTATTTTTTAGAAATGGCTAATCCTTTCTATTCTGAAGAAGATCAACTCAAAGAAAATAGCAGGTCTGGGTTGGGTGAGTTAACTTATGATTTACTATTTCTGATTGATTTTTTAGATCCGGTAAAAAGTTATACCGGGGGTTCAAGCAACAATGTTGAAGATCAGATAGCTGACTATGAGCGTGAAGTTGAGAAGTATTTACAAATGTCAGTGGATAGCACACAGCGTTCTGTTATGCAGTTAGACTCATCTGATAAAATGGCAGAATCGACAGCTAGGGTTGGTTTTACAAAGATATTTGATCATATTGTTGGGTTATTTTTTGATTAATACTCTTTAGAATTTGTTGGAGCAACGAGAGAAGTTGGAGCGTGCCGAAAAAAATCTGGATGAAATTCATACTACGACACAATACACACAACGAAGCCTTAATAGGTAATTTTTCAATAAGACTAGATGCCATGTATGTATATTCACTGCTCTAGCTAGGGTAATTGACTCAAAAAATGTCAGATTTCCATAACCTTCCCCAATTTTGTATTTCTCGATTTTTTTACGATTTTGTTTTTGCTTTTTTCGCTATAATGAGATATTACGTGCCATTAAAATCATTCCTCTTTAGCCTTAAATCTTTGTTCGGTGGAATGTTCAAGAATAAATTCTCACGCTTGCCAAAGGAGAAGCCGAAGGATGGAGTTCAACAGGTTATTTTTAAATTGCTGTATTTTTATTTTATTTTTAGAACTCGTTTACTTCGTCAAAGTCGGCAGATCAACTTAGCAAAATTGTTAACAGTGATATCTCTTCTGGTTCAACCTCCGTTAACAATTCCAAATCAACTACCCTGAGTGCCTGTGGCCCTTCACTTAGTGAATCATCTCGTGCTCAAATTCAAGGGACTCGTTGGGAAGCTATGGACAACCAAGTTGATCAAAACCTTGGTATCTTGATTATCTGTATACCAAGGGCGTAGCCAGGGGGAAGCTTCCCAATTTTCCTAAAATGGGGAAAATGAAGAAATTTTGGGAGGTAAATTATCAAAAAAGTGAATTTTTCGTCTAGCATCCACAAAATTTCACCTGCGGCGCTGAAAAAAGATATATTTACAAAAAATTTATTATTTTATTTCCTAACTACAAAAAAAATTATTTTCTATCATTTTAGATCAAATGAGTGCTCAACTTGCTCGTCTTCGAATGTGGGGTTCAGCGCTTGGTGATGAAGTGGATGATCAGAATCGTATGCTTGATCGTATTCATACCAAAACTGAACGTAATGACGCTGTTGTTCGTAGTCAGGAGGGACAGATGCGAAAATTATTGGGTTGAGACTAATCTTCGATGATCAAATTTATTGTAAGACGTAATTGATTTGAATTAAATATATGTATGACGTTTTGGATGTTCTATTGAATATAAATATATCAAAGACTAACAATGCCACATTTTAATTTAATTTTATAAATATATTTCCTTTTTGAATTTTTAACCGAAATGATCGTTAACGTTATTAACATACTTTTTTCTTTGAATTTTTGTTACTTTATTCTGAAGGGATATTGTCGTTGCTGGGAGACAGCCTGATACGGGTTGATATAGAAATTAGGTAATTATTCTTTACATTTCATTCCTAATTTTTAAATAGTGGAATGTCTGCCGAGAAACGCAAAAGAAAACGTTCTTCCTTTGAAGAGGACCTTTCTTCAAATATAATGGATGAATATTGGAAAGTTAGAAAACAATATGAGCGAAAAATTGCTGTTCAAGGGCTGGTGGGGTGTAGAATTGATGAAAGTTTTTATTTTTCAGAAGGCATTTGAATCGTCCAGAAAGATATCTCCTCAGATGGCCAACTTCAATTTTGTTCCTCTTCAAATTCCAGAGTATAACCAAGTAAAGGACAATCAATCTACCATTCTTCGCCGTGCAGAAACGGGATCACTTGTTAACAAATGTCCTGTCATTCCGCTTGAACATGTTGAATCAACTCCGCCAATGCAATATTGGACACATACAGAGGCTAATGTAATTGTGAGTATATTAAAATATTTGGATGAATTTGGAATTTTCCTATTTTCGTCTCCGTTATATGCTAACATTTTATGCTTATTTTTCCTTTCTCTTACATAAATATTGCGACTGACGGTTATTTTACTTTGACCTTATTCGCTTGATATTTTTACTATTTCCATTACGCCTTTATGGCAAATAAAAATAATTGATCAAGTCTAATGGTCGACAATTTTTATGGTAATTTAGTTACTATGTTTCCTGTTTTTCAAATATTCTATTTTAATCATTTACATTGTTTTTTTGACCAGTTGTAATATTTAGAGAGAAAGTAAAATATTGGCAGATGACGGAGAAGTACCCTCATTGTTCTTAATATATTTAGGCCGAGGACGAATACACGCTTTCACATATCCCATTTCTTGGAGATTCTGTTGATGACACTTCTTTTTGTCTTGATCTAATGAAAACATTCCCGGAAGGCATTCATGGCACTAAAGATGGCTGCGGAGAATACATTAACGACTTTATTCTATATTACACAGTTAAGGCAGTAAAAGCAAAGCTTAAAGATACTGGTAGAAGTTTCTAATTAACTTTAAATCTTTTTTTTTACAGATTTGAAATCCATTTTCAAGTATGTTTACCAGTGTTTTCCAAATAAGGCGTCTAAACATGAATTACTTACAATGTAAGGATTATTTTTAAAAGATTCAAATTATTAAATTTTGAAACGGATGTCTCGTTTTCCATTTGGGAAAATTATAATATTCTTTCTAATTTAGGTATCCAGATTTGCAACAACGCTTTGAACCAGAGACGATTACTCGCCAAGAATTCACGAATGAAGAGGGTGAATTGGTCGCCAACTTTTCTTCTAATCGTTTGTTAAACAGTTATGAAGTATTGCTTTGTCATAAATGTTTTGCTTATGATTGTATTATGCATAATGGTTGAGTTAATTTGAGTTAAAAATTAAAAATAAATTATTTTATAGCCACAATTGCCGATGGTTATGGGGGTGGAAATAGAACGCGTAAACGCAATGCTTTTTCAGAAAGGAATAAATCTAAGAAAAATACTGAAGTTCCAAGGCCTTGTTCTCTTCAATGTTATATGACTGTTGAGAGAGTTAAATCTCCTCTTTCAAATCAAAAGGTTTTTTTCATAAAATATCAAAATTATTTTCCTTAATTTATAGGACAATACCTCAAAACGTAATAATTTATACATCGATGTTAAAGGCAATGAGAATACCAAAAATGTTTGGACACCACATGAAGAATCTATTTTTGCTATTCTTCGAAAAACTGGTGAAGATGATTTTTGTAAAATAACAAAGTAAAAATTTTGGTTTTTTTCGAAAACAATTTTTATTTTTTAGAATGTTAAATGTTTGTACAAATTTGTCAAATAAAAAAACTTGTATTGAAATTTATGAATATGCTGCTCGAGCTGGGCCATTATCGCCTCGTTTAGAACTTGCGACATCTCCAATAAAGAACTCGAAGTATTTTTTTTTAATTTTTTAAAGGGAAAGTTACTCGTCTAATTTATCTCAAATAAAGGTACCGAAAAAATCGCGATTCTCATCGGACTTTTCGTGCCATGAAATGGGCAAATACAAATGGAAAAGTAGAAAATGGAGGTATGTTTAAGCCTTGCCAACACAAAGGAGATTGTCGAGAGGAGCATGGATGTTACTGTATTCGAGTTAATAATCTTTGTACTAAATATTGTGGATGTTCTGATGAATGCGAAAATCGTTTTCCTGGATGTCGTTGTGCTCCAGGAAATTGTAGAACAAAACAGGTATTTTATTCTTATAAAATTAAACTAGACCTCTCTCTTCTTTTTATTTATTGTTCCATTACTAAAGTTTGTATAATTTCTTTTTTAAGTGTCAATGTTATTATGCAAGTTGGGAATGTGACCCAGATGTTTGTACATCTTGTAATTGTGGTAATCTTCAATTCTTAAAATTATTTCAATAAATTTTTTAAGACAAACTTAGTTCTTCTGGAGAGCCTATATGTAAAAATGTTTCGATTCAACGTGGTCTTCAAAAACGTTTAATTGTTGCGCCTTCACAAGTAGCTGGTTGGGGTTGTTTTGCGAATGAGGATATCGAGAAAAACGATTTTGTGTCTGAATATTGTGGCGAAGTTATAAGTCAGGCAGAAAGTGAAAGACGTGGAAAAATCTATGATCGAATCAAATGTAGTTATTTATTTGGTAAGAAGGATATTTTTTGATAAAAAATTATTTGAAAATAAGGCCTTTGAAATTTTTTGGAAAGGTATATGTACATCTAGATCTAATTGCTTTATCTAAGGGCGTATCCAGGGTGCTAAAGCCCCCCTTTCTCCCCAAAAGAGGTAAAAATTGGAAGAAGGATGGTCTGAAAGTGAGACCGACCCCCTGGATACGCCCATGGTTTTTTCAAGGGATGCGCATTTACTTAATTTCTTTTAAATTTAGGTTTGAATGATGAACAAGTAGTTGATGCAACTCGTGTTGGGAATGTTATTCGTTTTGCTAATCATTCAAAAAATCCAAATTGTCGTGCAAGAGTTGTTGTAGTTAATGGAGATCACAAAATTGGTATTTTTGCCCAACAGTCAATAAAATGTGGGGAAGAATTATTCTTTGATTATGGTAAAGTGTTAAAGAATTTTTTTAATAAAATTTCTTCTTTTTTAAGCATATAATAAAATTCAACAAGTAGAATTTGTTCCAAAAGAATTAAAAAGTATTGTTAAACATAGAGAAAGGCAGGCCGGTCGTTCTGTCGGTAGACATTCTGCAATAAGGGATGATTCTATTTGAAATGTGAGTGAATTTTTTGGAGAAATTTATTGAAGTTTTTGTTGTATTTTTGAATATATCTCATTTACATAATGCTTTCAAATTTCTTTTAAAATTTTGAATTGATATTTTTGCAATTATTTATAGATGGGTATGTTCGCGGATATTTAATAATCAAGTTAGAACATTGGATATTTGGATTGGAATTCCTTTGTAATCTTGATTTACTTTTTAAAAACTCAAAAATCCGCGTTCATCTCAGACATTATACTGACTTTCAATTCTTTAATCTTTCATAGATCAATTATGCTTAAAACTCTCAATTTTTGTTTCGATCTTTCATTTTCTGACAAACAATTTTTAAATTTTTTGAATTTATAAAGGTGTATATTTATGTTTAATTTTTTTTCAAAATTTGTTTGTTTTTACAATAAAAACATTAAAAATTAGTTACAGATGTGTGTTTTAGCCTTGTTTTCCTTCTAAATCGATCAATCTTTGCGCAGTCCCTTCTCAAAAACAATTTTTCATTCATATTTTTTGTCCATTTTATTTACGCGACAAGCTTTTTTTGCTTATGTATGGTCTGTAAACCCTCCCTCTTAATGAAAAAACAAGAACCTTTTAAGCAATTAATGTGTGACGATTGTTTTGTTTATATGTAATTAATTGTAAATTTTAATAAGACTAATTGAGGCCAAATAACACTTTCAAAAAAATTTTAAAAATTATTAAGATTATTATGTCAAAATTAAGTTTATTTTTAATTTTTTCTCAATGTCTTTTACTTGTATTGAGTCAAGAACAAAGTAAGTAGTGTTTAATTTTGAATTTCTTTTTTAAGTTTAAAATTTTCAAATAGTTTCTGATTTTGATGTGATTGATAAAAATGCTGATGGTTTAGTTTCTTATGGAGAGTTTCAGAGTTGGCATAGAATTGCTTTGGGCGCTGAGCCTAAGCAGAGTGCTGGTTTGGAAATTTTTTTTTGGAAATTTTGAAGAATAACAGATTACACCAAATATAAACATTCTCCCATCCCTACAATATCCAATCCCTCAACCACTATTCATAATTTCCATTTTAGAGGATTTACTGAGACAAATATAATATGTATTTCAGTTTTCTTCGGCACTCACGATTTGGACAAAGATGGAAGATTATCTGTGGCTGAATGTAACAAATAATATTTTCATACTTTTATCAAAAAATATTTTTAGTCGTTCCTCTTGCATTTGAATTAAGCCGAAAACCTGTAAAAGAAGCAGGAAAAGTTTTTCAGAAATTCGATTCAAATTCTGATGGATTTTTAAGTGTTGATGAACTAAAGAAAGAGAAAATTTCTGACGGAATAATTGATGGTCTTTTGGATGTTGCTGATGTGGATGGTAATGGAAATATTTCAGAAAAGGAATTTTCAAATGTTGCAGATTCTTTTGAAAGTCATCTATCGAGAGTAAAAATATTTTTAAAAATATCATTATAATCCAAAAGTGGTATTAAAAAATATGTAGGTTGTCGAAAGTGCAGGTCAAGCTCAATCATTAATGGCAGCCCTAGATTTGGATGGAGATGGAAAAATTAATTCGAAAGAATTAATAGCACATAAACGAAAATTTGGAGTAAAAGTAAAAAATATTTTTTGAATTAAAACAAAATTATTTTAAGAAAGAAAATAAGGACAGTAATGAGACTGTTGAATTAGCAATTAAACAATTGGATATTGACAGAGATGGATATATTTCTTTTGAAGAATTAAAACAATTACCTGAAGTTGTTATGAAAGCAGCAGGAATTCAACCAGAAATTCCTTCTTAAAAATTTTTCTTTTAAAGAAATTATTGTCTATATATAATTGTTTTAGATTTTTTGTAGATAAAAAAAATATAAAGTACGACATTTGAAAAATGCCGGATTCGGTTTCCGTATTTCAAAATTTTTTTAGCCGGACAGGATTTTCCGGAAATTGCAGATTTTGTATCCTAACTTTTTTAAGCATCGTATCAATCCAATAAAAAAATCGCTTGAAACAGATAGTGCTTCAGGTCGCAACACTAGTCATTATGTTAGCTACTATAGTTAGTGGTGACCGGTAAAATAGATTTTTCCAGACCCGGATCAGGCTGTCCGCAGTTGAAAAAAATTTTCCGCAGCCGCAATTTTAATGTTAAGATCTGCAAATGCAATCCACAACTCAAAATTACTATTCTTAGAGGTTCTCATTCTCGATTTTGGCCATGGGTGTAATCTTTAACTTTTTGAACATTTTAGAAATTACTTTAGTTAGGGTAAAAGTCAGACTGCGCAATTTTTTCAGATTTAGGGTAAAAAGGAATTATCTCGGGATTCTTTTTGTGATACATAGTAGTACTTCTACAATAAATTTACTCATTAAGTAGCTTGAGCCCTGTTTTTAGCATCATATCAATCCAATAAAAAATCGCTTGAAACAGATCGTGCTTCAGGTCGCAACACTAGTTTGCACCCTAAATTTCAATTTTGATATTTCTCTTATTTTCAATAGATATCGAAGTCTTTCAAAAATTTTCATAATAAAATTTTAATTTTTAAGCGAATGAACAAAAAATACTCAAAACAATTATTTATATCAAAAACGAAAAATATACAAACAGCAAATTTGTGACAAAATATAGGTACATATATAGGGAAATTAGAAAATACATTACAACTGAATAGGAAGGAGCAATCACTTTTATTATCGGGACGACAATGGAGATAACTATCACTACATCACTATATCTTACAGCATCAACTAACCCGCCGGCTGGAACACTTGGAACGAGCAGCGCAAGTTCTCGTCAATGAACATAGTTGCGCCGGCGTTGTTATACTGGGCGGCGTAGTGTGGCGCACTGAAGAGCGTGATGAGCTTCCTGTTTGCGAAGAACTCTGCACCGTCTTGCACAACCTGAAAAAGAATTAAATGTATTTACTGCAATAATTGTCGACTGTTAATAGTAGTACCTGATGAGCACGCACGACCAAGTCAATGTCCAATTGTCGGCAAATACGAGCGACAACGTCTTCGCCAAACATGACACTTGCACCCCGCGGACTTCTCACACAGCCTTGAACACCATTTTCCGGATCGGCCCAGAGCAAGTCGAGCTCAATTGTTGGGTTTGCCGCGTCGAAGTCAGGCACTGGACGACGGAGAGAGCGCAACTGGTCCAAACTTCGCAGACGATCCGAGATTCCGCCGTGCATACCTAAAGAATAAATTTAGGGAATGCCTTTTCCCAATTATATGTTTACTTACATAGGACCCTCCCGCCAACCAAAGCAGTGAACGGCAGCCAAGCGAACGCCTTGTTGAATGCTATCCAGAGCGATTGAGTGTCGTGTGGGAATCGTCGGCGGATCTCCTCGAGGAACCCATAGACACGGTTGATGTTGCTACATTCATGGTTGCCGCGCAACAGGAAGAAATTTGCCGGGTATCTTGTCTTGTAGGCCAGAAGCAGGACAGCTGTCTCGATGCTTTGACGGCCGCGGTCGACGTAATCTGCGAAAATTTGTTAGAAAGTTTAATAAAGAAGTGGTTGGTCCTTTACCTCCGAGAAAGAGGAAGTTCTTCAGCGGTGGAAAGCCAACTCGAGAGAAGATGCGCATCAAGTCAGAAAACTGTCCGTGGATGTCACCGCATACGACCACTGGCGGATCGATCTCCACAAGAGACGGCTGAACACGAAGAACTTCAATGGCGCTGTTGCACAGAGCTTTGATGTCATTTGCGGTGACCTTAAAAAATTGGAAATTATTTATTGCCTGCAAAAGTTTAAAAGGATAACAAAACCGACCAGTTGCGTGAAGCGCTGCGAGTTCGTTAGCAAAATGCGCTCGATGAGACCATCCACCTCCGCCAAGGTCAGCTTCGGTTGTGCCATTATTGTTGTGAAGTCTGGAGTGCAAAGGCCAAGTTGAGAAGAGCAGCTGTCGACGTAACAATTGGATCTAGTTGTCGAAGGGTTGCCAGTATTGAAAATTCATCTGTTTTTATAGTAGCTTTTGTGATATTATACTTTTTCTGATTTGCCTATATAATTTAGATAATTTAAAAAATAATTATTTTTATGCATCCTAGTTTATTTTTTAGTGAGATGTATCTACAATACGCGCTAAAGGCTTTTCAAATTTACAATTGTTATTACTGATCTTATTACTGATCTTCAGTAAATAAAATACTAATTAATTTTCAAAAAATATTTATTTAAAAATAAAAAATAAATTTTTCATTTAAATATAAAAATTTCCAGCAATACTGTATCAATAATCTAAATATTTTTCACGTGATATTAAAATTAAAATACAAAATACATATAAATTCTAATTAATTTAAAGTCCCAATCTAAAATTTATAACAAAATAATATTCTCTGAATTGGGACTTTTTAAATTTTAATTTTAAGTAATAAAAAGTGGAAGAAAAATAAAAAAAAGGGGAGCACAGAATTTTGAAGAAAGTTGGTGGCACTTTGAAAATTAAAAAGAAATATTCAAGGCAGTAAATTAATTATTTTTTGAATTTAAAAAAGAAATGAATGGCTTAATAGAATATTTAATTGAGAAAAAAAAATAAATTTGCTTATAAAATGAATGACAAATTAAAAATAATTTTTGTATGAATACGTGTCAGACAAGAAAATAATAGAAAATATTTTTTTTTGAATTTCACTTTTTTTCAAGTGAAAAGATAATCTAATAGAAGTATTTTGTGTGAAAGATAAAAATTATTGCCCTCTGAATAATTCTCATCCAAACTAAAAATTAATTTTTTTTTGTTTATTTCTCCAAGATCTGAAGAGTTAAAGATTTTCCTATTGTCAGAGAGCAATTCTATTTTGAAAGGAAAAAACATTTGATCCCATAAAACAAAATCATTTAATTCTTTTAAATATATTTTTATATCCTCTCATTTTGGTGGCAACCCACTTTCGTGTTTCACACTAACTTGGCTAACATCTCTACTTCTAATAAATATATAATTTATTTAAACTTAATTTAATTATTACCTAAGTTCTCCATTATTAGGAGTTCCAAAACCCCCTCCTCCCCCTCCATCTAATTTTCTATCAGAATGTGCTTTAACCTCACGTTCATAGGTTTCATAACCTCCAGGTATTTCCCTGTGATGATGTTGTTTTTCATACATATTCCCACTTGGTATTCTCATTAGACGTGCATCACGAAATTCATTTTCTAATCTTGCCATATCTTCATCGTACCTTAAAATTAAAAAAAATTTTCGTGGAATTCTTTATTTTAATTAGAATTAAGGAGTGTATTAGAGGAATTAAATTTGAAGATTGATATATAGGGAAAATGGGCTGTTAGGCATTTCTTCCTTACTCTGTTTTCTGGGGAAGCTGATATAGAAAAACATAAACAGGAGTGAAAGATTTGAGCTAAAGGAAAAAAGTGTAGGAGATTCCTCAATAAATTTCCATTTAAGATTAACAAAAAAAATTTTTACCCTCTACTTCCAAAAACACTTCGACCACGCCCCTCCTCTCCCCAATCAGCAAAAGAACGTGCTTTTGTCAGTTGCCCGCCACAAAATTCGTCGATGGCATGTCGACGATGTGATGGAGGTTCTGGAGGAACTGACCACTCTGAACGGCGATCTATCGAAGGAGGAAATTCAATGAATGGCTCTCGATGTTGATAAAAAGAGTGGCGACTGCCTGTATCTGCCCCTTCATCATGATGGTAAACATCTCTAGTAGAGTGTGCTTTATGGACACGATGATGCTTTAATTATTAAAATTTAGATAGTAGAATGTTCTCCATCAGAGATTATTTTTAAAAAATACTTTTAAAGTCCCAGTTCCATTAATTTTTAATTCCCCATTTGGCATATATTTTGCATCTCCACGACGAAGACTATCAGTCACCGAACCATAACGTGCATGTCCATTCTGTGCAGCAAAATGTCGTTCAGAATCAAAACCTCCACTTCGTCTACCTCCACCCTCATAACTAATAGGTAAATGACGTTCTCCAAAACCATCAGAATAACCGTTGGCATAACCACTTCGACGTGAAGCTGATCTGCTTCGATATCCTCCTAAATGTTTTTATTTAAATTAAGTCAATTGTACACCCCATTAAAAGGGTATTTTTAGTTTTAAAAATTTAAATAAAATTTCTCTTATTTCTTTACCTCCACCACCACTTCCCCATCCTCCTCCTCTTCCACCCCAAGATCCATAATGATAATCATGACCGCCACTAGCCACACCACTGCTATGATATCCACGATGAACACGACGACTTTTATGACGACGTTCCCGACGAACAACACGACGTTCAACTTCCTCTGTTCGTTTCTTTTCTTCTATTCGGTGAACTGTGTGTTTAGTTGTTGGGGCCTTTTTAAAAGTTTTGGATCAGAAAAAAATTATTCTTTCGATACCTTAATTACTTCTCTTCTAACAACTTCTCTACGTTGAATTGGTGCTGGAGGAGATACTCTAACTACGCTTCGTTCCTAAAAAGAATAATTAAAAATAATTTTGGATGATTTTTGAAATTATATATTGAAAATAAAGGAGAATTATAAGTGTTAATTTAAAATAAAATTAAATTGTGTGCAGAAGAGAAATAAAAAATTAAGTTTAGATTAAAAGACAAGCTTGTGAAGAATATATTGATCTCGAGATTTGATAAATAAATGAATGCAAAAGCCCAAAATGCAGTAATGTTAGAATGTGGCTTTAAGGTAAATACAAAGCGATGATGTTTAGGCAGTCGGATATCAGAAGCTTTTCAAGGAATTTGAAGATTTTGAGTTGTGATCTCCCAAGATCTGACAAATCTGGTGAAAGTGAAGCTCTTGGATAATGAGATCCAAGGACTTTAAGTGCTGTTTTGTAATTCACAAAGTGCTGTGTTGTGATACTTCAAGCAGAATACTTGATTAAATTAATGTGCAATTACGTGTATATATTTCCAACACCTTTGTGCATTTAATAATTTTGTGATTGCTATTTTGTGCCGATATATTTAAGTGCTGCATTTATTCCACCTCAAATAAATGATGTTTATTTTGACGTGAAGATGAAGAATTTTTATTTTTATTATTAGATGAGGACAAAATTTTAAGTAATTGTTGTCCTTCTCCTCCAAAATTATTTTTCTTTTTTATTCCATTTAAAGAAATTAATGTTGAACGAGGTGTTGAAGATAAATTTATACAATTATTAAATTGCCAATTTGGAGAAGAAATATCCTTTAAAATTTTTAATTTTAAATTTAAATATTACTTTAAATAAACTAACAGTTAAACAACTTTCTGAAGAAGTTGCTGAACATTCTAATGATTCACGAAATTGTGGACGAAAATGTTTTTGTTGTTGATTATTATAATCCTTTATTTTATTTTTCAAAAATTTGAATTTTTGAGGATTAAATTAAAGAGATAGAGAGTAAAAGAGAAAGAAAAAAGAAAGACAAAAATTAATGAAAATAATTTTAAAATATGTAGTTTTACGTTAATTTTCTGGATATTTTTAATTAATAAAATTTAAATTAAAAATTACCGCTCGAGGTATTGGACGAGCCTAAATTGAACAAAAATATATTTGTTACTAAAAATTTTTTTAAATTTTATTTGCAGCAAAACAAAAAAAGCAAAGAAAAAAATAAAAAACCCAAAAGTTTTTAAAAAAAAACTACTTAATTGTTGTTTGATTAGAGTAATTATTGACAAGGCAAGAAAGCAAAGGCAAGAAAAAATTAAAGCATAAATTTAAATAAAAAGTAATTTTAAGTAATAAGCATTCGGCATAATTCGTGGCATAAACTGAAAATAAAATAATTTCAAAATTAAATTTAAAATCTTTCATTTACCGCGTTTATTCTCTTATTTTTTCCTTCAACTTCTAGATGTATAACGTCTATGTTCAACAGTTCTTTCAGAATGATAACTTTGTATTTCCCCACTATCAGTACTTGAAGGTAATATTTGACTCCTTTCTCCTCCTCCTCTTTCTTCATTCAAAATTAACTGCTTTTTCCTTTTTTCTTCTTGAGGAGGAATTATTTTCTTATGACTTTTTTCATTAAACATTCCTCTCCCATTTCCTTCAAGTTTTTGTTTTTGGGTAGAAAATGTGTTTGGCACAAATTTGGCGCAAAGAGGTTCATGAATTTGTTTATGGGATTTAGCTGCATTCTGAACAACTTCAGCCATTTGGCGAGTATGTCGTGGGGGTATTTGGGGTCTTTCTTGAGACATTTGATCAGAACTTTGCTAAAAAAATTCCGAATTATTTTCAATCTTTTTTATTTTTCTCAACTCTAATGCCCGAAGGTAAAGCCGTAGGAATATATCTTCTTGCCCTAGCATAACTAGCTGGTGCTGGGCTTGGGGCTGTTGCTCTTTGTATCCTTTCTAAACTGCGCTGAGCTGAAGGAGAACGAGCAGCAGAGGAACCACTTCTAGCATGTGAAACAGCACTTCGACTTCTTTGATGGTTTGTTTGCTGCTGGCGAGCCTCGAGTAGTTTAATGCGGCGACGAACTTCTACTCGTGGTAGTGGACCTAATTGAACAATGGTAGAGGAATGACGAGGAAGTTGGCGATTATATTGATATTGTGAAGACGAAGCTCCTCCATTCATATCATCATTAGTTAAATATTCTCTTTCTAAAATATTAGATAATTTTTGATTTTAAAGAGAGAAAATTTTATAAAAAATTAAAATAACCAGTTGGTTCTTTTGATTTCATATCACTTGTATGCCGTCGAAGTCCTCCTCCAGTTTCACCTTTTTGAGCTTTTCCTTCCGCTCTAGAAACTCGAATAACATTTGGAGCATGAGGCATAAAACCTCCAGCAGGCGGTTTTCGTATATGGGAGAATTCAGTCCTTGGTCGATGCGATCCATCAGGAGAAGCAAGAATGATACCTGCAGTTTGTCGCCTAGCTACATCGTCGAGTGGACCCGTACCTAAAAAATATTTTTGAGGAGACAATTAAAAGGAGTTTGTCTTAATTAAGGAGACAATTGGAGATTATAAACTTTATTTATTTGTTATTCATTCAACTAACAAATTTCCTATTAAAGCAATCGAAAATTCAACTCATTTTACAAATTCTCAATACAATAAACATCACCAAAACATCAACAAATGTTTAACAAACAAATTTTATCTTTATTTGTTGTTCTCCTTGTAATCCTTGTCAATTTTGAAAACGTCTACAATGCTGCAATTTCTCAAACAAATAAAGGTCAACAAAAAAGGGAAAAATTGTCTAATCATCAAAACGACTACAAAAGGTGATAAAGCTTTCTAAATATCTCCAACTTTTAATTTTCAATTATATATAGGTATATGAAGGGAAATATTCAACAAAAGACCTGGTTGGGAAAATTGAATTGGTCAGGGATTTCTATCGGTGTTGGAATTTACCTTATAATGTGAGTTTTGGTTGTTTTAAAGGAAGATTTGCCAGAATTTGGAGTAAATAAAAAAAATTTCATTTCTTTTTTAGTACTTTCATATTGTACTTGATCAGCCGCTTCTTCTATCGAAAAAGAAAAAAACAAGAAAAGGAATTGGCATTGCTTGATAAAGTAATTGGCTCTGCAACAGAAGAAGACAAAAAGAAGAAATACGAAGAAGGAGGGAAGAAGAGGAGAGAAGAGGAGGAAAGGAAGAAGAGGGAAGCTAAAAGGAAGAGGAAAGGCCCAACTTCACTTCAAATGGATTCTTCCTCTATTTTTGAAGGAAAAGAAATTAATACAGCCATTGAAATGAACAAGGACGAGGATATGGAGGAGAGAAAATTCCTTAAGGAATGGCAGGTGAGAAAAGGAATGAGGGAGGGGATATTTTTAAGAAAAATTAATTTTAGATAAAAGTAAAAGAAGAATTGATGAAGAGCCTGAAAGACTACGAGGATCCATTTAAAACTATGCGAAATGAGGCTAGTCAAGTGGTCAGTTCTCTTAAATTCCTCAAAATACTTTTCTAAATTTAGAGTTCAATGGACAGCTTAGTATTGTCAGATTCTTCACTTGCATCAACAACTCAATCATTTTCATCGGCGGCTAAAGAAAAAGAAGCAACAAAAGAGGAAACAACGACAACTACTAGTCAAAGTAATAATCAAAGTGACGGTACTAGTGTGGATGAAAGAAGTTATTCTTCTACTGAATCAGAATCTTCAGAGGCACTTTCTCCAGAAAACGATAAAGATTGAGAGAGAAAATGAACATTTTGAGAGAATTCCAATTAGGGGTAATAAAGATAATAAATTTGTTTGTGTATATTTTTTGTTGTATTAAAATCCATTCTTATATTTTTAAAAGAGGATGATTAAAAGTATTGTTTAAAGAAATTATTTAGTAATTTTAATCTTTTAAGTACAATTCATTTAAAACTAACCATGTCCTCTTATTGGTGGGGATTCAGGTTCTGGTGTAAAACGTTTAGTTTCTTTCTTAAAAGCAGGTTCTCTAATTAAAGGTGCCCAACGATACTCCTCAGCATCTCCTCCAGTTTGAACAGAAAGTGGTTGTTGTGTTGAAGTGGAAGAAGTTGGCCACTTAAATGGTTGTTCTAATGGGGGTTGCCAACGTCTACCGAGCCTTTGAATTTCTGGTGGATGTTCTGGTTTTTCGATGAAAGATTCTCTTCTCTATTAAAAATTTTAATTTTTAAAGGCTCGAAGTCCAAGTTTAAAATTACCTTCAATAAGTCAATATTGAATCTTTCTCTAATTAATCTTTCGTCGCTTGTTAGAATTTCATTTCGTTCATCAATAGTTAATCCACGTGAAAGTCTCGAATCTAAAGTAAATGTCCTCCTCCAAGTTCCTCTATTTGATTGCCCATTTGTTGCAAATTCTGGAGAAGTTGAAGATTCTTCTGCAGATATTGGACGTGTTTCAAATACTCGAACATTTTTTTGAGTTTGTTGATGTTGTTGATAATCATCATAATCAGGTAGAGGATGTGAAGGAGGAGAAGGAAAATAGTTTGAAGTAGAAGTAGAGGGAACTCTAATATGATTTTGTTGTTGTTGTTGAAGTTGTAATGCACGGAACTTTAAAAAGAATTTTTAATTGAAAATATTAAAAACTTAAGGGAAGGAAATGTTATTCCAACAAGTTACAGAACATCAAGTTTCTAAGTATTTAGGGGATCTTCCCTTCAAGTAATTTTACAAAATAATCAAAAATCTCTCTACCTGCCTATCCCTTAATTCAGCTTCTCGTTGCATCCGAAGAGCTTCTGCTTCTTTCTGCATTTGTTCTTGTCTAAGAAATTCTTCTAATCGTTCAGGATCTCTTAAATTTTTTGGTGGTGGAGGTGCTTGCTTTGGAAGGCGGCTCTTTGGGTCAGGTGCTGGCCAATAAACAACTCTTCCTCCACTTGCTTCATCAAACTCTTCTTCCTCAGGATTATTGAAAGGAGATTGTTGTTCATATATTTGTGATGAAGACTGACGTGGAGTCCATCCTTGAGGGGGAGGTGGTGGTGGAGCTATTTAATTACAAGAATATTTAAAGTAACAAACAGGCAGACATTTTGAGAATTGCCTCAAAATATTTTGGGGAGTTTTTTCAAAATATTCTTCTAATAATAATTAATTAATTAAACTACCAGGTATTTTCCCTCCACTAGTTGAAGTCCCTGGAACATTATTCCCAACTTCCTCCAATCGAAAAAAAGGTCCATCAAAAGGTACAGTTGGATAACGTCGAGGACTTTGATGTTTTCTATGTATCTCTAAATTTTTCTGCATTTGTTGAATTAAAGCTAAACGTTGTTTATCTAAATCAAAACTAATTTCTCCTCTATCTTCCCAACTTTCTCCATCAGGTTCAGTGCCGACATGATGCAGAGAGTAACTACTATTCCCTATTTGTTGTTTTGGACTAGAAGATGTTTGAGGTGTTTGTTTAAGGCAAGATTTTGTTGGTTGCTGAAGAAAAAAAAATTTAATAAAAAATCGTGTCGGGTTACAAGATTTTTAAAAGCTTTCGTGGCTAAGTTTAGGATTAAGAGGAGAAAGTAATCCTGAAAACGATAACGGGATACATCTGATTGATATGCCGAGTATCTATATTAATTAGCTTAATTAAAAAACTTTTCAAAGAATAAGGAGTATCAAACATTTTTATGGTAGAAAGGGAGGGACCATTCTCAAATAAAATATTTAAAAAACAATTTCAATACCCCAGTAGGTGTTTCAATTCCTCTCCAAGGCTGTTGCCCCCCTCCTCCTTCTCCTTGTTCCATCTTTTTATTTTTTTGTAAAGCTTCTTCTTTAATATTAAACCGCCACTCGCAAATATCAGCACCGTCTTCGTCTGCAACTAAAAACAAATTGCGACGCCAAATAGGGGATTTACTGTCTTCTTTTGGAAATTGTTGATCGTCAGAGAATATCTAAAATTATTTTAATTAATATTTTCTTTAAAAATTCTTTTGGAAAGGGAAAGGGAATTAAACTTCATACAGTCCCCACACCTTTTCTCTCTCATTAATTTCACTCAATTTATTTTCATCATCCCTAGAAGGTAAATATTCTAGATATTTAATTGTTTTTGTTTTTAATTCTTCTTTTCCTTCTTTCTTTTTATTTTTCCAAAAATCCTCCCCCACCATTTGTTCAATTTTTGTTGATTTTGGGATTAATTTTGGAATATTTAAACGATCATCTTCAGAAAAGAAATAAGAACAAGTACTTGAAGATTGAATTATATTTTGATTATTTAAATGAATTTGGGTAGAATTGACCGATTGAGAGGGGTGGACAGAACGAATAATATTTAAGGGAAGTAAAGGCATTTTTATATAAAAATAGTAAAAAAGAAAATAAAGAAAGGATGACAAATAAAGGATAAAGGAAGATGAATCAGAAAATGATTTTTATGAAAACGAGAGGATTATTTTTGTAGGGATTGTTTGTGATAATAAACAAAGGACGATAAAAAATATAAAAATTAATAATTAATTTGTTTATTAAGATAAAATTTAAAAAAGATATTTTTTAAAGGGTTCATTCAATCCCTAGTTTAACTAAAATAAAATTTCCTAAAAGGAACTTCTGCGATTTTCTGATCCTCGAATGTTTTTCTAATTAAAAAGATGGGAAAAAAGAATAGGTATACACATATATTTATTTATTTTATCTGTAATATATTTTTGTTTGTTTTGGTTTGTACAGGCTGGCCATTTTTTGTAAATAAAAAGAAAAATATGGATTTAACTAAAAAAATATTATTTTCCTTTTGTTTGGTTAATCTACATATTTATATAGAGAAGGAAAGATATTTTACTATAAAAAAGAATCGGTATTTATTTTTGTTTGGATTGTAGATGAATCTTGAGGGATTTTTTTAGTTTAGTAAAAGTACTTTTATATATTTAAAAAAGAAGATTTAAAACTTAAAAATATTCTCCGATAAAAATAAAATAAAAAACTTACAGAAATACTACTTGTTTCACTTTGCTTTTCAGAAGAACTGGCAGTAACGTTTTCAATTGAAAATTGTAAATTTTGAATAGAATAATGGTCAGAAGAAAGTGGAAACTGAAAAGTAGGAGGTGGTGGTGATGGAAGAGGAGGAGAAGATGCTAACTAAAAAAGTTTAAATTTTTTCAAAATTTTGAAATTAATTTGAACAACAAAATAGGGGGTAATAAAAGGGCCTTGAAATTTCTATTTTGCTTATACTTCGTATCAATGTACTAATTTTTTGGTGTATATTTTATTTAAAATTAAAAAAAAATTCTAGTAGGAGGTATTATAACAAAAACACATTCAGAAAATAAATAAACAGGAAGGGAAATCTTCTCTCATTTACTTCATTTCAAGTCAAACCAATTGAGAGTTAAAAACGAAAACTGAAGAAAACATAAGAAGAAGAAGAGGATATATTGTCTACAACGTTCTCAGTTTTAGTTTGAGAGAGAAGTGTAAACGATTTGGGACTAAATAAAGAAAAGAAAAGATTACAAGCAAAAAATTTTGTTTCCTTTGCTTAAATTTTTTGCGCAGAAAAAATCGAATTGAGGAAAAATATTTTTAAGCTAAAGTGAATGATTGAAGAAAGAAAAAATGAAAAAAAAGAAAATAATTTTACTTTAGTTCGTTTATATTTTTTGTTGAGGAAAAACAGAAATAAATATTTATATGTAGTTAACTAAAGAGAGAGAAGATTATGTATGTAGTTATGTGATCATTTCATAAAGTTAACCCCTAATAGATCATTTATAATGATCTGAGAGGGGTGAGAGGAAAGAAGGACATATCTACTAATAAAATACTAATTTGGCCCAATTCCTTTACATTCCATTCAAAAAACAATTATGGTCAACCCAAAAAATATTTGGTATTTAATTGATATACCACATCTCCGCCCCTATTTTGAGTCTCAGACTTTTTCTTAAACAATGTGATAATTTTCTTTTGAATATGCCACAGGGAAATAGAAATTGTGGAAGGCTGACTATTGTTATGAAAAAATTAAAGTAAGAAAAATTTTAAGGAAAACTCTGAGACTAAAAATAGGGGAGTGGGTATATCCATTAAGTACCAAATATTTTTAAATTTTAGAAATAATATTTTAAGTTTTTCTTTTCTTATTTTTAAATTTATTTAAAAAAATCTTTTTACCTTTTCATTTGTCTGCTGCGCATTTAGTAAATTGATCAAAGAAAGTTTATCCTTTTCTTTTTCATTTAATTCTTTAATTAACTTTAAATTAAATTTTAAAATTAAACAAAATTTAAATTAATTAATTTACATTAATTTTTTCATTCATTTGTTCAGTAATTGCTTCATGTAATTCACTCAAAGATTTACTTCGATGAAGGGAGGACTATTTGACAAGACGAAAATATAAGAGACATAACAAAATTTTTTTAGAAATTTTTGTAAAAAGAAATACCAAAAAATTAATTATAAATTCCTATTAAAAATCCAAAAAATAAATTCCCAAAAATAATTTCCATCACCAAATATTTTAAATAAAAAGAAAAAAAGCAAAGCAAATAAGCAGAATATTTTTAATTAAAAAATAAAAACTAACCTTTTGAAGATTATCAATGTTCTTAAAAATTAAAAAAAATTTTCTTTAATAATTTAAAATATTAACAAAAAACTAACATTACGCAATCGATCCAATTCACGTAGAGAATCGTCATCAACCTTTTAAAATTTAATTTTTAATTTATTTGTTGAAGTTTATTTAAATTTACTTTAGGGGGATGTGCCAATTCCCAAGGCTTTCCATCCCTATTCTTCAAAAATTTATCCAAATCTTTGTCTCTATCCGTAGCGTCCCCAAGTTTTCCTTTTGGGCGAATTCGTAATTGGTCCAAAGCTTCCAAGTCGAGAAAAGAGCGTTTGCCGTGTAATGAAGGAAAGTCATCAATTAAATGGCGACGAGCATAATCACGAATTGCATGAGCTGAATGAGAAAAATTTTTTTTTAATAATTTAAAGTAAAAAGTAGTCAAAAAAAGTAAAATAATAAGACAATTTACTATTTAATTTAATAATTTTAAAATTTTCTTTTCCCAAAATATTCATAATTACCGGGAATGTGTGCATGAGAAGCAACTCTCGGATCTATAATTTGCATTCTAAAATGCTCTGCTGCACGTTCAGCTCTATAATCAGCAGCATCAGTTAATTTAGAACTTAAATCTTGAAGACTAGAACCAATTTGGACATCTGTCCCCTTTTAAATTAAATTAAAAAGTTTTAAAGAAAAGATAAATTAATTAACAGGTTTTTCAGGTATTTTATAGTGGGGAGTAACAATTCGAATTGCTGCTTGTTCTGTTTGAGCACGAAAAGCATCTGATCCAGCCTTTAGAAAAGTATAAGATTTAAAATAAATATATCTAGTTAAAAAGAGAAGAAAGTAATAAAATAATTTTGGAAAGAGAGAACGAGTCTCTGAATTTTTAATGAGTAAAAATGTTCAATAATTCTGAATTTAATTAGAAAATAATCAGAAAAAACTCTCTTTTTAATTCTTTATAAAAAATATATTTTGTGTATTTTTTTTATTTTTTTAATTAAAATATATTTATTTTTTATTTCTCCCTAAATATTTAATTTTTTCTTTTAATTTCCAAATAATTATTTATTTAATTTTCGCCTTTTCCCCCCTCTTCCTTTAAAATGTACCTACCACGTCCAACGTAGCGTTTGTCTGAAAAAAATAAAAATATTTAATTTTTTTTTAAATTTTTGATAGATTGGAGGGAAAAGTTTTTTTTAATTTAATTAAAAATAAATATTTAAAGAGAAAACTAAATTTTTAAACACTTACATGGCGAATCTGTTCCATATCACGTAAACTTTCTTCGTGTTGTTGCTAAAAATTAATTGAGAAATATTTTTATTGTAATTAAATAAATAAAAATATTTTAAAAATAATTTTACGTTTATTTTTTTGTAAACAAATATCGAATTTAATAATAAAAAAAGAGATTTTATTAAAATTAGAACCCCCCCCCTCTCCTTAAATTAAAGAAAATTAAAAAATTCAGATTTTGTGACCAACCGTAGCTAGGCCTCGTTCTTCCCTCTGTGACTGTTCATAATAACGTGCCTGATGGGCTGAAGCCATATTTTAAATAAAAATTAAATATGTAAATTTAAAAAATCTTTAATTTAAATGGAAAATATTTAATTTAAAAATAGAAAAGTAAATATGTAGAAAATAAACAAAAAATTTTTTTAATTTTAAAAACCGAAAAGAATTTAAACTAAATTAAATTAAAATTTAATTTTGTTGAAAATTCTTGATTATTTTTATTCCTTATTTAATTCCCTATGATTTAATCTTTATTTAAGCTCATTATCTTTTACTTGAATAAATTTATGCCAAAAATAGTGTGTCCTAAACTTTTATTGTCACCCTGTTGGAATAAACAAAAATTAATGTTTTGATTTAAAGGAACGTGCGCGTAAATGGAAATAAATATAAATATATTTTGGGGAAGTCTATATATAAATATTGACCCATTTATTCATCGAGACTGATTTGTGAAAATGAAAGATTGATTCGCGGCTGGTTTAGGAGGGGGGGAAGAGCCGCCTTGGATAAAAACAAAAATAAAGTATTTTATTTGCAAATGGAGAACTCACACAGATGCAAATAAATTACTCAATTAATATTTAGACTTTGTCGCTGGCTGCGTGTGTGTTTGGAAGAGATAAATATTCAAAGCTGACCTTGAAGAAAGTTGGAAGGATTTAAGAAGGATTTTCTAAAAAACAGGATGGTAAGCAGTTAATTAATTAATGAAAATGAGAAAATGAATGGATTTTTGTGTTGATTATTTTTAAGAAAAAAAGAAAAAAGTGATGTGTGTAAATATTCATTAAAAATAGCCAAGAAGAGTAAAGACAAATCAGCAAGAAAAAAAATAAGGGAAAGAACGAATTGAATGAGTAATTTTGAAATTTATTTTTTTATTTTTTTCATGAAAGTAAATTAGTAATTAATTTATTTTTAGGTACAAATTTTTGTATAATTTTGTAAATTATTTTGGAAATATTTTATTTTTAACTTTTAAATAAAGGATAAAAATTAAATATCTTTAAAAATAAAAAAATAATTAAATTTAAAGGGTGGACGAAGAATAAAGTTGAGGAAAAGAATAATAATGGACAGATAGATTGAGTAAAGAAGAAAGGAATGTAAGGGAATAATTGAGAGAGATGCGCGAGCAGCCGCTGAAGAAACATTTTTATAAAAAATAAATGTATACCCCTTTTTTCTGACAGTGGTTGAATATATTTTTATTTAAAGGAGGAAGACCAGTTTGGCTACTACTAACTGCGTTTAGTGGTGATCAACCATATGTTGAGTTACTACTTTTTAATTTGATACGCGTTGGGACATTATAATAGAAGTGTTTTTAATTGATTTTGAAAGGAGGAATTTTAATTTAATTTAATTAGACAACAAAATATTTAAGGAATTTAATTAAAAAACTTTAAGTATAAATAAATATTGAATAAATGGATATCCAGTATATGCTCAAATATATTGCACTCTCAAATAATCAACAAACCCCCTTCCTGTTAATTACCCCTTCAGAGAGAAGCTGAAACAATAATTACCTAGGATAATAATTTGAAAATATCCGTTATTACTTTAAATTTATATCTCAGTCTCAATCGTTAATGTAACCTAGAGCTTCGGAGAGTTATGAGAAGAAACTCACTAAAATATAATTTAAAAATTTATTTTTAATTATAAAAATGGCGACATTAAACACCTAAAAATATTTATTAGTTTTGATAGTAAAAATAAAATTAAATAAAAAAAGGAAGGGATGGGAAGGAGGAGGAACGTTTTTAGTTTTGTTTAAAAGGTATTGTGGTGGGGAAGGTGGTTATTATATTATTTTATATTTATTTATTTTTGTGTGGTTGTCCCAAAAACTCTTTAAAATTACATTAAAAATAAAAAACCGGTTTAAAAAAGAAATTCTTTAAATGAAAGGAAATGATTAAAAAAAAATAAAAAAAAGTTTTTGACTTGGAAAAGGTGAAAAGAAAAGAGAGGGGAAGGGGAATTGCTATGTCCCTAAGGCATTTTTAGTAGTTTATAGAAGCGAAAGGACAAATTAAATGCGCGACTGGAAGCTTTAAATTTAAAAAAATTAGAAATAAAGGGAAAATATTTTGGAGTTTAAAAGATTGAGGAAGGCAATTTTGAATATAAATTTTGTGTTTTTTAATTTGTTATTTTGCGAAATAAATCTTTGGTAGTTTGGGTGGCGTTTAATAAAAAATATTATTGGAGAAATATAGCGAAAAATTGCTTAATTTTTAAAAATATTATTTTAATTAAAAAAAAGTTTTTTCTTTTAATTTAATATGTGTAAATACTTTCTTTTGAACTTTCTTCTAATTTTAATAAAAAAATTTTGTATTATCTTTTAAATATATTTTTTTATTTTAAAATTAAAAAACACAAAAATAAATATATATTTTTATTCAATTTTTCTCAATATTTTAATCGAAGAATGTCTTTCATCGGCCATTCTATCAAATAACCCAATATGTGCATTTCTTAGTGCTCTAATAAGTCCATTTAATCCATTATCTCCTTGTCCACTTAATCTAAATCTGTAATCATCTACTAAATGCTCAAATTTTGTTTTTGGATTTTGACGAGACCAAAACTAAAAAAATAAATATTTAATTTTTGTTTATTTAACAGCAAAGGACTTTTGCCTACAACCCCCCAAAATTCTCAAAAAAAAAGAGAAATCTGACTCCTTGGCTTTCCCAATTTCACCTGCGACACTAAAAGACAAAATTTTTGGAGCCTTCGGACCAAAAATTCGGCGCCGAAAATGATTTCCCCCCATGTCCCCTCCCTCCTTTTCCTGGCTACGGGCCTGTAACAAATAATATTTTATTAAATTTTTGAATAAATTTTCTATTCCTGTAAAAGTCAGTGTAATTTTTAATTAAACTCGCCCTATGATTTCTATTTTTTAACATCATTATTGCCCTGTCTCTGTCTTCATTAATTTCAATTTTTGGTGTTATTGTTGTTGTTATTATTTTATTGGAGGGTAAATTGTTATTAATTGTTATTGCTGTTGTTGTTGTAGCCCATATAGGTTTTGGAATTTTTGAAGGAATTAATAAATTAATTAAATCAACATCCTCATTTTCTTTTTTATTTTCAAAAAATTGTTCTTCTTCTCCTTCTTGTTTATTTGTTTCTTCATTTAATTTACTCAAAAGTTTATCAAATTCTTCTTGTTCTCTTTTACGGTAATCATTTTCAGTTAAAGAATTATTATTTAAATTTTCTGCTGAATTTGAATTAAATTGGTGATAATCAATTAAGGTTCTGAAAAAGTCAGAGATAATTTTTTAAAAAAATATTTCGGTCAATTTAAATCTTAAAAAAAACAAAAATTAAATTAAAAGAGAATATTCTTTCAAAATTTTAAATATTAGGTGCGGTCATAATAGTGACCGTTTTCTAAATTAAATTTTTGGGGGTGTTGTTTTACAAATATTATTTTTTCTTATTAATCAACATAAAGATCTCAATCTGCTCTTCACTTTATTACCAGATATAGCACCTAATAATTCAATTTAATTCAAAAATTGCCTCTCTTGTTGATCACCATTTCCTCCTCCAATTCCCCCTTCTCCACTAGACAATAAAGAAAAAAGTCTCGTATTTACTGTACGTAATTCTGATCGTTTTGAAGAATCAGAATTAATTCTTCCACTTCCCCCAAAATTATTTTCATTTTCTTCTTTTATATAATGAAGGTTTTCTTGTTTATTTTGTTTTCTTTGGATTTCTTCAACAATTGGATTTGTCTAGAAGAAAAATAAATTTAGAAAAAAATTATTTTTTAAATAAAAATTACTTCAATTTTTTCATTTTCTAATATTTTTTCTTCTTTATTATTTTCATTTAAACGATTTTCCAATCTTCTCGATATTTCACTTTCCATTAATTTTAAAAATTCTTCTTTATATTTTTCAGAAATATTGACAGATTGTAAAAATGTTGGGAAATCGAGGGTTGTTGAAAGTTGGGGGGATTGGGTGGATGAAGTAGAAAATAAATTGGGTGTTGGTGTACTTTCTGTTGAGATAGAAGAAGAAAAAGTTGAAGAAGAAGTCGAAGAAGTAGATTTTTCTTCAAAATTCTTTGAAGAAACAGTACTACTAGTACTTTCTTCTGTTGAAACAAAGGAATTGCTAATAGTAGTACTTTTTGTTGTAAATAATTCATTTTGAGTTCCACTACTAATTTGTTTTTCCAATAAAGAATTTAAACTTGAATTTAATGGAAATGCTTGGCTTTGGGACATTGGAGTTGCTGATAAACGGAATATTGAGGGTAGTTGTGCTGGATTTGGAAGTAAAAGAATATTTGAATGAATTTGTGATTGAAGTAATGTAGAAGGAGGTGGTGGGGGATTTCTAAATAGAAAGAGAGAGAGAAAGAGAGAATAAATTTAAAAAAATATTTATTTACCTTAAATTATTTAATGGAAAAAATAAAGGATTTATTGGAGGGGGAGGAGAATAATTCGAAATTTCTTCTTTTACTCCCTCAGATTTTTGTAATTGATAGAGGAATTTATTTAAAGGTTTTTCTTGAGGAAGTTCTTTATTGCCTGATGAGGATTGTTGACAATTAATAAAAATTCGTAAAAATTGAAATAATGAAGAGAAATGGAAAATTGTTTTTTGTAATTTAAACATTTTCTCTGTTAAAGGGGAGGAAGATTAAAAAGAAAAAATTGAGAATATAAGTAATTTGTTAAAGTATTATCTAAAAAATATATACCCATTAGAAACCCAAGGCTTTGTTCTAAAGTCTTGAAAAAAATTTTGGTTTTGGACATTTCTAATAAATATAAAGAAGACTATGTATTTATAATTATCATACAAAGGTTATTTTTAAGAAAAATTTTTTGATAAAATTTTTAACTTTTCTATTAAAAAGTTTTTCTTTAATAAAAAATTATATTAGTAACTACATATTTCTATACAAATAATTAACTTGTTATAAAAATAATCTTAAAAAACATTTATTTTATAAATGATTGGACAAGCAAAAATTTATTTATTTCCAATCAATGAAGCAGATAATATTTATTTAATCATAAGAGGAAAATCTTCTTTTATCGAAAATAGCCACAAAATGGTTACCAACGAGCGAAAGCAGATAAAATAAAAATACTTATCAATCCAATTTGGCGAAAGTAATTTTTTTATTAGAAGTAAAAAATATTAATTAAATCCTTTCCATTCTTTGAAGGGAAAAAGCAAAGCCAATTTAACGAAAGTTTGTACGCAGATACTCATGCTTTATTATTCCTACCAAATATTTAAATAAAAATTTCCCGAGAAACTAGAAAAATTGTGTAAATTGAAATTTTGTTGTTTAGTAGGTTAAAAAATTTTTTAAAGTTTTTCAAGGCAATAACATTATTTTTTCATCTCTAATTTTATGTCAAAAACCATGACGGAACCATATTTTTAAAGTAAGTAAAATTTCTTACTTTGAGGAAAATAAGAAAAATTTTTAATAAAAAAATAAAAATCTATCTATTAAATCATACTTTAAACAAAGAATATCATTGCTATTTTTTAATTTAATTTCACTAAAAAATGCACCATTAAAATCCAAATCAAAATTAATAAAGTACAATTTCAATATAAGAGAGATCAACATTTTATTTAAGTACTATTAAATGTTCGAATAGAGACAAAAAGTATATTTGCAAAAGAGAAAATTAAGTAAAAACTTCTTCATTCAAATTTAGATAGATTCAACGATCATTAAAATATTTTGCTCAAAAATTCAGAAAGAGAAGCATTTTAAATAAAAAAAAATTGAGTAGAAAAATAAATATACACTAAATATAGAGAAGGGATTTTCTGTTTGAAGAAAATTGTTTATGGAATTTTGCAAGAAATTTGAGTAATTAAGTTGGGCATTTATCAATAATTTTTAAAAATGTTCAAAAAATTAAATTCGGCTTTAAATGAAAGAATAGTTTAGCGCATATTTTTTGATGAGTGAAATCTTAAAACTAAAGTTTCACATTAAAAATGACGCCTGATAAAAAATAGTGACTTAAGGAAAAAAGAAAACCCCAACTCTCTAAATAATATAAAATAATAATATAATAACATTTTTTGGGTAGATTATTGAATTGAATAAAAAGAAAGTCTATCTCTATTTTTTATAATTATTCTATTTAAAACCCTACTTCTTCCTCAATTCATCTAAATAATCGTCAGCATATTCCTTAAGAACATCCTTAATACAGTCAACATCCATAGAATCAAAAGTAGATGACAAAGACTCTTTTGCAAGAAATTCATTTACAAGGTCCAAAGAAGTTTTTGACGGATCACACCCAAATTCTTTAAGAAATTCGTCCAAAGCTATAATCATACGATGAGTATTTGAACTGAAATTTAATAAAAATTAAAATATTCATTTTAAATTTAATGTCAGACAAAAAGATTATTTATAAATGGAAAAGATAAATGTTCTTTCATAAAAGTCGAGAAACAGAGCAAATTATGAGAACTGATGTAAGCTAATGAAAAGGGAGCCAGTCCGAAATTAATGTTAAAAAGGAAAACCCCAAACGTTGTAAACATTAAAAATAAAAACACCTTTCACTGTTAATGTCGGTACTGTTATTCAATAAAATCGGGATCTCAGCATCGCCATTAAGAACTTCATTTTCTTTCCCAGATAAAAGACGACGCTAACAATAAACAATTTTAATTAATTTTATAATGACGAATAACAAACCTTTTTAGTTCTACGCGATTTGCCAGAATTTGGCTGATTGTGAGACAACCCAACACCATCATTCTACAAATAAAAATTTAAAAGTTGAAATAAAAAATAATAACCTTCTCGGGAGTAAAAGCCTTTGGTCCTTGAGTTTGGGTTTCTTCCAGAAATTCAATGTCAGAATCATAAGCACCATTACAAGTAACATTACCATCATTTTGTTCCAATGACGGAGGAGATAAAGTGTCATATCTTTCTCTAAAAAATATTTCTGAAATTTAAAAAATTCAAAATAAAAAAAACAAACAATCTACGCTTGACGCAAGTTGAGTCCGGAAAATTTTCGCCAATAAAATGAATTTCATTTGGAACAGAAACAGAAAAGTTTGATGGCTTGGCAACCTCTAAAAGACGAGCAATTGCATCATCTAATTGAGCTTTTTTAATGATAACTTCCCCAATCTAAATTTTAAATAAGCTAAAGTTTAGATATCAGACTTAAAAAAAAGTTACATGAGCGAAGATATTTGTTGCATTATCTCCAGAAAGGTCAGTTTGACAAGTGACGTCATTTAACTAAATTAAAAAATGCATGAAATTAGGATGCCTTTGGGAAACTCAGAAGTATTCAATTTTGATCTTAAAGTTAACAGAAAATTTCCAAAAAATTTAGGCGATAGGAAGGGAATAAATTGATTTTTTAGAAAACTTTTTATCCTCTGAAATTGATTACCGATTTTTGAAGCAAATTGTTAAATTCAAGAAAAAATTCTTCGGCCTCAGTTCTATATCGCTTGTTCTCCAAAATTAAATCAGTAGCTCTTTCGAGAGTTAATGGAAGAACATTATTCTCTTTGATAAGTTGCTCATTAACTTCCCTTTCTTTGACAAGATCGGCATTGGCGTCATAAAATAATTTTTGCTTTACTTTGATATCATTCGAAAGCTCAGTTATCTTATTTGTCAATGAAATATTATTCTTCTTTTCGGCTTCATAACGATCCCTAGCCATTTTAGTATGTTTCATCACTTCGGATCTGCAATAATTCTTCCAAGTCTCTTTCGTCAATTTAAGTTCCTTCTTCAAATGTTCACAACCTGGACATTTGGAAATTCCGTCAATCGAGGCCGAGTCAGATGGCGTCTTAAAAATTTATTTGTTTTAAATTAGAAATATATAAAAGTACATTAGACTGCACTTGAGGACTATTCGGTGAAGCAAAGTTAACGGTTTTCGACATATTCACATTACTTGAAGTGCCTGATTAAAAATATATTTAAAAAAGATGAAAGAAAAATAACTTACTAGTGCACTTTAAAGAAGAATTACTAGTCTCCACCCAAATAAATGATTTTAAAAAGTAAATTGAGATTAAAATATATTCAATAAAAGTAGCTGAAATAAAATTAAAAAATGCTCAAAATAATTAAGGTAAAATAAAAAAAACGAAATTTTTTGTTGGAACCGTTTTTATTAAAATAGAGATTTAGACAAAAGATTACATAAAAGACTTCACCGACAAAAAGTAAAAAGCTTAAAATAGTTGCAAAAAAACGCAAAAAAAAAAAAAATTGATTGAATAAACTAAAATACATAAAGCCAATTCTATTTTCTTCAATTTCGCCAAAATGCACCTGATCAAAATAACACACTATTTCTCATTTCTTTTGCTCTTTATAAAAATCTTCTAATTGAGTCTTAGACTTTAGAGTATGAAACTAAATTACTTTATTACATTTTATTGTTAATGCTCTTTTATTTTTCTTGAGATGAATAATTTTTGTTGTTGTTCATCTTGCAAACCTCGATATAAAAGAGTTGTTGATCATATTTATCCCCGAATGCCTCCATATGATGTGCCAGTTAGTGGAAATATGCAGAAATTAACATTTTATTCTATATTCCATCCTGAAAAATTAAATCGAATTGGTATTTATCTTGTTCAAAGACTTTCACGAGATCTTGGTCGACAAAAAGTTGCTGATGTTAAGGTTAACTTTAAATATTTTTTTAAATTTTTAATTCAAGGTTGCGGTTGATGCAATTGATCAATTGTTAAAAAGTTGTCATGGCTCTCCTTCAATTAATCAATTTATTGAAAGTTTTCTTTTAATGGTTCAACGACTTTTGGAAACAAATGACCCTCAAATGGAAAAATTAGCTACTGATTTGTTTGTTAGATTTTCTGGAATTGAGGAGGATTCACCTTCTTATCATCGCCAATATGATTTTTTTATTTCAAAATTTTCTTCAATGTGTCATGCGAATCGTGGTGCTTATGTGCGCTCACAACGATTTAATGGGCTTCGAGGTCTTAGAGGTTAAATAATATTGTTTGTCAATTTCTATTAACATTTTTCGATATTAGGTGTTATTTGGAAATCTGCAAGTGATGATTTACAAGCTAACATTTGGGAGAAACAACACATGAACAAAATTATTCCTTCAATTCTCTTCAATTTCCAGGATGAAAATGGTTAGTTTTTGACATTTTTGACTAATTTATTCAAGCTTAAGACGAAGTTGATGTCCAACGTTTTGATCATACTACCGAAATGCTATTTCATCCTGAACAACAAAATGGATCTATTGCCGAAGCCGAACCAAGAAATTTAGCGCTTCAATGTCTTCGAGAACTTTTCCAAAAATGTAGTTTTGGATCTCTCAAGTTGATTTTTATGTTCAATTCTTTTAAAAAATTCAGATCTGTACTTGAACCAGTCTTTAGGCATTTTGATTTACACAATAAATGGGATCCTCCACCAACTTTTGCTATTAGAACTTTCAAGGCTATTCTTTACAGCATTCAATCACAAAATTCTTATTTTGTTATACAAGTTTTTTTTATTTTTTATTCTTGTTTAAGATATTTCTTGAAGGATCTTATTAATCAGCTTGAACAAGTTCAAAATGGAGAATTTAATGTTCGTGTTGGAATGGCTACAGTTTTGGCAAATATTGTCAGCATTGCTGGAACGAATATCGGCCCTCTTTTTTTAGCTATTTTTAATTCACTGTTAAAATTACTTCGTTCTTCTGTTGAATTCCAACAAACAAAGCAATGTATTGATTTGGAAAAGGAAAATTTATTTCAAAGCACTTTAATCTATGCTCTTAGTGATTTTGCAAGTGCGTTACCTGATTATCAAAAAGTTGAAATTATGATGTTTACTGCTGGAAGTATTTCAAATGATGAAAGCACTGGTTTTTATATTTTATTTTACTAGATAATTATCTTTTTTTTAGTGAATCGTAAAATGGAACAGTTATGCGAACCATTTCTGCAAAAGGAAGTGTTAAAAATGTTTAGAGACAAAAATCAACGGCAACTTTCTGAACAACAGAATGGTTTCGATACTGTTTCTATGGGAAGTAGTAGTGTAGATTGGAGTCCATCTGATACAGAACCACATAGCAGAAGGAATACAGTTTTTTGTGGACAAAGTAACGTTTTTAGTAATTTTTACTGATTTTGGTACTTTATGGATATGTCCAGGCCCGTAGCCAGGATTTTTTTTCGGGGGGGGGCAAGGGGGGAAAAATTTTTATTTTCAGTGCCGCAGGCGAAAATTTTGAGAATTTTATAAGGCCGTAGGCCAAAAAAAATCGCTTTTTTGCCCCAGCCCTTCCCCAAATTTTTCCCTTTTCCCCATTTCGGGGGGGGGGGGGGGGGAATTCCCCCCCCCTACCCCCCTGGCTACGGGCTTGGATATGTCACCCCCCTCCTATATCGAGTCTAAGAGTTTTCCTTATACGTAGAAAATGGTCAGAGATTATTTTCTTCTCCATGTCAATTATTTTTTTCTTCTTCAAGTATTTTGCTTGTTTATTTTGCCTTTTCACATATTTTGAAATTTGTACTTACATTTCACTAATTTCATTTCTACATTTACCACATTCCACTTATTTTGCTTGAAGAAGAAAAAAATGATTGACATGGAGAAGAAAATAATCTCTGACCATTTTCTACGTATAAGGAAAACTCTGAGACTCGAAATAGGAGGGGGTGACATATCCATAAAGTACCCTGATTTTTGTATTTTTTAGAAGACCTCAATCTTCCTATCAATGTTGAGCAACTTCGAATTCTTGCCAATACTCCTCTGAATGTTGCTGAAGAGGAAAGACGGGATCAGGCATGAGAGCATTTTTTAAATTTAAATAGTATAAATTATTTTTTAGGAAAAGAGTCGAGAAGTGTTAAAAATGTTTAGAGACAAGAATCAACAGCAACTTTCTGAACTATTTAGACATCATCAACGTAATTGTTCTTGCTCTTCTACAGGCCCTCCTTGTCCACATGGAAATGGTGAAAGTCAAGAAACTTTAGCACAAACATTGCAGCGATTAACACTTAGACATGATGAAGTAAAAAAATAAAATATTTCTTAATTAAAAACTGTTTTTAGAAAACACGAATTCGAATGTTTGGGCAACAAGCTCCGCCTGCAACTATTTTTGACATAAAATTCCCTTCCTCGTTTGAATTTTAAAATATATTTTTTTCGATCTCGTTTATTTACTTAATTAACATTCCAAATTATTGTTTTTTGTTTAAAATGTGCAAGCCTTAATAATTATTATTTTTTCTTGTCAATTATTTAAAATAATAAAGAGTTTATTGCTTAAATTATTTCAAAACTTGTATGTTTATCTTAACTGAATTCCTTTAATTTAGACCAAGAATTTTTATAGAATTTATGGATATAGTTGAAGATTTGAAAATCTGTAACCGCCAAGAATGTCTTCTACTTTTGATTATAGGAATTAAATTTTTTTGATGATGAATGACACTCTCTTTACAATTAAAACTTTCAATTATGTTATCTCAAAACCTGGCTTTCAACAAACAATAACTTATGATCTTCAAATTCCATTAACTGAAAATTCGTTAGGATCTGATTTTTTTGGGCATTTATTTGCAAAACAGAAAGTCCCTTTATTTGCATGTGAAGGCAAATTAAATTATTTAAATTTATTTATTTTTAATTTTTAGAAGTTGAAAATGCTTTAAATAATTTTGTATATGATGAGACAAATAAATATACTTCTTTAATTGCTGATGAATTATTAAAAGAAAAATTGGCTCAATTTGGGGATGATTCTTCAAAATTGGCTTTAGAATTAAACACGGATAAATTGGTGAATCAACAAAATTCTTATTATTTTTTATTTGTTTTTTTGTAGGATGGACAATCTTCAATTGGATTATTTTCTAAAGGAGAACTTTCTTTTGAGGAACAATTTCAAAAATTAATAAATAAATGTTCTAATCATCAATTATCTAATTTAATTAAAGAAGAGACTGAAATGACAAATGATGTACTTTTAAATATTCTTTTTATAATTTTAAATATTTTTAAGGTTCGTTCAATTGTACATGCTAGAGATTTTGAACTAAATCGACTTGAAAAAGCTTGTGAGGCAAGTCTAGCTGCTACTTCTACGCCAGATTCTGATAAATTTGATGAATATTCTCGTGAACTGTCACAGCTTAACGCAGAAATTCGTGTTAGTTTTTTATAATTAATTTTACATTTAGTAGAGAATTTAATTCTAATTTCTAATACGAAATTTGAGAGGGAAAATAATTAAAATCTGTCTTTGAAAATTTTTTATTTAGCGAGTGGGCGCTGATTTTTCTTGCCGAATGGAAGAACTTCGCCAATATCAAAGAGAAAAATATCGTTCATTAGTTAAAAATTTGTGTCAAAATGTTGAGAATTCTCTCCTTTCAACAAAACATCAAATTCCAGAAAAGAAAATGTCAACACCTGAACAACACAGTTCTTCACTTAATTATTCTCCTAGTTGTGGATTTCAACAACAATTTACTAATAAAAATTTAAAATCTTTAAAAAAGTAATTTTTGAAAGATTTAAATTTAATTAAATATATAATTGGAACCTTTAAGGGGGCTTTTCTGTTTTGCCAAAATTGATTTAGGCATAGAAAAAACCATTGAAATTGTAGTTCTCTCTTGATAAATTTGGGGATTAACAATTTTAGTTGTTAAATTTATTTTATTTATAGAGGAAGAATTTTTTTTGATTTCTCGAATTTCTTCTTAATTTTTCTTTTCTTCAAAATACATTTTAATATTTTAAAAAGGTCAATATCTTGTGAAGAAAAAATTTCCCAACTTTGTCTTGGTGAAAAGGGTAATAAATCATCTTTTGTCGGACGTCAATCTGAAAGTTTTTCAATATATATAGGTAAATAATATTTTATTTTAAATTTTATTTTTTAAAGGTTCTCAACTTAAAACTCGGCATAATGTTCGTCTTTTAACTTGTAATTGTTTATCTGATTTGTGTCTTTCACAAACTTTTGAAGATTTTTCTCATCAAGAAGAATTATTAGGCTCTAAACGTCTTCATCTTTTAATGAATTTATATGGAAGGGAACTTTCTGCAACAGTTTTAATTGTTGGGAGAGATCCTCTTTGGCATATTAAACAAAAAACAGAATTTGCAAAACTTTGTGAACAATCGGCAGAATTACATTTTGATTCGCTTGAAGGGCAATTAAAGGCTATTGAAGAACATGTAAGGAGTTTGGCTCTATCTTAGGACATGCGTCCCATGAACATTTATGCGTCACATGAATTTTTATGCGTCCCATGAAAGTTTATGCGTCCCAAAAATAGTATATGCGTCCCAAAATAATATAACCGCAAAATAACATTTTTTAAATGTATTAATGAAAATTAAATATTTTATATGTTACCTTGCTCAAGGGACAACGAGCAAATTAAAAAAAGAATAAAATTTTTATTTTAATATGATAGAGTAATTATTCATATGCGTCCCATGAACTTTTATGCGTCCAATCAAGTGGGCGTAGGTCCAATCAAGTGGGCTCAGTGGGCGTAGGTCCTGAACATGAATAAATGCTTTGGAACCATGCCCTACTTTGCAATACCAAGAAAAATCCAATTTTCCTTTAATTGGACTCATAAATTTTAATTGTACGCATAAAAGTTCATTGGACGCATAAACTAGACCAGGCCAAAATATTTAATTGTCATTAATAAGATTAAAAAATGTTTTTACAATTGTTTTACGCTTATATTAATTTTGGGACGCATATACTTTGAAGGGACGCTTATACTATTTTTGGGACGTATATACATTCATGGGACGCATAAATGTCCATTTTGGATTTAGATGTTCCTCAAGGGTTTAGGCATTATTGCATTGATATATAATTTTGACAATTATTAGGCGTTAACTTTCCTTTGCCTATTTTCTTTATACAAAGGACGTGAAAAATTTAATATCCTTTTATACTCAATCTTTCTTAACTTTTTAGCATTGTTACTAAGGGAAATGCTTAACCTTTCTGATTTTATTAAAATTATTTTTAAGGTTAGATCAGCAAATCGAAGCCGGCGTTTAGCTAAAAATTCAATAGGATATACTTCTCCATTCTTTCCCTACTTTTCTTCTTCCCAACAAGATTTTGAGGATGATAATGAAGATGAAGGCATTTTAAAAATTGGAGATGTTTATTTAACAAAACATTCAAATCTTTCTTCTGTTCAAATTATTTTTCATTTAGTTGGAGATGATAAATTAGAAAAAGAAGAAATATCTTCAAGACATCCTTGTGTTGCTGGGCTTCATAATATTGTTAGATTATCTTCTCGTTTTGCAATTAGAAATATTTCTTTACCTCTTTTATTGGTTGATCAATTTAATGACGAGGTAATAAAAAAAGAAAATATTTTTGTTAAAAAATAAATATCTGGGATTTTTTTTAGAATTTTTGATGAAACAAGAAATAGTACCAAGAATCTTTTTAATTTTGAGGGTACTAAAGCAAACCTAGGCCTATTTGACTTAAATTTTTCTTAAAAATATTTTGAGAGAAAGTTTATCTGCCTTTTCTCATCATTTTAATTTCCTTTGGGAGAAATTATTAGTTTTCTCGTTTATATGTTGCCAATTTAGTAAATTATTATTAATACTTTTTAAAGTAAAAATTAAAGATCAATTTTTTACAAAAAATAATTTTAAAAAATTTCTCCCTTTCTTTTTTTAAGTTTTTGTCATCAGAAAATATCAATATAAATATTTGGTGTCAATCTCGTGCAGAACTTGTTTTTAAATGTTTAAAAGGGTTTTTGATGGAAGTTTGTTCAAGCGGATCAAGTTGTTCCCTAGCTGGAGGTGCTAATTCTGGACCTATCCAATCTTTACATTTTAATATTTATTTTGCCATAACTTTCTCTAAATTACTTCCAGATTCTTTTTTATTTCAACAATTGACTGATTTATTTACTTCTATTTATTATTTAGTTCCTTCTTTAAATGCTTAAATTTTCTTTTTTAAAAATCAATTATCATATGGTTTTTAAGCATATTTTCTTAAAATATGGTTTTAATTTAAAATGAAAGTTTTTTTAAATTTTTCCTATTTTTCGACATTTTTATTGAAATGTTTTTTTTCGCTTTTTTTTGTTTTTATTTTATTAATTTAAAGATTAAATAATTGTTCCCTAAAAATATTTGATTGGTACACTTTTGCATAAATAAATAAATATATTTAATAATTATCATTAATTTTATTACAAATTCTTTTATTATAAATATCAACAATAAATAAATATTTTTTTGCTTTTGATGAACCCCGCAAAATTTTTAACAAAAAATTATCTCAATAAAATTTAAGATTCTTTAAAAATTATTTATCGAAATAATTTAAAAATTACAAAATTTTGTTCTACCTTTATTTAAATTTGAATTTTCGAAAAAAATATTTTGGTAAAAAAATTTTTTAAAGAATTGGGCTTTTAAGCAGATGTGTGTTGTTTAAGAATTGTTTTGGGGTGTTTAAAAACCAATTAAATATTTTTTTATTTGTTTAAAAAGAGTCAGATTTCTGCAAAAAGTGAGAAAATAAATAAACTTTTTTTTGAAAAAGTAATAAAAATATTTGAGAAACTTTTAAAGGAAATTTATATTTATTTTTGTTTGTTTTGCTGATATTTTATTTTTAATGGATATTAAAAGGAATATTTACTTTTAGCTAATAAAAGTTGATGATATATTTATTTAGTTAATAATTTAGTTAATTCCATTAATATGTATTTCCCCCTCCCTTTCATTTTTTATTGGTCATGCATCAGGGATGGATCCACCTTCCGCAGAATTCCGCTTTTTTGACCCACCCGCTTCCGTCTTCCGCTTTTTAAAATTGAAAATTATCCATCCCTTTTATACATACTTCTCAAAACTTTATCTTTCCCCCTTCTGCCTTTTATTTAACAACAACAAAAACCCCTATTTAATAATCAAAAACAATTAACTTTATCAAATTTTCTTTAGTATATTTAGAAAAGAATATATTAATTTAAGTTAAAAATAAATATTATGGAAAATCTAAGTTCTATTTTAATTAATAAAAGTAAGGAAATTGAAGAAGAAGATGAAGTTGGGGATAAAATGACGGTTTTTGAAGAATATTTTTATTTGGTTAATGGATTAATTGGAACTTTTTTAAATTTAATTGTTTTATTAATTGCTTATTTAAATGTTAATATTAATGATAAACCTAGACAGGTAAATAATTAATTTTCTCGAAATAAAAATAAATTTTGATTTTTAATCCAAAGAAAATAATTATTTTAAATTTTTATTGTTTAAATATTTTTCTCGAATTTTTTGAGGGAAGATGGCTTACAATTTTTAAATGTATTCTAATTTTAGACTAAACACATTTTTCTTGAGTTTTTGATGCAATTTAGCTTAAAGTATTTATAGACAGAATTAATTGGAAAATATTAAATTTATATAGTTTTTGAGAAAATTTATCGAAATTAATAAGAATAACCATAAAAAACCTGTAAACGTTTTCCATAGTCAGGTTCTGAAAACTTTAATATTAACGGAAAATGAAGATAAGAATTAAAAAAAAGAATATTTTCTTTCCTTTATTATTATTTAATTAAAAATTAATTTTTATTTTTAAAGATAATTGTTATAAATATGACTTTGGCTGATTTATTAACTTGTACAATTTATATAATTACAAGATCTTGTAAATTTTTAAAAATTTATTTTTAATTATTATTTTTAGATGTAAGTATTTTCCCTCAATTTATTTGTTATCCTTATTATGTTTTAATTGTTACTTCACAATTATGTAGTTGTTTAAATCTTTTATGGTAATTGAATTTAAATTTAAATAATTTAAATTTAAAAAAAGGATTAATTTGGATAAATTTTTATTTATTAAATTTCCATTACATTATTATACTTTGGTTAGCAAAAGGAGAGTTATTTGGGTAATGATTGGAAGTTGGGCATTAATTTTTGGATTTGTTATTTTTTTATATTGGTTTATGGAAATTAAGGTAATTAATTAAATATTTTTTGAAAAAATAATTCTTTAAAAAAGCATCCATGTGAAAAAGTAATTTTATCTGGACATATTTATTTATTAATTTGTTTACTTTATATTATTTCAATAATTGCTTCTTTAACACTTTCTGCCATTATATTTTATATTGCACAAAAATCAAGACGTTCTTTAGATTCTTCAAAAGAATCAAAGGTAAAAATGAAATATTTTTAAAACACAATAAGATGGGGGTTAACAATGAAGACCACCCTGAAGACCTATTAAAAATCCTATTAAAACACGCTGAAGGCGGTTCTACTTGACTTTATGAGTCCAATCGAACTTTATGAGTCCAATCAAGATTTATGAGTCCAAACAAAACTTTATGAGTCCAAATAAAACTTTATGAGTCCAATCAAGATTTATGAGTCCAAACAAAACTTTATGAGTCCAATCAAAATTCATGAGTCCAAACAAATTTTATAAATCCGACATGTCTTATTATTCTAAGTAAAAATTGTGGCTCTACTACGGTTTATGATTCCAATCACAGCTTATGAGTCCAATCGGATTTTTGTGAGCTACGTGGTAGGTCGTCAGATCAAAGCAGGTGCTGAAAAAAGGGATAGGTTTATGTTGCCGACCCAGAACCCAGCGACCGTTGACTCACGCGAGGCGTGTGCCGCAAAACCCCGCGCGAAGCGCGGGGTTTTGCACAAGCGCCTCGCCTATATCCCATAGGTCTAACAACATAATCCTATTCATTTTTAATGTATTATTTAATAAATGTATTATTTAATAAAATCTAATAAAATGTGATTGAACTCATAAAATTCCTATGGACTCATAAAGTTTTGTTTGGACTCATAAATTTTGATTGGACTCATAAAGTTTTATTTGGACTCATAAATTTTTATTGGACTCATAATGTTCGATTGGACTTATAAAGTCAAGTAGAACCCTGAAGGCTTACAACTTTTTGATCAACTGAAAATTTTTATCACAATTTTAATCGGTGGGCCCGAGGGATTAATGGGATTTGGAGTGATTAAAGGGGTGTAGGTCTTCAGGGGTGGACTCAAAAAAATTATCGTGGTGTGGACTTTCCTTTATTAATTTTTGGGGATTTTTAAAGAAAATACCTAAATAATTTTAACAACGAAAATTTTATCTTTCTAGAGACTTTTCAAGCGCCTCTTTTTTGTTTTTTCCTCAACATTATGGACATTTTGTACCTGCCTTCCTTATCGACTTCTATATCTTGGAATTTTGCTTTCATTATTTTCATCCTCCCCACCTTTATTACTTAAACAAGCAATTGATTTATTTTATTCTTTATTGGTTATTGGAATTGTTTGTAATCCAATAATTACTTTATTTACACAAAGAATTTATCGAAATTATTTAATTAATTATTTTTTAAATCCTTTTGGAAAGAAAAATAAAATAAAAAATAATTCAAGTAGAAGAAGTAGAAGAGCAACAAGTTTATATAAAAATGAAAAAGAAATTTTAAATATTAATGAGGAAAAAGAAGAAAGAAGAGAAAGGATATAAACAATTAAATAATTATTGTTACTAATTGTTCCTCTTTCTAAATTTATTTTAATAAAAGTTCTAATACATAATCTTAAACAATTTTCGAAAAAAAGAAAAGAAAAACCCCAAACGTATAAAATTCGCTCGAAAACTGTCCGGAGTCAACTTTACATCTGTGATTGTCATATCCTTAACTGTTGTTCAGTATTGTCACCTCCGCAATTGTCGTAACACATTGTGAAAAAAAAAGAAAATTAAGGGACACGCCCAAAACACGCCCAAAAACATCAAAATTTATTAAAAGTAAAACATTCTAACAAAAAATTCAATAACCAGGATATTAACATAGTTTTACAACCTAAATTTAGATTTACCTAGTTAGTCTTCAATAAGATGTGACCAAGCTTAATAAAGAGACTAGTTTAGTTTCCTTTAACTAGTTAGTCTAAAAACCTTCAGAACTTTCTCGACCAAAAACAAGTATTCTTTGCTCATCTCCTTCTCAAGTTCATATTTATTCATAACGATGGCAGTTCTGAGGAATTACCAAAACGCGCGACTTTCAGGATTTTGTGGTGCATCTCGTGCCGGAGTCGAATCCGTTTAACTATTTTGCATATAGCTGACTTGTCCGTTATAAGAATGTTTTCATTATTTTTTTCTCTATTTTACTAAATATGTATGTAGTTTTGGCCTGCGCAGTTTCGGTCGCGCAGTTTTGGGCTGAACCAAAATTAAAATGAATCACCAAGTCACAGTTTTCTTTGTAAAATTGATTTTATTATTTTTTCTTTCTATTATTTGGTATTTTTTCTTTAAATTTTTACATTTATTAAATTTTTAGGTTATTATTAATTTATTATTTATTAACCATTTATTTATAAACTAACTATTTATGGACGAGAAAAATTTTTTGTCATCAACACAAACAACTAATAATTATTTTAAAAAATTTCTAGGCAATCTTAACGAACTTCGAAATAACTGTTTGCTTTGTGATGTCGAAATTGAGGTTTTAATTTGTTTAAATCTAGACCCTATTTTTTCTCTTATTTTTTTCTTTAGTGCCAGGAGAAAGTAATTTTTGCCCATAGAGGTAGTTTTTAAATTAAAATTAAATACTTTTTCGATTTCTTTAGTTATTTTGGCGGCTTCTATCGAATATTTTCGCGGACTTTTTAATTCAGGGATGGCTGATGCCGGTGAAAAGCGAATTGTTCTTAAGGTTTTTTTTAAATTATTTTCTTTATTTTCTGCTGATATTACGGGGATGTTTTTATTGAGATTCTTTTAGCTTTTAATTTCCCTATTGATAATTTTATACGATTTTTAGCGTACAAGTCCGCAATTGTTTTTTGTCATTATTCTCGTAAAAATTTAGTTAGGTTTATTTTTCATAAATTAATCGACATTTCTTACAAACCCAATTTCTTTGAAAAATAATTTTTTTATCCAATATTTTAAGGAAATTACTTTCATTGGTCTAAAACAAATTGTGGACTTTGCATATACATATGAATCTTATATTGATGAAAATAATGTTCGGCAATCATTACAGGCTGCTAATTATTTAGGAGTATTTAATTCAAAGATTTATTTTATTTTTAAAAATTATTTTTTTAGATAAATTCAGTCAAAGAAGCTTGTGAAACTTTTTTAACTTCTCGAATTAATGTTGGTAATTGTATTGAATTGTATGAACTTGCAGATCAATATAATTGTTTAAAATTGTTTGATTCTATTTATATATTCATTTTGGAACATTTTTTGGTATTTTTTACTTTAATTTTGTCTAATCTAGAGTTCGATATTTGAAAAATGCCGGATCCGGTTTTCCCCTCTTGGCTACGGGCCTGTATACTTTTAAGATGTTTTAAAGGGAGGAGTTATCTTGGCCAGATCAGAAAACGGGCAAAAACGGCTCAAAATTCTTGCTAGAAAGGGCACATTCTCTATCGAATGAGCCCGGTCTCGACCGTTTAAGGTCGGACACCTCGCAACCTTTACTTGTAAATTGGGTGTAAACACTAGTATTGGGTCAAAAGACTTTTTTCCTAAACAATTTTTCTCTTTCAGGAATTTTCTAAACTCCCTCAATTTCTCTCACTCAATTCAATTACATTATTAGAACGTTTAACTTCAAGCGATGAATTGTTTATACCTGATGAATATTTTCTTTTTGAATTTTTAATTAATTGGGTTAAACAAAATGAAGAAGAAAGGCTTATTTATTTGCCAAAACTTTTAAAAAATATTCGTTTCTTTCAAATTCCAACAAATAAATTTTTAAATAATGTTCTGCCAAATACATTAATTAATAAATGCCCAGAAGCTTTGACTTTTGTTAGATCTCAAACTGAAGCTATTTTGGGAAAAATTGTTGGAAATGATTTTTTTGGGAATATTGATGGAGGTTTGTGTTAAAAGTTATTTTTAGTTTTTATTTGGTATCTCTTCAAATGTACAGTTGAATCTAATTTTTAGATACCCCAAAGTTCAGTTTGAAATATATTTTTAAAATCTCGCGAAACTCCAAATGAATCAAATACAAAAAAGTTTGTATAAGCAAAACGAATTTTTCTTAAAAAGTCAATAAGCAGTGGGTAGTGTTTCATTAACGAAACAAACAAAACTAAAATGAAAAAACTATACGAAACAACGAAACGTTTCGTGCTGTAGGGATTTAACTGCCTAAGCGATGCCCTCAATTTTAAGCACCCTCAAAGTAAAAGTACTTTTTATTTTCAGTCACCAATTCGTCAACATTAATTTCATTTCGTCCAAGAAAAGTCTATGCTGGTTTGCTCTATTTAGTCTAATATATTTATAAATACTTTTGTAGGTGTCATTTTTTGTGTTGGTGGACGTGGTTCACGTTTGGATCCATTTAAGTCTGTTGAAGTTTTTGATTGGTTACACAATTGTTGGCATCAGATTTGTGAACTTAAAATTGGGAGAAGACACGTTGGTGTTATTTGTGTTGGTTCTAGAATTTATGCAATTGGTGGACATGATGGAACTGAACATTTAAGTTCTGTCGAATGTTTAGATGTTAAAGAAGAATCTTGGAGGGATGTTGCCCCAATGAATGTTAGAAGACGGGGAATGGCTGTTGGGGCTTTGGGTGGTGCAATATATGCCGTCGGAGGTTCGTTTGAATTTTTAAATTTGGATTGTATATGTAGTATACAAATTAGAGAGATTAGGATTTGAACACTATTCGCTTATTATTCTAATTTTTCTTCAGGGTTAGATGACCAGAATTGTTACAGGGCTGTTGAACGATACGACATACAAGAAAACGTATGGGTGCAGGTTGCTGATATGACCACGCCTAGAGGCGGTGTTGCTGTTGCTGCTTATGGTGTGTAAATTAGAAAATATTTTTTATTTTTAAATTTAAGAAGGAAAACTTTATGCAATTGGTGGAAATAGTGGAACCCATTCATTGGAAACATGTGAAAAATACGATCCAATATGTAATGAATTTAATCAAATTGTTTTATTTAAAAATAAATTCTTTTTTAGTAAATAAATGGACATCAATTGCTCCAATGAAAAATAGAAGGTTTAATTATTTTTTTAAATGAAATTTAAAAAACCATTTTTAAATTAGAGCTGGGTCTGGAGTTGCCATTATTGGACCTTATTTATATGTTATTGGAGGATTTGATGATGACTCCCCTTTAAGGTATTTTTTTCTTATTTGAATTAAATCAAAATACGAAATTTAGGGAAATTTTTGAGTATAATTTTGGCTTGTAACCTTTAACCTCAAGCTGTCCAAACTGTGGGGTTTGAGGCAAGACGTTTTTCTCGATTTTTTGGGGGTTTTTAGAATATACCTCTTATGTACATAAAATTTTCCTCCATTTCGTCTATTTTAACAAATGTTTTTTTATTATTTTTAGCACCTGTGAACGTTATAGTTTTGCAGAAAATATTTGGAAAGAAATCGAACCACTTTCCTGTGCTAGAGGAGGTGTTGGAGTAACAGCAATGGGTGGACGTATATTTGCTATAGGTGGACATGACAGTCATAATTATTTAAACACTGTTGAAGCATATGATCCTTTATCTGAAGGAAACGAAAATAAATGGACAGAAATTGCTTCTATTAGTCAAAGAAGGTTAAAAAAAAGAAACATATTTTGTAATTAAAATTTATTAATTTTAGGGCTGGTGCGGGTGTCGCTTGGTCGCCTTGCAGTATTAAAGAAATTTCTTTCTCTGATGAAGCTTGTGATTTATAAAATTATTTTTACTTTTTTTTGCATTTTAATATCTTGTTGATAACATTAGTCCTTGCATAACATTGGTTCCGATAAAAAAATGATTAAAAGTGGTTTTTGGTATTTTGGTAATATTGAAGAGTATGGGCCCCATTTTTTCCTCCCTATTTTTCCTCCTATATTTTTACAAAATCCTCCAAATTTTGTCCTCCAAACAAAATCCTTCCATCCAACTTGCCTTTATAATTTTTGCCTACAACTAAACAAAAAGGATTATTTTTTGGTATTTAACAAGTATGAGTTTTGAGAAGACTCATTTTCTCTATTAAAACGGGGAATAAAATATCAAAAAATGATCCTTTTTCTTTGTTTCAAGGCAAAAATTATAAAGGCAAGGTGGATGGAAGGAAGGAAAAAGTCTGACCATTTTGTAAAAATATAGGGGGAAAAATAGCAGAGTTCGAACTTTTCAAAATGCCGGGCCCGGGACCCGGTTTTATTTTCTCAAAATCGCACCCGGACCGGTTTTTCCGGATAAAACCGGAAAAACCGGTTAGCCCGGAAAAACCGGATTTTTTCAGACCCGGGCCCGGACCCGGTTTTTTCGAAATTTATTAAAAACATAAAAAAATTATCACACATACAAAGGATCGGAAAACATACAAAGGATCGATTAAAGGATATATGAATCAAAGGATAGGTGCGCTAAAGGATATAGTATACCTAGCGGGGGTGTCCGCAAGTGTAAAAAATTTTCCGCAGCCGCAATTTTAATTTTAAAATCCGCAGTCCGCAATCCGCAGTAGTTAGTCCGGCGTATATGTCGTTGGGGGCAGAGGGGTCCAACCATTTAGCCCCTCCCACATTTTTAAACGACCATTCAACCATTCCGTCGTCAGAGTCCAAAGGTTTAAGGATTTCCCTTTAAGGGATAATTTGATCAAACCGGTTTGGTGCGAACTTTAAAAAAAACACCTTACCATACCATTCCCCACATTTTTCACCAAATTTTATTCTAAAAATTTTCCCAAAGTTTCTAGGGTTCAATAAGTAGTTTTCAAACGATTCAATCAAGATTTCCCATATTTTTTCTTTTTAAAACTGTTTCTTAAACTTTTTTTTTAAGTTTCTTTTCTTACAATCTTATTTTATTATTTTTACCCTTTATACTTAAAAAAATACAATAATTATTAAAAAGTAGGCGGTTGAAATAGAAATAGTAAAAATCAGTCATGCAATAATTATGTTGCAAAATTATTGTTGAAAAGTGAAAATTGGTTAGAAATAGGTCATGCAAGAGAAAAAACTGTAAAAATTTGTAAATTATTGTTGAAAAGTTAAAAATGGGTAAATTTTTAAAAAGTAGACGTTGGAGATAGAAATAACTTTAAAAAGTATAATTAGGTAAAAAATAGCTCATGCAAAAATTGATCAAAAAAATTATTAAAAAGTAGGCGTAGAAAAGTGAAAATAGACTATAATTATAAAAACAAAATATTTCTGTAATAGGAAAAATAAATAAATGAAAATAAATAAAGTTTTATAATTACCCCTCTCTATTAATTACCCACTAATAATTTAAAAAATTAAGAGTTTAAAAAATAAATTCTACAAACAACATCGTCGCATCGTTCACAACTTGCTAATTATATACCTAAAATTTTTTCTTTTTTTTTTTAATTTTTCTTATTATGCTAATTTTCTTTCTCGAAATATTAAAATTTAAAACATTTCCTATTTAGTTAAATTATGTTAAATATATTTTTAAAATTCCTCTTCTTGACTGGAAATAAAAGAAAAAGATTATTTTATATAGGGATTTCTCTTCTTTTGACAACATCCTAAGGAATAAAAACAAAGGTATGTATTATTACGAAACTAAACATTATTACGAAACTTGCTCGCTCTTTCTTTATTCTCTTTAAATTCTTTTGCTTTTTTATGCAAAATTTCTTTTAGGCTTTTTCCCGCGACTGAAAATAATGAAATGGAATTTCAGTGAAATTCCTATTTTACAACACATCAATTATTTTATGGAATATTTTCTTAAAAAAGGATTTCACATTTCTTTCTTCATTCTTTAAAATTCTAAGAAATTTAATACTTTTGAATTAGTCTCTAATTTTGAATTTATTTTATTATTAATGTCTCCTCCACCTTCGAAGAAAGCACGACATTTCTTCATTGATAATCTATTACAGAAAGGTGATGGTGATTATGTAAAACATTTCGGTGAAGAAACTAAAATCACCCGGAAATTTAACCTTACCAAACTTTCTACTAAATTCTTAATTACGAATATCCCACCCGATCCTGAGGGTTTATTAAAAGGAATTTTCCAAGAATGCATCGACAAAACATTGGAGACGAGTCATGGTCATCAGCTTGATCCAGATCAACTTGGCTGTACAGTGAGCAGTCAATTGTTAGAATCAGATATTTGGATTCCAATACGTGAAATTTCTCCCAACACGGTGGATTCAATTCTTAATCAATTTCTAAAAGTGGCCCAATCTAAAAAACAGGATCAGGGAATGTTATGGGGTGAACCATTTACCGTTTCTGTTACAGCTATTGACAAAAAACATCTGCCTACAACACGTACTATTCAAGGAAGCGGTAAAGATTCCTCAACAAATCAACATAAAATTAAACAACACAACCTTATTAAAATTATTAATTCTGACAACTATTGTTTATTTCGATCATTGTCTGCCACCTTTATATTTTCAACATGCTCATGGCCGAAATGGAAGTTCTATGACTATATGCATAGCAGATTAGGAATGAAGAAACGTTTGGAACATGATACAACATTCTTGATGGAAAATGTAGGAGCTCCTCCTGGTCAACCTACTTATGCTGCAAATGAATGGGTACCCAAGGTGGTTGATTATTGGAATTCAAGGAATGATGGCCTGTTTAAAGTTTTTATTTTTGGAGAATTAGATGAAAAACCTATCTTTAAATATGGGGATGAAAATCACACTACTCCAATTCTTCTTTATTACAACAATAATCATTTTGATGGAGTTAGAAAGGCAGGTGATTTATTTGGAAAGCCTTATTGCCTTGCCTGTGAAAAGGTATACCACCGCCCAAAAGATCATTCTATCACCTGCACATCAAAATGTCAAAATTGCTCCAGGATCGGACCCAATTACCCATGCCAGCCTTTAGATAACTACTTCAAACATTGTTCTGGTTGTGATAAAGAATTTTACAACAATAACTGCTATGACCATCATCTCAAATCTAAATTTTGCCACAACTCTAAGAAATGTGAGAAATGTGGAGTTATATGGAATGTTGCTGTGAACAACCGGAATGGACGTACTGGTCATGTTTGTTCAGAACGTTACTGCACCACCTGCTTTAGCTTCCATGACCCTAAAAGAGGATGCTTCATCAAATCTCTAACTCAAAAAAAAGCCAAAACCGTACCGGATTATCGCTTTTGACTTTGAAACCATGCAACACAGGCAAGACGAAAAAGGGAAATTACATGAAGTAATTTTATATCTGCAAAAATCAACTGCCCCGAGTGTATTAGTAACGGATTGAATAACAACTGTAAAATTTGTGGGGAGGATCGAACTATAACCTTCTCCCACCAACCATTTTCCAACACTCAAGTCGATCAACAAAATGTTACTAATGATCCTCTGACTGATTTTGTAACCTGGATCACTAATTTTTCTACTGATACAATAGCCTTCTCTCATTTTGGAGGAAGGTTTGATATGGTCCTAGTCTTCAAGACATTGTATCTCAAAGGCCTAATCCCAGAAATGATAAAGAAAGGTAACAAAATGTATGAGATGAAGGTGAAGAACAATAAAAAATGCTGGGTCATCTTCAGAGACACATACAATCTAATGCCAATGCCGTTGGCTTCGCTAGTACCAGCCTTTGCTCTTAAAATGGAAGACAAACCTTTCTTCCCTCACCTGGCCAACAACCCAAAGAATTATGGGAAAGAAATCTTTCCGACAAAAGAAGATTACCTTGCTAATGGGATGATGCCTGAAAAGAGGGCTCAGTTCGATAAATGGTTTGACCAACATAAAAATGAGCCCTTCAACTTAAATGAACAACTAGCAGCATATTGTATCAACGATGTGGAGATCCTCATGGCTGCGCTCATTGCCTTCAGAACGGAATTTTTGGAAGTCTCCAATGGCTTGGATGTTCTTCGTGAAGCTATGACAATTGCTTCTGCCTGCATGAAGCACTTCCGCATGAATCACCTCAAAGCCAACCATTTAGGAATTGTTCCTGAAAAAGGTTACGACAACGTCGACAACCAAAGTAAAATTGCTCTCAAGTTTCTGAAATGGTATGGCGAGAAGAATAACGTTACAATTAGGACAGCACACTCAAAGAATGGGGAGAAGAAAATTGGAAATTATAAATTGGATGGATGGGTTGAGGAAAAGAAATTGGCTATTGAAGTCAATGGTTGCTGCTGGCATGGTTGTATCAAATGCTATCCTGACGACGATCTTAAGCTTCCAACAGGTCTTACAGCTGGAAAACAGCGGGAGAAGGACCAAAAACGTCTAAAATTTATTAGGAATTTGGGGGTCAAAGTGGCAGTATATTGGGAGTGTCAAATCATTGATATGGTAGCAAAAGATTATGAAATGAGGAAGATGTTTAAAAAATATCTGGATGATGGACCAATAAATATTAGAGAGGCCTTCTATGGGGGAAGAACTGGTCCCTTGAAGTTATTCCACAAGGCTGAGGATGGACAAAAAATTTCTTACTACGATGTCACCTCCCTTTACCCATTTATCAACGTCTCAACTCGATATCCTGTTGGGCATCCAGAAGTCCACGTTATCAATATGGATGTCAATTGGACCAAACCTGAAGACAACACTTACAACACTGCTCTTTTAAAATTATTCGTCATACCACCGAGAAGTATTGACGTTCCTGTTTTACCAATGAAAATTGGGGAAGACGACGATGAACGATTACTATTTCCCCTGTGTTCTTGTTAGGTATTGGCTTAGTATAAAAGCCTTCCTATTATTCAGTCGTGGTCTT